ATCCGGAAGCCGATGGGCAAACTGAGCGTGTCAATCAGACTCTCGAGCAGTACATCAGGATCTACTGTTCCTACCAACAAGATGACTGGTCGCCTTTACTCCCGATCGCCGAGTTCGCCTATAACAACGCTCCCAATGCTTCCACTGGTATTACTCCATTCTTCGCTAACAAAGGATACCACCCAAATATCACCGTTCGGCCCGAGGTTGATATGAAGTCTGATCTAGCTAGAGACTTCGTCGTCAATCTCGATGAACTCCACGTCTTCCTTCGAGAGGAAATCCTTTTAGCTCAATCTCGTTACAAGGAACAAGCTGACAGGAAAAGAATCTCGCACCCGGAGTTCCCGATCGGCTCCGAAGTATTTGTTCTTGCTAAGCATATTCGTTCTACTCGTCCTACTGAAAAATTCTCAGAAAAATATCTTGGTCCTTTCAAGGTCATCAGTCGACCTGGTACTCTGTCTTACGAGCTCAAGCTCCCAGATTATCTTCGCCGCATTCACCCGGTTTTCCACGTCTCACAGCTGGAGCCGGTTACGCCGAATCCCTTCCCGAATCGTACTCAATCTCCTCCACCTCCAATTGAAGTTGATGGTGAAGAGGAGTACAACGTTGCCGAAATCCTCAACTCCAAGCTGGACAGAAGGTATAAACGTTGTCCCCTACGTTATTACATTCGGTGGGCCGGTTATGAAGGTACTGATGATGAGTTCTCTTGGGTTGCTGCTGATGAATTACATGCTGACGAACTTGTACCGGCGTTCCACGCCCGATACCCTCACAAACCTGGACCTTGATCACAAAAAATCATTTTATTCCATTTCCCTTTTTCGCCGCGCTCCGCCGAAGTCTACTTTGTGCGTTTAGAGGATAAACACGATGATAGCAAATTGAGTGTTTATCCCTCTCTCTTAATTGCTTATATTCTCCTTAAATTTACTTCTTCACTTATATTTCATTTACACTTAAAACTACTTATACTTCGAACTAATTAATTCTTCCGCCGCCTCGCGGCCCATTCGCTTTCCGATTTCAAAATCGAGTCAACAGTTTTATATATACACAAGTCCAAAAAACAAAACTATACAAAGGGGGCAGGGTTACAAAAAGATTACAAGAAGAAGGCCGGAAGGCCGATGTCCGATGTCCGAAACTACCCTACTCTACCCTTTCCTTCTCCTTCCCCTTGTCCGACCAGGCCTTTTTCGGCGCCGGTTCGTCGTTCTCCTCTTCTTCTTCTTCCTCCAACTCCACTTCTTCCCCCTCCTTCTCTATCTCCCCTTCAATCTCCTTTTCTTCCTCCTCATCACTATCTGCTACCCTCCTTCTCTTCTTCGAAGGCGCCGATGGTCCGGCCTCCGGCAATTCAGGGGGCGTCTTCCTTCTCCTGTTGGCATCCGTCACTAGCCACTCCAACTTCCGGATAATGTGGCGATGGTACGTGTTCGCCTTGATCTGACCGTCTCGGAGTTGACGGTTGTCGGCGAGCAGTTGAGCCATCTGGCTCTCAAGGACAGCCATCCGCTCGCCAAGCGGATTTCCTCCCCCCTCTCGCTTCACCGTCGAGGGCCGCCCGGAGTACGAGCACCGTACCTTTGCGTCGTGGCAGGGTTTGCAAATGATAGAACTTCTCTTACCAGCCTGCATCTGGCAAGAGATCTTCTTTGCCCTGCATTGTTCGCAGGGCTCTTTTTCGTCGTCGTCGTCGTCGCCGTCGTCCGGGTCTTCGTCCACGGGCTAGCAGGAATAAGTCAGACAATTACCTAGTCGTAGTAAAATAAATACGCACCTGGGCCTTAGCCTTGCCTTTTTCCTTCCTCTTCCTCGAAATTTCGACCACGGGTCTCCGCGGCGAAACCGACACCTCACTTGGGGAGGTCCCCCTCTGACTCCGAGCTGTCGCCGCTGCGGCCAACAGCCTCCTCCTCTCAGTCACCTCCTCCTCCTGTTGCTGCGCCCGGCGGGCCTGCTCTCGCGCCTCCTGCGCCTTCCTCTTTTTCTCCGCTGCCGCCCTTGCAGCCTCTTCCTCCGCCTTTTTTCTTGCGGCCTCCGCCGCCTTCCTCGCTCTCACCCGCTCCACTCTTGCTTGCGCCTTCCTGATAATATCGTCTTCGTCCTCGTCTTCGAGGTCCTCCTCCTCGTGGGCGGCGGAGTCGGAAGGTGGCGGTGGTGGCGGGGGCAAGGGGCGCGACCTGGAGGGACCGGCGGCCGAGGTGACAGTAGTGGTGATAGTGCGACTAGCGGACATTGAGGGCTTGGGAGTTTTTGGAAGAAAACTTGGGTCTTATCGGCGAAACTCTGGACCTTTTATACGGCAAAACTGCGCACGGACCAGCGAAAATTTTCCTTCGAATTGTACTTGGTGTACGGTGAACCGATGACTAATGCCATTTCCCGGTACTAACGGCTTTTGAAAATTTTCCTGCTGACTGATGGACCAAATTCCCGATGCTGACGGCCTTTAAAAATTTTCTTTGGTGACTAACCAACTCCCGGTATTAATGGCTTTCGAGGGCTCAAGCCTAAGAGGGGGATACTGTCAAGTCCATGCCGCGGGCCTCCATCCCGCCGCTCGGTACTCCGAAGATCCACTCGTTATTGTAATCTCACTCTTATTGTTCTTTCTCGCTACACATACCCTTTCGTCCTAGTCCCTTCTTATTGTCTTTTACTCTACCCTGCAGGTACTACTCGTATAGCTCCTAGTAGTTAGTCTGGCGCTCCGCATCGATGCGCCGTTCCGTAGATATAAATACTGCCTGTACGCTACTGTAGTTCCTCAGTTTAATTATCAACTTAGATCTCCCTTTCCATCTGAACCCTTCTCTAAGTCTTCAGGCTCTACGCCTTGGAGTACTCTCTACTATACCTTAGGAACTGAACGTTCTTTGGTCCGCTCCTCGTCATCGGCGATCCCGCCGCTCCGACCTGGCTGCTACTTAGCTCCTCTATCTCTACTCTCGCTCTCCGGGGACTAACGGCGTAACGGCGGTGTTGTTAATAACTTCACTACTGTCCCACTCGTCTTCCGCACTTCGACACCTTGTAGCTTTGGCACGGTTACACGGTGTACATGATCTTAACAGCATGTTGTATCAGTAAGCATGAATAATAGGTCAGGTGACAAGATAAGACAAGATATAGGATAAGGGAGATAGAAGATAAGACAAAAGATAAAAGATAAGACAAGGGACAAGGAGAAAGATAAGATGAAAAAGAAGTGATCGTAACACATTCGTGATCACTGTCGTACTGGTTACCAACTTGGGAATGATTGTACTGGCTGTGGAAAGGCTGGTCCATTGGGGGAGGTGTAGTCCCAGTTGGAGCTTGGGCTTGGTTGGTGTTTTGCTGAGGTAAGGACATACTAGTTGGACAATACCAGGAAGTATAATGTTTCAATGCAACAAGGAGTAGCAGTGGGCAGCTGGTCTTGGGGTGTCGGGGGGTGGCATTTTATATCTCCTCTGACTAGCTTCTGCACTCGGAGCATCTTGTGCACATTTTTTCACTCCTGTCTTCCTCCTCCTATCATTGCGTGGACCTTGTTTCACAACCTTTCCCCCTCTTATCCTTGATTAAATTATCCTCATGGGTTCGAGTTGCTTCAGACATAGATATGTATGCACACCCTTTTGCTTATCCAGATATATTTCATTTTGAACATTCAAATGACTCTGGTAGGGATTCTAGGGAACAAAGAATGAGCAAGAGAAGGCACCATGTGCATCATCGGAGGTAAACCCAAATACGGTCAAGTAGGTTGATCGCTTGAGGGAAATTGCACAAAAATGAGCTTACAACGGCCTAGGCAGGCCGTTGTAAATTCGGGATTTACAACAGGCCTCAAATTTCAAACCGCTCGCTAAATACACCTGTCACTTGTTTGCTGACAAGATTAAAACTGTTAATTGTCAAAAATTTGACAATTACAGCATATTCAAAAAACCTTGTCAGTAGCATAAAAAATGAGATAAAATAAAATAAAATCGAAAAGGTACCCGACGTTTTAGCCGACTGCTTGGTGAGTGTGCTGTCACTTGCGCCTTTTGACAATGATCTTCCATGCCAGTGGTGGAGGCTGGAGGCTGGTGGAGGTAACAAGTCCACTGAAGGATCACAATGTCAATGGAACTCCTCCTGGCATGGTCAGACTCTCCAGAGGCATCATCATCTGTTACTAGTCCTACCTCAGAAGCAAGAGATCTGCAATCATACAAAGGTGGAGCATATGGAGGGGGCAGGCTGCCTCTAGATATCCTTGGATACATGAGAATGGCAGTCAGATGCCAGTACACGGCCAAGGCTTGCACTAAGACAACCCAGAGATAGCCAGAGATGTCCTGAAGACAACAGAGTCCAGACGAAGCACTGCTAACCAGTTGGAAGTTGTTGAAATGACATCTCACAACTGGACAGCACAGGAGGTGACAGGACAGCACTTGCCAAGCGGTCGGCTAAAGGTCGGGTACCTTTTGGATTTTATTTTATTTTATTTCATTTTTTACGCTACTGACAAGGTTTTTTGAATACGCTGTAAAGTCTGCGGGAAGTCATCCAATACCCTCTACCTAAAGGTAGCGGGAATATCTGGCAGCGCTTGTCAATATATTCCAAGTTATGCGATACGGCAGGTCCATATAACAATACACTCATACAGCGAGTTCGATTGTCCTCGACTATCGACAGCGAACATTCGATATCCTGCACATTGACCATTGCAGTTATCCTAGCTCAAGAGACATCGTCAATGATGAGAAAAACAGGCGCCTACGAAATAGGTTGCATGGATGATGCAGATGATTCATACATTTGGACACGTGATTATCGTCCTGGAAAGTCGTTACTGTAACATACACTGTGGGGATGAGCCAATGTCTTCGTGGTGAAAATGTCGAGAAAATGCAAGGATTTTTACCAAAATTCGTCGAAAATCCTGAGCACAAATTTTAAAACTTTTCATGTGGCGATTATTGTGAAGCTATTGTGAATTTGGCGGGGGGCCGTGCTTATTTTGAATTATCTTTTCATAATTTTACCATAACCTCAGCTCAATCCCTTCAAAATATCTGCTGCCATATTTTTGTACATAACCTCGAGATAAAACCCACATTTTCGCCTCGAGGAAATCGGCTCATCCCCGCAGTGTATATAGATTCTGCCTCATTCATCGAATTTCCCTTCAACTTCAAACGGAGCCTCATCCGTGACTAGGCCTATCCTTCTATGAATAGCATCCAGTCGTTGCGCATCCTCAACTGCCAGGTTCTGTCCAGTCACGCCAAACACTTCCTCCATTTCTTCCAAAGTGACACCTTTCGTTTCCGGAACCTACGCACAACAGTGAGATGAAGGGTATAGTACGAAAACACTTGTACGAGTACTCACAAAGAACATGATGAAAAATCCGCCTAACAGTGAAAAGACGCCGAAGAAGATAAACGTTCCAAATCCCTAGAACACACTTTAGAATCATGCACCCTGGTACTCCGCGAAGAGACACCTTACCAGGTGAGCTATCATAGTAGGTGTTACTTGTCCAACTGTACTTCCATGTGAGTTTCAAGTGACCCTGATCAATAATAGAACTGACCAATAAAATTGTTCATCCAATTCGAACTGGCTGCGATAGACAAACCCTTGCTACGAACACTTAATGGGAAGATCTCGGCTACGATCACCCATGCACACGGTCTATGCATGAGATTCATGAGCTGATAAACGATATTCGATTTTTGTGTTCAATGGAACATACCCCCAACTGTAGCCAAAACCTGGGGTGCATTATTAACGGACACGGACCGCATATTCAAGTAAAATCCAGCATACCCATGGCAAAGACCCAAACTAGAGCACACGCGGCCCAGCCCGCAGCTTTGCAAGTGGATCAATAGATTATCAAGTTTCGAGGTACAGAGCAGCTAACCGACATGACTGGTAAAAAAAGAATTCAATCAGGACAAAGTTCAAATGACATGAGTTACGAAGGAATGATACCTTGGCCAGGAATCATGATACAACCCCACTAATACAGCTACGATTAGATGGCAACTTGAGAAAAGAAATTACCACGCATTCAAATGAATATCAACAACGAGACTCACGCTCCCATTAAAAATGCGCCAGAAACCAATACTGGCTTTCGGCCAACCTGATCGACATAAATCACTGCGGGAATGGTAGCCAGAAACATCCTACATGGTGACAATCCTATAAGTGGAGACTTGGGGGGGAAAAGGTCGAGAGACGTACGCAATTCCGACCACCCCAGTAGCAAGGAGATCCGTGGTGTTTCCAGTTAAGCCAAGATTTTGGAAGATACTGGGAGCGTAGTACAATATTGCGTTCACGCCAGTCCATTGTTGGAAGAACATAGTTCTAGAGGAATGAGGTGTGTTAACAAATAACGTCGATTGCATAGTGCATTTGAAGGATGTACAAAGTTCCAACCATGATTCGACGGAAAAGTGCTAAACAAGGCCCGTTCAGCATATCAAGACGTACCGGATAGAATAAAATATTACTTGGATTGATCAAGAGACTCAGATATGAGTAGAACGCGAGCTTCGCATTAGATCCAAATGAGTCGTCCTGATAATCTGGAAAGTTTACTGCAGAGATCTCCTTTTCGAAAAGGTATTGGGCCTTTATCTCGCTGTCATTGTCATATCAGTTTACAATGCTTAGTATAAAAAACAAGGGAACGCACAGAAACTCTATCTGGACTAGTTCACTCTCCGAGGGGAGACAGCGGGCCTTACTCAAGACAGCTAACGCTTCATCGTCCCGGCCTTGGTTGATGAGCCACCTATGTGAAAGAGATATCTTAGCCAAGACAGGTCTACTACTGAGGAATGCATATAAATATTAACCTAGGCGAGAAAGGCATGAACAATATTCCAGCTCCGAGAATCAGAGCGGGTACAAGTTGGAGTGCCAATGGGATCCTCCACGCCGCTTCAGATTGAGTTGAACCGGACCCACCGATAAAATTTGTGCCATAGTCAATCCAGAAAGAGATCATGATACCGAAGGTAATGGCAAGTTGTTGCAGCGCGACGAGACTTCCTCGAACTTCGGGCGGTGCGAGCTACAAGCAAAACGTTACTCCAGAATTGATAGCGCACTCGTCGGCATAAATTGTGATTGTACCTCGGCGTTATAAAGTGGTACAACAGCACTCAGCGATCCGATTCCCAAACCGGTGATGAAACGTCCCCCGTAGATGGATTGTGGGCCTTGAGCAGCAGTTTGAACGATGACGCCAACACAGAATACAACGACAGCTTCAGATGTAATAGTAATTAGTGAGAAAAGTGTATAAAAATCGCATCAACTGACACAGCTCAATAGTGTACTTGCGGGAGAGTTTGTCCGCAAAGTAACCTGCGTCATCGATAACTATTATTATCTCTAATTCATGGAACTATGAGCCCAGACTTACCAGTTGTAAGAACACCGAACCAGGCTCCAAGTTCCAAGATCGAGACAAACCAACCTTTCTTGGTGGGATCGTTGACCACTGAGGCCATCCTAGGGTAATGGATGATTAAACATGATTATCTCGGTTTCAGTCGATTACCTTGAGTCGAAATCATACATCCTGTAGGATGTGTTAATACCGTAAGCAGATACTATGGAAGTGTCTATGCTTACCCGAGTACTCCGGAAAAAACCCCTTGGTTATAACCTGGGGAAACGTTATTAGCTATTTGCTCTTGTGAAATTTGTAGTGGAGCGTACCGTAGAGCCTAGAAGGCCAGTGTTAGCGAACATCAAACTATTCATAAGTATACGACTTACAATCCTCCAAGAGAAGCAAATACTGCTATCGCGAATATTTTGCGGTTTCGTACGAGACCTTTCTGAGAAGCGAATGTCGTTTATGACTCGGATTGGTGGTGAGTCTGATGAGTATGACACTCACCCATCCTGATTCTCCCGCGAGAGCCCTTCGACGAGACGTAGTTACTGGGATTCCGCCAGCCATAATACTAGTGCGAGCGACAGAAAGCAATGTTACGGCCTTGAGTTTCTGAGGTTCAGGTATTTAAGAACCATTATATGTAGGTCACCAGGTTCAAATCCCATTTTGCGGGCCGAGAGTGATCCCGCACATATCTTGCGTTGTGAACAAGTAATAGGTTTATTCCTAGTTGCGGAGCTAGTACATAGAATAGGAAATATATACCGACCCACGATAGGTACGAAGGAAAAGTATGCACGTTCTGTGGATCTAAGATAGAGAACTCAGCTCGAGTGGAATAGGGATGTAAACTCCCACTGCAATATGAACCTATTACAGACCAATTACCTTATGAGTCCAGGTTTGCCTGGTCAGGAAGCGGGAGGATGCCCGACCGAAATGTGCGTAAGGGTCCAGGTGGCGCAGATTCGGGGTTGACAAAAGATATAACTGGTGAAGGCGCTAGCTATTGGGTTATGGAATGAGAACAGTGAAAGTTGGCATCGGAGGCACCAAGGTTATCGAGGAGTATTGAGGGTTATCGAAGCTTATCGAAGTTGGCGGCGATGACGATTGGCACCATGATATATCACCTTGCAAGGTCTGTATGGTGTGAGAAAAGCACTAGCTTCGACAGTATCAAGTTACCGTAAGTAGAACAGGAATTTATGGTTGACGAAGTATTGGCATTGTTGCTCATCGTACAAACATGCTACGTTGGGACGCAATGCCGATTATTTGTTCCGGCAGTTATAGCTCGCGGTCCGGTGCGCCGCACTGCCTTGTATTATTGCCACTGTCAGCGTCGTCGCACAGCTCCTGGTGCCGATATAAAAGCTACCTTATCCTTACTCTTCTACTTCTCTTTGGAATGTATCCTGGTCATCATCATCATCAACAGCAATCTAACATGCCTGGGTAAGCATGACTATACCAGCTCATAGAATCTTTCAACTAATCTCTTTCTAGGTTTCCAACTCCGTAATCTCAATTCCTCTTTGTTCAACAATTCAACTCATACCGTGTTTAGGGACCGTGGCTACTCCCCCAGCTATAATCCTCCTCCCGGACCACCTCCGAACGGGTGCGTTCTCTTGTGTTCTGTGCGAAGCTTCAAATATTTACTCTTACCAGATACGCACCTCCTCCGGGCGCTCCTCCTTATGGATATGCACCTCCTCCAGGCCCCCCAGGGTGGACAATATCTCATCTCTTTATTTTGCACTCCCTTGACCTTGCTATCTAGTTATGGCCCTCCTTCTGGCCCTCCTCCCGTCCAACGAAACTCTTATCCCGGACAGCACCCTCATCATCAGCACAGTGGATATCCTGGTCAGCAATATGGCCAGCAATATAGGCAGCAGTATGCGCCACCGCGTTCGTAGAACCCGCTTCATTTTTCTTCACTCGAATTCAATCATTTGTGGACAGCTGGACCGCCTCCCATGCCTCCGCAGCAACAGCAACAGTACGGGCCTCAAGTCGGAGGACCCGGTGGACAACCACAACAGCCGTACTTTCAGTATTCCCAGTGCAATGGCAAGAAAAAGGCACTATGTGTATGTCATTTGACGCCTGATTCAATCTCGGTCTTGATATGAGTTTGCCTTTAGGTTGGGATAAACTATTTCAATACAAGTAGTGAGCTACGGGGATGCATAAATGATGCTCAGAATATGCAACAGTTTTTGTGCAGTGCGTTCCGTGCCTCATTGCCTGGTCCATATCATTAATTCCCTTCTGAATCCTAGCTCATTTCGGCTATAAGCGGGAAGACATTGTCATGTTGACCGATGACGCTCAAAACCCGCGACAGCGACCAACCAGAGATAACATCGTAAATCACCTTATTGCGTTGTATGTAATCAATTATAGCTGATTCTCTCTTTCCAGCTTCAAGCTATGCAATGGCTCGTCAACAACGCACAACCGAACGACTCTCTCTTTTTCCATTGTATGTTCTATCAAGATGTGTCAAATATCTTCGCTCATACTTCACGTTCAGATTCAGGACACGGAGGTCAAACAAAAGATCTTGACGGAGACGAGGCAGATGGATATGATGAAGGTCAGAGAACTCTTGTCAGTCCTCCTGGTCCTTGACTCATCATGTTTACAGTCATCTACCCTGTATGAATTTCAGTGGTTTTGCAATGCTCATAAGTTGACTAGCGAGATTCAAGGTTGATCATGAACAAGCCGGTCATATCGTTGATGATGTAAGACGTTTTCTTCACCATTCGTACAGGGAGGCTGAGCTCATCAATAATCAGACTTTACACGACATACTCGTCAAAACGTTGCCACCAGGATGTCGTATCACTGCGATCTTTGACGTTCGTTGAATCCTTATCTTTCTCTTTCAGATGCTAACTTGCAGATGCAGTCATGTCATTCGGGTTCGGTACTTGGTGAGTATATGTTTTGTTGATTAGGACTGAAACCTTTGTAACGGTAACTTAGATCTTCCATACATGTATTCAACCGAAGGAAAAATCAAAGAACCCAATCTCGCTGCTGAGGCCGGACAGGGTCTTATGAGTGCCGTCTCTTCTTATGCCAGAGGAGACATGGGTGGGGTGTTCAAGTCTGCAATGGGGCTTGTCAAGGTCGCTTCGGGAAACACCAAGAAGACCGAAGAGTATGCTCGACGCACGAAGACTAGTGCTGCCGATGCTGTGCGTTGTTTGTCTTTTTCATGTCAGAGGGACACTGATCAAATTCATTCTCTTTCAAGATCTCATGGAGCGGATGCAAGGTATGTTGCTAGGTAGAAACTTTTACATTATTTGAATATTAATGGCGTATCAGGATTCACAAACCTCCGCTGATGCTGTAGAGGCTGGAACTGCTACTGGCGCGATGAGCTATGTAGGTTCTCAGTAAACTTTTTGGGTTTATCACTCATCAAAGTGTCGTTTAGGCTTTCATCAGTGCTCTTAGTACGAGAATACTTCGCCCATATTTATCGCCTCCTCACTATTCCCATGTTTAGGTCAAAATCCACAGCAAAGCTATCAAACTCTACTGGTCAATATCAGAGAAATCTTGAGGACGAAGTATAGTCAGAAACCTCAGGTACTTCTTCTAGAGATGATTTCTTTACTGTCATGACGCTAAACTCGTTTAACAGCTCTCCGCATCCCATCCCATCGTACGTTCGACTAATTCTTCCTATTCTTCCTATTATCCCTACTGACTGAGCGAAAAGGACACTAATCTGATGTTCATCTGTTAAATGGGCCTTGACTTGGACTGAAGAACATTTCATTCTGTATCAGTTGTATAATACTGTCTACATAAGTATGTATGTCGAAGCTGAAAATAACTTTCTGAATTGTACCTTAAGAGGCTCTGATGATATTTATATCTCGTACTTCGGGGCCACTGCTCGGTTAAGTCTCGGTTGGTTGACTTACCGGCGTTTACTTTTCGGCGTTGTCGTCATCAAATGCCCTTTATCAAGTTGACATCTACCATCCCTCAACTTTCCTTGTCCTGTGTTGCCCGCCATGCAGTCACCTAGACTGGTGTTAACCTACTCTGCTCTGAGTGCCTTCATTATTTATCTTCTGTTCGTCTGGGCCAGTAGAGGCTCGATGAACTGGTCTCTGTCCTCGCATCGTAGGTTGTCACTTGTCCAGCCTGCCACCTCATGCTAACGTTTACGCTTCTCAGGTCCTCCAGACTTTAGCCTCTATGTCTCACTAGAATCGTTGTCTGTAGAACAATTCCCTCTTGGCGAGTGGTTTTATTCAATTTCAGGTTCCGTTGTGTAATAACCATTAAAACGATACCTCGTTCTACAGACGATATTGACAAGCGCGTTATCATCGTGGGTGATATACATGGAATGTTCGAGGAATTCCAGTACGCCTAGGATCTTAGTACCCTTGTACAGTACTCATCGTTTTGCATACAGAGCGCTACTTGCTAAAGTGTCCTATAATCCATCATCCGACGTTCTAGTCAGCGTTGGCGACATCGTGGCCAAAGGACCCCATTCCGGATCCATGCAAGTACTGGAATTCATGGCCTCTCATAATATCACAGCCGTACGAGGAAACCACGACCAGAAGGTTATTGAATGGCGGACTTGGCTTGAATGGATACACTCTCTTCCAGGTGGTAGCAATTGGCTTTTCCAAGTCCAAGATAAATGGGAGAAGGCTCAGGAGCGCGGTGCAGATGATGTAGAAGAATGGGTGGAAGAGCAAGTGCGACATGACAAGAAACATAGCAAATGGTGGAAGAAGATCCCTGAAGAATGGCAGTTGTTTGGCGATCATTACAGGATTGCGGAAGGGATGACACAGGAGCAGTACTCGTATATGATTCAAAGACCGGTGCGGATCCATGTTCCGCATGCACACACGTTCATCGCACATGCTGGAATCCTGGCCTCGGATCCGAACTACAAGCGCAAGGACAAGCGGCAACCATTATCACATATCCCGATACTGTACGAGGCCGAGACTCGCAAAGAAGACACTTCCTTTCTTCGTCGATTGCAAGAGCTGGCGATTCTGAACGAGATACCGCAGAATCTGATCCCTTGGGTCACACTCAACATGAGAGGTGTTCTTGACGATCATACCGTTACAAGGTAAATGATCTTGACCCCATGTCCCACGTCTTTGATCCTTAAAGACGTTTCGGAACAGAAAGAAAAACGGTACCCCTTGGGCACAACTTTACAAGAAGGACATGAAGCATTGTGCCGGCTTTGATTCCAAGAAGAAAGGTTCTCTTCCGTGTCATCCATCGACTGTGGTGTACGGTCACGCTGCTAGTCGGGGGCTTGACATTAATCGCTGGACCATTGGTTTAGATTCAGGTTGTGTACGTATACACATTTTCTCACTGGAAATTTGACCCGCTTATTCCTAGTATTTTCAGGTATACAATCAACGTATGACGGCGCTTGTCCTGGGTGGAAAGCTTGCTCAACAACTACCGGGCACCATAGAAGACGAGTATGACGGCGAAGCTATCGATATAGACGGCAACATTCTGAGCTCCAGACCGAAATTTGGAGACAGTGGACGTGGAAAGATTTACAGCGTTCCATGTTAAATCGTAGAGTTCACCTCGAGTAGTATTTATCTGTTACGATCCCGGTCTCTTTTTACTTGTACGATATTCACCTATACCTACCATATCTCTTTATTGACCTGTATACATGTACTTGTAATTTTGCCGTTATAATCTAGTATCATGACCTACTAATCATCTTGCTCTCTTTCAATTTGACTTCAAGAAATTTTCGGCAAATTGATAGCCGACAAATTGAACCGGTTGCCTACAACACCTCGGTCTGTTACTTCCATGATTTCTTACTTAGAGAACCATCGAAAAGGGTTTCAAAAGGCTGCAGGTATCGCCGGAGGCCTGTACCTCGTTCGAGGATACATTCATTCACGTCTGGAGGAGGTGAAGGAGAAAATCGAATTAGAAAGGTTGGCCCAAGATATTCTACATCGTCGGTATGAACAGACTCAGGAAGACGTGGGATATACGGTCATGGCTCTACTATCGAATTTAGGAGAACAGATTCTGGAAGAGATGGATGTTGAGGCTGTGATTGGAGAGTTGCAAATGATGTCGAATAAGAGCTTTTTGGAAGGGTCGGAATCGATGTCGGCGTCTGTATCCAGTTCTATATCCAGTTCAAGCGCTCTCAGCACTTCTGGCTTACAAGGATGGGTAGACGCTGCAGGAGCACAAGCTCACTCACCAACAGGATATTCCTCTAGTGAAGAAACCAGCAGTGTAACGTCCGGCTCCTTCATATCAAACATCTCCACTATCGAATCGGAACCAAATTCCAGTTCAGCATCCGTCGCTTCCTTGCCTTCCACCTCATCCGACCCTACCTCTTCTCGTTCCAAAGCTCAGTTATGGAACTCTGTGAAATTACTCACATTCACACGGACATTGACGACGATATATTCCATTTCTCTGCTCACCCTCCTCACTCTCACCCAGCTCACGATCCTCGCACGCGTTAAATATATACGCGCCATAAAACATATGTCTTCAGAGGAAGACCAAGAGGCTGCATTAGAGGGCGAGCTGGGCATGTCTAACATGCTTTTCATGGCACTCAAAGCTAGATTTGGGATTCCTCAACAGCCCTTATTAAAAACATTCTTACCCTCTGTTCACGAACTGTTATTTGCGCCCGCAGATGACGAAGACCTGCCCGAACATCCACTGTCCAATATCGCGTTCGAAACTCTCAGCGCAGACTATCTCACTCTATCCTACTACTTACTTCACATTGGATGGAAAAATCTTTCCACCCACATACAATCTGCGGTTGAAGAAGTACTCGAAGGCGTATCGCTCAAAACGCGTTTATCAGAAAGCGACGTCCACAGACTTTTGAAAGATATGATGCAGCGAGTGGCCCTAGAAGGCTTGACTGCCTCGATGCTTCCAAATACGGAGGATATGGTTCGTAGCGTGTTAGTACTTGGAGGTCGAGATGACCACGACCCTTATTCCCCGTCGCAAGGAGCAGCACTTTCCACCTCGATGGATGATCTTCTTTCGGAAACCCGGACACTTTTTTCCTCTTATCGTTTTACAGAGGTGCTGGATACATGTGTGGATTGGGCTGTGGATAGTTTGATGAAATCGTTCGAAGGCGAGGGCCGCGTCTTTGCATCTGGAGATGCTGAAGCACCACGCGTCCGTCTTGCTTCTATCCTTCCTCCATTAGCTTCCTGGTCTCGAACCTCCCTTCTGGCACTTCCGAGTGAATTGGTTGATGGTATTTTGGCCAAAGATGAGACACGGACGTTTAGTGCTTGGATATGGGCCAAATTTGAGTTGGAAGTTTGACGGCAAATTCTTGTCCTTCAACTATGGTCTCTTCACCATATCACAAAGTGGAAGGGAAAGAAGCAAACTTTCAAATACAAATTGGGAACCAGTGCACAACGCAATGCCATTATGCCATAGCTTCAACGTCGGTAAATGGTTTTTCTGATCTACGGCTGATATTATCCCTCCGTCTGCCTTTCTACCTCCAATTTTGCCCAACTTTTGAAACAAGGGAAGAAAGGATTTCAATGTAGCAGATTGGACCCGGGTGTGTCCGTTAATATTATTATCAAACTGTGAACCCACTCTGTATTCAACCTTCAGATATAATCATACATATATCCAGCATATATCTCTATGTACATGAAGACTATGCTCCAAAAGATGACTTTAGATCAGGCTAGGACTTCTATTGTACCCTCTACCGCACTGGTCGTCCCCAGTTCTCTCCGTCGATCTACTTCTGTAATATCGGGATTGTCATTGGAAGCGTCACCATACCATTTCCAAGCATTGTTCTTGATGAAATCTTCGAATGACCATAGATCGGCTTCCAAATTTTCTAGGTCATTGTAGATGTACGTCTGCGCAGGGATTGCTGGGAGGAGCTCAGAGGTTGGAGGAAGTGGCGGCGGGTCAGCGGGAACCAAAGACTTATCGTCTAAGGCGACATCGTATGCAGGAATATCGATGAGGGGCTGAAGAGGATGGATCTCTATACTACACCTGCTGTATTCCTTTCGTACGATATCAAAATACATTAACGATCCGTAAGGATAGGGCTCACATTTCCTTCGAAGTAATCTAAGCAGGTCATATCTTGACTAGTCAGCCCAGTGACCATGGTTCCTCGCACGCAACGCTCTTCGTGCGTCAGCTCTCGGGTGAAGAGGGTTTGACCTTTACGGTAAGGAACAACACCTGGGTAATCAGCATACTGACAGACGATCGTTGAACTTGTAAGACTTGGTGTCTAGCGTTTGTGAGCAAGGCTCACTTTGACTTTGTGCCGCGTATGCTCCTATCATACTGGGATGATTTCGCTGTGAATTTCGAGGTCAAACGATGAGCCTTACGAAGAGAACAGCAGGCGCGATCTGGAGATGTGACGCGTCGTTCCCAATAACGCGTTTCAGAATCTTTGGATGCATCAATGTGCCATAGAAGAAACTGGAGAAAGTGCATTCAGCCATTACAGGAGATCTTGACAGTGGTCGAAGCAAAGTACTGCGATAACAATTGCCGAAAATTTCGTCCGGCACTTCTGGATCTCTATCTGTCACCGTCATCTTCTTCCAGAATGGTTTCCGAGTCGTGCGGTAATCCTTCGGTGGAAGTCGAAGCAACCATGAGTCGTATGCTCCTAGATTTTTGTGTAACTTATTCGTGTACTAAATCATAAAAATTAGGTCGACCAAAGTATGACAAGTCCAAAATTTGCATAAAATGCAAGGTGAATAATGGAGCAATTGTAGTTCGACATGCCGTCTATTGCAAGTACGATTTCTTTCGTTGGACCTGCTCGCGTTGATTGATTTTATTTGACTTGACAGGGAGTGTTTCCCCGCCTTGCTGAGTTCCAAAGTAAAGCGAATTCTTGAGCCTCACATCAATCCCAAACCAGAATCATCAAGGAAAAAGTCATTAAAGGCCTCTGGAAATCTATTGGTTGGATTTTCAGGCGGCTTAGGCTCTACTACATTGCTAGATCTCATCTCGAGAATATACCTTTCGAATCGAATGGAGATCAAGGAAGAAGGCGTAGCTAAACTAAGAGGCGGGAAAGGCCATCCTCGCAATGAACCTGTGTGGGAGAAGGTTACTGTGTGCTATGTAGAAATTGCTGCGGGATTCTCGGGAGTAAGCTACAGTGCTCTTTCATCTTCATTAAGCTCACAATCTCTAATAGATGACAGACCGCACGGAAACAATCCAGCAATTAGTTCAAGAGAATTTTGAAGCCTTAGATTTCATTCCCTTGAGAATAGAGAATGCCTTTGATCCTGCCTGGTGGGATAGAGTGGGAGGAAAGCTTACTTCAGATATGAATGCCGATTTAATCAATGACGGTGCGCTCGATCCATTGCAAATTTTCATCGTCTCAATATCCGATTCAGACCTTTTTGTATCAACCGTCTTTGATAGTCCCGCATCTGATCCAGTGCAGAGGCTTCGCTCATATATATCCGCCCTCCCTACGCATACTGCCATAGACAGTACAATACATACTCTGATCAGGATTTTGTTGCTCTACACCGCACGCTCTACCCGATCGTCACATCTATTATTAGGCACAAGCTTGACATCACTGTCCATAAACTTGATTTCGTCCATTGCCCAGGGAGGTGGATTCTCTGTTCGCGAAGAGGCCCAAGAAGAGTGGAAATCGGATTCAATGGAAACCGTTCGCTTGATCAGACCGTTGCAGGAGATTACGATGAAGGAATGTTCAATGTGGGCCTGGTGGAACAATTTACGCGTGTTGGGGAAGCAGAGGCATCCAGGGGTTAAGCAAGGAATCGGAGCCTTAACAAAAGGTGCACCTTCAAGCATGAGATATGAAAATTTCATCTCATTCAAATCTTCAGATTTCATTGTCGGCCTTGAACGCGACTATCCATCCACCGTCTCGACGATTGCACGTACTTGTGCCAAATTGGCACCGAGAGTCGGAGCGTTAGGATCATGTATACTATGCGAGAGGTGAGGACATTCTTTGTTATGTATCATTCAACTGCGACTGATAATACTTGTCTGGATAGACCGCTTCAACCCGGCGTACAAGAATGGGTATCGCGTATATCCATACGAGCTACCGCACCCTCATCCCCATCACACTCCTCAGATTCGTCTTCCCTGTTGCAATCGTTGACGCCGTATTTGTGTTACTCATGCCATACTACTTTAATGAGTCGAAGCTCAAAAAGCATATCTGGCAATATCACAAACGCATCGCTTCCCCTTCCTGTATGGGCGTCAGCGCGTTTGCACAACTCTCCTTCTGACGCTGCTATCAGTGTGCAACTAGATGTGAAGGCTGACGACGAGATTTGGGTGACGCGTAAAGTTGATCCAAACGAGATGAAAGCGGCCATTGGGGAGTTTCTACTGGTATGACTTGTGTAGGTCAGCGCAGTAGTTATCCGTCGTCTAGAAATGTGATGCTCTGAGAATGACCTTTGCATCTTCCGTGAAAACTTGATTCTGTTTCCGGCCATCGGGAATACCATCCCGGTCCCCGACTAGGTAATGATTATGTAATTATTTCTGCTGCTTCGGAGGTTCGGCCCGATTCAACGTTCATCGATGTCTCAATCCGACTTGGGGCAAGAGCTACACGATTCCCAACGAGCAAGTGTATCTTTGAAAGCTCAAAAGAATACTCTCTTGATCTCACACGGACGTCCGCCATGGTCAATCTTTTCCATTTACAAAAAAACCAATAGCGGCTAAAGCCGTATCCGCAGGTATGGTCCAGATGGCAAACGTATAAGTGATGCATTTGTTATTGGCGTCGGAGGCACGTCGACCTATGTTCCTTTAGGCGGACTCAACCAATCATTAATCATCTTGACAGGGGGCTCAGCGAGCGGAAAAGTACATGACAAACCAGACTATCCAGAGCAGCCTTTATTCAGTTGAAAGTTTAGACCCATGTTGCGCGACAAATAGTCAAGGCCCTAGGCTCAATTCCGACAGTCCTTATTCTCTCGCAAGTTAGTAAACGCGTTCTTTCCTCCAGATCGTATGATTGATCTCAACATTCAGGATAGTTTTTACAAGTACCATTCCCCGGAAGAAATGAAGCTGGCCTTCGAAAGTAAATTCGATTTTGATCATCCGGATGCCATCGACATGCCCATGTTTGCCTCTGTATTCTCGTCTTGCCTTGATCGTCATTTTCCCAGAATGACCATGCCTTCTAGTGCCTCGCGGATTTGAAAGCGTGCAGGCAGACGAATATTCCGGTGTACTCCTTCGCTGAACATCAACGTCTTGAGGAAACAAAATATGGTGCTCATGAGTCACTTCATTTGCTTACCCAAACGTTAATTTTAAACTTGCAGCCTATGGTGCCACCGTCATTATCGGTCCGTCATCATCACAAGACAACAAACCATTGACATGAATGAACTTCACATCCATAGCGGAAGGTATCATGGCGTTACATGACCCGGAATTGAGAAGCCTCTATGATTTGAAGGTCTGTGTGTGTTGGTAAACGATTCACAAAATGTGTTGTTGACATCGTATCGTCTGCCAGGTCTTCGTGCAGTGCGACTCAGACCTTATGCTCGCACGACGCATCGCGCGCGATGTTAAGGAACGTGGAAGAAGCTTGGATGGGATTCTTGAACAGTTATTGGCAATTCGTCATTTTTACCGAGATATTTGCTTTAATCATCCCCCCATAGATACCTACGTTATGTGAAACCATCTTATGATACCTTCGTACGGCCCACCGCCGCTTTCGCTGATATAGTAGGGTTTTGATTACGCTTGAAGGTCTGAACTACTGACTTTTCTATTTCCAAGATTGTTCCTGGGCAAAATAACTCTGTGGCCATCGACCTCATCTCCACGCATACTCGTCGACAGTTACAAGGTAAGAGAATTCTTATGGCCAGTAATGAACATTTTGAAATGATTGCTGAACTTGTGTAGAACGTTCCAACTCTTTCCGACCGAGGATGGTGACTTCATCTTTACACGCACCATCTTTAGTCGATGAACCATTGGAGAATGACCCAAATTCAATGATATTACCCTCCACTCCGCAACTAGAGGTATAATACGTTCGTTGATCATTTTTTCGGGAAGTACTGAGAAAATTTACAGGGAATATTTACGATACTGCGGTCCAAGGATACCAGCAATCAAGATTTCATTTTTTTCACTGATCGGTTATCGACGCTGCTCGTTGAGCATGCTCTTCAATTCCTTCCTTATTCACCTCATACCGTGACTACACCTCTAGGTGTTGAATCTCTTGGGAAAACACTCGTTTCAAAGGTGCTCATCGCAAGCATTCGGTTCCATATTATCTTAACCACATCTATTGCTGTCTTATAGTATTTGTGTGGAGTTTCTGTCCTACGATCGTAAGCATTGTTATCGTAGTTTTGATTGAATTCTCTCTGACAATCGTGTAGTGGGAGTGCGCTTGAACGAGGTAGGGTAACGCCGTCTTCCTCGTTGATACATATGACCAGATTCCTTGTAGGGTTTCGAAGGGTGATTAACAATGTACCCGTTGGGACATTGCTAATTCAGTCCAACTCCATAGACGGAGAACCACTACTTCTCCATCTCAAGCTTCCTGTCTCTCTTCGTCATAGGTCTTCTGCTGAAGATACATGGGTTATCCTCCTCGACGCTCAGGTACAGTCCTGGAGATTGACTCGTCACCTAATTCCGAAGTCTCAAGCTTGAATCAAATATAGATAGGCACCGGTGCCGCAGCGTTCATGAGCATACGCATTCTGCTTGACCACGGTGTGAGACAAGACCATATAATATTCGTCACTTTCTTGGTGGCCCGAACGGGTGGGATTACAACTCTACGTCGAGCATTTCCTCATGTGAAAATCGTCTGTGGAGCTGTAGACAATGAAATGCGTGAAGGCTGGTTAGAAGGTGATCGAGGCGAAGGAAACGAAGATGGAATCGGGCGAAAGATCTGGGTGATGAGTCCGGGAATGGGTCAAATAGGTAATGGATTTCGACAAAGTACCCGCTCATTATTGCTCATTGATGATATCGCACAGGGGATCGGTATTATTTGTGATTTTGTCGTGCAGTCTGGACTACTTATGTAAAATGCTTGGCCTTCGGGTTGCTATCGATATTTTGCATACATATGTTTTGGAAATAGCACGGTGAATCGTGAATGCGTGAACCGACACCGCGAAGAGACTCCGGTCAATGAGTCATTATAATATATACTGCAAATGTCAATCTTCTGAGTTTATCCAGGATCTATCAGTGTCCTTTTAGAGATCTACTCTAGATCTATAGTTTGTACTCTAATGTATAGCTAGAACTATGGGATACGTGCAAATGTCCATGTCGTTCATGAGAGAAAATGCGATGAGTAATTAGGCTGTCGATGTGCATGCGGCAAGTGAGGAGGGTAAATTAGAACCTGAGAAAAAATTGTGAGGTTTTTGTTTAAATTACTTGGCAAATATGAGGAGTTTAGGCTCAAGCCTTATATACTTACCTGGATAGAACCAAAACGAGACCGCGATCATTATGTATAAGCCTGCGATATATTCTTTGAATCAGAGTGGTGGAGAACGGTACAAAGCAGACTCACAGATGAGAATAGCTCCCTCCAGCCAGTTTGACTTGCCATCCGCGACAACGTGTGTCATTGTTTGAACTGTAACGATGATTATTTACTTGACTTCCAGCAGTTATATGGGGAACGTACCTGAGATATACAGTACCTATGAAGAGAAAGCAAACATCTTCAGAATATCGGCTTAGGTCACTGAAGCACAAATACGCACTAAAGACTCAAAAGGGTCGAACAACAGCGCAAGAGGCTTGCCCATTGCCCAGGCTATCGTCACCATCAGAGGAATCACAAAGAGGGCAGTTTGCTAAGACCGGTATAATAAGTTCAATCATACAAGCGCCTGAGAAATCTGGGTACTAACAATTGAAGAACCAACAGCGACACTGATGCTCAAAGTAACCTGATCCTTGACAGATACACCAATAGCGTTCCCGCATTCTGCAATAGATGATACCGCAGGAAGCAGGACGAGCGCCACCCATTCTTTGCTGATCGTCGTCGAAATTCCGTCCATAGCTTCGACAAGCCAATCCGCAATGAAAGCAACACCCTGAGAAAGGGATCAGAGACAGGCGCACAAATTAGAAAATCAGACGTACAACTGTGACAAGAAGCAGCGATGCTACCGTCACAAACCAGCTCAATTGTGGTTCCCGGGAAGACATAACGCTATCAATAGGTGATGCTGGCGTCGCTCTCCTCGGGGGGCCTCCCAAAGGTACATCTACGAATTTTTCCGGATGAAGATCTTCTGTATCTAGTGTAAGCCCAGGATGGTTGCTGCTATTGATGGTCGAACCACTGAAAGTTCTTGCAGAGTCATTCCAGGTAGTTGCGCTATCAGAGCGCAGAGCAAGCTTCGATGGAGAGTTGATGCGTCGCAGAGAAGTACCGCCCATTGCGTCGAGATCTACTAGTCGAACACTGGGATCTACTGCAGCAACAGGGTACGTGTTGCCGGAGTCTGTCAGCGTGACCTCTGAGGCAGCGAAATTATCACCTGGCGGAGAGATATACGGTGTCCCGGGCTGCTGTTGGGGTGAAGGCGGCCTACTTGGGCTGCGCGTAGAAGACGGAGACGAGGAGAGACTGCGTGCTTGTGTTTCAGATTGAGTGGCCTTAAACCACCTTGATACATTGTCTTCACCATTGTAAATTGCAGCAGAGGAGTCAGATTGTGGAAAGGCTCTACCCCTTTCACGGAGTGTTATAGTATGGAATATTGCGGGTGTCTGGACGTTGATAGAAAGCTTTCGGCTTTTCTTTTGAGAATCCTGATATAGATGGGTGTGCGACACGAGCTGGAAGACAAGATAAAAACCATATACTGAAGATCGTGACCATGTCAGAAAACTGGTTGGGAAATGCAGCAATGCTGCGTACTGGTAAGGAGGATGAGAGATACCTATTCAAGGGTCTTGGTCAACAGGAGGTCATCAGTTACCACAAAGAGAACCTACCGCATGACTCATATTCAGAATACTAAGACGCTGATTCTCTGGAACATCGTCGTTTTTATTACCGCTCAAGGCGAAATGGTAAGCGACAGGAAGTAACAAGACCCCTACACTGATGCTCAAGAGGGAAGAATGCACTTGATTGGCGGCTGAGGGGCTTTGACTATCATGGCGAACGAAAGAAAAGAATAAAGACCCACTGGCATCGAACCATTGTTCCGAGAATCTCAGTCCACCGGCAAAGAAGCATAGACCCAGGACAAGTACTGGAACGGGATAAGTCAAGACTGGCGGACTAATTCCAAGATGAGGCCACTCACAAAGTTTTCCAAGGATAGATCCAATCACTAGATTGAGTTATAGATCGACAGTGAACGAAGAATGAAAACTCACGTGATGATTGGACGACACGGAGCTCGCACTTGCGAAGAGCAGAAAGCTGGTTATACACAAATTTTTAACGAGATCGCTAGCCTATGAAGAAGCAGAATCACGTACTGCAACCACAATCTCCACGCTATCGAGTAAAATAAATCAAGAAGGATTCTAAAGACAGCCGGGATGTTGAGGATACATACGTGTTATTCTAGTATCCAAGTCAGAACCATGGACTTGAATAGTGGTAGAAATACATACTAAGCTCGCGTTTAAGAGTCCGGTTTTGGATCCTCCAATTCTTGCTGAGAGCTCTCGCGTTGTAACTTCATGTATCTTTCAGGCGAATCAATGAAGATCTGCAAAATAGTGAAGCAAGCGTTACCTTGACCAAAGGAAGAAGACTCAAAAGACAGACTATGATAGATGCAACAGTTGAAATCGGCTTGAATGAAAGCAATGAAATTGAGTGCACATACACATGAATACTAGTCCGTGGTACTCGGTCATAGTGATACTGAAAATGCACTGATGAAGGTGGGTGGTAATAGATGTCCTTGAACGAGTCGAGCGTGCTTACCGCTACTGGAATGAGACACAACAAAACATTGAACCAAGAACCGAAAAGAAGAAGCCTCCATCCTTTGAACACATCTCGCCATTGGAACGGAGATGCTGATCCAGAGCTGTCATTGTAACTCCCTCGACTAGATCCCGAAGGACCTCGAAACAATGGTAAGGTATAACGCTTTCGTGAATGTGTTGAAGTTGGCTGCGAGTCTGTACGTTCCACCAAGTTGAGCCTAGAGTCCGAGGACATTGTCGAGTAGTTTGATTCCATGCGAGCCAGCGCAGGTCCAGGAAATTGAGGTTCTGAGACAGACGTTGTAGAAGTGTAATGATTGATATAGCCGAACTCATTAATCGGCACAGAATACGGTGGCGTCGTCATTAGATGTTTGTGAAAAGTAGAAATTCCAAGAGAAGTGGTTGGGAGGAGGAGAAAAGTGGAAGATGGAAAATAGAAAAGGAATGACAGGACGGTCAGAGTACGCGAAAGAAGGAAGCGCTTGAACCCCGATGAACTCCATGCCGAGATTGAAATGTTCTCCATTCGGTAAACGTGTTACCTCATATGGGCATTGGTCATCGTTGAACACCACGCTTTTACCTCTTTACAGATCAAACCGCGATTATACTTCAGATGTACACCTGGAATACAGCAACAATCGTAAGTTCAAGCCCAAAGTGAGGATTATTTCTGAGGTACAACAAGGCGGAGTAAAATACCGGCTGTCCAGCGCTCCAAGCGAGCTCCAAACAAAAAATGATAACGAAACCTCTGAATCTGCATTGAATCGAACATGTTCTATGTTTAATCAGGTTTAGTCACTTCTATTGAGCTCTTGTTCTCCGCAGCTCTTTTTGGATGCCTTCAGAATCTCCGTGCTTCTATGTATGTACATAGTCCGTCTGCAACAGTCGAAGGAATTTGAAGAACGTGAGGATTTAAAGGATCGCCGCGGTTCAATTTTTCTCGGCTCCGACGTCAGTCAAATTTGAGAGTGTATATGCCTCTACAGATTGGGACGGAGGAATGACATGTAACGCTATCGCTGAGCTATCTAGTGTCATGGGTGAGGGTTTTGAAGACTGAGAGGAACTTCGCGAAACGATTAAGTAAGTACCGAGGCTTGCCTCGGCCAGGCTCGGTGCTTAAGTAAGCTTCCGGAGCCCCCCGAAACGACATTGTCAACCGCAGGATTTCTTGTCTTTACCGTCAAGAATGTTTTCCCGAGCCATATCTGCAGCTCGTCCTGCAGCGACCCGCGCCTTGCGCTCAAATTCCAAACCTTTGAACCTACGTGCATTCTCAGTAACGCCCCGTGCATCCTCTGGTGGCCACGGCCCAGCTCCTCCTGGTCTCTTCGGTCCTGGTGCCAAGCCTGGTGAAGTTCCTGGTATTGCTGAGCAGTCTACTGGTCTCGAGCGCTTGCAATATCTCGGTGATGCCGAGGGCATCGAGGTCTTCGACACCGCTCCTTTGGATTCTAGCCGGATTGGCACTAAAAAGGACCCCATCCTCGTCCCCTCTCCCGTAGGTTTCCAAAGCTTTTCCGCCTCTCTCTAGATTTAACATATCTATGTTGATTTAGGCTCCTGAGCGCCTTGTTGGCTGCACCGGCTCTCCTGCCGACTCCCATGATGTCCTCTGGTTCCCTCTCATGAAGGGCAGGCAGCACCGTTGCCTCGAGTGTGGTTCTGGTTCGTAATACTCTTCTTTGAAATTGAATCAGTTTTGATTCTTTCCTTTCCTCTAGTCTATCAGATGGACTTCTATGGAGAAGAGCACGACGATCACCATCATTAACCTCGTAGATGCAGAAAACTCGCAATACAACAGTCATTTCCTTAAAGTCTCGAGCATTGTCACACTGAACTTGCATTATAAAACGTCTCCATGTCGTCGAATTTGTGCTTGACGTGGAACCTCTACGTCGGATAGTCAACTTTCTCAACATTGTCCAGATTTTATACCCCAAAAGTGGGTTTGAGGCACGCCAGCTATATCCGGAACTGAAGTTCGCCCAGCGCAGGTCGTAACGCCGACACTTTCAAATCTTTAGAACGGTATGATGGTCAATGGAGTACGGAATGCTTGATAAGTGATACGCTCACCATTACAGTCGTGACAGTGAAAGGTCCTGTGAGCCTACATTGTCATTGAATACGCTTTTGATAATATTATCTCAAAAATTTTTCATGAGTTCGTTTCTATCGGGATGTTGGTACTAAGTTTGTCTCAGTAGCATTCTAAGTCCACGGATGCTCAAGAACGTTTCCAGTCAATCATGACTTGAGAGTTGCTTTCATTCCGTGTAATAGTATTTTTCCAGAGTTTGTTTCAAACCGTTCCATGGAGTTTGAGTGCACACTGCAGGTTTTTCCCGATGGCAGTTTTGGAAATCAATATCCTGGCGCAACTTGCCAGCTGCGTTTGTGCACATTGGCTTATGACGTGTTGTCAAAATCTTAGCATTGGGCTGCCATGATTGTGGTCGGTCAATATGTGATCATTCTTGAAGATACAATCATCTTGACAGGAAGTGCCTCATGTTACCGGTATGCTTTTTTTTTTTTGAACTCTTCATTAACCGCAAGTAAGTAAGGCTATAGTACTAAGGCGCGGGAAGGTGCGACGGACATTTGTTTGGTCATCGTCCACCTCCATTCCTCGTGTCCTGGTCATGGTATGGGTCTATGTGGGATGGTATAGCTACAGGTCATATGGATGTGTAGTGTGTATGTAATTGGGGAGGATGTTGTGTGCTCGACCATATGTGTATAGGTCTTGAGATATAAGGATAAATAATTAGTATGCTCCACCCATGGCTGGGTTATGCATGTCACAATGATTAGGGCTCGGTCCCTTTGTTGGTGGAATCAACTGTCTCTTCACGCCAGTCGGCCTCCAGGGTTCCATTTTCTTCTTCCATTTCATGAAATGTAATTTCCTCCCAGATCCCCAGTGGCGTATAGCTGGGTTCAGTGGGTGTTGTTCGAGGTCTACCTGTCCTGGTGAATGCTCCGCTCTCGTCAAGGAATTCAGTTAGGGCTTCAATGCCCTCACTCGTTCCCAGTATGTCCTTCAGGCAGATGTCTTCAGAAGCCTTTTGCAAGATCTGTCGATGATCTTCATATCTGGGGCATGCCCTCAATATGTGTTCACGAGTCTGCAATTCTTCACCACATGGGCAGTTAACGTTCTCATTAGGTACAAACTGTGAGTAGTACTCGCCTATGTATGCATGTCCTGTCCGACATTGCATCAGACGTCCAAATAGTTCTCTTGGTGTGTCTTTGAGTCGTGCTGTGGGCCATGTTACCGGTATGCAATGCATCTTTGAGTGACATTTTATGTCTACTTTCTCTGTGTTCAGAATTTTTTCTAATATCTGCATAGGCTCAACGGGCTGCACAAAGGCAACTCTTACCAACTAGTTTTGAGTAGCGTATATTGACGTATACAAAAGGAAGAAATCAGCCAGTTAGTGAACCACACCGTACCAATTATGGGCAGCGGCCAGGGTGTATCTCTGCCAATATATCAGACCACTTGTGAGCGGCAGTCAATGTGCGTGTGTCTGTCCTCCCCAACGCTGAGCACTAAACCTCTGATTTACGATGACGCCCAGACCGCCGCGTTGTACAAACTTTTTGAACCACAGTAGTAAGTAGTATCGTGCACAATTAGGTTTTGTGCGAGTAGGTGTATGCCACTGTAGTCTCTACACTGATCTTGATGATTTGTAGAGTGTATGACATAGCACGGGCCCCGCTGTTCTCAATGGGTTCGTGGGTCCGTGTCGCTTTACTTTACTTTACTTTTCTGGTGACTCGAGAGAGTTCTCGAGTTCCTCCTATTCCCGTTCCTGTATCCACATAACAAAATATAGGATTATCCGAACACCGTTGGGTATCCAGGAGTACATAACGTGATTCAAATTTTAATTATCAGATTCCTTCAGATTCGATGAAGTATGTACATAATATATGTAAGTACAACCTTCGGAACGCGTTTTCTATCAACCACATGCTGTCAGGCTTTGATAAGAGTTGATATGTCACTCTCTGGTTTCTCTTCTAAATGTTTTCAGAGGTCCAGGTATTTCAAGCTTCAGGATGCACATCTGAGGGTCGGAAATTTAATAGGTATCAGGCGTCTTCAATCAAAGGTGTAAGTAAAAGCAGGTAAAAAAGCTTGAGGAATATCCACCTGTCCTGCTCTGTTGCTATGTAACGAAAATTAAAAGGACCGTTTTAACCAGGCACATTCCTCACGGTTTCCAGAGTGGTCTTTGCCAGGTCTTTGCATTCAGGGATTGGTTCTCATGGGAAAGAAATATAGAACGCGCGCATCAGAGCAACCGGAGCATTTTCGGTTATTTTTTTCATATAAAAAGGAGTGCTTCGTTGCCATTTTTCCTCACCCTACACGTCTTTTCCTGTTTCGCTCTTTGTCTGTGTGTCGTTGACGGCCTGCTCTTCTCCATCTTTCTGACCAGGTGTCCCTTCCATCGGCCTCTTCTAAGCCTCTTTTCTTTCTGTCAACGCAAGCAAGCGACCACTTTCATTTCACAATTTCTTTTGCGAAGCTCGACGCTCGAAATGTTCACTGCAACTAAAATTGGTGCTCTTACTTTATCCATCCTCGCTGCGTCTGAGGATGTCCTGGCTCGTCCTCTTCTTGCATTCAGACAGAGCACGAATTCTTCAGTAAGTTCGGAGCATACCTATTTATCCCTTAAATCTGAACTGCGATCGTCTAGATTGGAGACTTTGGTAGCTGTACTGTCCCGCAGATCCAGTTCGCTACAGGATTCGACAACAGAAAGGAAACTTCCTTTGAGCCTGTAGATCTGACTTCTTATCCTCATGGCTCAGCTCAGGGTATCGACATCATTACCCAATTCATGTGCGACCAACTGGTGAATTCCTGTGGTGCTGACGCTACAGCAAAGGCCACTTGTGCTTCCGCAGCAGCAGCTGCCGACACAGCGACCGCCAAAACGGGAGCGCAGGCTGATAAATTCAACGCCGTCTTTGGTATCCAAACGAACTTTGCTGCTGTACCTGTTGTCAGTGACCAGGGTGTTACTTTGGGTGTCGGTGAGTATTTATTTACTTATCTTCTATCCATTCCTACGGGGTCAAATTTCGACGCTCATTTTCTCTGTGCATTGGCTCCACTCATCTCCTCTACACTCGCGAGACTAATGAGTACCCTCAGATGGTTCAGGTACCTCTGCTGCAGCTTCTGCTACTTCCGCCGTAGCTGTCGCCTCTGCTGCATCTGCTACCACGACATCTATTGCTGCGACTGTTGCCGATACCGCTACTTCGAGTGACCCTTGCCCTGTAAAGTTTCAAAATTCTAATTTAACTTCGGTTAACTAATCATGTCTCAGGCTACCGTTACGGTGACAGTGACTGCTGCAGATGCGGCTAGTACGAGCGCAGCTGCCACCGACGCAGCTACCGATGCAACCAGCGCTGCTGATGTGGCTACTACAAGTGTAGCTGTTGCAAGTGCTACTGCAGCGGCAAGTTCGAGTGCTGCAGTGGCAACAAGCACTGCGTCTGCAGCCGACATTGGCAACTTCGGTAGAGCGCATCAACGTTCTTCAATTTTTTTTAGTACCTGATCTTTTCTGTTAGGATCTTGCACTGTGCCTCAGATCCAGTTCGGTGTGGGTTTCGACAATCGTCGTGAGACCGCCTTTGAGCCTGTTGATCAAAGTATGTTACCATTCTTTGCCTTCTCTGCAGTGTTTTGTTGTAACGCTCGCCGAAACTACAGCTTCATACAACCATGGTTCTGCGGACAACATCGCAGTGATTACTGATTTCATGTGTAACACCCTCACGGTATGTCCAGTTGTAGTCATGCATATACAAATTTTTGTGCTAACGAATACGTGACCCTAGAATACCTGTGGTGCTGATGCTACAGCCAAGGCTACTTGTGCAACTGCTCAGGCTGCTGCCGCCGCCGGCCTAGCTCAAACTGGTGATCAAGCTGATAAATTTAATGCTGTCTTCGGTATCATCACAACATTCGCTCAAGTTCCCGGTAGGTGTTTGTCTTACCGTTTGTTGATTTCTTAATAACTTGGTTATATATAGTTGTGAGCAACACTGGAACAACTCTTGGTGGTACGTTTAGCCTTCATTCTTTATCTTTTGCCCCTTGTGCTCATTTTCGGTTTTAGTTGACGGCACGAACACCGCTGCAGCTGCAACTGCCACTGCTTAAAAGTCTGAAGAAGAATTGTCCTGATGTTAGATATTGTATACCCGTTCCTCAGCATATTCCATACCAATTTTTGTATCGTCTTGCCCATTTCCCCGTCAATTGAATGCACGTTCGTAGGTTGTCACTCTTTGTTTGCTGATTGGATCTGCTTATCCTGGAGGACCTTCTTGGTTTTCTGGATAAGCCGCTTTCGATTCTCATCGGTCCTAAGTATAATGATTCTTTAAGATTCACCGGCTACTTACATACCGGCCAATGGCAACTATCATCCCAAAAAAACTGACCTGATTCTCTCAGAATCTCACGCATGAAATCTTCGTTCCTTTCTGGTGTCAGTCTGTCACGGTCTCAGTTGTCGTTCGCACAATTGTGCATACGAAGCATGAGGGAGCATGGCTTCTGTTAGTATCACATCAATAGTGTCGATGTCTAGGCAACAATTCAGCGACGATTCGACGGTGTTCACACAAAATTTGAATCAACGACAGGACAGGAAACCGATATAACTGCAGCAATATCCTGATTCAAGAGATTGTGTCGCAGAGAACTCATCTTTCTGGGGCAATCAGCGCCGTTTCATCCTTCCCTGAATATTTGGAGCTCGATGCCCCGATTTAATCATTCCAAGCTGGGCTTTCTTCTTTTTGGGATCCTATCCTGTCTCTGTTATCCCTCTATTGGCAGGCTTGAGAGAAAACATTCTATGATTACTCCCATCTCCTTGCGGCGCCACTCAAATAATTATCAGCCTTCGTCTAGATGCTTGTTGGAGGACGGTCGCTCGTGCATCGGATTGGAAAATATTGATGCTGCATTGGAGGGACCTTCAGAACAGTATGGCGATGAATGTTGGCCTAACTGTCCGGTATGTTAATGTATACATCCACATGGTACTAAACTTACACCTCATGTTCTCCGTAGATGATTTACACTGTGACGATCTCGCAGGGCTTGAGTCCTCTCCCAACGAATGCATTTACTGTCACAATTGGGGGAAACATTGCAACAACACATACTTTGACTTCAACTCATACTGCTTCCTTGTCGCTAACGAGCGATGTCCAATCGGTGAATCTTTAAGCTCTTGAAGCATTGAACCTATTGTTATGATTATTCTATTGAAGAGCATACTCTCTGATCCAACGTCGACGACCGATACAAGGTTTACTAGCGCTACTTTTGTCTCGACCCCGGCACCTATATCTTCTGGGGGTATTGTAACTCAGGTTAATAAGCTGTCCAGTGTACGATCTCATTTTTCCTCACTTGTCACTGTACTAGGTTCTAATCCGCTAACTTCATTCTTTCCAGACAAGTCCTATTTCAGCAACCGCCGCACCTGCAAGCACCAGTAGTTCAACTTCTGCTAACCTTCAAACATTCGACGGCGCTTTAGGCAACATACCTGCACCACCGGTCTTTGATACAGGCACTGGGGAGTTTTTAGTGGAAGGGAACTCGTCCTTCGATGATAAGCAGAATGCATTGACTCGATCTTGGTGAGTGAATTCGCTTTGCCGTTGATAGTTTGTTCTTGACTTAAGCATCCGTGGTGTCCTCTTCAGCGACGTACAGCACAACGATTGTGGAAACGCTGCGAATGCAGACCATGACATTTCATTCACTGTCAACGATTGTGATGCTCAAGAAGCCCAGTGTAAGGCTATCGCTGGGTCGTGAGCTAAGCCCCCCGTTAGACATCGGTAGCTCATGATCTCGAGATAGAGGCGATTGTTATACTCGTTCCTGCTGCTTAGAAACTGTAAATATATTCCGTGACCTACGTAAAACATCTGTACGAGTGCGCCACGTTTGAAAGTTCTCACATTGACAAGTTCCTTTGCATGTGAAATCGAACTCTTTTCGTTCTCGTTTATAGACACAGAACTGAATATTCTCCGCCCTTTTTGGCGTCCCTTTGTACAACTATGCCCATTCGTCCAGAAGAAAAACCATATCTTCTTGACGTTTCTTCACATACCTTTCGACAACTGAAACTCATCGTCCCTGGAGGATTAATAACTTATTATTTCGGGACACTGCAGGAGTTTTGGACGATCATTCAGAGTGGTGCTGGGTTAGCACGGCGAGTTGCTATAACATGATCATCGTGCTTCTCATAACACTTTGGCCCTATCTTTCCCACTTGTATCCATAGGTCCACAGCTCTCGCTGCTCTACTATCTGGCTGCACGACGATTGGACTCTTTATTTTCGTCCTATTAACTCCCTGGATACGGGGGGTGGAGCCTGATGTACGTTGGAATACATTTCTAGGACGGTCGACTTGATGTACGGCTTGGTATGCAGTTTCGTGTATGGCGAAAATCTGGAATTCTGTCTTCCGTTATTCCAGTGCGTATTCTCTAGGTTTACTTTGGATTTCATTTCATTTACTGGAATGAGCTTCTAGCTTTTGACGACATCTATCGTTCTTGGTTGGCTGCTTCTTGTAATGTCATTGGCACATTTTAGCGACTCAGGCATATTTAGAGGTGTAGTAGGAGGTATGTTGTCTTGTCTATCCACTCATATCGGATTTACACTCTATCTTATAGCATCATCTGTATACGCTCTTTCATTCGGATTATTGGGGCTCTTACCTGCGCCGAAAGTCAAAAGAACCTGAACATTCTGAAATTGTCGATTGAAAATCTACATGCATCGCTGTATCATAAATCCATTTTTACAAATGTTATCAGATGGCATACTTTGTATCTAGTATACATGTCTTTATCATTCTACACGCTACTCACCTATGTATGTCACTCCTTGGAATAATTGTGTCAACCTGTGCCTCAAAAATCCTGAGCGCCTATGACCAAGCAGCGCTGTGAGGCGCACTCCGACTCCGATTCAAGCTGTTTTCCTTGCACCTCGTCTTCGTCTATCGCACATCATGTATAATGGATACAATAGCCCGATTACCAACAATCCCTTTATCAGCGATTCTACTAGCGCGCAGTCTCGATATCCAGACCTTTCTGGTTCCAGCCCTTCTCCGGATCCCAGTGGCAGCCAATTTACTTCGTGGTTGCAGCCTGGCGGGTCCCAACAGCAATATCAGCAACAACAGTATCATCAACAGACACCTCCGCAATACAGCGGAACAGGATATCAACCAACTGGTGCAATCGATGGCAACGGTTTTATAGCCCCCCAATTTCAGCCGAGCAGTGGATTTGGACAGCAAATGCTAGGACAGATGACTGGAAGCAGCTACAGCTATCTCCAAGGCCAAAATTCCTCTGCACTTGGTCAGATGAGCTATAATCCGGTTCAGCAGCAACTGCAGAGTCCCGGATATAATAGCATAGCACAATTTGATCCCTACTCATCAGTCGGCGGGCAGGGCGGTAATCCGTCGTCTGCACAACATCAACCGCCGTCCTTTCAAAGTCCTACCTCTCCAATATCTCCTACTACTCCCATCACCACCTCCAGATCAGCGAGCGGAGCCATTCATCCGCGAGAGTACATCAAAACTCACAAAACGGAGGTAGAGAGTTGGGATCCGTACGCATGGAAGCAGCTGTTAAACGCTTTTGATGATTTGAAAGAGGCGTGGGCATCCAGGAAGAACGAGATAGATGGGAGAGCACAGCAATTGTTAATGCAGATGCAATATAGCGGGGGTTATCATCCGCAAATGCAGCAGGAAGCTGAGCGGCTTCGAGCGGTATGTGGTTCAAGTCCTCGATGCATTTCAATCTCATCCGTCACCTCACAGCTTTCGAAGGAAGCCGATATAAATCACGGTGTGCCGTTCGGCTATCTTGCCTCCTGGGCCAATTCTGATCATAACAACCATGTTTACAGACTCTGTGGCCGCTTCATCTTTCCAAATGCATGAAGTATTCAAAGGGTATCGTCAGTCTGGAGATGCAGCCAGTAAAAGACGAGTTCGCGAGGCTTCTAACGCTGCCTTGCAAAGTATACCCGACTGGCCAGCGCCGGCTTTTTTATGAGGACTTTAGGGGGACATTAAGGAGTAAATAGATGTTGTACGATTATATGGACCAAGAACTGTGTTATATCTAACTCTAATTGTAAAGCAATGAACGCGATAAAGATATGTGTAAGGAACGATGTAGAAAGGGATCTCGTCGATGAAAAATTCCAATTTTCATTCATATTTCAGGTCCCGGATGAGTTTGAGCAGGGATCAGGGTACATCCTTTGCGTCGGATCTGCAGGTATCCAACCACCTTCTAAGCCCTTTTGATAACTCCACTCGTCCGCACTTTCCGTCTAATCGATATGTGAGTCTGGTGGGAGGGAAGACAAGGCGCATACTAAGAACTAACCTTCCACGCCCAATATACCTGTTAATAAAAGTAGTTTAGTTACATCGCTCAAGAACGACGCGATGACAAAACTTACCCAGCCTTGAGCACTTTCTCCAATGTCAACTTGGGCCTCCCAGTATCTTTCGTTAGATTATCAGTAAACAGATTAGAAAACTTGTAAGAGAATAGTTTTCACTGTCGCAAAAATGTCTTATACTCGCTGGAAAACGAGGTATAATTTCCTGTCCAGCCATTGCACGAACCGTTAGAAGCACCGCCGTTGTAAGAGTTATCCCAGCGAGCTCCAACTCCCCTACCGTTGAGCCAAAGAGCACAATCAGTGGGGGCGGTCGACCACTCGCCCTCGATGGTCCAGATATTGGCGGCGGCGAAAGATGATATGGTAGACCTGATTGTGCATGTAAACTAATAGCGCTGGTGGGTCAATTGAAATCGAGGAGAGCACAAGGTACCTACAGCGAGATGATCACTAAACGATCGTTGCAGTTCTGGTATACTGAATATTTGGTATTCATGCTAGAATAAAGTTGTTTCATGAGTTTTGAAAGGAAAATCCGGAGTATTCACGTTGTCCATCAAGGCATTCACACCACTAGGGTAAGTCAGGAATCCGTCCCAGGCCTAACATGACAGTGCGGATCAATAATTCCAAAAAGAGGCATTGAGCGCTGTGAATACCTACATCCACCCCAAGAAACGCATCCCCGATCATGATATTCAAGGTATCTCCAACTGCATTTCTGACCGCGGTATACCCGTTGGAGAAGAACGAGCGCGTCACACTGGCCCATTCACTTGACAAAAACCCTGCAGATTCGTTCACCAGTTCCAGTATATCTATCATTCCGCCGATTTGTTGAGCAATATAGACCAACGTGTCGATCGATCTCGTCACGTTCTGTGTGTTCAAAGCCCATTGAGGATCAGAAGTTCGTTGTCCTGAGTTGTCATAACCATTTTGGCTGCCTGGAGCTCCGTGTAGATCTAGTATGACGTGTACGTTGTGTGCCGCTGCCCAATTGAGTGCTCGGAGGAGGTATGGCCATGCACCAGGGATGTAAGGTGAGATCGAAGTACTCGTATTGGTTGCTGATGAAGGTAGAGGTACAGACCAATATCCGAGCGGTATTCTGTGTCCGAGTTTAGGAGAGAGTCACAAAAGCAAGAATCACTGGCGCACCGAACATGGTTCAAGCCAGCTTCATTTATCGCGATAAAATCGTCTTCGGTGATCCACTATGATAGAGATATAAGCTAATCGAATGACGAAACATGGGAGCAGTGTGCAACACACCGTGTTCCAGTGGTTTTGTAACATTGCCAACGTTTCGTTATAATTCTTCGTCTTCATTCCAAGCGTATATTCATCGACTACTGTCTCGTCATTGGTTGCCTCGAAGATGCTCGGGGTTATCCAGGGCTATCAAATATTAGATTTTCAATACCTGCTTGAATGAGCCCACGTACTTCGAGAACAAACCAGCCTCCGCTAATATTTGATCTCAGTCAGCAGAAGTCGCCGAACTATGTAACGAAACTCACAGATTGACACCGCGAACGGGTCCTTCACTGTAGTTGAATGGCGTGCGACTAGGTGTAGGGCTCGTAGAATTGGTACTTGAAGATGGAGTAGAAGAGTTTGGTGACGCTGGTACAACACTTGTTGGAATGGATGGTGCAGTCGCTATAGCGTTATTAAGCTGAAGTCGGCATTGCTGCTTTGCATGAGCCTTTTTGGGAAGGTCAATTATTTGACAGAGTAGGAGTAGCCAAAGCTTGAGATGCAGCATCTAATGATGATAGGGTTGATGGTAGAGCACAAAACCTGAGCTAATTCAGTCTTTGATGCTCCGAGACGTGACGGATACATAGCAGATGGTTTACACGAGGTGAAAGCTCGAATAAGAAGAAAGGCACCACGGTGGCGATTAAGTAGTCGAAGTTGCCTATGTAGTTGCGCCACCTCTCGTTATTCAAATTTCACAGTAGTAACATATCATGATTAACGTCGCATAGATATACATACAGTGATACACCAAATATCCATATCATATATTTACCTCAACTCAGATTCAAGAATCCATACGATGGCTCTTTATTCCGCTCTTGTGGTGACGGGCACGATGTCGTGCACGCTGCGCTCCATGTTTCAGCTTATCCTTCAGTTGCCTTCGTCTGGAAGTAATGAGGTCCTTGAAGAAGTTCGCAGTCTGTTTCGCATCAGTGGTACGCCCCAATATATGGTTTCCTGCATATGACATTAACTGCATCCCTTTGTCCTTTAGCTCTCTGGCCCTATCTTTTGCCCTAGCATTCCTGTAATCCAATTGTTCCCAAACAGACTGAGCCGCACTTTTAGATTGTTCAACGACGATCGAGGTCGAACGATGTAAGGCAAGCATCAGATCGTCGATAGCTACCATGAGATCCTTCAGATCGTGTTCTACCACCTCAATCAGAGCCTTCATGGAGGTAACAACGATTTCGGAAAGGGAATCGACGAGCCGAGTCGCGACAGCGGATGGGGGTCTCTGCGGAGCTGAAGTGGATGTGACAGGGTCCAAGAATGATGATATATCGGATGCTTGAGCAGATATGCTTGTTGAAGGCCGAATCATCACTTCTTTCGAAGATTTCATCAGACTGGCTTCCAGAGGTGTGACTGGGCCAGCATGTTGCTCCTCGGCCCTGGAAGACAGAGGAAACGCAGTAGTGGATGGACCCGAGGCTCTAGAAGTTGAAATTACGCTCCTGCTGTATATAGCAGGAACATAATTGAGAGAAGCGGGTATCACAGATAGACTGAATGTTGTTCGCACTGCCAATGCAGAAGACTGATTACTGTCACCTTTTCCGGAAATGGTGTGTGAAGGAGGAAGGATGGAAAGTCCCTTCATAGGTTGTACAAAGATCGCTGTATTGACTGAAAACCCAGCAATAACACACAGAAGTGCGAACCTATGTGGAGGTGAGAATGAGGCAAAGACATTCTACATCATGTAACAAACCCACAGGGTAACAGCGTGAACGGTATTGAACTGTTCAAATAGTCCGACCCACGATGCAGGTTTCTCCTGCCTGATGATTCGTTGTATAGCTTGATGAGTATTGTATGGATCAAGTTTATCAACATCTTCGGCAGCAAACATTGATGAACTGCTACTGCCTTCCAAACGGACGACTCTGTGAGGCGGAATGTGGTAGGAAGCCCAGGCTACTTGAGCTTCCTGAAATTCTTTCTCGAAAGAATCGTCGTTGTTACCAACGACGACAGGAAGGTATGCGGTATGTTCAGCGATCGTAGCATCCGCAAGGGGGTGAAAGACGATACCCAACGACGGCCGGTCCGGATTGTAATCCGAACGCGGCTGTAAAGAGAGTGAAGTCATTGTGCGTGAATTGAAGAGACAATACTTACCAGATCCATACAGTCAAAGATGGCTGGCCTCAACTGTTCTGTTTCTGATCCGTCGATTCCAGCGATTTCTCCTCCGACGATAGCTTTGCGGAGTAACTCGTCCACAAAACTCCACTTGAAAGATGTCCCATATAACACCACCTGCAGATTGGAAGACCTAACGGTAGAATGTATCTGGATGCTTTGGAGAGCGTTCTGACCAGGAGCCTCGGGTGTAGGAGGTAAGCCCGGATCCCGTATCAGAGTTATCTCCGGCATGTCAACCTGAGACGATCCTAACTCATCATTTTCACCACCTTCAGTCAGAGTGGCACTTGCAGCTTCAGATGAAGAGACTCTGTCATAAGAGCGGTTCATTTCATCATGAGAGCTGCTAAGGGGGTCTGGGAAAGATAGGCGAAGGTCGCGTAAGGAATTATGAACAGTGGATGGGTGCGAGCTAATGCGGGAGGTACCCAGAGTACTGGTTAGACTCTGATTCAAACCATCTCGCACTCGCCGCTCTTCTAAGTGATCTTCGTCGAGGTCAATGAAAGGACTGGTAGATTGTTCATTGTCTGGATTGGTTGGGTTAAACTCATTAATCTTCGCTTCAACTTCGTCCGTAATTTCTTCGAGAAATCCTTCCCAGGCTTCTACATCTCCACTGCGAGAGCTGCCTGTGCTGATTGAGGATCGTCTAGAGTGCGAGCTCGAAGCGGCACCGTTGTTGGAACTGACTGATTCGGTGTCAGACTCGCGATTGCTAGCGATTTCTAGCCAGTCAGAGTCGGAGAAATTGTCATTCTCAGACAGAGGGTAAGAGATGAAGTGTAAAGATTCTGGAGAGGTTGACTGGTTCATGGTAGTTCTAAGCAGACAAAGACAAAGAAAAGGGACGCTTCGGATTTGTAGTCATTTTACCGGCGCCCCGGACCGCAGCCGACAGGTGCTTATCTCGCAGTCTTTCAGTACTAGTTTCACCACCATGACTGCTTTACTCTTGAGTCTACCAGGCGACGTCTTGATTGCAATCCTAGTCAACCTTGATGTGAAAGATCTCTTATGCACCTTACAGGCAAGTCTAGAAAACGTTCTAGCGAAATTATATGACTATATCATATCATTGAACACGCAGACATGTCGTGCATTATACGTGTTCTGCGCCAGCACGGATTACATTTGGCACAACATCAAGATAGATTATCCCCTGAATCTTCCTCATCAAGTAATAACTAATATACCTTCGGCGGAGTTGCGCAAACATTGCGTTGAGGGACTGCGAATTGACTATAATTGGCGCAAGAATCCGCCCAATCTCAAAACTCTGAGTCGCATTGACAATGGCGGAATCATAGAACAAATGCAGTATCTTCCTCCTAAATGGCTTGTCAGCATGTCTCGCGTGTCAACAAGCCTGCGCCCAACCTGTGTTCTATCAATCTGGGACTGTGATACTTCAGGCGACGCGAAGAGGATTAAACGTTTCTCACTTGAACCGCATGGTTTGTCGAAATTCTCAGCATCTCTCTCTCAGGATGAAAAGCACGTTTTGGTCGTGATTTTCAATGGCCACGCTGAGTGAGCAATATCCCTAATTTGTATCACAGTATTCGAAACAATTACTCACGGGGATGGCTTGCAGGATCCTCACAGTTTACCATATACCCCTTCAAGATAGCGATTATCTTGCTGATCCTGATAAATACATCTCTTCGAGAGTCATAAAGAGTGATATGGCAGGATCAGTTTTTGAAGCTGACATCTGCGGCGAGACCGTTTCTTGCTTAATTGCCCAGTTTAGAATGGGACGACCCTCGTACCAAGTCTTATTTCTCAATACAAGAAGTGGGAATCATGTGAGGGTCGATGTCAATGTTCTTCCAGTTAGTGGTTTATATCATGCCAAATGCTTATCTTGATGCCATGGATCTCTAGCCTTTTACGAAACTGCAAGTTCGCCTTTTCCCGGACTCTTTTCTACTGTTATCCGGTGTCCAAAGCCCTCAGACTCTTATCCTTCGGTTATATGATGCGAGTAGTTTCTTGCAAAAACTGAAAACTCCTGCAAACATACACTTTGATTCGGGGTTGAGTCTCGGGACTCCGTGCGCTGAGTACAGCTTTTCCGCTCCCGGAACCATACATCAAGAGTATAAATTATCTACTGGTAATCTTAGTACTGCCGCGCTGATTTTTCCGCGCGGGACGAACAACCGTTTGGTCCGGTTTCCTGTTCGCTCAGACGACAACGGTGTAACCATGTCAGGGCCTCAAAGCGAGTTGCGATCTCAAACGTTTTACAAAACTGCAGCTCACGTTGATATGTCTCCCGAATTCATTGCGTTAGGACCTTGTGGACAGAGAGCTGTCTGGCTGGAAAGAGCCTGGAACGAAGAATCGGACCGCACAGGGTTCAATGTGATGAAGGGGGCCTTTTCTGATCAACTTGGTGCAGTTAGCAATGTAGGATCGCTAATCCCAACGTATGTGGCACTCCCATTCGAAGTGGAGACGTGTCAGTCCATAGCTTTCGATGAAGCGATGGGGCGAGTTTTCCTTGGATTATATACTGGGGAAATTTATGTCTTGAATTTGTGAGTGACTTCGTGTAGATATCGATTGATTTCGTTCACGTTAAGTCTGACTCTCATCCTCGCGTAGTTAAATAGCAAGCGCCACTAAAGTTCACGGTTTACGGAATCACCGACGCGCTGCGTAGTATAACTGAGATTAGGGTCGTTTGCTGAAATTTATACAGCACCTCTTTTACTGAAGATACTTGATTTGCCAGACAATTTTTCAATGAGGTCGTTCCTGGGTTCAAGCTCAAGTTCAAGGCTTACAGTTATATCTCATTCTCTTGGCCCTGATGTCAATTCGGGTCTTCTGAGCGCTGCAGCGTTGAGCGTTCATATAAACCAACAACTTTAGTGATGGTAGATTTGATCTTTGACTCGCGGGTTGAGATGGATGACCATAATAAACGCAGGCATCGCATGTCGTGCGTTATGATACGTGCTCTGCGCCAATACGGACAGAATAACATTGAAAGGCGATTATCGCACCTGCGTCAGCAGGCTGTCATTTGCTGCCATCGTCTCAAGAACTCACCGACTCGGAGCTTGACAAAAAGTCTGGTCTGTATTGAAAATGGAGGAATAATAATTGCAATGCAGTATGTATCTAATATACCTTTGAGTTCGAGAGGCGTGAATTCACTCCCAGGAACAAAGGCCTATGTATACAAACTCATAGCTTTGTCTTGAACGATTCATCCACTTTCACAACTCTGTGAAAAACAGAGTTAGATAATGGAATGTTTGCACGTCAGGGTACTCACAGTTTTCCTGTGTTTCCGCCAGTGAATAGCAACGGTAATGCTGAAGGCGCATTCTCTAGGCCCTCTACGATATGAAACTTGCGCTTGATTGTGCCGTCGCGCAAGCCTTGGGACATCTCGGCTATTGCTTCGGGATAACGTTTCGCGTAGTCAAATCTGCCCAAGTTTGAATCATAAGTGAAGAGATCTTTACTATGAATATTCCGTGCGTTGCATACACAATGAAGCCTTCAATTTTAGCTCGTTGAGAAATAAGGGTCAGATAATTTTGAAGTCCTTTCGGTTTCCCGACAGAATCTGAGTATGCCTCCTTAGAGAAAGAACGACGAATGAAGACAGCAACATACTGTAAGCAGATATAGCGCCTGTGTTCGATATAGAGATGAGGAGAGGCATGGTCACTGTGAACATTTCTGACTCGTACCGCAAAGAACAATCCTAGCGTTGCGATTTAATCTGCTTAAACACATATCCAAAATATCACCTTTAAATCGAAGGTGGGTAAGCGATCATTTGCGTCAGATTCGGAATACTCGCCTCCAACATTATCAAAATACACATCCAGATAACCTATATTTTTGAAATCTTTTCGGAACGACGGACTCTTGTAGTTGATCGCTTTCGTGACACCTATCTCTTTTTCGAGCCACTCGCATTTGTCTTGTGAGCCAGCGATGCCGTAAACTTTGGCACCAGCGCGCAAACCTAGCTGACAGACCATGGATCCAACAGCACCGGCGGCACCAGACACGACAAGAGTTTCGCCAGCTTTGACTTGCCCAATGTCTTTAAGGCCCTGGAAATTTTATTTGAGCAACGCCTTTATGATAGAATAAAGGAATCTAATACAAAGTAGGCAGTCAAACCTTGAAGAAGAAAAGTAAGCCCATAATGAGATGACGAAAAGCGTATCGAGCACGCACCGGCCATTCCAAGGTTATTCAGATAGTCAATATCGAGGATGCCTTCGGAAACACTAATTGGAGTTTATACAAAATCGGTTGCATGTAGTTTTAGAACATACTTGATAACTTCGGCATCCTTTTCGCGTACAACAGAGTACTCTGTCCATCCGAAAGTGCCTACCCAGGATAATCAGGAACGCTTCTGAAATGGAGCTCAAGGGTTTAGTACCGCTAACGAGCTGCCCAATCTTGAGCTTAACATCTCGACCCTTGTTAACAACCACACCGAGTCCAGCCGCGCGCATGGTCTAATGTACATAAGCTCAATATTGAATAAAGCGAAACGAAGACGTGTTCACCTCGCCAATTTGCACCGGGGGTAGATAACTTCGTTCGTCCTACACCACAGTCAGAGAAGTGCATATATACGGACCACAAAATCCGTACCCTCAGCCATCCGCGCATAGCAGGATCTAGGGAAAGCCAAGTGACTTGTACGAGCACTTGATCATCTCCGACTTTGAGTTCAGAGTACGAAGCCTTCTCAGAGCGAAATGTCTTTGAGTCTATGTCACCCGGAGGCCGCTCATTGAGGACGATGCGAGTATAGTGAGATGGCATGGACAAAGACTCAAGCTGGTCGAGCGCAGGTTAAGAATTTAGCATGCAGAACAATCGGTCATTGGAAGCTTCCGAAAGCGCTTCCAAAGTATTTCACATGAAAGACGTCTGAGACGCGCCGAGCGCCAATTCGAGCGCTACTTAGTACTCAGCGTTACAGTCACAGCTGTACAGTTTCTGTCACTCAGGACTAATCAATTTCAGGTTACTTTTTGTTACCGTTACTAAAAAACAGCAAGAATGAGGTGAAAACTTTTGGATTGGTGAAGATGAATCTGCTCACGACATCCATAGCTCAAAACTCTCAGTGTCAAGCGTGCGAGGTTCAATTAAGGAGCTTTTGGCTGCCTCCCAAGAGAAGAAGAGGAATTTTGTGGAGACCATCGAGCTTCAGATCGGTCTGAAGAACTACGACCCTCAAAGGGACAAGCGTTTCTCTGGAACTGTCAAGTGCGCGTATTTGCTGCTCACTAAGTGTACACGATAAACTAATGGTTTTGGACCTTACATCCAGGCTTCCCAATGTCCCCCGTCCCCGAATGTCGATTTGCATTCTTGCTGATGCAGCTGATATCGATCGTGCTAAGCAAATCGAGCTCGAATATATGTCTGTCGATGATCTGAAGAAGTACGTCGCCAGCTTTTCCGCAAAAACAGCAAAAAGTTGACTATCAATCAAGGCTGAACAAAAACAAGAAGCTGGTTAAGAAGCTGGCCAAGAAATACGACGCTTTCTTGTCCTCTGAAGCCTTGATCAAGCAGATTCCTCGTCTCCTTGGTCCAGGTCTTTCTAAAGGTTCGTTCAAGCTGTTAGATCCCATGGCGGCAACCATACTCATCTCCCCTAATCAAGCTGGAAAGTTCCCTACTCCCGTCTCCCATGCGGAGGATCTCACCAACAAGATCAATGAGGTTCGCTCAACCATCAAATTCCAGTTGAAGAAGGTTCTTTGCTTGGGTGTCGCTGTGGGTCACATCCAGATGACTGATGACCAGGTTCTCGGAAATGTCATGCTCGGTACGCACCAATCGGACGATTATCTCTATATACCAATCTGAACTTCACTGCAGCTATTAACTTCCTCGTCTCTCTTCTTAAGAAGAACTGGCAAAACGTGAAGTCACTTCACCTCAAGACGACCATGGGCAAACCTGTGCGTCTGTTTTAACTTACTTCAATGGATGATCCTGGGGAGTACGCCATCGGAATTTCGTATATGCACAATACGAAGCCTCGCACGCTTATACCAACATTTCTTTTGGGAGGAGTGATTGGGAGCTGGTACGGTTTTTCGAGTAGTTGCCTCATTCTATATTTCATGTTATACTGCTGTACATGCCTTTATGCATATGGATCACTTGTAAAGTCAATGAGTCTGGCTTCGCTGATTCTATTAAGTGTCAGGATCGGAATTTTCCTATGGTGGGAAGATTGGAATATCCTTAAAGTTTCCGCTCGAAGCTCGGTTCGCGACAGGTTCGCGAAGGTCGTTCTTTTGCGTTCAGCTTCGACCCAGCTTTCATGGAAGCCAAATTCGACAACAAAGCTAATATTCTCAACGCGCGTCTACTTGCAACACACGACAACTCTCCCATTTATGCCACAAAAACCAATTTCACATTTCGCGGACGAGACATCACCCTTCTACAAGATACGAATCCGGCTCTGAGTACTGGGAGCGTCACCGTCGGAGCAATACACTGGCACGACAAGATCATGGAGGTCAACGGACACAGGAAGAAAGTCGCGGATTTGAAGGAGAAGAGGAAGAATGGATTCTTGAACAAGTAAGTTGTTGAACAGAACCCGGGAAGGTTGTTTGAAATCCCAAGATGATACGAGGGTGTTCCGTAGGGCAAGGTACTGGAGGTGGTCAGCCGAGAGAAGAGAGTATGAGATCAAGTACACGAATGATGAGTGGACGGTAAGTTTCTTGATAATCAACACCTTGAATGGATTAATGGTAAATATGTAGGCTACAATGCTGAAGAGCGACGGTACATCGAAGATCGTGGGTCGCTTTGCCGTTCCATATCGACCGCACCTGTTCACAAAAGCCGACCCACCACTCTTATCGCTAACCAGAACAGCGTTGGCAGAGGATGAGATATTTCTTCTGCTAGTATTCATTTACTCGGAGGCCAAACGCCAAAGTGATACCGTATGCCTTTAATACTTTTGTCTTTCTATCAACGCTGACCTTTCATGCAGAATAGTTCTGTGGGGAATGGCTCGGAAGGGTGGTGATTACGACATCATGCATCAATCCCTATGTACAATCATAATGCTTCGGTCTTGAATTCGAATTTCCATTGTGCCCGGACAATGCTTGATAAATAATCCTTCCCGAACCTGAATGAACAATTACAAACCAAACACTTCACTCTACTAGGCTCCACTGTTGTGGACTGCACCTCGCTTGGGAAAGGATAGATTTCAGTTAAATCGATACCAGAACTAGTATGGCAGGAACTAGGGAATGATGCAGGATTTATGTATGCAAAAAGTGTAGGGTGGTCCTGGGTGGTCTAAGTATCATCTGAGTGTCTTTGTCAAGGTGTAGATTTTACTTCAAGTATCAAGTGAAAAAACAATGCACATAAGTTGCACTACAGGATATACACACTTCAAAAGCCTTGTAGAAATTTGTTTGATTAATCTGAGTATTGAGGAAAGAATGCGGCGCACATAAGGTGCGCCGCAAGGCAACCACAGAGCTCAGGATGTTTGTAAACATTTGGCAAAAGCATGAGGCCAAGCACAACCAAAACGTGCCTGCACAAAACAACTTAACTACCGGAGTGCAATAGACCTTGCAAGCAAGGTGATGTACATATTGTACTTCATAGCTTTGTAGTACTGCGCGTTCATGATCAAGAATCACAATATTGCTGCGTGAGAGTGCGTGAGGTGCTGGCCGCTGCATTACGGTTGAAGAACATTCGACGTGCCCAGATCAAGGCTATGCAGCTGCGGGACTTAACCGCCGACGGCGATACGGTATTATTTACATGAATGATTACAAGCTTAAGGAAATCATTTGTTCTCCCTTCCTTCAAGTTAATCTGGACCATGATCGTTGACAAGTCTAAAGAACCAGAGGATGCCCCACCTGCATATGCAGCCATTAACAGTGGCTCCAGTGGGAGTACCTCCTTTAACGACAACAAATTACCTCATTCACCATTGCCTGTTTCCGAGCCTATCTCTCCTACACCATCATCCTTTTCTTCCAAGGGAAAAGGGAAAGTTCCTGCAGTCAGCAGCTGGTGGAGTTTTGGCACATCACAAACAGCGCGAGAGATACGAACAACTGTTCTAGGTATCGTACGTGATCTGGTAAAGGTGAAAAGCGGAAATGCTGTTGCCGCACAAAGTATCCTTGAAAGCTGCGCTGAAGCCTGCTCAGGGTATTCATTGTCCCTTTCATCGTTGCTACAGGAGAAGTCAATTGAATCCCATACCCCACTGTACTGGGCGATTATCAATAGACCGCCTGACAAGAGCGACGACGCAATAAATGGCACTTCTGACTTGCTTACAACTTTGCTGTCTTACACAGCTCCTCTTTCGCCTGATATCCTTGTGGAAGTTCGACAAGCATGTTTGATAACTGACGACCAGCTATTGTTCCAGCGGCTGCGTCTTTCTCCAGAGTTTGCTTCACTTTCAGGGACGGATGAAATGCTCCTTGGAGAGGTAATGATACCTGACGATGTGACTGTGAAGAACATGCTGGGGGATGATGGAGCTTTTGCCGTTGACTTTCGCATACCACACTTTCAGAAGAGAATGAGGGTGTCGAATGAAGTAGGTGTGGAATTTATTGCTCGAGGCACGATGATTATCTACAGTTCGTCGAATTTCGATACTAACCTTTCGCCTGAATAGGTCGTTTATGGCGTCTTGCTCTCGTTGTGGCTAGCAAACGACGAAGCAGGCACGGCGGACCTTCACCAGGATCATGGTGTATTGTTCTTTCACTAATGGAAAATAGTTCACCAACGTGGGTAGACTCACGCTTGATCATCCCGGATGTATCGTCCAAGGTCAAAGCACCAGAAGTAGATCTTTCAGAGGAGCCGGTTTTCACCAGTCCTCCATCTACGTTCTCTGGTATTTTAGGTGACCGTGCAAAGAAAGCTGCTATCATTATCAGAATGCAGTCTAAGCTTGAACTATGCCCATCTGCAAATCGTCCTCATCACAACCGTCAAACAGAGATCGTTGTCCCATTGGATAGTGTCCCTCTAGCATCTAGTATACAACATGCGTAAGTATTATTCCCAACCATAGTCGAAACACGATCTGAATTTTGCACATTACAGTGGAAGTTCTTACATTGGCGCCGATGAATCCCTTTCGGGAAAGTTAGAGGCACGGTTGAAGAAGCCTCAGGGTGACGCGGAATGTATCATCTGTTGACCGCATGCTATGTATAACTGTTAATCCGAATTTAATCGCAATATGGTAGATAATGGCGGGATGATGGTCAAACTGAACGGCGACGACGGTTGTGTCTTTTTGCATCTGATTCGCCATCTGCTGACAATCGGATTGGTACGTACGGAAAGCAACGTACGTGTTCTCTCTGTTATTTAATAGAACACATATACAATTGCCATTCCGATGTATAGAAAAAAACAGTTCAAAGACGCGACATGTAACATGTTATTTAAAACTTCAATGAAACTTGACCAGACACCGTATCCAACCTTACTGAACCTCTTTGCTTTCCAGGTTCTCCCTGGCCCCAGAACACTGTTCCTTCGGAGATTCCTCCAGTATAACGGTCAAAAATCAAGTTCCTCTTTCTGCCTTTCCCTTCAGGATCTAGTCCCTCTTCGGCGACGACGACCCTCTTATCAAATGGAGTTGTATGAACAGTGAAAGCGCCTTCAAATGTGCCATGCATCTGAACATCTAAGGGTGCGACTGCGGTCTTTGCGTCGAGCACAACAGTAGAATTTATGGGTGCAGTAGGGAAGGCGACTTTGACTGGAGAGTTAGCATTGCGAGCACGAACACGGAATGCTCCACCCGATGAGGTAATTTCCCCGGCATCGACGGAAAACAGGGAAACGGAAGCTTCTATGGGACTTTGATTGACAGAGGAATGAGTAAAAATTCCAGCCTCGTAGTAGCCATAGTGATCAACCAGACTCACGAATTAGCAGTGTTCATTATAAGCTCAGTCATATCTTCATCGGTTTCATCGTTCAGCAGATTGGCGGTGATATTAATACGAGCATTGGCGGTAGACAACCTTAGCGACTTTCTGACAGTGAAGTTGCCTTCGATGGGACTGTGTGGTGATTCTATGCGAACGGAGTGGGCTTGCAAGGACTACAAGAAGCGAAGGAATGACTTGACTATAAGTATGCATCATACACAAGATAAGTGAGGATACATACATTGACTTTTACAGGCTTATAAGCTCCAGTCAAAGAGACGGAGTTGAAGACGATTGCCTCCGATAAGTTTGCGACTTGGTGTCCAAAGATACCGTGCATTTCCGTCCTGAAATCCGATACTACGAGAGGAAATTTTTCTGAGTGCTTGGGAAAGGCCACGTTAATGTCGAAATAGATATTGTGCATATGGCGATGAGGATGAGGGTGCGAGGACTAGAGATAATTTCAAAATGAAGTGGGTTAAGCGGATAGTCATGTCCACTTACAAGTAACCCAACTCCATTTCCTCCTTCCCTAGTGACTACATCACAGAGCTTGATCGAATCAAGTAGTGTCTCGTCATCGTAATGTGTGCGGATGGAGACAACAGCGGAGTCGCCCTCCTCATCAGATTGGGTGATATTGATGTTGCCGTTTATAGAAGGACCCCGAGCGACTAAAAAGAGTAGTTCGGAATCGATTGGTAGTTCAAAGGTATGTTGAACACTAGAGTTAGGTTCTCCTTCAGGCCACTCCGCACATTGTCGAATCATCAGCTCTGGAAACACAGGCAGATCAGAAGACTCGTCGGTAAAGTTCTCCATCTACAAGGTTGAAAGATAATGTGAATATTAGACATAGATTAGCAGCATAGTAAGACAAACCCATGACACCTCGTCGTCCGGTTGAGGTTGATGGGGATGGAAGCGATGTGGATGGTGACCATGCACATGACTGAGGTCGAAGTGACTAGAGGCGAATAACACGAAGATTGTGAGCAGGATCAAGTGTGCGCAAATCCGCTTTCTCCTTTGAATACGCAGTCTAGAGATATCTTGCTCTTGAAGCGCAGCGAAAGATTCTGGGCCAGGTGATGCGACAATTCCGGCAGGGCATTTAGTACGAGATGCTAAATCGTTGGGGGTAAGCAGAGGTGTTTTCTCTGGGTCCATTTTCCGTTTGAGCGGAGGGTCAGGAAGTCAAGGGAGGCTCGTCGTGGTTTAAGTAGGTTATCTTCTATATAATTAGATTTTTATGACATACCTCATAACCTGCTGAGGCTGCGGCTGTGCATTATTAACTGAATAGGTCGAGACAGTGTTATGATAACTGTGCCGCAGGATTCGTGAGCACCAGATAGGAATCGGGAGCCGTAATGAGCATTCCTGAGCATTCCCACTGGTGATATCTGAAGGCCTGAAGTGATTTGCCGGTACCGATGAATTCTGGAATATGTTCGCGGAGCCCGAAGTTGAACTCGAGTTTTCAGCCACTATGAATCTTGTTTGAAAAACATACATGGCCCTGGCAAGGTGATTGGGTGCTGGTGAGTGTCATGAGGCTTCGAAGTTCTAAGTTCTGGGGAACGTCGTAAGTACGAGTTTGAGCCACGTGATCAAATATCTGTCTCACCACTAACTGCGATGTCAGGCGAGGAAATCAACCCTTATGAACTTTTAGAAGTCAAGGTAGAATCTACGGATCAAGAAATTCGAACTGCATATCGTCAGCGGTCGTTGAAAGTTCATCCGGATCGAGTCAGTGAGTCGTTTCGACCAACGCAGAACAATTTCTAGCTCACTATCTCTTCTCTAGAATCCGAATAATCCTGAGGCTGGTAAGTAAACAACCCTCATACGCTGAATCGCCACATATGTGATTCGCTCATCTGTAGCCCGCAAGTTTCACGAATTGAATCAAGCTTATGAACTATTACTCGATCCCCTACGTAGGCTTGCTCTCGATGCCAAGCTTCGCCTCAAACAAGCCCGGACGGAGAGATACAAGAATTACGATCTAAAACGGAAAAATATGGTTGATGAGCTGGAGGAACGGGAGCGCGCTCTGAAGAAGACAAAAGCAGATAAACAAAAGGAGGAAGCTGCGCGCTTTCAAGAGACGGAAAAGATCAAGGATCAAGGAAGACGGTTGAGGGAGGAGAAGTCGAAGGAATTAGAGAAGAAGGAACAGGAAGCAAATAAGGCGGCGAAAGGAGAACAGGAAACGGATGCGCCTACGCTTCGTGAGTTTATCTTCGATTCAGAATTTACTGTCTATTGATTGAACTACCCACTACAGAGTCCACAGACACGACCCTCCGCGTAAAGTATCTCCTAACCGAGCACCCGACTTTAACGACCGCTTCCTCACTTGCATCCCTCTTCGCTCCGTTCGGTCCTACAGATGTTGAAACCATCGTTGTCTCTCTCAAGTCGTCAAAGAAATTTCCGCATAAACCACCTAAATATGGAACTGCACTCGTTCCTTTTAAACGTATCGGAGATGCGTTTGCTGCTGTATGCGCCACCGGCCGGCCTGAACGAGGTTTGGGAGGGATCGAAGTTGGGTGGATAGGTGGAACTGAGCCTGAGATTTTGGGGTGGTTGCGGAAGAAGGGTCATTTAGGACCTTCAGGAAGCGGATTATCGAAGGAATCGCAGGTACAACGGTCTGAAGAGAAAGCCCTGCCACCACAGACACAAACTCGTGCATCCGGTTCCAATGAGTTTTTTTCTTTTCCCTCATCTCTCGTGCGTTGAATTCTCATTCGTTCTCGATGTGATTGTTCATGCGTTTTGCTTGTCCTATGTAGCCCGACTTCTGCAAGCCTAGTGATACACCCAAGGTCGGTGAAATCGATTATGAGTCCCTGACATTGATGCGCTTGAGGCAAGCGGAAAGAGCAAGACTTGAACGGGAAATTTTGGAGCAAGAAGCGAACGAAAACTGACAACGCTCCTCTATGAACTTCAAGGGGGAGTGGCCGGGGTCTTTTCCCGAGGATTACTGCTTCATCACATTTGCCTCCGATAGTTGAACTGTATACGGAACTACCACCCGTATATTACGTTCCTCGAGAATGACCAGGTCATACTCCAATGATGGGTTTGCATTGTCCCTAATCCCTATCCTCTGTTAGCCTGCGATTTTTCATGCTCGATGCCATGGGAGGACTGCATCGTAGTACTTGTATAAATACATGAAAGCAAAGAATCTGTAAAGCCTGGACCAGAAAGCTATCTGGAAAGAAGGACTGCTTGATAAGGACTTTGTTATGTACCATTAAACATGCAGCAGGCGGTGGCCGAGGGCCTCGGAAGGCAGCTGTGCCGTCAATTTCCCGCGACTCGAACACTAACCTTTCCCCACTTTGTCGCCCGTCAAAAGCTCTTGCTCGTCGTCGGCAACGCTCAGCTCGGCTTGCTTTCTCTTTCTACTTCGATATAAGCTGTTCAATACATTGGCTCTGTGTCCTTAGTTCTCTTCCCTGCCATTTTATTTGCCTATCTGCTTGGTGTCTGGACTACCTCTTTTCTCTCAACCTTCTCTTTTGTCAGCCCTTCTTTAAAGCCGATCCTTATATTGGATGGCGTCTACAAACCGAAGCAAGGCGCAGCGGAAAGGTGCTCCAGGCTCTGCTGGGTGATACTAAAACAAATTCCATGTTTGTATCTCAATTAATATCTTCGACAGTCGTGCTCCCGCTTGGTCTGGCGCTCGCGCTTCTCCCACTTTTTCTCCAACCAGCAACTCTCCCCGTCCAAATCAAGGATCTTTCTCATCTGTCGTTCAACCAACTACAAATCGCCTCGATAACCCTCAAGACCGTGTTCTACAGTCGTTAGCTGGTCTCACAGTGCGTACTTCTCCTGTTTTTTCCCCCATAGCTCTTTGGGCCTCATCACATCCTATACAGGGGACGACTATCACGCTTATGACTAAGACGTCTCAACGCTATGAAGGAGTCGTGTTTTCCACCAACGGCGAGGGCGACACCACTGGTGTGACTTTGAAGGATGTTAAAGAGCTCACAAATCCTGGCGCGCCTTTGAAGGACCAACTTTTTATCGCATCAACTAACATCGAGAACTGGAGCTCTGGCCCTGCTGACGCCAAATTTACGAACGGTGACAGTGAGTATTCATCAATACTAGTCACGTACAGTTGATGATTGTTTTCATGGGCCCAGCGTTCCGAACCGATACAGATATCAGTCAAAAAAAGACGGGAGGAGGAGGAGAGAAGGAGCTCCAAGCCTGGCAAGCGCCTCCAGATGCACCTGCTACATCTGAAGGTACCCAATTTGCACGCGGAGACGATGTCACGTTCGGTCCAGGATCCAACAGCAATGCGTCTTGGGACCAGTTCACAACAAACGAGAAGCTCTTCGGTGTGAAGGCTACTTACGACGAAGATGCATATACCACCAAACTAGATCGTAGTGCGCCAGAGTACAAGGAACGTGCTAGAGAGGCTCAGAAAATCGCCGATGAAATACTTGGGGTGCGTTATCAATGTTTCTTCATTTATCATTCTGACCTTCCCCTCAGGTTGCTTCAAACAACCCACACGTCGCAGAGGAGAGGAACCAGGCTCATGATGACAGCGGTATCAATGAGGAAGACAAGTATGTGATCTTCTGGTAGCATTCGAATGATGATTTTGATCGCGTTCCAGATATGGTGCTGTTGTTCGAGGCACCAATGCTTATGTACCTCCAGGTGCTAGGAAGCCGGGACTTCCGAATGCGACGAAGACAGAAATTCCAAAGGTTTCTGTGAACGGTCCTGACGGTGCTACCATCTCTTCCACATCACAGTCACCAGCTTCTTCTTCTAAAAATCCTTCCCCTGCTCCCAATGCCAATGCCAATAAGGTGAAAACACAGAATTCGATTCTAGCGTTGAACTCACCGTTTATCGTCAGCCTCCCGCGGATGCCCTGCCTGCTTTGAGGGAATTCGTGGCCAACGAAAAGCAGCGTCTGACTGAGAAACGTCAAGCACTTGCTAAGAGCGAGATGGATAAGCGCATGGCGGATTTAGTCAAATTCAGTCAGAGTTTCAAGGTACTGTTAAGCCGTCTTCAATTTCCCTATCTGAACTATCAACAGCTGAACAAACCTATTCCGGATGATCTTGTCCCAATCCTGGCCAAGGACGAGGATAAACAAAAGCAGATTCGTGAGAAATCGAACAAAGATGCCAATTCGTCGCAAGCACGTAACATCGGGTCGTCCGTCTCGACGCATTCAGTGCCAGCTCGTGGGCCACATATAACGACGGCGAAAGTTGTCGAAGCTGGTCGTAAAACTGCTGCGACAGCTACTAGTACTACCAAAGCTACGACGCAAGCGGCCGGAGTAGCTGCTTCTGCTACTAATAAGGCTGAGGCAACTAAGCCTACCAAGCCCATGATGTTCATTCAACCTATTCCACCATTCAAGGGTAGCAAGAGGCAGTCTCTACAACCCTCCCCCAATGCAAACGGAGTTTCCAATGGTGCAAACGCAGCTCAAGTGTCTGGAGCAACTAAGGCTCCTGTACCTAATGCTCCTGCAAATCGATTAAATGCTGGATTGAATGTCAAAGCATCAACATTCAACCCACGCGCCGTTGCTTTCACCCCCGTGGGTTTTTTTTGGTCCCTCAGTACCCCCGTTGTCGTATCTCATTCAGTTCGTTTTTCCTCAGGGCGCTCCTTCTCCTGGACCTAGTACCTCGAATCACAGTCTGTCATCTTCTGTGTCTCCTAAGCCCAAAGAATCTGTGCGTATTGAACAATGATAGTGGGACTGAGAAATTTATTGAGAGTCAGGCTCCTACTACACCGAATCCCTTCTTTGGCACCCGTTTGATCAAGAAAGGGCCTCCGGTCAATGTGAAGGATGACTTTAATCCTTTTAAACATAACAAGGTGGTAGATGCCTCCACCATCGGTGAGTCACCAAACAACTCAACCAGTCCAGAGTATCAATAGTATCACTAGCCGCAACTTGGCCTTATAATGGAAAACGTTACATGCAACTGTTCCCTGCGCCACAACACCCTCCTCAAACTCCTCACATGGTTGCACCCCCTCCTACGATGCCTCCACCTCCTCCATACGAAGAAGATCCGAATCAACGTGCGGCAGCCCCTGGCGGCTTCGTCTACTATGCTCCGACCTATTACCCTGGTCAAGTAGGAAACTTCTCTTCTGTTGTGTTCACTGCATTTGACCTCCACTCTTTACCTTAGCCTATGATGTCTGGCATGGCGCCTCCCGGACCTCCCGGAACATTTATGCCTCCCTATATGCAGCCTATGCACTATCCTCCGAATATGCCACCAAATGGTAAGCAGCTAGAGCATCAGTCAAAGAAATGGCCTTTATCAGTTCCTTTAGCGATGTATGCTCCCCCAGCAATGGGTCAAATGCCACGTAAAGTCTACACTTTCTTCATGATGCGCACATCACTGAGTATTTGTTCTAGCTTATATGCAGGCACCTCCACCCGGGACCTATCCTCCCCCACCAAATGGTGCCGGTCCTCGGCCTTCCATGCCGCCTACTCCGATTCCTGCTCATGCCCACCCATACTATCATCAGAGCCCTCAATGTGAGTCCATTCTTCTTATGTATTTTTCTTGATGTGAATAAACCATATTTGCGTGCTAGTACAACATGCGGTTCCTTACCCTATGATGATGCCGCCACCGGGCAGTGTTCCTCATCCATACGACGGTTCAACTGCGCCTCCAGTGCAAATGGGTGGTCATGCATAATCAGAGTTGTGCTGTGTGGTTGGGAAAACGACGGAGAAACGGGGCGCGGGAATTTATCTTCGCTGGAATTCATAATTTCGTTGTCACTAGCAATCCGTGTGTTGTCGTTGCTACTTTTCTCAATCTGGATCTGGAATACTACCCACACAAGGCTTCATATCCCAATGCGAAGCATAAAACCCCAAACTCGATATTATACGTACAACAACTGACTGAAAACAAAGACTGAAAACAAAGACTGAAAACAAAAATTCTTTAACGAAAGATTTGATAAAAACTATCGTAAACATGACATCTCAACTTTCTTCAACAGACCCTTCAGTGTCCCAGTGGTACGATTACAATTTGCCTGAAGCCAGGCCTCCATATCCGTCCTGATTGATCCAAGTTCTTCAGAAAGGGGCATATGACCGTGTGATCTGACATCAACTGGATTCAGTAACAAGTGAAACAATCGTTCCCAAAGGTTGGTTTGCCAGTATCGCTTGAGCGGAGTCGTAAGTCTAAACTTTACCTTGCCATCGGAAGAGGTCGACGAGCCTATTGCACTGGCTTGAATGTATTTGCCAAAGAACATGCAATATATAATGCCTGCCAGTCCGAAATAATCAGTTTGGAAAGTCCAAGGCTTTCCCTGTTGTATCTCTATGCAATCGCGTTCATCTGTTTCCCAGTCTGCGATGAACTGCTGATTGGCAGGAAACAACCGCGTATCAATGGTCCGACCGAAGTCAACGACCTTCAACCCCTTATAGCTCCAGCCTCCTTCACCGGAAGGCCGATATGCACTGGACCAAGAAGAAGGGCCCCCCGGGACTTCTTCTAAACGCAGCAGACAATTGTCAATTTTGAGGTCTCCGTGGATGAATCCGATGTCATGCATGATTTCCAGCAGCCGCAATAGTTCGATAGTAAAGAACATAACCAGAAGCTCGTCGAGGCAGGCACCCTGCTGAGAAACACCTGCAGATTCAGCTGTGTTGACAATGTCTAGAAGCGTACCCTGAGGGCAGTAATCTAGAACGAGATAGCTCTCGTCGCGAAATGCGTATAATGCATGGGGGAAGACGATAGATCGACGATTTGCAGGAGGAAGTGCGGAATGTAGTCGACGTAGGACGTGATATTCCCAAATATTTCGAGGTTTCACAACCTTCAAAGCGACCATAGATGCCTCATCCCCCTCCATCTCATCCTCGTCCTCAAAGTCAGAATCACAATCGGACAGCGCACCGCAGTCTCTTGCTTTGAACACAGCTCCAAAGCCTCCCTCTCCCAACTTCTCAGAGACAACAAACTTTTGACCATTCAATGTCAAAGGATGAACTGCATCGCCACCTCCGGAGCTGGAGCTGGTTTTTCTATTCTTCTTTGCGTACTTCTGCAGTTCGTCGTATCCATTATGATACGTGCCGGTGAGGTCGTAATATTGTGAGTCTGCGTTGAGCCGTGAGAGTAAGGCTTGGAAGATTGGGGGATCAAAAGGATTACATGGGTTAGAAGGTTTGAAATTGGATGAAAGTGTCAAAGTATCGACTAGGCTTAATTTGCTTGTTGACTGTGTCAACGTAGAGATTGAAGCTTCAGAAGGTAAACGAAGGGGATGGATATCATGAAGACCCCCGGCCTCGTCTTCGTGCTCGAATTCGTCTGCTCCATCTGGAACAAGTTGCGCAGCTTCCAGTTGCGAATCCTGTTCCTCTTCGATAACTGGGGCGTGCTTGGAAAGGATACTAGGCGTATTGAAGGTTGAATGAGAAGTCGAAGTGTACTCGAAAGTGCGCTCTGTTATTGGGGTCATCACACTGAACTGACCGAATCGCCCACCAAAAGGGACGTCGTGATAGTCTACTTCCTGGCCATCGTACATCTCTCCAAGCTCCTCTCGTAGGGGCTCGACAACGTCTTCTTGACATTCTTCGTCGATGAAATCGTCGGAGTAATCGTTATCGTCCTCTTCAGGATACTGATCCAGATCTATCGCATCCTGTTGCTCCTGTTGGTGTGGCGTATTTCCCTGATCAAATTCCTCGTCATATTCGGGCTCGTCGTAGTCCACATGGCTCTGATGTTTTTTCTCTGTGAGCGGTTCAATCTGGATATTATCCTCAGCCGGATCCTTGTATGGGGTAAAGGTCGGTTGTTTAGCAGGCGGAACGGACAATTTCATGGTAGATAACTTGGGAGTGAATATGCTCTTACCCTCGCTGGGCCGACTAAATACCTTAAATGATGTTTCGGGGCCTGGGTCCACAAAAGGTCTGAAAGCGACTGGATGAGAAGCTTTACCGACATCATGGTCCGATTTGGCTCTTTCGTGAGTCAAGATGGTCTTTGGTCTTGGTTGACCATGATCCTCAGTATGAGCTTCGCGAAGCGGCAATGGTTGGATTTCGCTTTCAGGAATGAAGACTTTCTGAGAGAAGATACTCTCCACTGAAGTATTATCCCTCTTTGTAAACTTCTTGGAATCTTGAAGCAGATTTTCATTCTGATGAGGAGCGGCCTCTTTCTCGGCGAAAGCTGATCTAGATTTGTGTGTTGGTGTTTTGTTTTCTAGATCGACAAAAGGAGTAAACTAAATAGAATAACATTAAATCACAGCGATTTTTTCGCAGCAATCTTTGAACTCACAGCGGGTTTGTTGGTCTTTCTCGGTTTGATATCATCAGAGTTTTCGTCCACGAACGGTTGGAAGACTGAAACATGAGATCATGAGTATGTACCGACAAAAGAAAACAACCAACCAAACCTGCCGATTTATGTATTCCATCTCCAAGTGTGGTTGGGGGAGAAGTAGTCATCCGAGGCATAGCAACGGGCTCAATCTTCTTCACAGGCGCGTGCTTACTACCCATACGTATTGTCCTTTCAGGAGAGTTGTACATGCCGAACACGTCTTCGAGTGCTTCTCTGGTATTGATCGTCACAGTGGGCTCTCCAGCCAGCATGCTCTTTCGTTTGCCGAAGCGACCCTCACCAGGTCTGAGTACGGTCAAAGACGATGAGCGTGCGGAATGCGCGAGCGATTCGACAGGAAGAACTGGCCATTCTTTTCTGAGAAGACCCATCGATCGAGTACGGGCTTCTTCAAAACAGAATTCGCCTGTTTTTTCGGTATAAAGCAAGGTCATATCAAAACGAAGCTTCTCGGGGGGTTTTCCCGGCTGAGGAGGGGCCAGCATCGTCGCATAGCGTGACGCAGCACTTGACAATTGTTTAGGGGAGCATGCTGCCGCCGTATTTGTCTTGGAAATATCTTGGGATATGACAGGCTTTTTACCATGCCTTTTCCGAAAATCAGTGTATCGTGCCTTCAATCGCTCAATAGGACGAGCATGACGCTTGACGCCGGTCCGATAGACTTGGTCCGCGTCTTCAACTCTGTCAAATTTGAGCATGTTTACGAGTGTGAGCCATGATTGATACACACCGTCCTGCGGCTTCCAGCATGCGAGCGTATTCCTCGTATAATAAAGAATATGATACACCAAATCCATTCTTCCAAAGTTGTGAATAAATTCCGATTGCCGACCTTTGACTGACTCTATTGGCGTACAGCACCCAAAGCTTCAGGTACCTAAGATCGGCTTTGTACGCTTCGTCCTTCTTGAACTTCTTGGTGGCTTCGTCGAGGAGCTGGGACAGCCCAGAGTGGGGATCCTTATCATCAAAGTTGTCAAGGGTCCACTGGACGAACTCGACGTAAACAGCCAGAGGATCTTCCTCAAACGCGATGGCCGCGATTCTCTGCTTGAACTTGTCCCGTTGGCTCTCGAGGCCGTCCGTTTGCATGGCGGTTCGTTAAACGCTGGAAGTTGATGATCATGAGTCGCGTTAATAAGCACGTGATCGAATTTGATCTTTTCTTCGATTTTTCTCTTGAACTTCAGTCATTAAATCTTCCATACATGCATTTAAACCGTTATTCATAACTGGTTTCCTCTTCTTCACTCAAACGGTAACTCTTCCGATCTATATACCCTGCATCCATAAAAACTGCCTTTGGGGAACTATATCCACGTCGACTGCAGCTCTTTTACATCCACCATCCGATTGTACTCTGTTGAAATTCTTTCGCATTGTTCATTGCTGCAAGTATCGATAGGTAACCTTCAAGCTCGTGGTATCGTCTTGAATACTTAACATCATTTACAGCCCTATACATGCAGTCTGATGCAAATGTTTTCAATGTCGAGGAAGAGGAATCTCTTTTCGGCTCCCCGCCTCCTTCCCCACGAATAGGTAGGTCACCATCGCCAGTGTTAGCCCTTCCCAGCCGTAGCGGGAGCATTGTAAAGCTACAAAATGTGGGGACCATTGCACTTCCTGGTTCCCATTACATTTCTGAACTTCCCGTCAATCCATTAGTCTTGCCTTCAAGTTTCTCCACCCAGGCCGCTGCTAAGCCTTTGGCTCCTTTCCAAATTAGCGCTGGCCATTTTGGAGGCCCTACGTCGCCGCATCATTCATCCTCGTCGTCTACGCCATGCAGTTCGCGTGCGTCATCTCAAGGGCCCTTGTCCGGGCAGTCGAAAGGAAAGCATGGTCGACGCCGTCGAGAAGATGAATCACGCGTTGTACGCGTTCCACCACCTGAAATTCCTCTTCCAGATCCGACTGGCCCTCCCCCTGCCAATTGGTTACGAAGCCAATCGGCGCTTCTCGGGCATGCCGGATTAATTGGCGGTGTGAAAACATCTACGCTGTCGAATCGGCATTTTCGAGGCTCGACCGCAAAAAATCCAATTGTCATCGACGATAACCAACATAGCAATCAACAACAACACCATCATCCTTCTCCCAAACGCTCGCGGCCAGCTCCTCGTTACCAACTTCCTCTGTGTCTCGATCTTCCTGCACCTTCCATACAGGAGATCGTACGCATCCTTATAAAACAACGGGAGATATTTCCTGTATTACAAAACATCCTCAAATTGAGTCGGAACGGCTTTCCAGGATTCATCAAAGACACCAACAACAGTCCTTCCCCAGGCCCTGTGCCCAAGAAGCGCAAACTGAACAAAGTACCTGCTGGTGCTGTTGACTGGGACGTGCCGTATCCTTTCCAGCCAGGAGAAGGCCCTGAGGCTTATTCGGCAACGTGGGAGCAAACCCGGGGAAAACAACTTGTTTCCCAGCTTGTGTCCTTGATCAAGGCTGCTTCTCGTAAAGCTGCTATACGAAAATATATGGAGCAGGACCGGCAAATAGAGCTGCAGACTACAATGCAAGATCATAATTTAATGAAGGAATGGGAGCATGCAATGCCCAAGGTAGAAGGTCACTATAGGCATGAGACCACCTTATATGGTTTGCCTGATATGCCTTCACAGGATATTTTGGCTGATGCTAGTAATAACCCTGTGAAATCTTCAGATCTACCTGTCCGCTCTTCCCCAGCCCCCGAATCGTCGCCATTTGATGAACTCCTAGCTTCATTGCTCACAGTCTCACCAAAGTCAGGTGACTCGAATGAAGCAGCCACCAGTCCATCTAACCTTGGCTCACTGTTTGCTAACACCGGTGCGCAAGAGTCTACACCAGAACTTGACCAGTCGGTCATAGACAATTGGATGTCGATATTCCAGACCTACCAGGTGCCTCCCTCGCTAGAAGAAACCGCGACATATTTCTCCGATTCCTCCTCTTTAGCTCCCCAAATCGCGGGACCTTCTTCAATCCCCGACTTACCACTCGATCTCGGTCCCTGGGCTAGAGTTTCCAATGGTCCAGGGGACGGGAACCATCTTTCGCACTCAGTTGTATCTTTATATCCGACTTCGAACATTGGTGGGCAGCCTCAAACTGACGCTCATTCTTCGGATTCCACGTCCTTCGATTTGAAATCGCTGGCTCCCAGCATGAATCCATGGGACACAGAATTGGTAACACCCATGCTACCAACAGCAGGATATTTGGATGCTTTCAATGGCCTGATTCCAACGAGTAGTCCGAAAGAATACGGGGAACCATATTTCTCGAGTGGCATGATGGAAGAAGGGATAGGGGGTAGTGGCGGTCATCTCCCGATGGGATTGATGGACTGTCCCCAAGGTATGTGGTGGCGCACGATCTCGGAGACAGTGCGAACTCATCATAACAAAGAACTACAAGGTATTGATCAACCAGCGAAGCATCCGCCCAATTTTTCGGCTGTTCCCTTGAGCGCTCTCTTTCCTACGCTAGCGCGCAATATGCCTCCTCCGCCGACAATTACTGGAACCTCTTCGGTCTTCACGCCGCCTGCTGTTCGTCCGTACAATTCATCTGGTCGTACGATTAATAAGGTTGATCTTTTGAGCCGCGCCCGAGAACGGCGCGCGCAGTTGGCGGACGAAATTCTAAAAACTCGTACGCAGTTGTGGGAAACGACCATCGAACATGGGGTGTTGACTCGCCTTGCCAAACTCTACACGTAGTATAAAGCCTTCTTTTTGTGACTGTATCGTTCTTCAAATGGCGTGAGTCCTCATCTCCTGATATCTCGTCCTCCTACTGATGTTCTTGTAGTCAACAATATACTTACAATGTTCACTTTGTACCAGAAATCGTTGAAGTCTGACGATCACAGTAGCTCCGTGGACTCCCCTCACCATATTACACTAATTTCATAATACATGGATAAACAAAATCGCTGGACATAGTCAGATGGTATGGCTCTGAAAGAGGTCAATTGTGATTGTTTTCCGCCGAGAATACCATATCTTTGCTCTTGCATCTCATTTGAACGACTTTTGTGTGGGGATTAAATCTGAATGACTGAAACGGATGAAAATCTTTCAAAACGAAGAGATTGGTAGATAAATTGTTCAAGTCAGTGTTCCTCTTTGGTTCGGTGCAATACTGTCTGACTTCCCGTCGCTAGTTTAAGATGTTGTACCACTCGGACCTTTTAAGCCGTGTTCCTTAACCACAGTACTTATGTTCACCCGATTCGTCTTCGCGCTTTCCCCGCAGTGCCTTGCACGTCTAAAGAGAACTCGTCTGAGAAGGCCTACGCTCGGATCAATCCAGCAAGAACAATTTCATTGTTCGACTCTGAATCTAAATCTTGAACCTGGTGAACGAACGGTATTCATCTTAGTAACCGTGTTTGCAAACCTACTAAGTCATCCATGCTGGGAGATGCCACCACATTAAGCTCCGCCTGAATATTCACCTTATCTTTTTATCCTTATTTCGAATTCATTTCTCTTTCTCAGTCATCTCCAACGAAATGTCGGGACATGTGTAGGTGCTCTTCCTTCATACCTCGGAAACTGGTCTCTAAATTTCAACCTGTCTGAATCAGAAGCACTATGGACGATGTACTCATCGCTCAATTGCCTCCGCTCATCCTCAGATCAGCTTTGAGAGCTTTGGTATCTCAGGGAAGAGCTTCGCAAGCCATATTTGTTGATCATGTCCAGAGAAGACTGAGAGCATCTCCTCCTTCTTTCATACCTCCTGCAGAGTTGTTCAATCACGACGCCCCGAAAGCTCCTCAATTTCTGGCTTCTGTACGGTGCATGTTCTCCAGCAAAATCGCTGCTGAATCTCTTCCGTAGTAAGTTATTCGCATCTATCGTTCAGTTTGTGTGACTTACGATAACTCAGTCTCAGTTACTTTTTTACCTCCATCGCACAAGCTCGCCTTCTCTGGGCATCAGAAAGCGAGCTAGAAACCATGCTTATAAGAGCTTGTGGAGATGTTGTACAAGCTATGCAAGCACTCAAGGAAAGCCGACCTTCTAGAACAGAAGAGTTACAAAGCAGGTTGCTAGAACTTCAACGGGCGCTGTTGACATGCGATACCTATAGTCTCGAGAAGGGACTGTCTCGTCCATTCACTCGGGCACGAGTTCAGGTTACTGACGCTTATTCTTGGTTTTTCCCGGATAACGCCTTGCTTGATATCCCCGAATACCATGTTAGGCCTCAAATTTCAAATTGGGTCAAATCACGTCCCAATGCAGGAACTATGGTGACGACCCTATACACCCCTCTGGGCACTCTGAAAATACCGAGGTTGTTCAATGGTCTTTGGCAACTATCTTCTCCTGCCTGGGGTTCTGCAACGAGTAAACAGCAGAACGCCGCTCTTGGACGACTGGTAGAAGCAGGTCTGGTAGCGACTGATATGGCTGACCACTATGTACGAAGGTCAATATTCTACCAGTATAAAACTGCTTACAATCCTGCTTTGTATTCACAGGGAGATGCTGAACTTGTATATGGACTATTTCGTGCAAGTTTGCCACCAGCGGTCGCTACCACGGTCGTTGCTGCTACCAAATGGTGTATATTTCGACAACCTGAGATCGATATATCACGTCAATTCGTCATGGAAGCTGTTCAAGAACGATCAAGACGGCTTGGAGGACGAATCGAACTGCTGCAATTCCATTGGTATGATGTAAGTAAACTTTATCTTCTTTGAGTGGGCGCACTCAAAGGCTCTGGTAGTATTCAAACAAGGACTACCTGTTCATTCTTTCCGAGTTGGTGAAAATATCAAGATCACATCCAGAGCTCGTTTCAAATATTGGTCTTTGTAATTTTGATGCTGTGCATACAGAGGAAGCATGCCTGCACATTTTGTCGGAAATCGGAGAAGTCGGCCTGGTTTCCAATCAAGTTCAGGTGAAATTTTGCCTTGCCAGTGCCGGAGTGACTCCATTCATGATTGCTTTACAGTACTCGCTGATAGACAGCCGCCCATCGATTCAGTTAGCTGAAGTTTGTAATAAATACGAACTCAAAATCCTGACTTACGGCTCCTTGTGCGGTGGATTCATCGCAGAGAAATGGCTCGGCGTTGAGGCTCCGGATATTTACAGTGAATCGCTGCAGTTGACGCCCTCTCAGAGAAAGGTTCGTTCTTCATTCGAGATACATAACAATAAACTCACATGTATCTCGATTATATACAGTATTTCGATATGATAACGACATGGGCATCTTGGAGTGACTTCCAAAGCTTGCTACAGAGGCTTAAGCACATAGCAGACAAGCATCATGTCGACCTCACAAACGTAGCCACGCGTTGGGTCCTTGATCGTCCTGCAGTGGCAGTTGTGATTGTTGGCACCCGCCTTGGTGTGTCAGAGCACATCGAGTCGAACCTCAAGGTGTTTTCTTTGCAATTGGACGAAAATGATACGAAGAGTCTCAATAATCTGGTGTTGAAGCGTGCTGAAAAGGTTTATAAAATTATTGGGGATTGTGGAAATGAGTATAGGTAGTTGATTCTGGGCATTATTTGCCATCGAATGTAGAAAGTATCCGAATTGAGGAATGATTGATTGATTGGTTCCATTACATACTTCTTATATTTAATTTTATGTACACGCGCCCCGCCTGTTTCTCTTCCTTCATCCTTATTCTCTCAACTTGTGCCAACTGGCACCAACGACTAGCACTATTTAAAACGACTTGTTATGCTGACCGCTCTTCTCTATCATTCTATGATTTTTGGTTTAGTTGACGCGGCCAGTGGAAGTCTGTCGCTGCGGGACACGCCATCCCAAGGGTATTTCAATCCCTCGAGCAATGGAGGATCTATGTTAACGGTTCGCTCTGAGCACTTCCCAAGCAGTACGATGTAGTGCTCAAGCTTCTGAATCTAGACTGTAGAAAATACGAGTCCGCTAGGCCAACAGGAACCTATTAACTTGATCATTTCTGCAAACTCTGACTCTGCTGTATTGAAAGATGGGAACATAGATGGCGGGCTACAGAACTACTTCAAGTGAGTTCCTTATCTATGCTTCTATATCGCTGAAACTTTCTTCGTCTTGTGAAGTTCTTTAGGCTTCGCTGGTGAATGTCTTGGGAATCATCTAGGTGATGATCAACAAGCCAACTTGGGTGATGGAAATGGGTTAAGTCAGTCGGCAATCCTCCCGAACATCACATAGGCTGAGCTTACGGTCAACAGTCAACCAAACCGGTGTCATGAGATGGGACTACGGGAATGTACAAACAGGCACCTGTGAAGAAACAATAGACGGTGGGAATCACTTTCGTTATTGGATACAGAATGGCAGTGCTGCAGATAGCAACGCAGTTTTCGTGGCTGCATCTTACGAGCTTCCAGCATCGAGTACGTCACGAACTTCGAGGGAAGTCATTTGTCTAACTCACGAGGCCCCTTCTTGTCGTTTAGGCAATCACGACATCGTGGTGAACGGCTACAATTTTGGCAGAGACTGGATTGTTGGAAATATCACGGGCTCCACTATTCCTACAGCTTCTCTAACCAACTCATCCTCGTATTCTGGGAATACCTCATCCAATGGTTTTTCCTTCTCTACAACCGTTCAATACGTTTCGGGTCTACTGCCTAACACCAGCGCTGGGATAAACCACAACCTTACAGTGGCTACAGATGGTGAAAATGCAGTAGATGGTTTTGTTGCCGTTCTAACCGTCAAGATCACTGCAACGAATAGTAGTGCCTCCGCAGCTCCCAGCGCAGCTCCCAGCGCAACTTCTAACTCTTCGAGTAACAGTGCTGCTCCTATCATGCTCACATCTTGTTTGCCTTTGCTTCTGCTTCCCCTCGTGGTACTCACATCTTACCCCAATTGATACAATTATTCCTATTTTGGACTTAGCATTGCCTGTCTTTACTCGCTCGGATGATTGATAGTATCCCGATAGCAGTATATTATTGTTTAGACATGGACCAATCTTTTAAAACACTTTAGAGGCCACTTATATTGTATTTGATCTTCCAGCGAGGGTACATGCACCTGTACTTAGCTCGAACAAGCTCAATTGTCAGGATAGAACATCTGAAGTGCAACATACGTCTACATCACTACCACACATGTACAAGGTTTGATTAGTGCATCCCATACTCCTCTGCCATGCCTCTTGTCATTCTTCGTCCAGCCATCATACCGGGAGAAGGCATGCCACCCATTCCTCCACCACCCATTGCCATTGCAGGATTTTGATGTCCAAAATCCATATTTCCACCTATACTACCTATACCTCCGCCCATTCCGCCCATGTTCCCCATACCTCCCATCCCCATGCCACCGCCCACAACTCCACCCATGCCACCGCTCATATGCATTTGCATCCGTGCAGGCGAAGCATCATGTCTTCCGTACTGATTTGAAGGCATCCCCGGAGGAAATCCTTGTCCGGGACCTGGTCCTCTCATCACGGAAGGCGAGTTGGGGTACGGATAATTTATCGGAGGTGGCCCTCCACCCATAGGTCCTGAATGGCGGTTTGGTGGTGGATTATGAGGATTGGATAAGTGGAACGAGTTATCTCTTTGAATATTCAAAGTCTGTCCCTGCCTTTCTTGCTGTTCCTCCGAAGGACCGTTCTCTTCTTCGTATTGCTTTTGAGCAGATTCGCGGAGAATTGCAGGATCGTAGTATAGATCCGAGTATTCTTCTACGTGAAATCTGAAGATCCTGTGAACTCTTGGATTGAACAGAACCAGCTGAATGCTCACTGTTGTGTACCGACATCCCAATGAGGCCCTCGACTAGCTCTGGCAGTCAATAACAGGGAGTTCCATTCAGATGCACTTTCCTACGGAAGTCTTTCAGTTAAGTTGAGAAGAAGAAGCCAGGAATTGACGAACAATTGCCTGGGTCATTTCATGGCTTGATTGGCCAACATCCGTTCGGATTCCTGCAGAATCAGCCTGTGCTTCTACTTCCGCTGTGAGCTTTGCTCCCATCCTTTGTGCATTGTGTCTCGGAACTTGAACTTTTATCACACCAATTGGTTTGCCCGGTGCCATGATAGTAGCGGAACAAACCCAGAATGCCGAGGCATTACGGAGGATCACACGGGACGCAAAAGCCATGGCAGTTCAAATGAACTGCCATTAAGGCATCACAGTTGGCATCCGGTCGTGACCGGTTATGTTGCAAGCGCAGCGGTCCGTTCGATCATGAACCTTGATAAATAACAGAAAACAACAATGTAAATTCCAAGCTGAATATATAAGCTATGTCCCAAAATTCTGCAAGTCTTTTGTTTACTTCAACAATCCTCTTTATGTATGCAGTATAAGAAGACCATCATAAGGTTGAGGTTAGAATTGTTTTACAACTAGGCCACAAAACCAGTTGATACAGGCTGGTAGACATATCCCACACATCTGCAAAACCTGTTTTTTCGGCTAATTCTCCGAAAGCAGCTGAGAGCGCTTCCCAGCAGCCAAAGCACCCAGAGCAAGGTTGAAATTTTGCTCTCGGTGCTTTGGGTGCTGGAGAGTGCTCTCCAGCCAGTACCCTTGCTCTGGCGAACATACAGGTTTTGCAGATGCATACATGAACATTATCTCACACTGCATGCTTCAAATAATAGAGTTGATTGTAAGATGAACCTATCAATGCATGATTTTTTCTGTTAGCTGGAATATTAGTAGAAGTTGTTTGTAAGGCATAATTTATCTGTTCAGGTATACATATTTTTTGTTACTCAGAGGTGGTTTGCTGACAATGTGCAAATGTTACATAAGCTGAGCAACTGTATAAACAGTTTTACACTTATTAATTATTTCTGCACTATTTTGAAAGGTCTCAAAGCAATGGCAAAATGTACATTATCTGTAAGTATGGGCTGGTAAGCAACAATCTCATGCAATAAATGCACTTCAAGTGGTCTTGATGAACTATTTGAATACTTGCTCAGCTGGACAGCACTATCATTGACTCTAAAGTTATTATAGAATCCTGGATTGGCAAAATTTCCAATCATTTCTTTTTTTTCTGCATCTCCTTTTTTCAGTTTTGTTTGGAGCTAAAAACAAGAATAGACCTGGACAGTGAATATAAACTGGACTGTAGAATAGTGTAAATGGACATTGTCCTTGCACTAGTCTGATTTTAAGCTTTCATTTATTGTTTTCCCCTAGAGCAAATCTATCTGCATAACCTGTATGCTATAGAGTAATAATATTAGCTGAACAACATCATCTGTAAAACCTGGATGTTCATGAGAGCAAGGGTACTAGCTGGAGAGTGCTGTCCAGTGCTGAAAGCACTCCCAGCAGTTTTTCAGTACTGCTGGGAGCACTTTCCCAGCTGGACAGTGCTGTCAGCTGCTTTCGAGCTCTTAGCCAAAGATATAGGTTTTACAGATGATTAGCCAACCATGGCTTTGTACAACAAATGTTGTTATAACAAGCCCAATAATTATATTACAATTTGCTCTTACAAGAAATTCTCATTATTATGACTTTTTCATAAGAAGTAAGCTTGTGTAATTATAAATACATCTAATATTACAAGTCTGTACTGAACACTGAGACCCAGAATATCTGAAACCTGTTGCTGGGATTGCCAAAGCTCCAGCAACTTGGTCAGTTAGGACCTAGGGGTGTGGGGGCTTGCCCCCACCATTAATCTACTAAACTTACTAAGGCTGCTACAGTTAGCCATCAATAAATAATGAAATTGCTGCACAACAAAATGTAATCATAGTACGTGACTCAATATATTCCATACTATGAATGAGTTTGGTGCAGCCGGAGTGCGCAGGTGAGTTTTTGTTTTTTTAGCACTCATGGATTCAATTCCTTATCTCATTATAATTAACAGTCCTTATTACTGATCCAAATGAAGCATGAACTGTTGTTATTACAACTGCATAATTATTAAAAGCACTTCTTATAACAAGTCATTTATATATTATCTATGACTTGTTATCAACAGTCTTCTTTGTACAATATCATTGACTGGGGCTCAACAATGCTCTCTAGCAGCCAAAGTAAGGAGAGTAAAAATATTAGGTGCTTCAAGCTGCACTAGCCAACAATACAGGTCTTGGAGATGAAAAGTTGAAGTTCTTTGAAATGAAGAGATAATATTTATGATTTGTAAGAATATTACTCTACTAAATCACATAGGGAATGTGTACTTACATGCAATATTGAGAAAGAGTCAACAAAAATAAAAATACGGTGAAACCCCACATGTCATGCCGAAGCTTGCCGAAGTCATGGCTGACGCTGATCCCTGCCAGTCCGTGACAGTCACTGGTCACAACTAGATGCCACAGTGGATGCCTTAATGGCAGTTCAAATGAACTGCCATGGCTTTTGCGTCCCGTGTCAAGATAACAAATCATATGTAATGTTCCCGCGCATCTTTCTTGAATCTTTCTTCCATGTCGCGTAGGGCTGTAACGCCCTCCCTTGAAGCTTCTCAACAGAGTCATATTGATGACCTTGTCCAGCGCAACCGGACGCATGAGCAAACCATTCGGAAACTCAAAGATGAGCTTGCACAGGAAAAGAACAGAGCTAAATCCGTAGTACAGGACATCCAAACTAAGCTTCATGCTGAGAAACGAGAGTGGCGAGAGGCGTGTGACACCCTTCAGTCTTGTCACCGTATTCACCAACTGCGCTTGCACGTAGAGTTGGAGAAGCAGAGATCAGGTCAACTTGCCGAGCAAGATTTGCTTCGGAAGGAGAAGGTTGCTGCGCTGCAGAGAGAGTTTGCAATCACCAAGTTTCAGATCCAGGAGAGTCTTTTGGAGCGTCAAATTTTGGAATTGGAGGACAAAGTCGCAGAATTAGAACAACTACGTGATGAGGAAAGGCAGGCTTCCAACGCTCGGATACTCGAGCTTGCTGCTCATGTGGGGATGCAGGAAAAGCGATTGGAAGCATCTGAAGAAGCCAGAGCCAATCTCGAAGTGCGTTGTATATTTCTTAAACCTTGGCCGGTGTATTCAAACTGTCAAGCTCACAGGCCGAGCTAAATGGGCTGCACAAGACGAATGCAGAAACCCAAATTTCCTCAGAGTCTTTCATCGTCAAACTCGAGCGTACGACCTTACAGCTCGACGGGGAACGCTCCAAACTCGCTGAATCGGAACGGGTCAACGACGAACTCAAGCGCTCAAATGATGAGTTGAAGAGGCAGATTGCCAAGTGGCAATCACTAGAAAGTAAAGGCGACATGGAAATGGAAGCGGAACGGAAGAAGCGTGTGGAACTCGAAATACGACTTCAAGCTACTCAAAATCAGCTCACCAAACGAGAAGGAGAATATGCGAAGGCGGAAAAGAGAACGGCAAAGGCCAAACAATATCTGGATGATTGGAAGGTTTGTTGTCAATTCTTTATCTCTCTCTTTCAGCCCGCCAATCCGCTGTGTAGAATCACGCAGAAACCTATCAAGGTGAAGCGGAAGACTTGAAGAAAAAACTTGCGAAGTTAGAAAAAGTAAATAAGAAACTCCTGTTCGAGGTCGAGTCTTTTAAGGAAATTAAAATCAACAAGGCTCGTAAACTCCACTTGCTGATATCCTCACGCAATGAACACCCGCTCTTTCAGGATTCTCCGGTTGAATCCGAAGAAGAAGTCGCCCGTACTGTGAGCCAGGCTGGCCCGTTGTCTCCAGTACCCATTCCCGCTGCTGAAACATCCCAAAGCAAAATTGCTTCCAAAAAATCTTCCGCCAAACCATCATCGCGCCGCATGCGCAAGGCATCTGCATCCGCCGCGTCGTCATCATCGTATTCTCCTTTGGATGTGAATGCCGACGCATATGATATTCCTGCAACTGCACACGCAAAAGGAAAGAGAAAACATACAGCTGACAGCGATTCAGGAACGGAGATTGAGCAGCCACAGAGAACGACAAGGTCTCGCCTCAAACCTAACACGAAAGAAATTGCGCCTGCCAATGACCTCGAAATCGAGATCATTCCCCAGGAGGATATCAAGGGCCGCAAAGGAAAGCGGAAAGCTTTTCCTCTCCATGCAATAAACGAAGAGCAGGTGGAAGGTGATGGGGCACAATCAGCAGTTCCTGCCAAGAGAAGGAAGCGGAATGACGACCCGGAACGACCCAAACCCAAAGTACGGGGGGTTGGCAAAAATACGCTACCCTCTAGGGCAGAAAGTACTGCATCGACTGCCACTGTAGACCCCGAATCGGGAGGCTCCAGCAGTCATAAACCTGGCACAACAAAGAAGAGGAAGATCAATTTATTCCAATCCTCGAGCAAGATGGATCTTTCGAATTTGGATTTTGGTTCACAGGTGCGTTCAGTAATTGCTATGTTTAATCACTCGGAAAATCCTTACCTCCGGTTTAGGGAAGCGGGATCCCTTCAGTGCTCTCGCCTCTAAAACCAGAGCAAGCCATTCCTGCACGCTCGACCAGTTTTTTGTCGTTACTGAGACGTTAAATCCACTTCCTTGTTTGATGTTTGTTCCAATTGTATGTACACACATAATTGCACTTTTCAACGCCGAATAAGGTATGATGCATCCATCCTGTCCTCATTTGTAAGATTGGAATCATTCAAATTGAACAAATACGAGAACAAAAAAGTACATGATATACAAGACACAAAATTCTGTAGCCACGTCATGAAACTCCTCTCGACGTGGAAAGCGTGATTAGAGCGATTAAGGTGGCTTTATCTTGGTCTGAAGCACCTGTAACTACGTATAGTTGCACCTCAACCCGAGGTCCATGATGTAGCAAGACGCCCATACGAAACGACGGGGGTGCAGGTGGTTGGTAAACGGTGAAAAAAAATGTCGGCAAAATTTAGCTTTATAACGAATCAGCGCTGACAAATCTACTATCACCACGTGCTTCACGGGTTTCTTAGCCCGTTTTCCAAGTTCCGCTTTACCTTCCAGTCATGCCAAGAAGTGTTTTATACGTTTTGAATATTACATCTTTTAATTCTTAGCCACCATGAACATTCTCAAATCGCTGTTCTCCTCACCTCCGGCGCCTTTGAGCTACATGAAACTTGGTCCGGACGGCAGTAAAGATAATCCCTTAATGGTACGGATGGCGTTGCTGAACGTTGAACGTTGAAGTTAATATTGAGCGCACGACAATTCAAGATCCAATTCTTTACATGGGAATCCCAAGTAACAGAAACAAGCTGGTGGAAGCATTTTGAAAATGAGATACCGACATTGGCAGAAATGGGATTTACTCAAGTCTGGTTACCTCCACCGAACAAAGCAGCACATCCAGTAAATTCACTTGCGCCACTGTTGGGCAAATTGACTGAGAGTTGTTTCTCTTAGGAAGGAAGAGGATATGATGCGTATGATCTTGTAAGTCCATCTTGTGCCCTCTGGTAATGACCCCTTGTTCTCAGTATGCTACAGTGGGACTTGGGCGAATTTGATCAGAAAGGCTCGATCGCCACAAGATGGGGTGCGTGTTTTTTTGTACTCCATGTCACTCCATCTCCTTGACGCCTTGATCAAGGTTCAAAAGAAGAGTTTTTAAGCGCATGTCGCGTCGCGAAAGAACACCAAGTAGATATTATCATCGATGCGGTGCTCAATGTACGGGCTTAGGCGCCTTTTCTCTGCCGTCCGTAGTGAGAACTAAGTCCTGGGTAGCACAAGCTCGGGGCCGACAGAGTGGAAGAGGTCAAGGTTATTCCTGTCGATCCCCAAAATCGTCTGAAGGCACTTGGTCCACGACAAGAAATTGAGGTATCTGATTCTAGTGGTGGCCTTCAAGATGAGATTTGACTTTGACATTTTGGCTTTCACCTTGTATGCAGGGTTGGACAGTCTTTGACTTTCCAGGACGAGGTAATAAGGTAAGAGATCCTATCGTCTGTGCATGATTTTTCTTCACTGTTCACAGTATAGTAGCATGCGTTGGAACCAAGAATATTTCACTGGTGATGAGTTTTTCACGTACACAGGATTCGGACTGATTATACCTTAGGCCTCGACTGGGATCAGAAGACACAAACAAAAGGTGTTTTCAAAATTGTTGGAAAAGGCCACAAAGGCTGGTCAAAAAATGTTGATAAAGAGCTTGGAAATTATGATTACCTTCTGGGTGTCGATGTAGGTCAATGAAGATATCTGACAGCGTCGCAAAGTTCATTATACTCCCAGATTGACCATCGCCATCCCGAAGTACAGAGAGATTTCTTCTCTTGGGGATCGTGGATAATGGAGGTGTGTCTTGATCGTTCTGTCTCATTCAGAACACCTTGACGTGGCGAGGGTTTCAGACTACCGGTGCAGTTGGTTTCCGCCTTGATGCTATTAAACACATAGATCGTGGCTTCACTTTACGTTTCGTATGCTGTTCACCTTCATCAAACGTCGCTAAAATTAACTGCTGAACTGCTTCTCCGTCAGCTTCAAAGCACCAGAAAGTCCACAAACTCCAGAATGTTTTCAGTTGGTGTGCTCCATGTCGTCTGATTGCATGGGATGTTTAGGCTAATTGTCCATATAGCGGAATACTGGTCCGGCAAGTGTGTATCGATGATCATTCTCACTGTCGCAACGCTCATCTCGTTGAAGTATCAATTCTGTCTTACCTTATACTCGTGCTTTCAAAGGGGAGGTGGTGCCATTCTTTCCCTGTTCTTCCCGCGCACATACTCACTAATTTTCCACAGACAGCTTTCTTTGACGTCCCTTTACACATGAATTTTCACCATGCTAGTCAACACTACTCCCGCTATGATTTGAGGACCCTGATGGATAATTCCCTCGTCAAAATTAAACCTGGTCATGCAGTCACTTTCGTTGATAACCATGAGTACGTGTATTGCGAACTGATGTATCTCTCCAGTCTGATTATATTTGAAGCACTGTAATTCCTTATATATCACAGAATGAAGCTTCTGCTGATTCATTCCTACTTGTTCAGGTCGAGGGTCAGAGCCTCGAAAGTTGGGTGGGTACATACTCTGACATATCCCCTTTCCTGCAAGCCCACGTAATTTCCTCGATTCCATTAGGTTGGAGACCACTTCAAAATACAAGCATATGCTGTAATCCTTTTGCGGGGTACAGGGTACCCGTATGTCGTCATTTACTTTTGGCCTCAAAATATTTCTATCTTATTCTCTTGCTAGATGCGTCTTTTACGGTGATCTCTATCCCAACACAGAATGTTTCAACGAAAACATCGCCCGCAACCTCGAGCTACTTGTAAAAGCACGGAAATTGTATGCCTATGGTGGCACCCAGGACTACCCATCTACAAAGAACTGTATTGGTTTTGTTCGCATGGGTGATTCAACGCATTCCGGGTGTGCTGTTATCCTGAGTAATCGAGAGGAGTGAATTCGCACTTGCCACATTGTACAGCCGACTGATTGGGATTATCGAGTAGTGACTACGTGCATAGTATTCGAATGAACGTGGGACGGGTACGTTTTTTCTACGTAGTCGGACACAGCTAATGCAATTTCACAGTCCCATGCCGAATCAACATTCCAAAGCTACTTAACAACGGATGGGCGAGTAGAGATAGACGCTGAAGGCTGGGGTGAGTTTACTTGTTTTGCAGGTTCTGCTCAGGTTTGGGTTAAACTGGAGAGTTAATATGAGACGGTTGGTGCAGGATCAATTGGGCACTGGAGGATCCTTGGATAGTACAATGGCTATAATACATACGTTCAATCAATCTCGTAGAGGTAGCACCTTTTCGATTTCCCTGAGTGCCTGCATGACTACTTCGTCTGCATGACGCTTGGACACCAGCTGCAAGGAGAGGGGCGCATCATTGGACAATAATGGGTCATCTTGTGATCGTAGGCTCAGGATGCATCAATGTGCGCAAAAAGGTTGCTTCACTCACATGCTGCTGCACAATAGGCGTCAGCCTCACTCCAAGCCTCTCTAGGTTCGGTATCTTTGGGATCTAATGTAGCGCTTGCCTTCAGTCCGGTAGGGAATACGGCTGCTGGAAAGTCTGCGCAGTTGAAAGCGGAGGTATATCTATAAGTTCAAGAATAAGAATCTGGAAAAACTCGGTATAACTGGAGTTTTCAGAATTCTCACCCCCAATATTTGGTTGTTTGAAGAGGTTGAGCAGCTCCGTATTGGACAGGACAAAGTAGAACATCGATATTCTGGGAGTTCCAGTGCGAGTAGTACTTTGCTCTAAGTGCGTCCCGTTCGAGTAGCAGCTGATAACGATGGTTGGTCACATGTTAAACAAGCTGAGATTGAGCTCGTGGACTAAGACGAACCTCCCAGAGCTGGTGAGATGTGTGGTCTTTGACACCCGGGAGGCTAATCACCCACTCAGTAAGATGACAAAGTGGCTCTCCAGTGACAGCAGCTCGAGCATGCACACTTGCGCCTTGCAATTTTTAAATTTGACTCTGAATGCAAAACAAGCCACCTACCTCCATCAGTAAAATAAAGAGATTGCTATTATTTGAAGAAGATAAATTTGTCAGAAAAATAGGGACTGAAGAGTAGGCACACTTACAGCCATGAGTACCAATTCTTTGTGAAATTTAGGATCATAATCAACTATATCAAAATTATTCGTCCTCTTTAAAGCTTCAGTCATTGCTTTGAGGGCACGCCGAACAGGCGGCTGAGGTTGCACGTTTCCATCGTCCCACATCACACCCAAACGAATCTTGCCTGTCCACTTTATATTTTCAGGCTTCCACGGGAGAGGAACAAGACCCATGTCCTGTAACCAAGGTTGGGTCTTGAGAACAACGTCAAAGAAGAGGACGATGTCTCTTGAGCTACAAATGAAGACTTTACTGTCAACCCGGCGAAATACCTTTGATTCAGACACTTGAACCAACCTTCGGGCAAGAGGGCCACAAGTAGCTAGGATTGCATCATTACCAGGTACCACCCCGCAGCCTGGCAAACCATTGCTAGGTAGGCGACCGGTTGTAGGCTCTGTCGTCCAACATCAGACACCAAGAAAAATGACAAAAGAATGATTGTACTGAGGGTATAAATTCCACAGCAGGAAGCAGGTGAGCGTAGACTTCCACCGATATCAGAACCAATACTTAAAGGAGAACCTCCAAATGCAACCAAAGCCCCACAACCGCCGGAGCTTCCCCCACTAGTGAGGTGAGTATTATAAGGATTCAAAGTTTGTCCCCAAAAGGATTTGGTTTCAAGATGCATCATGGACTGGGGAACATTGGTTTTACAGTAAAACACTAGGAGAAAGAATGCGATAGTTGGGTCGATAAGAAACGAATGTATGCGCATTGTTCGCACATATACATACCACATCCTGCATCCCAGAGGATTTGATTTACTGGGGAGTTTTCAGTTGAAATTAGCCTGTCTAAATCGCCCGAAAAACCACCAGTAGCTCTCTTCCCTTTGAGACCCATATAATCCTATGTGATTTAACAGTAATGATCGTTTTAAGTAGATGAGAATTGAGGAATTTAAGGTTTGCTGACTTTGACACTGATCGGAAGCCCTGTAGTAGCCAAGTGAGCTCGTGTTCTACACAGTGAATTACCAAAATTATCCCACCATGGAGAGGACCGGCTAACTCACCGGTCCTTTCGTAGTAATCGTCAAGCTCTTTCGCACGAGCCAATCCTTCCTCGAATGAGATCTGGGTGAGACAACAAAGCAACTGATGTGCAATCGCTGCCCGCTTCATAAACGCGGTCAAAACTTCGACGGCGGTGACATCTTTGTTTTTGATAGCGGAGAGAATCTGTATCATAGAAAAGAGTAAGGAGAAGATCCACAACAGAGATCGAGAAAAGTTTACAGCCGTCGCGTCACTCGATGTGTCTGTGATTTGGAGTTCTTTCTCAGACAATAATCCACTCGTAGCAGCAGCATTGAGTACATCAGATCCAGCAGGATAGCTTGCGATAAAGTCGAGAGGAAGACGTAAATCGGCCGGAATGCTAGCGTCACGCTCTGCCACTGCATTGCGAGCTGCTTGGGGCCATGACGGGTAGAGCGACTCCATGGAACAAGACAACGAGATCGTGGTGGTCTGGTTTGAGATAAGGAACTCAGGACCGAAGACTCTTACCTCTATATATACGATGTCAATCTCCCATGATCCTTGTGGGAGTTAGAGGGACTTTTCCTGCATATGATAGAAAACTTACAATATCTATGAGAAGCGAACCATACCATGACCAGTAGCTACAAGCTACAATTGCACCAAAGGAACGCATAGCACACACATATACAAGAACCACTGGAGCTGCTCCCCGCGCCTTGTACTTGCTTCACTGAAGAGTTCAATAAAAGTATGAGAGGCGCCCGTATGCACGTTGTTGTAGTGTACATAAGCGCGCAGAAATCCGTTGGTATTTCTTCCACTCCACAATGCTATGCTGTTCTCGTAGATATCTTAGTCTCATCCCCACACGCAATCTCGCACTATCAACTTTCACTCGAAGTTTTGCTACCGGATCTTCCGAAGAGGGAAATGCGCTTAAAATAAAACCTAAATCTACGACTGCTCTTCGGCGTACGGCTTCAGCTTCACTACCCATCCGGGCAAACCCGACTCCTACTAGAAGCAGTATCGAAACTGTATTTACTCTAGCCACCGCGCAAAAATACCTTCTTTCTCGCCTCCAAAACCATCTGTATTCTGGTCACTTACTTACCGGCGCTCGAGTTCTACATGAAGCTTTCTGGATTCCAAATTGGAAGCAGGGAGAAATCTTCGTCTTTGGTAATGGAAGCTTTGTATGCTGGGGCCTTGGAGAGAAAGACGCGCGTAATTTCGAATCTGAGGTATTACGACCGGTCCCTGGCTTTCAAGTAGCATTATTAAAGGAAGCAGAAACCGAAGAACTGGAATTCGTAACTGACCGGACAGAGTTGAGGCAACTTCTCGTACTTCAGGTTTTCGGAGTCTGACTATCATGTCAACAGAGAAACCCGTCTTCAAGGTACTTCACCTCTACCATTCATACAACATGGAGAAATAAGACGCCATCCGATTCAGGTGACTTGATCATATTAGGAAAAACGACGCCCCTCGACACTAAGGACGCATCACTCTCCACATTACCGCCCATGGTCTTCCCTCGAGAAACATTATACGCTCGATACGCGTTCTCCCAAGCATTGTCGCGTTCTACAGCTCTTTCCGGGCTTGAGGTGTCATTGGATGATTATCTATCTTCGATGACGCATCTGCCCCATGCTCTCGAGGAAACCGGGAAGCCTGGAATGAGTCGCAAGGCGCTCATCAAGAAACTGGGCGAATTAATGAAATTCAGGCAAGGACTGAACCTGAACAGGGAGAACTTTAGCGACATTCCTGACTTTTATTGGACTGAACCAGAACTAGAACGTGAGCGGTATAATTTATTCTCTGACAATGACTATAACGCCATCGATTTATCAGGATACTTCAAGTCGATGAGCGATGCTTTGGAAATCAAGCTCCGCACGGATTTGGTAAATGACAAAATCACGTATGCTGCCGAAGCACAATCAGTATTGAGACAATTATTGACGGAGGTAGGCATATCTGTTCAGATTCTGTTCCTATATGTCTATTTAATCATGTTATTTATTTCAGTCGTCCTCGCATAATCTTGAACTTATTATCATAGCTCTGATTGCTGTTGAGGTGGTTGTGGTGAGGCTGCCACACCCTGGATAGTTTAAATTCAATCCTCATAATCTTTCTTAGGCACTTGTTCGCGACGGGCCAGAACTTTGGGAGATGCTCAAGGGAGACTCAGCAAAGAAAGAATCAAAGGAAACTTGATGCTGAACAATTGTTTTCTCAATCTTGTCTTGTCCTTCCTTTTGGGTGTTTATTATATGTTTTATGATCTTAACCCCAAAAAATCACCTGTCTGCTCAACGTCAAATCTTAGCTGTCGAGGTCAAAGGTGGTGTTCTTGAACCTACTTGCTCACTGACACACCCTACAATAGAGTTGCACAGAATCACACAGTATCATGTATATAACAATTTCATTGTGCAACTAGTGGCATGTGCATAACCATGAAAGAGTTATTAAGAATTTGGCCTGGTGTATTTGATTTGAAAACACGGCAGGTGAATTGAACACGATCGAAGCAAAGCCGAAGCTAAGGCCTCAATGTTGTCTCACCACCTATTGAGCAAAACCATTCAGGATTCAGGAAGATCTTCAGTAAGGATGTTGACAGACTCACCTGGCGTAAACACAGAGACTGCACAACCTGGAACTCCAGACTCCTCAGTCTCCGTGATCTAGTAGCTGCTTGCTCTGCACAGCATCATCAATGGAACATCATCTGCAATCCCACCTGCAAGTATAATTCAATGTGGAATATTGGGTAGAAGAGAACGCAACACACTCGTTTGGCAAATTGCATTAGCCCTCATCGATTAGCGACACCGTCTCGTGAACTGCTATTGGAATGAAATTGATAACAACCAGTACAAAGCATGGTATGGTAAAACGTACCCAGTTACTATACTCGAATATCTCTTCGGTTAAGGAGGGGTCCTTACAACGAGGTAGGTCCAAAGAAAATAAACTTGCGAGCAGTACTCTTATATAGCTGCTGGTTAAGGGCAGGCGTACGATTAACCTCGGAATTTGCCGCGTCGCGTTGACTTTGGTTGTACTAAGTCCATCTCCTCAATTCAAATCAGGTCCAATTCACCAACTACATGATGATGACAACGATACAGTCGACTCCCTCTTAACCCATACCCCTCCGTGGAGGTCCAGACCTATGGGTTATGGGAGAGTATGGGTTTATGGGGTGGTCACACCGAGTGACATACGTGACAATTTGCCTAATCGGGAGCTCTAACACCTCATACATGGGTTATCTTAGCTCAAAATTAGTGTAAATCGACCATTTTAATGAGTTAGTATTAATTTTGTGCCAATTGTCTACTGAATGATCCCATTTTGGGAGTATCAAATGCAATGATAGCAATCAAGGTATGGGTTATGGGTAAAAATATAGCAGAGATTACCCCCAAAAAGGTATGGATTATGGGGTATGGGAGAGTTATGGGTTATGTATGGCATTTCCCTGCAAACGAGGTCGGTAACTCAGAAAATGTATGGAGTATAAGGGAGTATGGGTTTATAGGGGTATGGGTTAAGAGGGAGTCGACTGTACTGTACCTCTATGTACAGTTACAACCGTCACGTGTGCGTCACGGTCCCCATCAAGGCGACGAGCCCCATTTCGACCGTGACATGGGCGACTGTTAATATTTTAGTCCATTATTCCGAGAGGTTTGGTTAGTGCTGTGGGCATATGATGATGAGGGGAATCTGTGGTCAGAGACAGGAAATTTCAGGTAGCAGTCTTGTAGGAACCAAATCTATTATTTTAGCAATTTTTTGATGTCACGGTCGGAACGAAGTGCAATTGAGACCAACAGAAAAGACCATGCGGGTCACATCTCGTAACAGATCATAACGAGATGTGACCTGATGCGTAATGACAGGTCCCCTTTAGGGACTGCACTGCATCACCCGACGGATCCACGCGCTCCGGCCAACGAGCGGGCAATCGACGGCGGTGGAAGCAAACCCGTTAGTAAACTAACCAAATCCACGGTGCCATGCCAAGAGACAGATTCAGAGCAAGAAAGTAAAGCAAGAGGATGGAGGATGCAAGCAGCAGGATTTTGTATGAAGAGTTGTATGAAGAGTTGAAAACTCACAGTAGAGATTGCATGATGTTGAAGGAGGGCACGTATCCAAGTTGTTGTGATGATGTGGACGGGTGGACAGGACAGCAAAGGATATGAAGTTTGTGTGAGTGTAAGTGTGAGGAGGGCTGAGGGGGACGGAGTTGCTGCTTCCAAAGATGTGATGACTACGTGTAATAGAAAGCCCGTTGCGGAAATTGTATATGCTGTGAACAATGGTGGGAATGGTGGGAGATGTCAGCGCTGCTGCTTATGCTTAGATGTTAGCTATGTTCAACAAAGTCAACCAAATCTTATATGTGACAGTGAGCTTGTGTAGGCTTGTGTTGTCCATTGAGTAAGTAATTCATTGATCTAAGGGTCAAAACAATTGTATCAAGCAACGTTATGTGCATCGTCTGTATAATCGTCTTTTTATTCCAGCAATCTCGTCTCTTCAGCTTTTTCTCTCTGCCATAAATATTGCGAAGTTGAGTGAGCAGACAAAAAAGACAATGTCTACGGAGATATCAGGTTACAATTATGCACCCAATTGTGCCTGTCCTTCTCGGTTGTCCTTCTCCATGTCTGCCTCAGTCTTTACATTCATGCTAGGTTCAAGGGATAGCGGGGTATAGTTAAGTTGGCATTATATTTTACAGTACTAATGAATAAAGACAGTCCAAGTTTTATACTAGCTCATCTTCGCTATCAGTAAGCTCAACAAGACCTAAATATTTACTGCCAGATCGACTACGCTTGGAACTGCTCCCAACAACGAACTCGCTCTGTTTTCGCTTCGTTGGAAGCTCAAGTGAACTACGGCTACCTAGATTCAATTGAAGCATTGGTTTGAACGGAAAGATAATGCGAGCTTACCTGAAGCTTCTAAAGCCATGTTCGGGTTCTGAGTAAAGATCCTATGCGGACGGGGACCTGCAAGTAACAATGAAGTAAGGCTGAAATAACATACAAGGGACAATGAAACTACCTACCAATCAATTGGTGGAGATTGATGACTTTGTGTACGTTATTTGTAGCCACGGCAATCATCGCGACAGGGACTTTGACTCTCCGGCTTTTGGCAATGGCAGAATTGAGACCAGTGAGTTGAACGAAAAATGCAGTACTGAACGTGATTGGAATGGTCTCGTCTGCATTTTTTGCTGTGAAATCCAGCGCTTTTTTGCTGAGGATGGTGGTTGAAAGGGTAGGTACATAAGAGTTCCCATTTCTGTCTGTCTCGAATTCATTCTGGAGGCAGGGAACTAAAAATTCGGAGTTTTTGATGTTGTAGGCGATGTATTTCTGACAAAAATCATCAGTAGGTATTGTTCCGCTGTGCAGAAATACATACAGAAGACAACATCCGGATAATAACTCCAGGCCAAAGATCGTGGTGAAGATGTTCTAACATAACCTTCGGGGACCAAGCAAAGTGTTCGGTAGAAAATGCTACAATTCCACTAATGTTAGGCAGTGTTGATAGCTTGAGGGAGCCTGATACAGATAGCCCTTTGGAAGAACTAGTTACGGGATTAAGGAATGTTCCCAGGACATCTAGATCCTCAAGCGTAGGAAATCGGGAGTCCCGGAGAATCTTTGCTCGCACAGGGCTACAGATGCCCATTTTACCTTTCTTATTAAACTCGATTTCATGTGCCATGTCTCTGTTTAAGTCTTGACAGGCCTGAGTAAGTTGTTGTGATATCATGGAAAAGGATTTGTAGGCCTTGAGAAGAGTGTCACCGAAACCACTTTGTGCAAGGCGGAACGCAGTTTGAGCTCCTATTCCGTTTATACCGCTACCCAGATCATTGCGAAGGAGTAAGGCAATTAAAAGGAAGCCTGCTTGTGAGAACCCGATGGCTCTGACAGAGTAAATACGGACGGACAGTTCTTGCCAATATCTTGATTTATCCCTACATAAATTTAAATTTTGGATAGCACAAAATGCAGGCTACTCACTGCGGTACCACGAGATTCATGACTGATTCCGCTCCGAGGGGAAAAACATCGCTATCTTTGGAGAGAACAGTATCAATAATGCCCTGCTTGAGCATGTCAACTATTTCCGCTTCTGCGTCGCCTGGAGCCTGTTGATGCTTACATATCTTGTTCATTCAAAGATATACAGACATACCATATGGCAGTGATAACCGAAATGCTTGACTAGTGTTTTCGATTGCTTCAAATAGTCCAATTCATTTGTGATGACTTGACGGCCTCGTTTGACTTGTGCGCGTTCATCCCCATCATAGACAAAGATACAGTGGGCACCGGTCTTTGATAAACCGCACAGGAATTTGAAGAACTGGGTGAGCGTTGTATTGGAGCCATGAAGCTGGCCTACAGCCATTCCAGCGGCATGGAAACCATCCAAGAATGAACTATATACATTGTATATATATTGGCGAGAGTTTATGAGATATAGATTCATTTACTTGCCTGACGTCTACCCCAATAACAACTGTCCGTGAGCCGTGGTGTTTGTTGATGAACCCATGCTGAACTACGAATTCCCTGAGCTGGCATGAAATTGCACAATCATCTACGAGCTGTAACCCAAGTATTCAGAAATGTTAAGAGGCATTGTATGGCTACTCACAGGCCAAAGATCTTTTATTCCCATAATGACTGAATATTCACAAGTAAGAAGACGAAATAAAGTGATGAGAACAGCTCCTATTTCTCAAAGAGGGGTACTCGGTACAGAGTTCTAGCCAATGCAGGCACTGAAGGAACTACGGATTTTATGTGTGCAAAAATATCATAGGACGGCTTTCAAAACCTATTGCATGTATCGCCGACAGCATGCTCAGGATAGCCAATTAAGACTAGATATACAGATGCAAAAGTGATCTCTCCCTTGTCTTTGCCCTATCCTCTGTTAAATAACCCTTGGGCTGGGCATGCGGCATGCGTGTGAAGTTCTCAGCCTTGTTACAGTAGTGGTGAAGGAAGATGCGGTGTAGAGGATCTGTAACGAAGGGCAACAGCGAATCACCTGGTTCATTTCTAAGTATTGTGTCCGTTCCAAGGCAAAGCTCAGCTTTGCATGCGAGTTCATCCTCGAAAGCTACCACCCGGTTAGTGAACTTTGTCACCTCTGAGGCTTAGAGGGCTCACCTGATGGCTTCCAGAACCTCAGGCAAGCATGAGAACCTCACCTGGACTCACGCTTTGCGGGTACGTGTTCGCAACGTACGCGTTCGAAACAACGGAAAGGAGGTCGCCGTCCGAGTCGCATGCAAACCGTGCCGTGTTGAGGGGAGTGAAGCTATCGGTGGTGGTTCATGGTTCAAGGGTATAGCGACAGAAGGAAACCTGGTGTTGTTGATACGTTTCGGCGCAGCGGTGCAAAGTTTTGGTGAAGGTGCGAGTAGGCGGCTAAAAATAGCAGATGAGGCCGGAGTTTGTGCAGATGGTGTTGCCTTGAGATTGGAGGATGAACAGGTGAAGTGATTGTGGGAATGGCGGCACCTTAAATGGCAAGGAAACCGGAGGGGCACCCTGAGGGTACCTATCAAACTTGGATAAAGCAATGAAAAGGAGGCTACGCACCTACGAGCTGAAGACGTCGTATTCGCGAAGGGATCTTCCTGTATGATTTGAAAGCCTATCAGGCTGGAAGAATGCGAACAAAAGAGATAGTTGTTTGGACGGCTCTGAAGCAGAGCTTGTTGGGTGAGTTGGGTGTAAAAGAACGTCGAGAAAGGCAGAGATGGGAGATATAAAGGCGAGTAAGAGTGTGTGAGGGTCGATGGGGTTCCGGACATGAATATTGGGTCGAAGCTTTGTTGGGATGGCTGGGGAAAACAGCGAGCTACAGCATCGTAGCCACAGTTGACGCGAAAAAAAAATGCGCGCTTAACCGGAAACTCCCGTTAGAGCGCGCGTTTAAACGGAATCGTTTGCCCGACCGCCGTCACGCGTCCTTGTTGATTGTGCTCTCTCTTGTTTGCTCCCTCCTCACCACCACCAATTCCCTGTTGAGATGGGCTCTAATCTAGGTGAGTGCCCTCATTCATGATTTTATCTCTCCACTTCTCTTCCTGTTTGAATTTCCCAGCCAACAGATGCCCAGCCCATCATCTAGGCAAGGCTCTGTTGGCTGCAAATTCCTCCTGGAACGTGTTTTCTTTGATAAAAAACCCCCTCATCATTAACCTCCCTTATGAGATGAACTGAGACTGATCTCTACGCGCAGGCGATGCTGTCCCCACTGCTCGTATCAAATTCCCTTCCTTCGACCTTTCTTCTGCTCTTGAGGCCGATCACAAAGCGCGCATGGCTGCTGAAGATGCCGGAGAATCCTTAGATGATGGAGAGGTAGAATTTGAGGACGACGAAGAAGCTGACGAAGAAGTGCGCGCAGAACCGCTACCCCCCAACGATCTTTCCAACAGCTCTCCCTCGCTATCCCGCAACAACAAGAAGCACGCGAAGCTTACGAAGTGTTCGCGCGCAAAACGGGCTGCGGAAGCGGTAGAACGCGTCGCGAGGAGGGGCATAAAGCCTTTCGTCATCGAGCTGGCTAAAGGAGCTTTGCCCATACAGCTTGAAGACTTCAACGCCTCCACTCTCCCCGTGTCGTCTAGCGGCTGGAACGCCAATCCTCGCAAAAAGCTCTCTCCTGGGCTTCAAAGGGTTTGGAAAGATCTTGAAGCCCTGAGCACGCTGAGTGGCTTGAAGCTTCTTCAATGGGACGGGCAGTGTGTATAGCTTGTCTTTCCACTGTGAATTTAATTGACACGTCTCTTTCTAGGAGCTGCGTAGTGCTTGTTGATGCTCATGACCGTGTTATCGCAGTCCTTGGCGGAGTTCCTCGCGGGTCCAAGGGGGCAGAATGGCAGGCAGTCGAAGCTGAAGCTGCTGCTGCTGCTGTGCGTTGCCGTGAGTCCAGCACCTTCACCGCAGCACAGAAACATGGCCGGCGTGGAGAATTTGCCTCCCGAACAGTGGGATACGGTTATGGCAATGGGCGGCGCAAACCACAGAACTACAAAGTCTCTGGCAGGGCCAACCAAAGCGCCGTACAAGAGCTTCTTCAAAACACAGCGATTCGCCGCATCTCAGGCTTTCAAAACGGTACAACCTTTGTTTCTCGTTTTCTGAGCCCTTTGAACGTTAACGGAACTCTCTGTAGCTCTATTCAACACCTTCTGCCACAAGAACTATGCAGAATATAGAGATACGAACGACGCAATACAATGTAAGCAGCCCGAGCTGCGTGCTAGCTTCCCAAACACTGCCTTTGCTGCGACCACCTTCAACCTGGGACCCCGCTCGTTTTCACCTCCTCACATGGATCCTGACAACCGTGCCTCCAGCTGGTGCGCTGATACCAACATGGGACCATTCGACCCCGACAAAGGTGGACACCTCGTGCTCTGGGACCTTGGGCTCATCATCCGCTTTCCTCCTGGCTCCACCATCCTCTTTCCCTCTGCACTTATCACCCACTCTACCATCCCCATTCAAGCACACGAGAGCCGCTACGTGATGATACAGTACTCTTCTGGTGGCCTCTTCCGATGGCGCGACAACGGGTTTCAGTCAGACAAATCCTTCTTAGAAAAGGCAACTGCTATAGAACGCGCTGAACGGGAAGCATCGCGGGCTTCACGGTGGAAATTAGGCCTGCAGAAGTTTACGCGATGGGCAGACCTTTGCAGGGGTGATTGGAGGGGTACAATCCGTACTGTTGCTGGCCTGGATGAAGTTAGTGATCTTTCGGACCTTGAGGAGTCTCTAATATTACAACCGTCTAAACGCGCCCGTTGCTAGTGAAGTAATATAATTGTATCTCGGTTAGTGACCATACAATAAACCTGCGTGTTTCTGCATGTTTCTTGAGATAAGTATTCCCTTGAGTTTGCCTCCAGGGTTCCTTGAGGCTTGTTAGAAATCGTATTAAACCCCTGTAGCTGCTCTCTTACCAGCTGGGGAATGCGCTGCACAAACAGAACCGCACTTTGTTAGTAATAGGGGTTCGATTCATTCCTCTCTCAACTTCAACCTCAATGGCCATCGACATTTCCACCAACAACTCGTTTTCTGGGCTGTTTAAGGTCATTACCGAAGAACAACACCTGGACCCTGCTGATATCCTGGACGATTTGGAAGAAAGCCATGATCAAGTTGAGGTTGACCTCTCTGGGCTTAGCAATGCAGTCCGCGAGGTTTCAAAAGGTGTTTCCGAAAAGACATCACAAGAATATCTCCGGTGTGTATCAGTTCAGTGCTCCATTCATCTTGCTAAGGATTAATTTCACCCAAGGCTGATGAAGCAATGCAATGCCTTCCTTGTCAATCGGCAAATGATTGCTGAGGGGACTCAATTTTTTTGTGACAGCCCTCATCCTCAAGCAGCAGTATATATAGTAGCCTGGATCATGGACTCGTAGGACAATACATATCATTTCGAACAGCTAGCTAACTCTTTTCTTAGGTGTGATCCAATCAGGCTCGATGGTTCAACTGTAATGGAAGAACGCTCAACGTACACTCATGCACAGAAGATGAGAGCAGCTGCAACCTTTGGATTTGGACGGATCCATGGTTTGGGCATGCAGGCTTGGCACCGTAGTGAAATTTCTGGTAAAATGCTTGGGAACCCTTCAGTCTCCGAGACTGTTTCCACATATATGCTTAGTCTTCGTCGTCGCAAGGTTAGCCTAAATTTCATGACTATACCTAGACATTACTGTAACCATTATTAGACACAGAAAGGGGACACACCAACTAGTGCCCGTGCTGTTAGATCTGTAAGCTTGATCCTCATAATACCACTGGCGAACAGCATTAATACACAAATATGTCAGGGCTTACTCGAAGACCTTTATCATTTCAACAACAAGCCCGAGTTTCAAGAGCCTCAGACTTATCAACCCTCCTCCCACAATGCTCCCAAAGGACAACTGGGCCCGCGTGGACGTACACTTTTGACCCTTGGCTACAACCTTGCCTTCTGTGGGCTACTACGCATCGATGAATTGCTGAAAATCCAACTGCAAGATATTACAATCACCAAAGATCCAATTACCGGACGAACCAAGCTGAGTCTTCGGCTCCCTTTCCGGAAAACTAGCCAGTTTGGTGGTAGGTCCCAAAATAGTATGCCCAGTACTTTACCTGAATGCTTTAATCAGATATCAAACCGTTTGTCTGGTACGAAATGCCAGAGGAGTATCAACATCTCTGTGTTGTGCGTGCATTTGCATGGTGGATTCTTATTTCGGATTTGACAGAGGGATATTTGTTTCGTAAAATCCGAGCCAACGATCGTCTCGCTGAGGAGAATGAACCGATGGTAAGTTTGAGTATCTGTGGTGTCCTTTGTCTCATCTTGTTGTAGACGTCAGAACAGTTCCTTGAAATGTTTCGCAACAACCTTCTTGATATCAAGGTTGATTTTGTTCCCTATGGAACTCATTCGTTTCGACGCGGCGGGTGTCAATGGTTGTCGGTAGAACGACGATGGCCTTTGCGTCAAATCTGTGAGTGGGGAGGATGGAGCCAGGAATTCACGCACTTAACCATTGTGAAATATCTCATTTCGTGGAACGACAACCCTCATGTGGACCGAGATGATTTCTTCAATATGGATCGTACTCCTACTATAGCTTGCCTGACTTGTAATCGCTCTTGTCATTGTGCTTAATAGAGTAGAAGGCATAGTTATCAGAATTATTGAAATTATACATTGATTGGATAGGTAATATTCGTGTACCCTACACCAAATGTTTTGCCAAATCAAGGTATCGACGAGCAATGGCTGATGCATTTGTGAGTACCTTTCCGCGATTGTTAACAAACACCTGAGAAAAACGTTCGCCGTATTCAGCCTTTGCTCTGTCCATAAGCCTCTGGTCCTGTTCAGCCCTAAGATCACGCAAGCGGGTAGCAATTGCATTCCAGTGGAAACGCTGGCCGTTGCTAGACGAAAACTCTCCCCAGAACTCATCGGGGCTACTCGATCGATAGCGTTCTGCAACATACTATCGAATGACTCAATGGATAGTGCATATGTTGAAATCAAGGAACATACCTTCCACTCAATCCACGATTTTTTTAACCAGCCCCACGCACCACCTTTCTTCCTGCAGAAGACGTCACGCCAATACCGGAGTGCAATAGCAACACCATTTATATTGAGAAGGTTCTTCCCGCAGTCAGATGGGTCCCAGTTCAGGCCCTCGTCATCCCATACTTTATCCAAACGAGCAATATTGGTGGCAAAAGATATCTGTCGAGGCTCACGAACATCACAGAAATTATACTTGATAACCTGTCCGTATCCAATGGTTAGGTACTCAACTCTATCAAGCTCCGACGCGTTGTTGGGGGGTACATTGTTTGTCAAAGAGTGAGTTGGTGGTGCTGCACCATCTGCAGGTGCCATATCGCTCATTACGACCTCGTTCGAAACTACAGCATTGCGAGGTACTGTCATAGGAGTGGAGGGAGCAACGTGCTGGCTTGCAAAACCGGTGGCCAGAGCGAGGGAAGGAGCATGCTGGCCCGACGCGCAGCCATGGTTGGGAAAGTTCGTCATAGGAGTGGGAGTGAGGAGAGGGGCAGGTTGATTGAGGTCAGATGCACCGGTTTGAGCACATAAGCTTGCTGCTCAACAGAATATGAGTAAAGCTTACGGAGCGCAAGGATAGGCTTACAGGATATAGCCCCAGCACCACAGTATGGAAGTGAAGCTGGCGCCAGCCCAGGGGGAGGGAGGCTCGGAATCATACCTAGCTCAGGAAAGTTAGGCAGGCTGTCAAAGGGGAATACAAAGATCGCCACATACCGGCTGTACTTGATAACTGCGCAAGCTTTCTATGCGATTCGAGAGGGGTTTGCAACGTTTGTGAGGAGCCAACTGTCAAACTTTGAATAACAGCTGTAAGGCTGGCGATATGTTGGGACATGGACTGTAGATTCTCCGCTATCTTCACCTGCCCAAGCAAAACAACAATAAGAAACAGCTGACAGGAGAAGAGTGAGCACAGGCTACGTACCTTGGTTGCTGCTTTCTCTTTAGCCTGTTCCTCTTCCCGGGCTATCCTTCTTCGGGTAAGCTCCTCACGCGGGATGTAGGGATGGGAATCATGGAATTTTTTTGCCTATGACAATGACAAACCAATGAAATTGAAGCTCAAAAGTCACAGACTACTCACCCAGCGACGAAGCCCATTCTTTTCCTCCAAAGTTCGCATATCCTTCGAGCGTTCTGTGTCAAAGAGCACCGTACCGAGTGGAGTATTTGATGGAAGCCCCATCAAGTCATTCCTTCGCATGACCGAAGGCTTCAACTTTTTAACCTTCTGGGTCACGGTCGGGGTCGTAGTGCCTTCCTTGGTCTTTGGTTTGTTCTTGGCAATACCACCTTCACGGACACCACGGTGAGGACGTCGGATTCCAGGGAGGAGGCTTCAATAATTATATTAGGTACCTGGCGGCTAGAAAGGTTTGGCGACGTACCATTGCCAGCGAATTCTATTCTCACTAAACCCAGCAATCCTATTCTTCAGAACTATCTTGTTGCCTAGGCCGCTCAGGGAATATTGTTTACAGAGCTCCAGTAGGGCCGGACGTGAAAGTTTATTGCTGTAAATGAAAATGAGGTGCAGGAACAGCAATTTGAGAATGACTATACGCACATATCTTTGTATGCAACATGGAATACGCCGTCATATTTGCAGGGAAGTGCGAGTGTTCCAGCAGGCTGAGGCTCAGGAGGATACACAATTTCGACCTTCTTGCCATCTATTTCGATATGATTCATGGCTGCGCCTGCGGCAAGATTATTGCTGGGCAAGTCAATATCCATGGCCTCGACAATTTGCTGACAACGTATCGTGAGGAGACTGAGCACGGTAGCCTGTGTGTCGAGGGTATTGTGGACAACAGTGAGGAATTCGGGATCGAGGTCGTCGAGACTGGTGATGAGCAGGTCCAAAGAGCCAGCGGCGGGAGCAGCAGCGCCACCATTGTCGATCGAACTGTAAGGGACGCCGAGGGTTAATAGCGTTAACGGAGGTAAAATAAATGAGAGGGACAGGCGAAACGACGGGCAAGCGACCGGCCAATCCATGGGTGAGAACGAGATCAACAGTAACGTGATTGCCATTCAGACGGACGATGCTAATTCGGCCGAAAATTGCATCGTCAAAATCCGATCAAATTTGACCGGGCCTGTCATCCGGGCGTGACTTCACCGTCTATACTCAGAGAGAAGGCGACAGGCTTAACTTTTACCGTGACATCACGGTAAAAAGGCGACACGACGAGGCCTCCGTGACCGTGACCGTCGCAACTGTACATAGAGGTACAGTAATTAGAAATACTAAGGAAGAGAACATCTTTATTTCTTTATGAAAGTGGTCATCCCCTGAACAGATACACCTGAACAACTCCTTTATTAGCAGGTACTCCATGGCTGATTCATGAGTAAACTCACCGACAATAAGGCCGGAAGCTTTTGCTGGACCTGCTATATCTACTTTCTGAATGTTCTGTGCTTGTCCTGGAGCATTCAGGGACAAAACGTCGATAGCAGTCGCGTTCGCAGCCAAGATATACATGAAACTGCAACGCGCCATGATCAGTAAGGTAGAAAACATCTATATGTCTGCAACTAACTCTTTTCCGCCTACTGAAGCGATATCATTGTCGATGGTACCACTGTTGCTGCCCTGTGCATATTGCTACACATATGTTGTTAATACAAATTTTGCTGATGTTTAATTAGGCATTCGTACCTTCACAATAGATCCTTTCAAATTGTCGTCTACATTGACTTCAGTGACCATGGAAGTCCCGATGTCAGTCAAATAAAAGTTTCCCGTTTGGTTGCTAAAGCTAGACCAACAGGTAGCTGATTGTCCATCGATGGGCACAACGGACGAAGCATTGCCGCCAGAAGTGCTCAAATCGAAGATATCAAAACCAACACCTGCATCGGTAGCTAGGAGAGCGTTCTTGCCTTCAATCACAGTCATCGAGAATGGAAGAAGACCTCCCTGCGACGGTGTGATGGTTTTAAACACTGGCGACAACGAACCATCGGTTGCGACGTCCCAAACTGCTAGAAATCCGGGAGTTGGAGGTACACCCTTCACCGAGGCAATCAATTGGGTATTATCTTCTGAGAAGATTATGTGACTGGCACTTCCAGCAGGGCCGGTGGCAGGTGTGGTTTGGTTGAGGTTTAAGGCGCGGTTCGTTCCCGATAGATTTATGAGGCCTTTAGTTTGGTCGACCTTGAAGCAACTAGTGAAATTCATATGGTCAATGATCCTTAGAGGCTCACGTATATTGATATTTTTACAGACCTGACACCATTCACTTGACCACCATTCAAAGCACATAGTGTATCACCTACTTTGTTAAATGCCAATGACATAGGAAACTCTCCACCACTGCCGACCGGGTCTCCGATTCGGTTGAGATTTATGGGGTCGGATGGGTCAATACTGAAAATTGACAACGTATTCGAACCGGGCTGACGCGCATTTAGTGGAAGAATGTAGTATGCTGTAAGTACGATGTCTTACATTTACTGTGGCCAGCACGTTCGCCGCGGCGCTGACTTTGACAGCTCCCTGAGAGAAGAGTCCATCAGGACCATCAGTGACTCCTCCATTGTTTCCGTGCAATCCAAGGCCACCAGTAGCGATTGCTTGTCGAAGGTTCTGGTGGAATGTATTAAATACAGTTGCTGAAAATATGCGAAAAGTAAAAGTGATCTTACCAAGGTACCGTCAGACTCTATGTCAGCAGAAACGATGAAGTTACCCGTCTCTTCGTTGGTAATGACTGCACATCGCATGGTTCAGTATATCTACTAGTACTGTGGTCAAATCAAAAATGAATACTACATACAATAAGCAGCGCCGACAGATTGGCCCGTAGGCTTGTTCATTTGCATTGTCGTTTCTCTACGGGCTATAGGACTACCCGACGAGAATGTGACGAAAAGCGTCGAGAGAAAGACAGCCTGTGACGCGGATAGTTTCATGATGGTCGAGTGGGTGAATCTATAGGGTATGGTTGGCACCGAGAAAATATTTGATCTAGTGGAAGACAATGAATGTGAAGTTGAGCACTGCTCGGTGTTGATGAGTTCAGAGGAAAAAGGAAAGGAAAGAATCAATCTGGATGGTGATTTTTTTTTGCAGACTCCGCGTAGTCTATATACGAGGTTTGACAATCCTATGTCCTTTAATTCTTGAAACTCCGCTTATGGGAAGAGGAGTTGATACTCAGACGACGATTACTTACAACGCAGGAGATGGGACAGTTACTCTCCCGTTACTGTTTCCTTGGCGTTGAATATAGATTGGATATCACTGATCTGGTGTGAGCTGGGCGATGTGAGCCTGATATTGAAAGGGATCCGGACAGATACTACAAGTGAATATTATTGCAAGTGAGGCCAAAAATGCTTTGTGCTCCAGGTGTGCCTTTGAGTGTACCATGTATAGTAAGCACTGATTCAAATGATTGTAATTCCTCGAAGGCATTGATACCACGTCCTGAAATTGATTACATATTTTACTCGACGCACAGCTTCAGACTGAAGAAAGTCACTCACCAAATATCAAGAAACGTCAAGACTGAACAAGATTGTACATTTCACCAGGTGTTAGTAATAATACAGGCATGTGCGCTAGTTCCCGGGCATTGAAACGTGTTACTGTTAGACTCAGTAAGTATTGGAGGAGAGGATTTGAGGCGGTGCAGACTACTGTTCGCGTTACCAGTCTCCAGTATGTCAGACTGAGTATCAGAAGACTAATGATTGCAAATGCTTTCTCGAAAGTCCAACACAGATGGAACAGAGCAATCAGTGCGGCCAGTAATCAGCTGCAGATGGACCGCCAGATAACAAACAACATGAAACAAAAGTCCTATCAAAAGGGCTTGTGATCCGGAATTGCAGAGGTAGGAACGAGGAAAACCTCCCGAAAGACTGGATAAATACAGATGAGGATTGGTAATGATGACGGGGGGATGTATAATGTAAGTCACGATAGAGGCCGGAGAGTTGAGCAATGAGAGAAGATCGACAATAACAGGGTTGGCTGTTTGAAGCGCACCTCCAAAGAAAAACAAGGCCAGAGATTATAACCCTAGTTTCTCCCTAGCGCCAGGTCGTCTGGTCTTTCCTGGTCTTTCCTCGGATAACGTCTTATCGAAAGCGACGGTTCATAGTGGTTTCATACGCTTTCATTCGGAAAGGTTGCCGGAGGTTGTTATAGGAATTCCGAAACACTGTCCTATTCCTCGAATGATGGGCTGTGATGGGTCGCAGCAAGGTCCAAGGTCCGAAGTTTGAAGCAGATATCGAGGCGTTGATTGTCTTAGAGATTTTTTGGTGGAGACGGTGATAAGGATCAGACAGCGGTTGGGCTTAACCTTGCTTAACCTAGTTGACAGACAACAAAGAGAAAAACTAGAGTATCGAGGCGGTAAAATTTTATTCCTCTTCAGGTTCAGTGGTGAATACAAGCGAAACACCGTCGTCTCCCGCAGTGACTACTACCGACCCATTTAATCCCAAAGACGCGCCCAATATTGGACCTTGATGTCCTCTGTGCGCCTTGATAAGAGTGCCAGTTCGTGCATCCCATGTACGCAACGTTTTGTCCGCCGATCCAGAGATTAGAAGATGATTGTTCGGTGGTGGAACTGCCAAAAGTGTAGTGACTGCATCCTATAGACGTGGATGAAGATGGAGGGTGTTGGGAACAATCAGTTTGATCCCTTTCATCTGTGTAAAATAACTCACAGAGTGTTCTACAGTCGAACGCAAACGCATAGTAGACAAGTCCCATAAGCAGATTTTTCCATCTGTAGCTCCCGTAGCGACGACACCAGGTCCTGATCCCGCACCAGTAAGATCAATGAACTCAACAGCTTCAACGCTTTCCCCTTCTGTATGACCGCCCAACGCACTGACGACTTCGCCTTTGGTAAGACTAACCACGCGCACGCCTCCGGCAGCACCACCTACGACTGCAAGGGTTGAAGAGGGATTGACACCAAGGGAAGTGATCCCGTCCAGATCGAATCGTGCGTCTTGGGCTGTCAGTTTGAAAACTGGTGTCGGAGATCTTGGATCCCAAAGTATGAGGGTGCCATCTCCGCAAGCAGAAACTATCCGCTTGCCTGTCAAAATACATTGAATGAAGGAAGATCGGACAGTAAGGTACAAATAAAACATACCATCAGGCGTGAAGGTACCACATTGTACTGGTCCTGTGTGGCCTGCAAACACTTGCATTGTATTTCCCGTTGGCACTGTTGACAAGTTACTGCTTGTATCATGTTGAGAGGACATGTTCACCCACATTGCCATAGCCAAAGAGTAGTGTCATTGGATCCAGCTAGAAGGACATTTCCTTTTGGGTGCCATTTCAAGAACTTTATATTGTGAATGTGAGGATAACGTGAACGGAGAGGGGATGGGAGGACGACTTACCATTACTTCGTCCGGTCCTTGAAGCTCTGTCAGAAACTCCCATGATCTATAATTTTCCTTGCCCACTCTTCTCCACAGTCTAATCTTGCCGTCCATACCACCAGTTGACACGATCTCGCCATCATAGCTCCATCCTACGCAAACGACGCTATCTGAATGTCCAGTCAATTTTACTATGACTTCTCCATCGGTAATATCCCATATGTACCCCAGATCGTCCTCTCCCCCGGAAACTGCGAGCGGTTGTGTAGGATGTACTGCGACGGCGAACACAGAAGACTGATGATTAGGGAAAGATTGTACAGAGTTATCCTCGACCGATCCAGATGATCCTGGCACAAGCTCTCCGACAGTGTCGTCTTCTTCATCTTCATAATCTTCATCCATGAGTTGGTCGCCGTCATCGGGGACTTCAGCGAGAACATCTTCGTCAGTAATAAACTGCTCCTGATCATGGTCGACTTGATCTTCGTGTTCCGGGTGTTCCATCGTTGAGGTGAGAGATAAGAGATGATATGGCTTGCTAATACTCGCAAACCTTTTTATTCCGTTTGCTGAGTAAAGCCTCTACTCAGGTTGCGATGTTGGTGTTATTGGCTTACTCAGTTGACAGTGACTTATCCTTCGTGAAAGAAAAAAAGACCCACGTGGCATGTGCACCGCACAAGATCTTCTTATCGAGTTGGTTGGGAAATATTATTCGAAATCGAAAGTCGTTCAACGCCCTCCAAGTTTCCCAAGAACCAAGAGCGGTTCTCTTGCTCCGAACTGGAAGTGGAACGCGACCGAGCTCTGACCGAGCTTAGTAAGTTAATATTCTGAGCGTCTAAAATACTGTAAGTTACTGACGTGGAGTTATTCTCATTTCTCCTACAACCATCATGAAGCTTTCATTTTCTTTATTCGTTACAGCTTTATTAACTGGTGCTAGCGCATCTAACGTGCTCGAGCTAAACCCCGACACTTGGGATGATGTCGTTGGCCTAGGCAAGCCTGGTTTGGTAGAATTGCAAGTTGTTCATGGTTTTTCGATTCGTAATTGCTCATCTATGTATCATGTCTAGTTTTGCCACTTGGTGGTGAGGATACCCCATTGACTTTCATCCAATCCTATCTCACAACTCGACTCACTCTTAGTGGGCATTGCAAAGTATGTCGCGCTCGGTGCAACCAGTGATATCTTGACCGTGAACTCTTCAATGCTTAGAATCTTGCACCTACTTACGAGCAAGTAGCCGATGCATACTCTCACGTCAAGGACAAGGTTTTTATTGCCAAAGTAGATGCCGATGGCATAGGCAAAGAATTAGGGAAAAAGTGTGTCCGTTAAACATTTCTCCACGTCTTGTACGCTCAGTCATATGCCATAGATACGGTGTTACTGGTTTCCCCACCTTGAAATGGTTCGATGGGAAGGGCAACTATGAACCATATGAATCTGGGCGGGACCTCGATAGTTTTACATCTTTGTGAGTTAAGTTATTCTATAAGACTTCCCATTGCTTACCGGTTTTGTAGCATTACCGGAAAGACCGGCGTGAAATCTAGCATTAAACCTCCCCCTCCACCTTCGTACCCTATCCTCGACTACAGCAACTTTGACGAGGTCGTCATGGTAAGTCTTTACAAAGGCTAAGTGTGAAGACCGAATTATCAAATTCTGCACTAGGATCCCAAGAAAGATGTACTTGTTACATTCACTGTGCGTTCTGATATTGTTGGACTTTTTTGCGGTGTTCTTATGCTTCTGGCTCAGGCCCCTTGGTGTGGTCATTGTAAAGCTATGAAGCCTGCTTATGAGAAAGGTGATTTTACATTTTGCGTGTTAAATAAATACATTATAACTCATCTGGTGGACTCGAAGTTGCCTCGATATTTGAAACTGAAAACAACGTAAGTCTTGCACTATCGTAGGTATAAATGATTCGCTCAATCTCGAGCTATCCACAGTGCATACTGGTCAATGTTGACGCAGATGACAAGAAGAACGAGGCAATTAAGACCCGATTCGGCATCTCAGGCTTCCCTACCATCAAATTCTTCCCCAAAGACAACAAAGATGGTATAACCTATGAGGGTGGTCGCTCTGAGGCTGACTTTGTCGACTATTTGAACGAGAAGTGTGGAACTCAGCGCTCTGTCAATGGAGGTTTGCTTGATACCGTATGATGCTCTCATTCCATTTTTTGCTGGCCCGTTGTGATTTTGTTTTAGGCTGGCCGTCTCGCAGACTTCGATGTTCTTGCAAACAAATTCTTTACTGCTCCTGCCGACCTTAGGGACTCTATATACAAAGAGGCTCTCACCCTTTCTTCCACCGTAGGTGATGTGTCAAAGCACTATCTTCGTGTCATGGAGAAGATGGTCAACGGAACTGAGGTATATTATGAGAAGGAATCCAAGCGGTATGTCCTTCGACGCCCGGCTTTCTTTTATATAAATGCTAATTTCCACCCTTTACTTCGTATCTTTGAAATTGTTTGATGGTGGTGTCCTTTCTCGGTCACAGTTTAGCAAGTATTCTCAAGAAGCGCACATTGGCTCCTGCCAAACTTGACGAAATTAAAATCAAGTCCAATATTCTCCGCGCATTTGGCGAGAAGCCTGTGGAGGATCAGAACGATGGTAACATTCGTAGGGCCACAGCTGAGCTATAGGCTTTCACTACTTGCCTTCGCAAGTCACACTGTACATTACGTCCTATATGGAATTTGAGATATGTGCATTCTGCTATTGCTTTGATTGGCCCGTTTGTTTCGGAATTGGTTTGGAGCCCTTGCTCTTATCGATCGCTCCAGGAATCAGAACAAGTTGAGAACTTTCTCGTCCCTCGATTGTAGAAGACAGACTTTGCATGAAATGCCACTACTTAAGAGTACTTAAGGCGCTATGTATATGTGTCAAGGAAGGATAGGATAGGATAAGAAGTGCATGACTTTACCGTCTATACTCAGAGAGAAGTATACGGTAAAGTTTGACACAGGGGGGACTCACGGGGACTACCCTGTGTAACCATGTGCGTCCGATTTTCAGGTTTTGCAATCCACCACCAACAAGCCAATCTGCCTCGTGTATGGGAGAATAACGGGGACAGCCGCATATGCAGACTAATCGGTGGTGAGATCGAATGAGGCCTGACTTTTGAAGAAAAACGTTTTCATCCCATTTCAACGCCCACAAATCTACATAGATGTTATAAAAACTCACTCTGGGCGTGATAACGTCTGCCAAAACAAGAGAGCATCCTAATCGACATGTCTTACAACTATCCATATCATGGGAACTCCCCCTCTTCCTCTTCCCAACAACACGAACTTCACGCATTGAGGTTCTATCGCTTCCACAAAAGGAAGAACTGTTGGAAGCACTACAAAATTCCGCACGAAGCAGAGCAGCGTCCTCGTCACCACGATCTCCAGGTTATTACTTGGAACGTCGACTTCCAAGCTCCCAGGGTCAATGAACGGATGACTGGAGCGATCGATTACCTGAGGAACGCACTTCTAAAGGGTAATAGCCCACCACATTGTGTTATTCTGCTGCAGGAAGTACATTCCAAGGCGCTACCCGTGCTACTTGCAGATCCATGGATTCAAAAATATTTCTTCGTCACTCCCATCGATAATCTCAAATGGCCGGTACCCAACATCTACGGAAACATTACACTGATTGAGCGATCCGTTTCCATCAAGGAGGCCGGCATTTTGTATTTTGCTCAGACGACGATGAGCAGAACAGTGAGTACGGATGCTCAGAGACTTTGAATCATTTTAATAAGTGACATGGTTTGAAACAGGCAATCGTCACCGACATTAGGCTCGCCCCACTCGAGCCCGAGCTCTATCGCGGTAGGCGCGATCTGACAATCCGTATCGTGAACACGCACCTCGAATCCCTAAAGGAAGGCAATTCGGTCGAATGCCGCGCTGAGCAATTGATTATATGCGCTAAATTATTGAGAATGGAGGATCCAGCCGCATACGCAGGAATTATTGGCGGAGACTTCAACGCCATTGACGATGACGCGGAAGAACAAATCCGCGACCTTAGGCTATCTGATCCTGGGGAACCCAGCCAGTTTGCTGACGCAAAGGAGTTTCATACATGGGGCTTTCATGAAACGAAACCTCTAAAATTTCCTACCTGCAGAATGGACAAGATTGTCTTCACCCCTCACGGAGAGGTCACGCTCGACCCTCCGGTAATATTTGGCCAAAATGCGAAAACGGAGGAGGAGGAATGGGTCAGCGACCACTATGGTTTATTGACGACGTTTAGTGTTTGAAGCGATAAGAGACGATAAGTCGAAATGTTCCTATTGGTTCCGTTTAATATAGGTCCCGTCCCGCGTAGCCGCGCGCAGTACTATTTGTCATAGGCGGTTTTGTCCAAAATAAGCATCCTACGACTGCTACCTCTGTACTTTTGACTGCGGGGCGAAGAGACGCATATCCCATAAGGCGGTGCAAACAGTGAGCTCTGGGTGTTGTTCACCGCTCGAAACGACGAGCAAAAGATCCTTGGCGACGAGATACACGTCACATACGGTTTATCAATCATGTGCCTACGTAAAAAGGTATAAAAATGCCGTTCGTGAGAGAAAACTACTTGTCTCCAACACTCTTCATCCTACGACGACGTTCTCTTTCGTTTCCGCTCCCACCATGAAAGTTGTTCTCTTTGCGTCCGCCGTGGCTCTGATTTCTGGGGCCTATGCGCAAGATTTCACTATTAACACACCGTAACTGCACTCTCCCATTTTAGGTTATCCGACGAGTCGCTCAAGATTTTTTTCAGTGGAAGTTTGACGGAGTGCCAGCCTGTTCTTCTCCAATGGACTGGTGGAACTCGTACGTCACTCCACCCTTGTTCTTTTTTAACACTTTCTTATTGAAGCTCAACAGCCCCTTACTTTTTGGTGAGTTCGCTATTGCGGTCTTCATACATCTTAGTTTTTTGACGTTTCTTTTCCTCGTTATAGAGGTATATGCTCCAATCTCTCCCTGCGTATAGTGGACCTTAAACATTTTTCTAGTGTCTACAACTCTGGGGCTCCTTCCACTAATGCAGAGACTCTGACGACGACTAACAGCACCAGCTTCACTTGGACCGTGAACATTGCCTCTGGTCGACCTTGCTTCTTTCAATCCTAATCTCTCCACTCATGTTTGTTTTCTAGGCCAAAGCATTGGTTTCAATATCGTTGACAATACTGGTGCCGAAAAGCAGAGCGCCGCCGTTCCGATCCAAGCCGGGTGTATGTTTCGACATTTTTCCTGTCATACTTTGCGTGCTCAACATCTATGTAGCTTCGACCAGCTGTGTTGGTCAGTCTGTCAGTGGTTCCGCCGGAGCCACAACTACTGCTGCTTCTACTGGATCTGGATCTGCTTCCACCACAGGATCTGGTTCTTCGTCAACCACGTAAGCTACATTTTCACTGATTTTCGGTCGCCTCTCACTCTTTTGTTCAGTGCCAAGTCAACTGGTAGCTCCTCTGGAAGTCCTTCAACCACTAGCGCTGCCGGTTCTTCCACCACTTCCTCTTCTTCTAATGGAGCTTCTTCCCAAGCTGCTCAGCTCGGCGCTGCCGGATTTATTGGTGCTGCTATTGCCGCTCTCCTTGCTTAAGCAGACCCAACATATGGCCATGTAGCTGGTCGGACTCTTTCTTGTTGCCTGTTCAAGTTGGCCCTCAACAACAAGTATCGTTGCCTCCGTTTTAATCTTTTTCATTACGAACTCTCGTCGAATTATACTTTACTCTTTGAGTTGTTTAGCATTCTACTTAGGATAATTCCACTACATTCTCACTACCCGTGGTTAGAGCATTCTCGACAATATGGGCTGCTCTTTGCTCAGTTTCCTGTGTCGGCGTGGCTATCTTTCAATGACATTCGTTCTTTTTGGTGGAATCAACTTGTCTTGTTTGCGAGTGCTGCGCATATTGAGTGGTGTGAAAGCATGTGAAAGCAAACAACGTCGATTCCGGTAAGTTGTCGCCGTTTAACCTTTAGTCTTGGCGAGGTTATTCTCTGGTTGTGCTTCCTGTCTCATGATTACATACAACCCCGATACAACCTGATCACTCAACATATTGAAGTCCTCCTCTGAAGACCCTACAACATACTCCTGGCCTTGCAGCCTAGTTTCTGATATCAGTATGGGACAAAGCCTATATACGATTACCAGCCGCCTCTTTAAGTTCAAGGACATTAGGGACTTTCTCAAATGTCAGTGTCAATGTACGAACAACTATAGAAATTAGAGGTCTGTCAATTCCGAGGTCATTCAAAAGTCCCAATTATAATAATAATGCCCATCCTCTCATCTGATTGCCTGAATTCTAAACTAATTCAACAATGATTCCATCCATTTTCCGGAAAGTTACCGTGCTTCAGCGAGGATTCCCCGCATCAGTTCAGCCGAGCTCAAGGATTGTACCTCGACATTGAAGAAGCTACGATAAAGGTACAGTTCCTTCGTTGAACTTACACTAGTAGCTTGGAAGTTCAAAGTGATACTCTTGTCATACAAACTCAAGTTGATTTCAATGTTTCTTTTGCATAGATGTTCAATATACATTACCCCGCATTTTTTCCCGCAAAAGCTACGTAGTACGGTTCTTTATATCCCGGACCTCCACCAAACTCGTTCCGCGTTCGCAAGCGCTTGTCCTCGTGCCTCAAGTCGGGGTTTATATACGTACGTCTCTCATAGATGCTAGCCTACTTATATGCTCCACATGTAGGGATGGAGACCTTTTGAACTTTCACGAATCACTCTTCCAACATTATTCACCCCTTTGTCCGAGTCTACCGTCAGTAGGATTCTGGCCTCGGTCGTATCGCTGATGGCACCGCCAGAAACACACCCACGACCCCCAGAATGGACAATCGTCGACTTTGTACATCGAGGATACTGGTGGAAGAATCATGGTGTCTATGATTTTCTTGCCCCAATGAATCATGCACGTTTTACCCCTGCTTTCAGGCATATTGTGGTTGAATATTTGCCTTATTCTACCTCTGCTGACGTCCGCGGTCAATGGTTTGGACTCCTCACTTGTTAATGGTGTGTCAGTCCCTTTTATGTGGAGGCGAATATGTTATCGTGAACTCATCTGAGTTCCTGCGGGCATGCGTAGGGCTACAGATACTTCCTGATTGGCAAGGATATTTCAACTATCCGACAGGCAAAGTCTTAGGTGCGAGTGTTTCTCAAATGTTTTCCATCCAGGTACTGATTTTTACGCAGGCCTTGTTAACTGCGCGCAGAACATTGGCGGATTGATTGTATGACTTCACGTCCTGTAATTACCGGGGCTCATTTTCGGTAGGGTCTTCCAATAACCCCATTTGCGTCAGACAACCTAGGCCGACGTCTGACGCTAATCGTGGGCTCTATCATCATGTTAGGCGGAGTTGCCTTGCAGTTTTCATCAACTACAATCCAGATGTTCATCGCTGCCAGAGTGCTGAGTAACTCCCTTTTCTCAAGGCAAAGCCATGAAGCTCATTATGTCCATTCCCAGTTGGATTCGGCCTCACATTCTGTCTGAACGCAGCACCGCTACTGCTTATTGAACTTTGTTACCCAACTCAGGTAGCGTCTTTTTGTCCAAAGTGAAGTGTATTCATAACCGGTTCTCACCCCAGAGAGGGAAAATAACATCGCTGTACAACACGACGTGGTACTTTGGGAGTATCATCGCTGCATGGGTATGTACGCGTTCGACCTTCCATTGAAAAGAGTCTTATTGGGTCCATCTCTAGGTTTGTTTTGCCACTTTCAACCAACAAGAGGGAAGTATGTGGACCTGGCGCATACCGACGTTAGTCCAAGCGGCTGCCCCCATTCTTCAAGTTTGTCTAGTTTGGTGAGTAGAAGTCCGCCTGAAGGGCGAGCGTTTACATGAATATGGCATCTTATTAGGTTCGTACCGGAAAGCCCGCGATACCTGGTGTCTAAAGGTTATGTGCGTGGCTGCGTCCTTCCATCGATGCTTTGAAATCTGGGTCATTGCGCCCATACAAATGATTTATACAGGAAGGCCAAGCTGCTCGAGTTCTCACCAAGTATCATGCCAACGGTGGTAACGAGCACGACCCCCTTGTCGTCTTCGAGCTAGCGCAAATCAGACATGCAATCAGAATGGAACAGGAGATCAACAAAAGCACTTCGTACTTTTCCCTATTTGCTACTCCGGGAAACAGAAAACGCATGAGAATCATTATTGCTATCGCTATTTTTTCCCAGTGGAGGTAAAATTTCGTGTTTAATCTTGTTCAAGGTATCTGGCTCATCAATGGCATATACATCATTATCCAGCGGGAATGGTCTCGTGTCTTACTACATCAACCTTGTGCTGGAAGGTGTAGGCATTACGAGCACAGAAACCAAAGCTGCTATCAACGGGGGTCTGCAGGTGAAGAGGCAGGAATTCAAGTTTTAGCAGACACTGATACCCCAGAGTGCAGATCTTCAACCTTTTAGTCGGGTTGTCTTCGGCCATGCTTATTGATTTGATTGGTCGAAGAACATTATTCATTGTATCGAACTCGGGGATGTTGATAGGTCAGTATGGGTTGGAATTTTGATTCGTGACATCTCAGAAAGGACTGAGAATTGTTAAGCCTTTGGTCTGTGGACCGTTACGGAAGCACTTTTCAACGCCTTCCATAAGACATCTGCAGCTAAAGGTGTGTTCCATAACTGCTCACGGTGAAAGATGAAGGTTCAGCACAATTATAGCGACGATTCCGCTGATCTTCCTCTATTATCTCTTCTACGACATTGCGTACACCCCCATGCTGGTTGCCTACACACTGGAAATCCTTCCCTATAAAATCCGGGCAAAAGGTTTCGCAATGATGGTGAGTTGGGTTTACCAAGAAAGTGCAATTGTGCTTATTAATATCTACCAGAACTTCACCGTATATGTAACCACCATTTTTAATCAGTTCGCCAATCCTATCGCCATTGAAAGACTCGGATGGTGGTACTATATCGTGTAAGAACAAATGTTGCCTAAGCTCCAGTGACCTCTGTTCACCAATAGTCGTCCATTAGGTACTGCGGTGTCTTGATAATCGAACTGGTATTTGTTGTTTCATTCATCGTTGAGACAAGAGGTGAGGACCCCCGAAAGTTTGATATTGCGTTGATTAATCCATATCGATCGAACAGGGCGAACGCTGGAGGAAACAGCTGCACTTTTTGATGGGGAACAGCCCCAACAGGATTTGGCTATCACTGGAGGCGAAGCAGCCACAATGAATATAACAACGGGTAGAGGAAATATAATGTCGCAGCGATCCGTTCAGGTGGTGGTCGTTCAAGAAATTCACACCACTGTGAGCACTCACAGTAGAGTTGAAAGTAAAAGCAGTATGTCCTTGGACGTGTACGAGTTGAATACTTTGAAGCGAAACGCTTCTCCAAGTTCGTAGTGAGTAGGGTAAAGATGTCGTAGCAGTCGAATGAATCATAACGAATGCCACTTGAATGATGTTGAAAAGACAGCAGGCAATAGACTAGCTGAGCTGTCGGCAAAAAAGAAAATTCGAATACTGTAATGAAATTACATGTTCAATGAGCAATTTAACGGAGCAGCGGTATTATTGTTGTCTCGCAGGACTCGTCCAGGGGATGGTAGGTCGAAGAGTCAGTCGATTCTCGTCTATATTTCCTCTATTCGTCATCGTATCCAGAGAGAGGTCGTCTGGGCCTGTTCGGCACTATTCGAAGTGTATATGTGAAGTTCATCACCGGAATACAAAGTGGAAACGCACGAGGATACGAGGAAGGGACCGCTGGAGGGGGCACGTAACCGAAAGACTCCCTCAACGGCGGAATAGCGATGGTCATAACTGGCCCGATAACTCCCAATACCACCGAGTAAAACATCACTGGCTTCTCGTGAGCAGTCCGGTACTGTGAAGATGGAATTTCAGAGTAAGAGCGGCATGCAGGTAGCTCCAGACATACAAGATAATTATAAGATCTCTGGAGAGGCCTGAAAAGAGAAGCCATAGCTGGTCGTAGTAAACAAATCGAACAAGTAATACTAATAGTAACACTAACTGCAGTCGTTGGGCTTATGTCAGCTGGATTTTTGCCCTCTTTCTCGGCTCCGTCGACTTTCTATTCACCCTCCATCTCATAAACTTTCTCCGCACAGTCCATCCAACGCAATGTCAATGGAAGAGAGCATCAGTTTAGAAGAGACAAACAGAATTCGTGTATCCATTGGCCTCAAGCCTATCACGGACGATTCGAATCCAGTAGATGACGAGGAAAAACAGGCAGAAGATAATTATGCGAAGAGGAGAGAGCACGAGGCCAAAGAACGCGAAACAAAGTCCGTATGGAAGTCTTTTCCCCGTCCAACCCGATCAACTCATACTATCCTCCTTTACAGGGAAATTGCCGACCGTATTGCCAAGTAAGAAGTCTGTTTTCAGAACTGACGAACAATCTGCTCATGAGACTCTGCGTAACAAGGGTCAGGAATAGACGAGAACTCAATGCATCGCTCAAAGGCCCTACTCTCGGTGATGCAGACGACGATACAGATAATGTATTGAAATGGATCAAGAAGAATAAGAAGAAGGAAAAGGAACTTGCTAAGAAACGGTTACAGGAGTTTGACAGAATGGATAAGGCCATACAAGAAGATTACACTGAGCGTAAGTTGTGTTGCCTCTTCAGATTTGGCTGAATAAACCAACTTGGCGGTTCAGGTGATCTTGCCGGGCTGAAGGTTAGCCATGACTTCGACACCATGGACGAAGGAGATGCTCGAATACTTACACTCAAAGATAGTCGCATCCTTGACAACGAAGGTTCGTCTTCGTGAGATTTTTCGTATTCTTTTCTTATTTCTGTTATAGAGGATGAACTACAGAACATTGAGATGGCTGAAGATGAGCGGCAACGAAAGAACCAAGAACTGAAAACAAAGAAGCACGACTATACAGGATATGATGATGACGAATTCGTTGAGGGTAACGTGGGGATGAAGCGTGCGGTCCTTGCTAAATATGACGAGGAGATAGAAGGCGCGACAGAAATAGTGAGTGTTCCACATTGACATTCGTTTTTTTATCATCTCTCACAACTTCATCAATTAGGGTTTCCGTTTAGGCAGTTCGGTCGTCTCGAAGAAAGTCACAAATAAGCCAAAAATTGAGACGACTACTTCATTAAACAAGACCTTGCTTTCAATCGACTATAAGAGTAAGTTTTCAAATTTAAGACTAAATCATTCTCGTTCTTATAAAATCATCAGAGAATCTGGAAACTACAGATTATCTAAAGGAGGGGGATATCGGATTCAAAAAACCCAAGGTGATCTCAATTTGCTGGTGCGGCAAACAATTCCTTATGTTTCCTCGTGTAATATAGACGAAAAAGAAGCGCCCTAATCGTCGGGTTCCTGCTGAAGCTGAACTAGCTCCCGAGGACGAGATGGATATAGATCCAACACCTGTCCCACGAGTTCCAGATCTCGATGTCAATTTCGTTGACGATGATGAGCTTCAGGCTGCGTTAGCAAGGTCTCGCCGCGCAAAGCTTGCCAAACCGAAGAAGGTCACGCCCGAAGAACTCGCAAGAAGAGGTGTGTCAGCTCTGCTATTATTTTGTTCCCATTTCCGATATTTTTCCTCTCAGTCGCAGAAGAGCGAGAGGAACAGGAAAAAAAGGCTTCCACCAAAGCTGAGGACGGTGACATCAAGATGGGCGATGATGAGGAGGCTGGAGGTCTTGTTTTTGATGATACGTCCGAATTTGTTCGGGCGGTCGGCAATAACCCGATCACGGTCAAAAAAGAACCCAAAGAAAAGACTTCACCCTCTGCACGGGAGTTCTCGCGCCCACACTCTCTTTCGCGAGATGTTTCTATGGCCCCGGGAGATGAAGTGTTGCATGAGATTGAGGCCGGTGAGGCTGTGAAGGACGAAGATGATGATGAGGAGGACGACATGGAAATTCTCAACATGATTGAGGCTGCGATAAAAGCCGAAGAGAGCGAACAACATAACGCCGCAGATAATGCTGTTGGAACATCATCTGAGCAGAATTTCAAATCTGGTATGGCTTCGACCTTAAACATCCTCCGACAGCAAGGTATACTTGCCGCTCCTTCTTCTGACCAGAAAGAGCGCGAACACACTCAGCTGCAACGCGATCTTTGGTTAGCTGATCAGCGTCGCCGAGTTGCTCAGCGAGAATTAGAACGCTTACAATCTCGAGGTGGTAATAAAGATCAAGCTACCAGGGAGTACGAGAATCGATTGCGTGAGCAGCAGGAAGCAAGGGAGAATTTGGAGACGTTCAAGCATTACAAGCCTGATGTTAACATCGTGTATTACGATGAGCATGGACGAGCTTTGACTCCAAAAGAAGCTTGGAAGGCTCTTTCACACAAGTTCCACGGGAAGGGTTCTGGGAAGATGAAGACAGAAAAGAGGTTGAAGAAGATCGAAGAGGAAAAGAAGCAGCTTGCGATGGCCAGTGGTGATACACCCCTGAGTATGAGCGCTGCATTCCAACAGCGGCAGCTGAAGGCTGGCCAGGCTCACTTTGTGTTATCTGTAGGTAACAGAGGGTGAGTGTTTACTTCCGTTACATTCGTACTTTGCAAAATCTTACTTCTTCCTCGCAGTGCTGTTCCACAGGCTGCGGACTTCTTCGATGCTCAGCCCTTATCGAAAGGGAAGACCGAAAAGATGAAGAAAAAGAAAGAGTCAAAGAACGCGAAGGCGGCGATGGAGTCGGGTTTGATGACATTACCTACCCCGTCCTTGGCCAATGGTGGCAGTCCTGCTCCAACAGGTTTCGCCTCTGTAGGGAGCAACGGTTCGCCAGGTCCAAGAGCAGGCTTTTCGCGTATTTCATCCACGGTTGAAACCACTTCGCAAAATGGTACAGGTACTCCTAGTGAAAGATCCAAGGTTGCATTTGGGTTTGGAACTAAACGTAAGGCTAACGAGGAAGCTACTGGATCTCCTCCCGCCAAACGGCGCTAGATATGGTCACTCGGATCGGTTTTCATTATGTCAACCTCATGCGAATATCTGTTGTCGCGGTGCACGTCTAGTGGAAGATTTTATGATGTATACTATGATCATTATTTACAAAGGCGTAAGTCAAATTTTCATAATGTTGCGATACTTCTGATGCCCAACTCTCTTGTCAATCCGCAACGGTCTTTGTCTAGTCCCTGTGCGCTTTCGAACGCCTTAATGAGGGATTCTTGACCCTCGTCAATCCTGTAAGGTTGCAATATCCCGTTACTGACTGTCTCATCGTACAACACAAAAGGTATGCTACATACCATTGCACTGCGTGTCCCTGTTTCTCGAGAAGCAGTTTCACCGTTGTCCAGCTAAATCTGGCTACTTTTGGGAATCCGAATGTGGGATCGAGACTGGCCTTCAACCAATGTTGAGTTTTGGGGTCTTCATAACACATTTAAGTATCTGACTTTAAGAGGCGAAACTTCAATGTACCTGATGGATAACCAGAACCGAGGGTAACGTCTGGAGACTTATATTCCAACTCTTCAAACGTCCAATCTTCTAGACAGGCATCCCGTGTAACTTTTGCTGCTACACTCGCAGCCCCGACAATTTTGTATTTGAAGTCGGCTTTGGATTCCACGGTGAATGCGATACCAGGGAACTGGGATGAAAGGTAGGCCTGATATGTGGAAGTTGTACCAAGAGCGTCAACATATACCTAATCAATTGATCAATACTGTAGATTGCTTTGCTTTTGTATATTTATGTACCTCTGAAAGCCGAATGCCTTTGTCTAATACATCCTTGATGAGCATCACAGTAGCGTCCTGAGATTGTCGATTGAGGTTCGTAGCTGGTCGCCGCAGCATACCACTCGATATAGCTTGTGGACTAGATTGTGACATGAATATGGATGAGGGCCAAATGAAATGTAATTCCACCTTATAACTCGAACGGACCAGCCTAGGTTGTCTGGATCTGACTGTAGAGTCTCGAGAAGATTAGACCTGATTTCTGGAGTCAAAGTTTTGGAATCTGATCTCATTTGTGAGTTGCGCAAAGCAAGGGAACGCCGGAGTTGCTCGTACCAGCGAAGCCAAGTTCTTCTAACTGATTGCGGTACGACACAGGACAGTATGCGACACCGTATACTAGCGGGCCAAGAACTGGGCCACGACCAGCTTCATCTACACCAAGAATATACGGTCCTTCGCCGCTAGGAGTCGGAGAGTGATATGTATATGAATTCTTCAACGGCGTTGAGGGTCCTGGGGTTGAAGGAACGTGGGTCCTTGTCTCTTCCTCTTCCTCATTCTCAAGTCCTTCACCGGGGTCCATAATTCTAAGTCGAGTCTCGCTAACAATGGTGATAGGTTTAGGGAGAAACGCGGTGTTTGTTGACGCGTTGTTTGGCACTTTCCTTTGTTCTCTCCAAGTCTCAATCATCAAATGGCGAACTTGACGCACTCCGATACGAATGTTGTGCAAGATCTTCGAAACTCCATTAGAGAGTGTACGAGTAGAGGGCTTCTGTTTGCAGCTAAATGGCGTGTAATTTCTCCCCTTAATTCAGTTTTCACTTTCTCTAACGATTTCTCGCAGGTCATCCGAGCTCCTCTTGTCAATACCAGCATCGAGAAGACATGTATCACACCCTACAAAACGTCAACCAACTTTCTCTACTTCTACACCTGCTCGAAGTCGTTCTCCGCGTCCATCCTTTGTTGATGAATCACCTGTGCCTACACAGATATTGCCCCAGCTTTCCCAACCTCCTCAATCGTCCGCTCCTACCCGACATCCTCATGCACCTCTGCTAGCACCTTTTGACTATGGATCTGAAGAATTCGATGCTCAAGAGGAAGATTCGTTAGCTACCGCCAGGATCTGTTTCGAATCGAAGGAGTATTCTCGTGTACCAGCCCTTGTTGTTGGATGCGTCAGCCCCGCAGCACGGTTCATGTCCGTGTATAGCCGCTTCCTGGTAAGTCTACCTCGCATCCTTTTTGTCTGTGATAAGGCCAAATATATAGTTTAGGTTTCGGAACATAGTGCTATCTCGGAATGGCACAAATTCGATGGTAACAACATTTCAGGTTTTATAATGGATGTTCGCATGACGCCTTTATGAACCAGCTACTCGAAATCAACCGGTTGAACCGATAAACGATACCATCCAGGAGTTGCTTCGGGAGGTCGTCAGCGACACTGATCCTTTCCTCCTCTTTCTGTACGTCAATGCACTTTCCCGTGTTTCGAAGTTTATCTGAAAAACTTGAAGGAAGGCAATCTTTCTTTCTCGTTTTTCGCGACGAGAGGAGGCAATCGAGGCCGCTATATTGTCAATCGCCGGTTTTCCTTGGAATTGGTCGTCTTGGACTCTTCTGTCTAGTTGCATCCGGGATGGTGAAGAGGTAGCTAACTCTTCCTGTATCACCGTATACTGGAACTAAATGGTTACTTTCATAGCTAACAGCGCTCCTTCCATTGTTGCCTCTTCCTCCGACACATCCTCTGGTTCAGATGTTCCAGATCAGAACATTGAATGAACTTCAAAATCCCTCGGAGAACGAAATTGCTCTCTGTGATCGCCTACTTGAATTAGAGAACTATCCTGGAAGTCTCTGGCTCATGATACAACGCGCCACCGCGCTCTATCATCTTCATGATTTCGGACAAGCGGAAGCCCAGTTCGATCGAATTTTTGCTTTAGACCCATACAGAATTGACGATATTGACATCCTTTCCAACATCTTGTACGTCACTAACAATCGGTTGAAACTAACAAAGCTGGCCAATGAATTCTTGGCTGTCGATAAAAACCGTCCAGAAGTTTGCTGTTTGGTTGGTATGTTAAATATTTGAGTTTACCTCCAGGGGTTGTTAATGTCAATAATAGGCAACCACTATTCCCTTCGAGGTGAACATATCAAGGCAATCAAGTACTTTCGACGCGCCACTCAACTGGACAGAACCTATCTCTCTGCCTGGACATTGATGGGCCATGAGTATGTTGAGATCAAAAACTCGCACGCCGCGATTGAAGCATATCGTCGAGCAGTCAGCACGTAGCTTTCATCGTTTTCCATGATGTTCCATGCTTATCAGCTCTACCCTAGATATCAACCGGAAAGATTATCGAGCTTGGTACGGTCTAGGTCAAGCGTATGAGCTTTTGAACATGCATGAGTATGCGCTGCACTATTATCAGTATGCAACAGCCTTGAAGTATGTGAGCCTTCTATTTTGATCATACTACCTAACATTTCTGTTTAGACCTTATGATGTCCGATTGTGGCAAGCCCAAGGAATGTGCTACGAGGAAATGGGAAGGCGAGTGGAACTTTAGGCTGGAATAATCCTCGTAACTTACGGCAGGCGTCGGACTAGATTGAGAGAGGCAGTTGAATGCCTCAAGCGTGCTCTTATTCCAGCAGATCCCCATGAAATCACTATCAACTTGATGTTAGCTCGAATCTATAGAGACCTCGATGAGCATGCAGAAGCCGTAGCATATCACCGACGTGTGGTGGAAGTTTGCCAGTCTGACTGTTGAGTATTCGCTTTTCTTGTCAACTCTCATAACTCATCGTGCTGTGATGCACTGCAGTACGTCCTGTTCAGGATTACGCGAAATCGTGCTTGGAGGTTGCTGCGTATCAGCTGAAAATACCGGACGGGCACCTTTTGTTGGCACAGGATTATCTGGAACGGGTGGCTGCTAGTAACGCAGAAGATGTTGACCGAGCTGTGGAGATGCTGAAAGCGGTGCATATTGCTATGCAGGCGAGAATACGTTCGACCAATGAAGAATTAGGCAGAGTCTTGAATATGTTAGCCACAACAGATGCTGCTCAAGGAATTATTCCTCCTCCTCCTACATATCAATAGTACTTATTCAAGCTCAACTATGTACACCGGTAGAGTATACGTATCATAATTTAACCGCGGAACTTCCGAACCGTGGCAACTTTCGTCATACAGCAATATGATTATTATCACTGTTACTTTCCGGTCACTTCAGCTTTCATCTACTTTCATCTCCAGTAACTAACTAATAACGACACCTTGAGGCTTCAGCTTCACCATCTATGTCTTCTCATTACCACCCCTCGCGACCCTATATCTCTATCCCTCAGCCACCGCCCGGCATTCTTCCCTCAGGAGCACAACGACCAACAAATCCTAGCCCCTCAACTCGACCTGATCCTTGGGCATTCGAAGTGACCCCTCCTCCATTCGCAGAAAATCAATATGCACTACACAATCCATGGGGAGAGGAAAATGGATCGCCGAATACCTTGCGCCATCGGACGTTGTCCCTCATAAATCTGCCTTCCGATAGTTCACGGCCACCAAGTCGTGTGAGCAGCGTCCAGGCTTCAACTACAAATGCTCCTTTGGCATTTCCAGAACCTCAGATATATAGATCAGTTTCGCAACGAGTTTCGGGCCACAAGCCAAGTGCAAGCGATATATCAGCTGGAAGCCTTAGACTTCGACACGATCCTTCAGTTGCATCGTTCCGGTCAACACAATCCACAAATTCATGGTATTACGACGACGATTATGGTTCAATTTCTAACGAGGTTGGAACAAAGAATAGAATGGTCGTTCTAGCCAAGCTAATACAATCTATAGTCGCACGGGGAAGAGGAACAGTTATCCAAGAGTCTCTCTGATGTCTCGTATGCTTGACATTATTTTATTCCTTTCAAACTCCATTCATATATTCTGCAGGCTAACATCGGATGAAGGACTTGCCCGTTTCCAGTCTGGGGAATTACCGGAGAATGATCAGGAATGGCATCGATTGGTTCCACCGGAAGCAATTGAAGCTCTAGGAAAAATAGAAGTTCAAAGGCAATCTGTGATCTTTGAAGTGTTCAAAGCTGAGCGAGAATATGTTTCGGACCTGGAAGCAGTGCAGGATGTGCGTCCTCTTTCATTACATCCTCTTCGTAGTTGACCCGTTATTGCTATAGGTGTATATCACACCTCTTATGAATGCCAATCCTCCGATTATACAACCTAATCGATTTCAAGGATTCATCTCTGAAGTCTTTGGAAACTTTAGTCAGATTCTCGCCCACCATCAGCGGATGCTTGGCGCTTTGTTCGCCCGTCAACGAGATCAACATCCTCTGATACAAAGTATTGCCGACATCGTTCTAGATAGTGCGTCAACCTTTCTGCTTTCGAAGTCAAACTCACCTTTTTTCTAAGCCACCCTCAAGAGTGATTTTCGTTCAGCTTACGAGATATACATCAAACATTACCCACTTTCTGAATCTCAACACCGAAAGGAACTCCGGAATAACACCGCGTACCAGTCTTTCATGCAATCAGCTTCCTCTGATCCTCGTATACGGAAACGAGATTTGATAACGTTCCTTTCCCGCCCGGTGACGCGCCTTCCGCGTCTCAATCTGCTGCTAGAGCAGATACTCAAGCTCACGGATAAAGAATACGAACATCCAGACCTTGAAACTTTACCTATCATTTTGGGAATTTTGAGCGACTGTATCAAAAGCACTCAGCCCGGGATTGAGGCCGCTGAAAGTAAAGTCAAGTTTTGGGCTTTGTGCGAAAGTTTGGTCTTCCGAAAGGGCGAGATAATTGTGAGACAGGTCTAGTTTCCTGTCCGATGTACTGATCTCATCCTATCGCAGGATATGGACCTATATGACAAGGGCAGATCACTGGTTTATTCGGGACCGGTGTCTCGAAAAAATCGTTCTGAAGGTTCCGTAACAGGCAGTTGGTCAGGATCGGGTTGGACTGATCTTTCCGCGGCGCTGTTAGACAACTATTGTATGTGCCAATCCGTGTAATCGACACCAGACTATTCTAATGTTTTCGACCTTAGTATTACTTACTCGTGAAGAACAACGTCCAAACGGAGTGTACAAACGGCATCTCATGTCTCGAGTATGTGAATCGGCCCAATCTTCGCGGCCTCATTATTGTGCCATCTCTTACGTTTCATTTGGCTAGCCCTTATATCTATCATTTCTGCGGTTAGGTTCTTTCTCTTCGCCCCCTGAAACGCGCAAAGAGCATCCCAAAGACGGCAGTGTATTGAGCGGCTTATTATACCAGTCCACCCCTTTATATCCTTTCACAATATACCATGAAGCGAGTAAACAATCCCGCAGATATACTCTTTATGTTGCCAATGAATCAATACGCAAAAAATGGCACAACTTCCTTCTCGATGCTATCGCTGTTCACAAAGTCAGACAAGAAGGAAACATGGCGAGTAATTTCTTACCGTGGGGCAATTATCCCTAGTCTGAACTGATACTTGCAGTATTTTTCACCCGACGCGCTGAGTCGGCAATTCTTTCGAATAAGCGGAAGCTCAAATGGAAACAAAAACCCGGGAAGAATTAACGCTGTTGTCCCTTTCAGTAAGTGAAGAACAATCAGCTCTTTATCCTTTTTCACTCGATACCCGCAACAGGTTTCAACGGCCGACAGTTCATCGCGGTCGCATGTTCTACCGGCATGTACGCTGCGATACGGGGTCGCGAAAGTGAGCAACAAAACCGAAATTCCTATAGATTTGTCCCTCTAATGGTGCTGTAGACTTCCACAAGGTACTAAACGTGCAACCAACTTCTATGGCAGCACTACAATCACTAGGGTCGAAGACCTTCAACAAGTTCATTGTTCATGTCAACAACTCCCTTTTGTCATATCCGCTTGACGTGATAGCCCAAGTGGCTTTGGGTCAAGTCGAACCCAAGGTGTTGGCCGCGTCGGTGGAAAAAGTCGTATCGAATGAGGTCGTCTTCTTCAAGCATTTACACGTTGGGCAACGTGTGTTGAGTGAGTTTTTTGTTCCATTTCACGACAGGTTCCACTGAACTTTTGCCCATAGTTGTTTACGCAGTGAAGAAGTTACTGCAGGTCACTTTAAGCTTACATGTTCTGGAAGTCGTGGATGTCAATGACACGGCGCTAACACCTAAACGAGAACAACGCGGTTCTGGTAAATCTTCGAACTCGTTTAGGGCGTTTGGTGATGTAGGTATTTTTTCTTCACTGAAGGTTCCAATTGTCGATGTCGTCCCAATTAGGCCGGTTATGCCCCGAAAGATGCGTTTGATGTCACACCACTAGTCAAAACCATTGGAATCTGTGCTCGTGGCGGGATTTTGATTGTTGACCCCACGAAGTAAGCAAGCCGAAATTGATAAGACTCTTTCTTGAGTAAACTGATCTACGATGACAGTATTGCTGGTGGTCGAGTCACGGTAGTCCCAGATTTTTCGGGTGCAAGCACCAATCAACCTTTAGCCAACCTCAAGTCTCGAGTTGATGGATTGAAACCTCTGGGGCTCATTCGCTGCAATAGCTCTGAGCTACTGGTGATATACGAAAGTTAGTCTATCTTGTATGTAGTCACTACCTCGCTGACTTTGAACCCGTTCGTCTTCTCAGCCGTTGGGTGCTACATCACCAAACACGGAACGCCCTCCCGTTCCTCAGGATACATCAAATGGGAATCGAAGATCGACAGTTTCGCTCAGCGTGGTACCCATGTCTTGCTGTTCTCTGCTCTGTTCATCGAAATCCGGGATATCTTGACTGGTAGGATTGTTCAGGTGATTGAAGGGGAGGATATAAGACTGATGTACGCTGGTCCTACGCCGGACAGTCATGAGCTGATATTAGTGGCCATGAGAGGAGATGAGGGTCAAGGGGATAAGGATTTGAAGGAAGGGGTTGTGGACAAGATTGTGGAGTTGCAAGAGACGTCTGAGATTTCTGATATGCGTGCGCGTACACCTACTACAGCGGTGCCAGCGATGTGGGAGGAATGGGACATGTGATCTATGCGTTAGAAGTAATGTACAGTATGACTTTCACTGACAATCTTAATATTAATCGTAAGTTATTCTGATTGTAGGCAATTGTGTATTAGAATGTATATAGGTTCCGCCACCTTTGCTCCACCATTTCCTGGATACGTATGCAACAAGGGTATATAGGTATATATCATCTGAGTTGTTCCCAACTATGCCCCCAAATCTCTTCACCCATCAAACCACCCAGCTCTTTCCATCTCATCTGCTAATCCAACCCAATTTCGCCTTCGAGCTTTACGACCTGCAAGTTCGGTAGCAAATCTACACAAGAGGTAGCTATTATCAGATTTCTGGGTTCCCAGTGAGGAATAACAGTAAACGACTTGCCTCAGACATTCATCCAACCTCCATCTATTTTTGTCATTCTCTCCCAACGATGCACTAGGATCAGCTTCACCGTGAGATGAAGGGGTAAACGGTGCGCCAGGGAGGATTCGTCTGCTCAATGCATATATCATCCCAGACACGAACGCGTCTTGTGCACCGACTTCATCGACGACTCCGTCATCAACGTCTTCATCGGTTACCTCCGTCCCTCCCTGCGATGAGTCGAGTTCGTCCTCGTCGTGGCCGTACCGACGAGCAGTGGTGGTGGTTGCAATGGGACTCATTTGACTCATACCTCCTGCCCCTCCTCGAGAACGGGATCTAGATTTTGGATTCGGACTTGTCAGTGGCTCCGAAACTGTAGTATGAGCGGAAAGGAAGTCTGGGTAGACTCCGCTGTTGTCTCTAGCGGTGAATGCGCTGGAGGAGGGAGAGTTGCTCCTTGCACCAGCATAAAAATCACTTCCAGTTCTTACAGAGCGGACATCGTCTGAGACTAAGGAGGTGTCAGGGTGAAGATGATTGTCTTCGCGAGGGCGTCCACGTCGAGCGGCCCTCGGTTGCGGCGGAGGACGTTCTTCTACCCAGGCAGAACTTTGTAAATACTCTTTGGTTGGAAGCGATAAGGCTGCGGCGCCTTCAGATCCCCAATGGGCGACGAGAAGCGCGTGTGGGGGCGCGATAGATGTTAATGAGAGAAGGAAAGCCCGAGGAGTGGTTGCGTAGTTGGGATAATGCATTTGCGCGTAGTGTTTGTTGAGAAATAAGACGTCTGCATGAGGAATAAGCTTTGTTGAGAAATAGCTGTATTAGGACGCGTCTACTATGAAAGGATAGAATGATTCACACCGCTTCTATACCTTGTCGGCTTCTACGTCCAACGTCGACGCTGAAGACACAGTGGCTTCGCCATTTGCGTTCTCGAGCTAAGCTATCGAGACCTGTAATATTGTTTAGTGTCGTTTTCACAGATCTTCCTTCAAAATGAATCCAATCAAACGGAGCTGGAGTGTTTGGGTTCAAAATGTTCGGTGATTGGTACATGGGTGACAAAGATGGTGTCGGACCAGGGGGTGAGGTCAATGTTGGGGAAGGCGAAGGAGAAGAATACATGTAATAATTCTCTGGAACGAGAAGAGGTCCAAGGAGCGAAACGAATTCTTCATGGGTTATGTCTGGTAAAGGATTATGGTTTATTACAGTCCGAGTGTCGTTTTCAACTACAAAGCTCCTATTATTTTGTATGCAATGTAAAAACAATAGAGCAAACATACTAGCTTGAATAACCCACGCGCTGGGAACGCCTGACTCTGGCCAGACTTTACAGTAACGAGTGTTTACCCCTTCCCGTTCGAGTTCTTTTGTAATCATTTTTCCCTCATCGCTGCCTCCAAGGGAAGCTACGAGGATGGGGTCCACTGGGCTTGAGAATTGTGCTAAAAGAGCAAGTATAGAGCTTGCAGAACCTCCGCGAATGGTCGACACTGAAGAAGCGCGTATCACCGTAGAGGGAGCTGGATGACACGGCACAGCCAGGGTGTGGGTAAGAAATAATGTACCAGACGCGAGAATCCGAAGGGGTTTGGAGGAGGAACTAGGAACATCTCGAGATTCTTTCCTCAGTTTCGCCATAACGTGAAGAAGAAGAGTACAAAACATCGCGTGTCATTTTGAATTGCATATATTTCGTAAGTAATAGACTCGAAGTCATTAGTGTAACGACTTTGAGTGCGCTGCCAGTTCTCAATTTGTACATCCCTGACTGCTCCATGCAGGTCCTAAGTTCCGTCAATAAGTATGACAGGCTCAAGTTCCGCTAAGACAAATATTAAGTTTACTATACTTTTGAGGAAGTACACCATTCAATTTCTATGACATTTCTACGTCCTCGTCTCCATCATCACTATCCGCATCGTCATCTACCCACTCACCATCGTCGGCTTCATCTTCACCCTCGCCTGGAGGGGAAGGTTTGATACCCATTCCTTCCAGATTTGCGATCAGTTCCTGTGTGTGCTCGAGTAGGGGTTTGTCCGGATGTTCTTGATGAATATGTAACTGTAAAAAGAGTTGAATATACACATGGGTTTGAGCTGAGATAGATATCAGCATACCAGTTGACATGTTTCCAGTCGATCTCTTGCATCCTGTGCTAATTCCTCCCAGCTGAGATCGTCCAGGGTCCCACCGTTTTCCTTTGCTTGTTCGGCCATCAGGAAGTAACACCACCCTTCAAGATACCATGCTTCAACTTCTTCGTCATCGGCCGTCATTACACCGTGTAATACGAGCAATGCTGGAGAATATATGGATAATTCGAGGAAAAGTCTAACCAATCCCAATCGAGCAGGTATCGGTGGAACTTTGGGATCGTCTAAATCCTCATTCGATAAGCACGATTACTGAGCTCACAAAGATCTTACCTAAATCCAGGTCTTTCCAAGATATCCACGCTTTTTCTAAACACGCTTTCGCGTCTTCAGGTCTCTGTTGTGACATCCGCACAGAAGCCAGACTTTGTAAAGCTTCTGAATTGTCAGGATCAACCTTGAGAGCTGTTTCGAGGAGATCTTCACAAGTCTTTTCTGCTTGAGGTTCGAAACTGTATTACATGCGATTTAGGAATTTCGGGAAGCAACAATGAAAATCCACGACTGACCAGAGATCGTACGAAGGGTCCATCCAAATTTCTACTTGGCCAATCAAAGCCCGGACGATGTTACTTTTTAGCTCGATCTCATCATCGCTTGTCCCATTTTGTCCTGCACGCTCTTTGCCTTTTAGTTGTACGTATAGCAGTTCTACGGCTGATTGATAATGTTGTAAAGCGACTTTGGGCTCGTCGTCACTGATCTGTGCAAGATATAGATGGGCAGAGGGAGGCGGAGGTGAAGGTGCAGCTGAGTTTGGCGGTAATAAACTGGAGAAAGTCTGTAGAAAATAGCAAAAAAAAGATGGAACATTGTTGATGAACGAGCTTATCACTACAAGATGAATAGAGGACCGACTTGCTTGGCTGCGTCAATATCACCCATTTCTAGTTGGACTACTCCAAGCATTTCTTTAGCTTCGGCATTTGAGGGTTGTTGGTCTAGTATACGTTGGATGAATCGAGCTGCTAGTTCGTAATCGCATTGAACGATGAGTGATTGGGCTTTTTCTAGTAATGAGGGTATAGAGGGTGTAGCTGGAGCTGGCTGGGCAGAAGAAGGTATTGTGGGTTTTGAAGCAGCTTGCTTTTTTGTTTTCGTCCGTCCCATCGTGAAAGTAAAAAGGTCGAAAAGTCTCACGATTGCGACTTCACTAAGAACAGCGACCAACTCTTCGAATTTTTCTCAGGCTATCCCTGTGTACATATATGCTTTGTGCGCCATTAGACAATGAACAATCACCTCCAGATGAACTCTATCTTGAGCGTTTCGAGGCTTTCATGGAGAAATGTTTGACGGACATTCACTCATTCGCAGAAAGAGAAGCTCGTTCGTTTGAGCAGGTTTATAAAGACTTTCAATCATTCCATGTCTGTTTTTTACTGACCCCGGTATATAGACCAGACGAGACGTTGCTAGGTGGCATTGTAATCAGCTTTTCCAATGGCAGTCCCCATCCTCATCGTCTGAAGTCTCTAACCGGTCTACCGAAAGTAGGTTTTCTCGTTCCTGACAAGTGAATGGCATTCTCACTGTATGTAGTCTGGACTATCCTCGTCAACCTGTCTCGTATTCTGGAGTCGTTGTCTGGTGTATTTGGGATCGAGTCATTTCTTCTCGCTGTAGATCCAGAGGATATAACTAGTCAATCTTTTCTGGGAGGGACTATTATAGGTAGAGAATTCTGGAGAGGAATGCGAGCCGGAGGCGAATCTGGAGCAAAAGCATTCAAAGAGCAATGCATCAAGAACAAAGGCTCGAAGAACGTTCCTCATTCCGTTGCGCATAATCAACATCCACTCTCAGGAAATTCTAGCAAGTTTATCTCGCCGAGCTCAGTCATCAACGTTTCCTCCAAACAATCTGCTAAAAACGTTAAAGTGGAGCTTTATGAAGGTGTGCGTAATGCTCTGAGGTGAGTTCGCCTGCTTACCCATCTTTATAATGTGGCTGCGTTATGACGCGTTGACAGAACAGTGAGCGGGATCCGCAATGCTGAAATGAAGTGGTCAAATCATGACCGACTCTTCACTTACGGGGTTTGTCTAGTTGGTTGGCCGTCCGACATTCCCGCGAAAAATCCGTCTACTTTGAAAGCTGATCAGAACAAGCGGCTTTTGGAGCTGTTGAATAACGGGACTTTGAGGTTCATAAAAAATATTATGCTATCTTCTGATTCCGACCAAGCCCAAGCTGGTCCTGTGTGGGAAGGGACGGAACCTGGGGAGAATGAGGATGAAGGTACTATAGACCAGTCAGACGAGATGTTCTCTTGGGCCATACAATATGAAGACGATGATCCTGTAGATGTGAGTCTTTCGTCGTGAGTATTGGATCTAATGAGGTGATACTTCGTCCTCTGCAGCGCACCGAGCCAGATAGTCGAGTCACACATCAGGACCAACCTGTCGAGGAATCGAGCTTAGACGTGGGCAGACCGAGAAAGAGAGCTAAATTCGGGGAGAGGATTCGTTTCCATTCCGCCGAGGATGCAATCACTTGACGGATTGTATATATCGTTATCACGCTACATCCTATACCACTTATGTACACATAGATAAAGATATACCCAAGTTCATAAATGATCATAAATCGCCGCACTCTTCATTATGTGTTATACTGAGTATTGTCGTCGCGTAGGTTGTTTGTACTGGATATGACGTACGCAACGGAGAGGTATACTCAACGGACCTCGCTGCTTTAAAGTTACAGTTTCAACTTCAGAGCTTCGACCATTACCACCATGTTCTCTTCGTTATTTTCGTAAGCCCGTCTATGATTTTCTCCGATTTCCTTCTTAAACATTGATTAGCACTGCTCCTCCTGCCGATCCCCATGCACCCAATTTCCATCCAGTCTCCTCCAAGTTCGGCCCTACAGAGCTATTTGGGGAACTCAAACCCAAGGATACCGAGCTTCTTTGCACGTCCAGTGGCTTCATAACCGAAACTCAGGTTTTTTACACTACCACTCCTGATGGAAAGTCTATATGGTGTCAACTCATCCATTCGTCTGTTGGGTGAGAGCTGATTCTTCTGCTCCTCGTTCAATTTTTTGTTCATCATTCAATAGTCTTTGGTACCCTACGATCCAGTTTACATGTAAAATCTACGATCCAGAGACGCAGAAATCGACATGGAAGTCCATCAACGTCTCGAACTTCACTTGTCCTCCGACTGGGTTGGACAGAAGGTCGTGCAAGGCTGACGAATTCTCATTCACACACAAGTCCAAACCTGACTCCGACTATCCCGAATCATACATTATCCAAGCCAATCCAGCGCCTGATTTGCAGATTTTCCTCGAGGTTACACGCCCGGCCTCTGCTTCCGGGTGGAAGATTGGCAGCGGAGATGATGGAGGATACTCGAAATTCGGACCGGACGCCAGTAATCCGGAAGGATATGTTATCCATCGATTCTGGCCGCTTATGAAGTCTTCTGGGCACATTGTTGTTAATGGGAAGGCAACACCTGTAGAGGGTCAAGGGATGTTCGTGCATGCTATCCAAGGCATGCGTCCGAATCTCGTTGCCGCTTCCTGGAACTTTGGAAACTTCCAGAGTCCAGAACTTGGCGGGGTGTCTGCAATCCAAATGGAGTTTACGACTATTGGCGCGTATGGAGTGAAGGGCGCGGGATCTGGTGGCGTCGCTGTCAACATTGGGTCCTTGGTTGTAGGTGGAAAGTTGGTGGCTGTCACGGCCGAGACGAAGTATCCTGGGGAAACGAGTGATGCAAACGCTCCGGTCAAATGTCGGGTCACCCATCTCAAACCCGCATTAGATGCTGATACAGGCTACCAAAAGCCATGTGAACTCTTGTTCGAATGGGCTGGGCCTTCTTTAGTCGCAGACAAGCCTGGAACGTACAGCGCTTCTCTAAATGTCGATGTAGGCGATATACAGCAACCCAAGGGATTGATAGAGAAAGTCGACGTGCTTGCAGAAATTCCTAAAGTATTGAAGTTGGCAGTCAACTACGTGGCTGGTACGAAGCCATATATCTATATGGTAAGAGTATTTCATCGATATTTCTTCTTCCAAATATCTGACTATGCCATTTGATAGTGGATCAATCCTGCGAAGTTGACTATTACGGAGCCTGAATCAGACGTACCGGTCGAGGTAAATGGGCACATATACAATGAGGCTACGTTTATTTCCTAGTGCTACATGGCATTTCTTGCTTGCATCCATTGTATCACCATCATCAATAAGTCTTCATTAAATTTCCTTAATAATACTAGGTGAATTTATCGCGCGTTAGGCGGAGGCTTCGAGTTCTTCTGCTTTGAGTAGGACAAATCTTGACATATCTTTTTGACCAAGATTGATGTTTAGGTTTAACTGCCTCGAAGAGAGACGTTTAAGGATTGATTAACGAAAAGAATGCAAATTGTGTATACGTACGGGTATGAGCTTTGAAATGTATGGTAATCGAAAATACAGTACAAATGCGAAACCGATGTAGAGTGTGCAGACTATGTACGATGCGATTGAGGTACTTAGAAGGATAGTAAAGTAACGTCTGCTGGAAACCATCCATGGAAGTCAAAATGAAGCAGAGCAGTAGAGGTACATAGCGGTGTCACAGTGCGACGCGGATGGATGAAGATGAGGAAAGGAAGATGAGAATACGGTCTATTTAAAGTGAAAGATTAAGATAACGTTGTAGAAGCGGTCGTATCGAATAGAAGATAGTCCAGATATGCAGTATACGCGTGTTCGACACAGGTCCAGAAGTCCGTCCGTTTGAGCATAGGGTTTTGCCTCTCAGCAAACAATTGAGGCCATTCGTGAGTTTTCTGCTTCAGTGCTTGTTTAATTTTTTTGTTTTGTTGATTTTGCTTAAGCTTCCAGATAGGGTCAGCGAAAACGTACCGCGATCTTCGGAAGCTTAAGAATGTGGTACAGAGACCGAGGAGTTGAGCAACCTATTTGAATAGAGAAAAGACATGAGCAGAGTTTACTCGGGGATAGGAGAGGCACAATGTTGATCAATGAATAGGCCATGATCGAAGAAGCGAACATATGCTCTAAGAAGCAGACGCATGTTGAGAAGCAGCCATGTATGAAGTGTGAACATAAAGCCCATCGTGCCCCCGAGTTGCACCGTCCAAAGATCCCCACAGAGAGAAGATATTAGCCCGCCAAGCCATCATCACTAGCTTCAACTCCCACCATCATGAACAACAGAAACTCTCAATTCAACGACTCCGGTGACCCCATCCCAATGTCGGAAAAAACGGGACTTAAAAGACACAAATAACTGACCTTAACCAAACTTTGCCCTTTCCACACCTATCTCGAACCAATTCCCACTCCATCTTATCCATCCTCTGCTGGTCGCGTCTTAAGCAGGAGAGAAGACTTTCTCGTCCTTCCTTCGTACCGTCTCCCTCAAGTATCCATTCACCTTCCCATCCAGGCCCCACCTCAGTCTCAAGCCCATTGTCCGTTAACGACGACACGAAGTTCGAACGAGATGACAACCCTACCCAAACTCGCAGAGTCCATACCCACTTCTTTACTACCACTATCCCTCCGGGGGAATGCGGAGACGGAATATTCATAGCGACAGATATCAACGACGGTTGATGCATCACGTCAAGTTGAAGTGGTGAGACTGGTATTTTCGAAATCAGAATTCGAGTATTCATGTTCATTTTTTGCTCCATTCCAGCCTTCCTTCCACCGGGAGATCCCCGGAGACTCAGTTCTTGTTGGAATAAATGCTCATAGTACCCCCAGCTGGGGAGCGCCCACGCTTCCTGACCAGGGTAATTAGGTTCGGGCGTCGTATATACAGGAAGGATACCCCGACTGTCCTGGGCGCCGAATGTGAACGGAATGAGCTGATAGCCATTAAATATCAGCCAGACCGCGTCAGAAGAGGACTGGGATGGGGAGACGCTCGGTGGAACATATCCGAGGTTGCATACAACATCTCCGACACTCAGATGTTCCCACAGGCCAGCTCGAATCAGTTCATCCTCACACCTTGACACACCACCTTCATCTGATGAGTCTGTTGTGTACGGAAGAGTCATGTCCGAAGACGGCACAAAAACCCGTAAGACTGGGGCTCGGATTCTGGAAGTTGCTAGGTTAAGCGCATGGGGATTGTTGTGACCCAAGTCTACTCCAGGAAGTCCAATGGCCGAAGGAATTGACCGCAGTTGTCCTCTTCTGCTAGTGGATGCCCTTGGTTTGCCAGGACTAAGAGTACTCGCCCTAGATTGTGCGCTGGATGGAGGCGAGAAGTCACTGTTTAATACTGATAGTGGTTGACTGTGACCAATACTTCTGGGCCTCATCCCCCGAGCGTCAGTAGCCGCTGAACGCAGTCTACCACGATTGATAGCAAGAACCTCCGCGCCCGACAATTGCTCCTTTTGCGACAATGGAGGTGGACTATCCAGCGCTGATATCGACGTGGCACTCGTACTATTTGATGCTGACGTAGAGCTGCTGGTTGTAGAGCTGGTGCCTTCACTGAAGCTGGACTCACTTCCGCTTACGCCCATGTCAGAGCCAGCAAATCTTCTACGAGGCGTAGAAAAAAGCTCATCGTCATCTACTTCCGAACTATATCCAGCAGATTCACGAAAAATATTCTTTGAGATGGCAGACGTCGACCTATATGAAGGAATTGTGGCTTCCCACTTCCCTTTTGCGTCATTTAAGCCTCGGCGCCAGCCAAAGCTAGAAGAATATTCACGTAGGGCACGAGATTCTGCAACAGGCGGAGGGGGTAAGCGAGATGCTTTCCCACGGAGCGAGGCCACGGAAAATCGTTTATTGGATTTGGATATTGAATCGGTGGGGGATATAGAGATAGAAGGTGTAGATGCGGACGCGGGAAATGAAGGGTAACCATTCCATTGCTTGTTGGATGGATTTGAAGAGTTACGCTTGAAGCCAGGTCGATCTTTACGCAACGCACTTGGACTATCTGTAGCAGCACGAGAGTGAGCAGAATGCTTGCCACTGCTGCTAGCAGCATCAACGACGTTGAGATCTGTCATCGAACGTGACGTTTGTATCGCAGTATGACCTGGTGCCAATGGGGCAGGAAACACAAGTTCCCTGACAGAACCTGCAGAAGAGGCGCGGTTATGGCTGCGGTAAGAAGAATCTGCAAGATGTGTATCGGCAGATAGAGGAATCAGGATGTCGCTTTCTTGTGGAGGTGGATTGGCAGATGAATGCGCAATACCTTGCAGGACGAGAACGAAGCGTGAATGAGCAAGAGTCAAACGGGCTAGGTGCGCAGTCTTAAGCAAGTCGCGAGAATGTCGAGGCATTCTGGAGGTTTCTGGCATGGTTCCCGATGACAGAACGGTAAGAGCATGTGTCGGGTAAGTGTGTAATGGTGTTTGCTGCGATATTACTATGACAATATGAATACCTGGAGAAAGGATTTAACGAAAGATGTACACACTTAAGAGAACCAAGTCTTCCCAACAGAGTTCTAGTCCCAGGTCCTCTCGCAGAGCGAGATTCTCGGGCCCCGCCTCTCGCAATACCTTACCAAAACCATCGACGTATCTTGCCAACACGATATTGCGTGAAGCGATCCACTTCTGAGGCGAATCAGACCTTGGGTGAGTACTTGTGAACTCGATGAAGCTACGCCAGGCTCGGCAGGTTTGCGACAAGGTAAGAAAGACCTTCCACGGAACAAACCTCAGAAATGACGATAATAGAAATGGATTCGATAGAAAGAGTTCTGTAAATGGCGTCTTGTAGATACTCGTTCCGGTCAACGGCAAATTCGACATTTTTCCAGGACTGGAAGCCATGAGCCTACTAGGCTCCGCTGGGACCACAAATATTTAAGTAGCCGCAAGAGTTGCGACCGGTTGTTGAGACCGCTTTACAAGTCGGCCCCGCTGTCCGAATCGATCCCGGAGTCAGAACTCCATCGTGAGGCCAAACCTTCGGGATAAACTCACCGAAACCTCCACCGTAGACAATAATAATTGAGCAATTGTTCCTGAGTAGAACAGCAAGAAAAGGTAAAAAAAAACTGTTACAAAAAACTCAGGAAGATGGTAGGCAGGTAGGGGAAAACGCTATGTAGCGGGTCAAATTTCAAGGATGAGAAATTACGCTCACCATCACCTCATCGAAGAACGGGCCGGCCGCGAGAATTCTCCATCTGATCACGGCAAAGCTGTTCTCAGGCACTTTTGCCAATTCTGGCGCGCACGGCTTTTGTCTGTCTTCGACATTCCCGGTACTCAAGGTATCAAATTGCGCGCCCATAAGCGAAAAGACACAAACGGTCTAAGTCCTGAGGATGTCGACGACGGCATGCGCCTCACACGTTTGTGCAATTTCCTACTTGTTCGCTCAAGATTTGCGATTCCTAGTCTTTAAAAGGTAAGAACGTTCACATATCCATCCCTGCCTTCAACTAACTATTCGTTTCCTTATAATCTTCCATTGGCCTGAAGTAACATCAACTCCTATAAGCTATGGAAATGCTCAAATAAATACATTCTGTGTTACGCCAGTCCATCAAGGTTCTTCTGCATGTAGCGCAAGCTCGAGTTCGCTTACCTATACTATCTGGCATCTGTACTCAGCTCAGCTCAAGTCTCGTCTCCACCAGGTCTCCACAATCATCTACGACCTTGTCTCCTGTTCTCGGATCAGCTTCAAGCGCCCTGTCTCGCGTATAAGTTATCTACGGTTTCCCTAGTTATGATCAATCGATGACAACACAGCTGAGCTTGAGATCCATGCGATGACAGTTAAATTCAAGTTCTTGTACGGTGCCCTTCTTCTTTAACCCCACAAAGTAATCTTGCATAATTTCTTCCAGTGTTTACTCTGCTATTCACCTTCTACATTTGAACGCTCCACCAGAGTTCCGTTCCACCTCTCTAGACCCTGTTCGGTCAGACATCGACTAACCGCTGTACCGCCGCCCTTCACCAGTGTCAAGTTCCAAATCCAGTCACGATCCATAATACATGTCCAGCCACTACACTAGCCCTGCAGCACCTCCCTGCATCCATGATTATTCATACGGCACCCCTCAAAATCCAGCAAATATGTACATGTTAAGTTCAAGCATGATGCATCATCAAGTCCACCTTTACTTACACTTACTTATCCGGTCATACACCTTCATACAATCAACTTTTTATAGTACCCCCGCAGCCAACGCATGCGTACAGACTGTGCCAAAGGCCGGTTACCTTCTCGGTAGGCTAAATTACTCGTACTATGCAGTACTCAGTCCTCTACGCTTCACGGGAGAAGCAAATATAGCCTTTATACGCAGTTCATTTCTATTCGCTGCGAAGCTAGACTCTGACTAGACCACTGGGTTCTCCGTTCACTGTCGGACGCATACTCATCTTTCCTCCTTCCTCTCCCTCTTCTCCTGCATGTACCCTATGAGCTCCTATGCTTCCCAATGCTAAAGTGGTTTAGATTCGAAAGGTCCGCCTTGACAGGAAGGCACGACCAAGGCACGACTTGGCAACACCCTGCAATCACCTCGCGGAGCCCCATCCCTGCCATTTTCCTCCTTTTTCTCGTCTAAGTTTTATCCTGTCTGATCTGATATTCTATGATATTTATTATTCTCTGATATATGTACATAACAGGATATCATTCACGGTCTTTATGAGTCAATAGACATCTCCTAAGTACATAAACCTTTCACGGACCCGACGTAAGCGGAATCGAATGCGCGTTTTTTCCCCCAGGATGTATGCGATTTACGACTTCGTCTTCCACGAAATACATACCGTACAAATAACATACCGTTGACTGAAGGCCGCAGCCCCTCGCAGCCCTTTGTCTACATGAATTTACAGCATATGCGGCCTGTATACGCCTTAGCGGGTTATGGGGGATGTGGGTTTACGTGGTAAACCCATTATTATATTATATGATGAATCCATAGGAATCCATGCAACAAACGCGTTTCTCAACTTATGTACAGTATGTATGTGGTTTCAGAATGACAACTAATACAACCAGATAAGTATAGAACAGAACTGCAGGAATATCGATCTAACATCAATTTTTTTGGCGCCCCGACGAGGATGCCACAAACGTGCTCGCGACTAAAAATGATCATGAGGGGTTAACCTATACATACCTGGTCGCATCGTGTACATACTGCTATGTATCGCGAAAATGTGCACAATTGACCATTTTTAATATAGTGAAAATAAAATGCATGCTATCTGCAAGAGAATCGACAGAGAGACAAGGAAATCCAAAAAGGTCATTTACATTACAGGAAGTATTTGTACAATAAAACACCCAGGAAAAAATACAGGTATAAGAAGAATATACATGCATCGAAGCGAAAGTTATGAAGGAATACACAATTGCAAACATCAACATGTAGAAGACGGGAGGGAGAACAAAATTTCGATGCAGGTTTGATCACCTCCAAAAGCCACTACCTTTTCCATCCTTCGGTTTGCCTTTTAAATCCGTCAGCATGACTTCCCTCTCGCGTTCATCCACACCAAATATTTTCCTCAAACCATCAACCTCGGTTGCTTTTTCTTGCATATTTTCTGTGGCTTGTCGAGCGTTATTACGTGCGACCTCCAAGGTTTCCTGAGTAATCATTAGGCTTATGATATTGAAGCGGATTGAGGAATTGACTTACCGCCTCGCTTTGCATTGCGGCTTGGGCGATCTCATACTTGGTCCTCGCTGCCAAATATGCTTCTTCGGCTTTATGGAATGCGGTGAGGGCCTTTGTATGTGCAGTGTGAGCCTTGGATTCGCGCTGTTATATCCAGAATCATTAATGATGACCTTTATAGGAATGGAAAATGCGCGAACCTTGACCAATGACTTCTGGACTTTCTGTAATTCGCCAAGTTCCTGAATGGCGATATCCATCGACTGTTTCTCGACTTTGCTTTCTGACTTGATGACCTTGGAAAGTCGTTGGCTCTGTTTGACTGACAACGACTTTCAAACGCAATGACGCGTTTCATAGCAAGCAAATGACCAACCTTCTACCTTTCCGATTTTCTTCTTCTGTTTCCCGGTCAGGGCGTCGTCAGCACTCTGCATACGTTGATGCAAAGAATCATCGGCGGTGGCAGTGGCAGAAGGGCCAGTGATACCGGCTCCGTTAATGAATGCGGATCCGTTGACAGGTTTACCGTCTGCGTTGGTGAGCATGGTGCGTCGAGAGCGGGTAGATTCCACGCTACGCGTGGACCTATTTCTTTCGACGCCATCGGAAATTACTCCGCCGCGCACTGAAGAAGCTCTGGACGCGATAGAGCCAGGTCGCCTTTTCTTGAGGACGGAACCTGATCGTGCAGGCTGGAAAGAGGGTGAGGTCGCCCCGTCGGAAGGAGGCGGGAGGTCGGTGGCTGGAAGCCAACCCTCAGAGCCATTCGGATGAGCAGTAATATCATGTTGTTCTGGCTCGTCAGTCAATTGAGTCTCGCCATTGTCGACGATGCCGGAGGCTATCCTTGTACCACCTCCAGCGACAGTCGGTTCGCGGTTCAGGTTGGATGACTTTGTGTCTGATACTATAGGCAAATCTTGAGCGTCTTGAGCCATGTGAAAGTGAGCTAAGGGAGCTTCGTAGTAAATGCTTTTGCCTGATACAGAGGATGCTGTGGAGTCAAGAGGAGGTCTACCAATAGGCATAAGGCGCACTGAGGGTGCCAGAAGTTATTTGAAAAACGAGGATTGGCACCACTTGGACTCGAATTTATACGCCAGTCTAACTTTAAGCGATCGTTCGCTATCGTTCGACGTTCAGAACGTTTAGCGTCATAATTATGACGTCACTGAGGAGTAGTCGTAATTAACTGGGGTTAGGGCTAACATGGAACATGCCGACCTTCGTCCGGCCTCGTCCGGTTCTCTCCAGTTTCATATGTGGTGCTCACTTTTCAGCTCTGAAATTTAGGGCAGAGAAATGACCTGGATGAAGATGGATGGTACCGACAGTGAAGCAGATTAGCCATCCACCATGTTCAATCTCAGTTGCTGATCAGCCCTTCGGCGGTAAGGGATGGAAATTATGAATCTTTCCAGTTTTTCAATCCTAATCTAATTCCACAGGGGATAATCCTGGAGAATCATTACTGTACATGGCAAGTTATATTAAAACCGATGTTCAAGTCGATGTAATATTCATCATGATGAACATGGATTTACCAATCCGCTTGTTCGTACCTTAGACCATCTACGTTCGTACCCATCCCGTACGAATCCCATTCATCGAGCTCGTCAAGTCGCCGCTTCAGGAGCTTCCTTGTCAAATATACAGCATCCTCACCCAGCGCAAATCTAGCCGGAAGTGGTTTCTCTGTCTTCAACGTGACGAGATCGAGGAGTTTTTTAGCTGCTTTTGCAGTATCTCCCAGCTCTTGTCCAGATCTTGCCTGAAACGCCCTATGAAAGTTGTGCGCGATATCGTACCCTTCAATCTATGTCCCGAACCCAAAGATTATCTAATATGGAATTCAGATTGTTCAAATTTGACTCACGGTATTTGCTGGAGGTTTAGAGTTAGAAGTTGCCACTGAGGTACGGAATGCACCAAGAACTACAGATACAGCTCGAATATTGAAAGGGGAAAGTTCATTCGACCAGACTTCGGTGAGACCTAGGGTAGTAGGGTCCGTTAGTTTGTAAAATGCTGTTTGAACTTAAATCTCACATTCGAGAGCAGCTTTACTGGCACTATAAATGCCTGCACCACTAAGAGCGAGATAGGATCCCTGAGAACTGATGTTGACAATCGTCCCAGTCTTCCTGCTGCGAAAATGTGGCAGGAATGCAGTCGTAACATTGATCACACTGAAAAAATTAGTATTAAATTGAGCTTGAATTTCCTCTGGCCTAGATATAAACACGGTCAGTAAACAACATACACTGTGAAACGGCACTAAAACATTCACCTATTCTCCTCGATCGCTCCGGCAAGAAGCCACCCAGCATTATTGACGAGTATATCCACTTGGCCGCTGCAGAGTTAGCGTCGCGTGAGCGATCTTCATCGTCATTATTCTATGATTCAACTCACAACGCGCCAATCGCCTCAACTGCGAAGCTTTTCAGTCGTTCAGGCTTATCATCGACATCTAACGTGAGAATTCGAGCACCCTTGTCTCGTAAATCTTCGATAGCAGATAAACGACGGGCAGTGGCAATTACGCGCAACCCCCTTGCAAGAGCCTCTTCAGCGAGAGATCTGCCGAGACCAGTAGAGCATCCAGTGATGAGTATAACTTGAGATTCAGAGATGGAAGCCATTGGACTGTCGAGTGCCAGGCGGTGATTTGGGTAAAACTTTTGCCGAATCAAATAAGGTCATGCGCACTTGCATTCATGGATGTACATTTAGAGTCAGAGGATGACTGCGAATATTCGAGTCCATCGCGGAACCGATACTTTTATCATGGACCACCACAGTCACTGTCAGTTGAGACCAGCTGGTTGAGATGAACTGGAAAACTTGACAAGGATCTTCATATCTCCTAATATTGCTGACTAAATATCAATCGAGTGACGATTTTCAATTTGGTTTCGGCACCGCAGAAACCTTCAGGAAACTACTTTTTTTCCCTCCATCGTTGCTTTTCGGAACCTAATTCGTAGAGTTCTGCAGGAGTTCACAAAGTCGCAAGGCTGGTCGTACAATGTACAATGCTACGGCAATTTGTACGAAGAACGTCCATTATCTCCCACTCTCACTTCACATTCACTGCCCGGCCCCTGTCAATTTCAACATGCCCACGATCTCCCTCAGTATCTGTTCGATATCTACCTGGTTCAGGCCTCATCCGGGCTCATAGATTTTCGCCTCTAGTGGTACCTCCTACCATCCTTGCAGTTACAGGAACTTCTGCTTTCCACTCCACTCCGAGGAATAGTTCTCCTCCACTGATTGCCATTCTAGCTGCTGTATTCAAGGTTTGTACTTGTATTATCATCAAGCTAGGCTAATTCATCTCAGGATAGTCTTCGACCGGTCTTCAAATAGCCCAAACTGCTGCACGAATAGCATTAACCTTCGTACCAGTCATTCTCTTGAAAAATCACAAGTCTCGTATGCATCTCCGTTTTGCCGACATCCACGGCATTCCTGGTGCAGAGGATAAGAAATTGAAGCTACTTCAACGAATACGGAAACGAACGATATTCTTTCAGGTTCTCCTGGCAATTCCAGCTGTTCTGTTTTGGTTGGTTATAATTGCTAGTATGGAACGGACGCCATTAACTGGGAGGTACGTCTCAATTACTAGTTATCATTATCAAAATACGTAGATCGAGCGACCCCCTTTGTAGGTGGAGACTCATTATCTTATCACCAGAAGAAGAGGATGATCTAGCCGCAAACTTAGCCGGACAAGGCTGGTACAACGCAGTAGGAGATATTTTGGCACAAGATGGCCCTCCACGCTTTATTCCTTACAATGATTGGAGGTACCGATGGGTACAAGATACCCTTCGAAGACTAGAAGCAACTGTTCCCATCCTGATGAAAGAAATAGACCGATGCCCAGAGTGGCTGGAGAGCGACCGACCGATGCCTCCACCGGCTGAATACCCTCTTACTCCTCGTCCCAGAGCATCGGAGTACCTACGATCCTTTTGCGAGAAAATGTGCGATCGTGAGGTTCCCCCAGTAGCCCATTCCATACCTGGCCCACCTTACAATCTGCTTCTGGTCGAACGGCCAGATGCTTTAAACGCCTTTTCCTATGGATTCGGACCAGATGGCGGCGGTGGCATCGTTGTCTACTCTGGATTCATAAATGATATTCTTGCTAGAATACCGATGGATACGTCCACCCCTTCCCCTCCCCAACCGCAATCTTGGTGGTCGTCATTCTTAGGCGGCCCGCCCCCTCCCCGCCAATTTGTTCCTACCGAAAAGCACACATCCGAACTCGCAATCTTACTTGCACACGAATTGGCACATCTTCTTCTTTCTCATCATCTAGAAACGTTATCTTCTGCCACTGTTATTATACCTGGAACACTATCCATCTTCGCAGACGTTATCCGAGTCTTGATATTTCCGGTCACTATGTTCTTCGGTCCATTCGTAAATGATGCTGTTGCTCAGCTTGGTAGGATGGGCTCTGGTGAGCTCACCAAAGTTGGGGAATACTGCACCAGTCTCAAACAAGAGCATGAGGCAGATGTCGTGTCCGCTAGGTAAGCCTCTCTATGTCCCATGGAATGATTCTTGCCGACCTTGAATGCTTGTTAGACTCTTGGCTCATGCAGGCTTTGATGCACGAGAAGCGATCTCATTTTGGGAACAACGTGCCTTATCGGCCACAGAATGTGCTCATGCCGAGTCCATAGATCCTGCATCTTCTGACGAACCAATATCGAAGAGTGAACGTCTTATACGGCGAATCGCCGGGACTGGGCATCCTGTGAATGAAGCTCGAGTAGATAAGCTCAAGTCTGAGCTGGTACGATGGGAAACAGAACGAAGGGCTGCGCTGGCGCGTTCTCGACTCTCACCCGAGGAGAGGCGTAGCAATATCAACCTTACCCTTGCATAGACCGTATAGGATGGATATTTGGGTTTGTTGTGTCGGACGAGTGTTTTCACTTAAGTTATCTACTTATCATTGTACTATTATGTGCACGTCATCTTTGTTTTTTAGGTTATAGCTCGGACATCAACGAATAAATCACCATTCATTTCTATACGTACACATAAACTTGTGGATATTGAACTCGCATTTTTCTCCGTGATTTTTCTGCACACGCGAGATTCCGTGGCTGGAAGAATCGTCGTGTGCTGGGCGGGTGATTTTCTATCTCAAGTCCATGACTACCAACGAAGGCTGGAACTCAGCCAGAAAGGCAGCATGTGCCTCATTTTTCACATGTCGCTTTGATTCTTCAAAGCTTTGTTTGATCTTCAAACATCTTATAGTGATCCTCGCAGGGCATGTCCCCCAATCTTCCAGATGATTATTCGTAAGACAGGTCATGCACTCACTCAGTAACTGGTGATCTCTGGACGTTGCTTGGACGGACAGATCCTGAAACTGTTACAACTCAAAACGGAGAAACTCTTTGCTATACATGACTCGGAACGAACGCCCCCGCCGCATAGAAGAAGACTGCATATCTTGCTCGATCATCCACTTTCATCTACTCACCTGCTTCTACAGAGCTTTCCATTTTCGTCGCTCTGCGAATTAGATTCGGAATTCAACATCCATATGCTTCTACCCGCTGTTATCTTAGCATTCATCTGTACCACATGGAATCTTCAACCTGTATGCCGTCTACACACCTTCAGCCAATTTCGGTGTACGAGTGAGAATCTTGGAGACCAATGGTAGAGGTGTGGATTTATTTATACAGGGATACAAATACTGACAGATATTACCGAGTCTCTTCCTAAGGTCCCCTAACTTGACGCCATGATAGGCCTTGGTCGTATCCTCGTTTCTCTGCTCTCATTCTCTGCCCTCCATGTACACGCGACACAGGTTATGCACAGACCTGAACGATTCAACACTACGCCTCCCGCAGTGACTACCGAGACGAACCCAGAGACACATGTTATCCAGAAACGAGCTACAACTAAGACACAAGTCGCTTACTTTACCAACTGGGGTATCTATGCAGCCAATTTTCGTATGTTTCTCTCATCTTATGCTTTTTTACGACCTGTCACTCACATTGGTTGAAAAGAGCCCACCGACATCATTCCATCAACTCTCACTCGTGAGTTTCTGTGACGGACCAAGATGCAGAAGTTCGCCTGACCGGGACCTCCCATTCACATCCAGACATTCTTTACGCATTTGCTGACGTCAGCCCTGACACTGGTGCAATATCTCTCACTGACTTATACGCCGACGAGCAGGTATGTATGCTCCCGCACTTCTATTCATCAAGTTTAAGTTGTGCCGTCTTTCAGAAACACTTCGCCACTGACTCGTGGGATGAGACCGGGAACAATCTTTATGGCTGCCTGAAACAGATGTAAGTACTATCAAAACTCCCAGTCTGCCAGTGAAAAATTCATAATATCTTCGTAGGTATCTTCTCAAGTTGGCCAATCGAAGCTTGAAAGTTTTGCTTTCCATCGGTGGCTGGACTTACTCCCAAGAAGGTAATTCGGATCCTTCTCATATGTACACTGGTATCTGATATCTTCTCATAAAGGACACTTTGATTTCGTTACCGATGCAACCCTAAGGGCCAACTTTGTGACTCAAGCGGTGTCCTACATTGAGAACTTTGGTTTCGATGGGATGTAGGTCAAGCCGCGCCTTCACACAACCATGATTGAACCAACTGTTAGTGACCTGGACTACGAGTATCCAGCGAACACAGCGCAAGGACAAGGATTTTCCGATCTCATCACCGAGTTGCGTACTGCTTTCAACAATTTGGCTGCTCAAAAGGGAGATTCAACACCATATGAGTTGACTGCTGCGGTGTCTGCTAATGCGTCAAATTATCAATGGCTGAATATTCCACAAGTGGACGCCGCGCTCACGTACTGGAATTTAATGGTGCGCCCTTTCACGATTTGAATTTGCTTAGAGACGTATTCTAATTTTATCCACTAGGCCTATGATTATGCAGGATCGTGGTTGAGCTGGTCCGACAACCAAGCAAATCTCTACGATGGACAGCGTACTGGCATCAATACTGATATGGCAGTCAAAGGCTATATCGCAGCGGGCGCAACTGTCAGCAAAATTAATTTGGGTATGTGTACCGTTTCATCAGTCTGTATCAGTTCATTTATCCGGTCTGTAATGCAAGGTATTCCAATCTACGGACGCGCTTTCGAAGAAACATCGGGCCTTGGACAACCGTACAACGGAGTGCGTCACTCTTCGACTGGTTTGAAAGAAAAGAGCTGCAACAATTTTGTAGATTGGCCCTGGAACATTTGAGGCGGGCGTCTATCAGTATAAAGTCCTTCCCCGTACGCACCATTCCATTCATATTTGAATCTTGTCTCACAATGGGATTAGTGGCGGGCGCCTCAGTATTCGAAAATACAACCGATGTGACCAGTTACTCTTACAACCCAACTACAGAAGAACTAGTTTCTTACGATACTCCGAACATTGTCAAAATGAAGGCTCAGTATGTCAACGCGAACGGCCTCGCAGGTGCTATGTACTGGGACTTGATACGTATCAATTATGCAGTTCGATTCGGACTACAACTTATTTTCGTATTCTCTCTTTCCATTTCTGACAATCGAAATTTCCTTGCTATTCAATTATTTGCGACGAACACAGTCAGGTCGGTTCTATCATTCTACGGGCGATGATTTGATATGCTAAACTTGGACTCTCTTCAAGGACACTGCCGACGCGTCAACCTCCCTCGTTCAAAACGTTTTGACCGAATTCTCAACACTTGACGATACATTGAATCATATCGAGTAAGTGAATGACCCACTGTATGCTTTCCCTGTCGCTGAAAGAGATTAGCTATCCTGACAGTGAATGGGACAACATCAAGTCAAATATGTAAGTTCGCCACTACTGTTGATCTTTATTCACAGCTAAATACGATTACTACAGGGGTACATATTAATATCAAATACGTTCGCGTTGATTGAACATGGTTGAACATTGTTTACTCCTAGGTGAAAGCACCGGCTCTTCTACTACTGCCCCAACTTCGACGTCTACTACTTCTGCTTCATCATCCTCCACAGGAACCGGTACTACCACTTCCACAGGGGCCTCACCCACCGGTGCTTGTGGTTCCGCTGCAGCATGGTCTTCCGCTGTAAATTTGCAACAACCCAAATACTAGATTATACTTAGTTATGCTAACACGTCCTCTAGATTGCTTACGATGGAGGTTCTGAAGTGACGTACGGTGAGTAACCTGGTCAGCTTTCAGCATCCTTGAGTATTCATGATTTCATCAGATGGTCAACTTTGGGAAGCTCAATGGTAAACATGAGTCAGCTACATTTATCGGTATACTGATCTGGAAAATTTCTCCAGGTGGACCGAAAACGATACCCCAGGTGGAGCAGGTGAGTTGATATCAGTTTGTTCAGGCGATTGAGTGGATGATGTTGAAAATTTGCACAGCTGGAGTTTGGATTGTCGTTAGTACATGTTGATTGGGTTAAATAAACGACTTTTGCACAAGGTAACAATCATGTACATATTGTTTCGAATATTTATCATTCTTCAGAGCCCGAACTTGAACACAGAGAGATATCCCGAAAGAATTTCGCGAACTAGGCACCCGTTTACTTCCAGGCATAAGATATCACAAGGATATACCTGCTGTGTTCAAGACTTAATTGTCCCGTTGTATGATAAAGCAACAGCGAAGCTTATACACTAACGAAATAAGATTATAAATAACGGTTTTACCCAAGCTATGCATGTTCTGGTTCTATAATTCATCGTGATTGGACTCTGTTTGGAACGCTTCGGATAACTCTGCAGAAATAAAGAAAGGGTCAATCGAGTGTGCTTCCACATAGAGATAGAGAGTACTTACTGCGTCTTTGTTGCGGTGAAAGTTCGATGGGGAGCACCACATTGTACTCGACAAACAAATCACCGTGGAGGTTACGATTTTCAAACAACGGCATCCCTTCACCTTCGATTTTTTGCACAAAGCCTGTGTTGATTTCGAACAGCCTGTAAACCACAATGTCAATAGAAGATGCGCTATTCAACGTACCAGGCTGTGTCGGTCCTTTTCGTATCAATCTAACTTCATGTCCATCTAGATGCGTCAAATTTCTATCGAACCCAAGCAGTGCCTATGCCAGCGTTATCATAAATGAGCGACGATGAGGGAGGTATATATAGCCATACCTCATCTATACCGATGGTCTCTCTCCAATATAGACTGCTCTCTTTCCTCCTCCAACTGCCTTTATCCCTCCTGCTACGCACTCTAAGTATGACGTCTCCAGCTTCCCAGTCAGGACTTTCATCCCCTTCTCCTTCAAAGACAACCTCATGGCCTTCAGGCATTCCGGGAATCACTTCCAGCGTATAGTGTGCTGTATAATCTACTACTTTCATACCGTCGCAGTGAGGGCACTTCTTGTGAATGATTTTTCCGCGGCCTCCACATTCATTACAAGTTGTTTGACTTTGGGCAAACATTCCGGGGAAGATCTGTAGGATCCAAAGGGTAAGCACGTAAACATCGACAGACTTTTGAACCACGACACCTGTTGTTTGACGAGTTTCACCCCAGAGCCCCCACATCCAGAACAGGTATGTATATCTTTATCTGAAGCAGCGCCGGAGCCTCTACAATGGTCGCAAAGAATACGTTTCTTTATCATGAACTGTAGCACGGTGAGTGGGATGTACGAAAATAGCAAACAGTCGTCTCACGTCTATACTTGCGCCTTTGTAACTATAGAAAGACCTATTAGTATGAAGATAACATCGCAGTCTACATCCTCTTACATATCCGCGAGTTCAACTTCGAATTCTGTGAGGGAGGTGGGTCCCCGACGTGTTTGCTGAGAAGCATCTACGCAAGTGATCTTTCAGCTGGGCAGTGATATCTTCAGAATGAGACGATCAACTGACATCCGCCACCAAAGAAGTTGGAGAACATGTCAAAAGGATTAGCATGTTGGGTCTGCCCACCCTCGTGAGCTTTGAGACCTTCCTATATGACATTTCTTACTTAGAAGGAACTTCGACGTAAAAGCAAAGGCAACTCACCTCGCCATGCCGGTCATAGACTTGGCGTTTCTAAGCCTCATTTTAGACGGGAAGATTTGAATAAAACGTAGAATGTACTTCTTCATCCGATAATACTTCATATGCTGCAATATTCTGGCACAATTTAGCAGGGGACCGTCAATCGACTTGAAAGTTGACCAGACTGACCGTACGCGATGTCCACGAATTTGTCTTTCGCAGCGGGATCTTGGTTCTTGTCGGGATGATATTTCCGGCTCAGTTTCTTGTACGCATGCCTGACATCCGTTTTCGAGGCAGAAGGGTGTACTGAAGTATGAGATGCAGTGATTTCTTAGCTGAATAGTGCCTGAAACCTTACTGTCTAGGATCTTGTACAGGTCCTTAGCAGCGACTAGAGCGGAGAAAAAGAGTAGGGCTAGCGTGTACGCCCAAGCCATGATTCGCCGGTGCTTGGATGTGAGGCAGGATGCGAGGAAGGTAAAAACTAAAGGAGGACACGTTAATGGGCGCTAGAGTGACACGTATTTTTGCGCGTTTATTTCCCAGCTGGCAGGCATCTATCTCATAATGTTGTTACCGGCAGGTTACTGGCGTTAAACATATCTCCTTTCTCAGTATCCATTGTCCCACTGTCCTTCTTTCTTTCTCGATTTACATTTGGATGGACACCAGGAACAACTAACTTCTGCTAACATGCACCGACTAGTGTCTCTCCTCTACTTTATTCTGGGCTCGTGGGCTATTTCAATTTCATCTCGTGAAGCCGCAAACGCTTCTGAAGCATTCATTACCTCTGTCACTCTGTCTAGCGATGGACTGTGAGTGTGGGGTATACCTACCCGAGCATCACTCAGAATCTAACTGCTCCCTGAAGATCGTACTACACAGTGATTGGATTGGGTGACATGAACTTCCGCGTTTCCCTCGATACCGCGTCTTCGGATCTATGGATAATGGCCTCATCATGCTCAACATCCGCTTGCCAAACTGTTCCTCGATATCCTCTCACTTATGAAAGTACAACCTACCAATCTGTCAATGAAAATTCCACTCAGTTTGTTGCTGAATATGCGGATGGGACCAGTCCGTTTGTCGTTATTTTTTCACAGTCATCTTGGTGTTCATCTACGCATTCTACCAGTTGCCGGCGGATTTGTTGCAAAAGAAAGTTTTCATCTATCGAACCTGACTGTGCCAAATCAGGCTTTCGGTGGGTAATATATCCTTCCTTCTTCCTTCCTCGACCCTAACCCGATAATAACCCGTCTTCGTATATTCAGCTTTGATCACTGACTCAAATGTCACAATGACTGACGACATCAGTGGCATCCTTGGACTTGGCTTTCCCCGCATATCGACCATCAATGCCACATCTACTAATTGTACGTTCCCGCTCAAATCTATCCTATATATTTCTAATGACTTGCTTCCCATTAGCTACACCTTTCTTCCCTAGTCTTGCGCAACAAGGATTATTGCAGTACCCCCTGTTCGGTCTTAGCTTAACTCGAAATAGTACGGGAACTCTTTCTCTCGGTGTGTATACGTCTCCTTGTAAAAGCAATATCGTTCGTTTGAACATTGTGTACACAGGGGCTATCGACTCTTCTGTCGTCACCAACCTTAGTAATGTTGAATGGAATCCTGTCGTAGAGTTTTCACCCTTCGGTAACGAGAGTAACTCCTCGAGTTACTATCAATGGGCTATACCGTTGACAAGCCTCTCGGTCAGCACCGCTTAAATATCCATTTGCCTGAAACCGTATTCATTACCGGATCCTTCTGTCAGGTGAATGGGACATCAGTTGCACTTTCCCCGTCTTATCCCACAGTCACAGGGAACCATTCTATTGCAATATTCGACGTGTACGTAGTAAGATTTCCTTCTTCTGCGTTGTCTGACTGTTCCGTAGGGGCACTCCTGGAATATATGGGCCATGGGCAGATGTAAGTCGTTCGTGTTTTGGCCCGTCAGATATTTACCGTCGACGACTATAAGGTCTCAAAGCTCTTTTCAACATTCGCTAGCGCGCGCCTCGTCAATGAAGCTGGTAAATCTTCTCGTGCTCCCATCAAACTTTTAACTACATTATAGTAGTTGGTCAATGGGCTGTCCCTTGCGACTCAGCCATCACTTTATCTTTCACGTTCGGGTGGGTATTCGACATGTCCCCGGATATTGTGTACACCTTTGGGCTCATTTGCAAATTTTATAGTCAACGAAACTTCACCCTCCAGCCTACAGACTACATCATTGGAGAAACTTCAGGCGATCCCGGACTATGTTTAGCTTGGCCTATAGCTCTTGACCCCAGTCCAGATGGCATCGACTGGCAGTTTGGTGAGTCATTTCGCCGAGTGGATTAACACGTCTCAGCTCACTGTAGATGTAGGTACCCCGTTCATGCGCACTGTCTACACCGTTTTCAGGTAAGCGTTGCTACATGATACTTAAAACGTGGTCTCAGATTTTTTTCGCTCAGCTATGGCATTGATACACTAGAGCCTCCCATGATTGGTCTCTACTCTCTTAGTAACGCTACGGCCCCGGAATCGACTTTGCTCATAAACTCGTTTCTTGCATCCGCATCCGAAGTCATCGGTACTACACTCCCAAACTCTCTCTTGTTGACACCGACTGCCACTACGCCAGCTTACTCTTTCAACACTTCTGTGCCGGCATCCACAGGTGCCATCGTTCAAGCTGCTCTTGCTACCAGTACCTACAGCCCTATCTTCGGCGCTGTAACTACTATACCTGATTCAGCAACCTTAAATCTTTCTGCTATACCTCTTATACAGCCTTTACCTACTGTTGCAACGTACACAGTCACAGACTCCGCTGGGATGATCAGCACCTCTGTCTCACGTATCTCGATACCTTCCATCGTACTGGGTGCTCCTCCCGGCTGGAGCAGTGCTGGGTTCACCGTGCGCGCACCGGCTTTCACTTTATTACTATCATTTGTCGTTTTCCCGTCGCTGCTCTCCTCGCTGTTGCACTGTACATCATTGGACTTCTCATGAACTTTGTCTCTTTCCTGATGATTGCATAATCTGACTTTCCTTCACGCTGTTTTGCATAGCTAACCGTATTTAATGCTCTGGTGTTAGCGCTTCCCTTGCACTGCGTCTCATATTGGAATATCTGTCTTCCGAGCAAAACTCAGGTTGAGGGAGGGGCTGCGACAAACTGGCAGAAATTCAGAGCGTGCAAATACGGTTTCAATAAGAATAACTATATACTTGCGTATAGCGCTGGCATAGACTGGCATTCGTCCAATGCCATCGTTCCGAAGTAGTGGATTCAGGCGACCCCGGAATACCCGACTGATATCAACATATAATCAACCTGTATCAACATGTGCGATTTTCTGCCAAGAGCCAAGAGATTCAGTAATTTTGATATCGGAAAAGAGCCTTGATTTGCTTCAGAGCTGAGCGGGTCCCAGACACCACAACGACTACCAGGCTAGCCTACCGTTCCAGTACACATACCTCGCGCGGCGAGTTACATTATTAGATGTTTCCCGTCTATTGGCCAGGAGGGGAATAGGGGGAAACAATGGGGAAACCCGGGTTGACGCCCCCAAGTTATGGGTCCGCATTTTCTGTTAGTCTTCATCGATCCATCAGCGAGAAGTAAATGAGTAGCCATAGTGGCAAATACGATAGATCCGGTGACTGCCTTTTGGGATCCTAAATCGCGCCTTCTACTCTCACCGATCTAAGTGCGTCTCACATGGTCACTATGGGTACGTTTAGTACTAAGTAGTCTTCCAGAAAGCGGGCGACTATAAAATACGGGGAAAAAAGAAAGATTGCATATTCGTTCTCTTCCGTCTTCGGGCAATTATTCACTTTCGTCTGGCCTGGTCTGCCTTTTTGTCACATCCTTTTCGTCGGCTTTTTCTTCCCATTCGTTGCTGCCCAGTCCAGCCAGCCTTCTGCATCCTTGTTTAATCTCGTAGGTGAGCCCCTCTACATGGCCTACAGGGTGTGCATTCTTATCTTGCTAGAGCTGATTTGATTGTACCGAAAGATCTTGATAAATCTTCACCATCTCTTCGAAAATGTTCTCTATTCGTTTAGCTTCTATTCTTGTGCTGGTTTCTACAGCACTTGCTACTCCTCTTTCTGCAAAACGTCAGCCATGGGGTAAGTCTTTCGAGTTTGTAAGATACGAAACAGGCTTCAACTAACCGTATGTCTAGACCAAGACCTCATTAACCTCTACGTTCGAGATGCCAACGTCTCACTCAACAACTATGCAGGTCTTCAGTCGATGTCTGGCTTTGATAATTTCCGAGGATCTGGAAACTTTGATGGTTCTCAGAATGCGCAAGTAACTGTTATTGAGGAGCAGCAGACAGTGTGCCACACTGAACAAATTGAGGTCTCAGTCCCCTATTCGATTGTTTGTACCCATGCATACTTACATATGTCTTATCTCATGTATAGATAATTCAGCAAAAGCTGGTTGTTCTCCAAGAGATTGCGAAGAGGCAGGTTGTTGTTCATGTCCCCCAAAATCAATGTCGCTGAGGATTCCTGCATCGTAGAATCATTACCGAACAGATTTGCGAGGTTGAAACGCAAACCATCGTCCTTGAACAGGTGAGCGTCTTGTATTGAGCAAAGAATAATCACTCAACTCGTCAATGAACAGTTTTCGTCCGGTCTCACGGTCTTTCAAAAGGATATCAGTCGCACGACCACCAAGCAAGTTGGCTATGACAAGAACGTCGCTGGTCTTGTTGGAAACCTTACGAACCCCGATGGATCGCTCAGCACCAGCGATTTGGGCTTCAACGGGACTTCTGTCGGAAGCAACACTGTCGTTCCATCTGGTTCCAATTGGAATAACACTCAGGGACCCGAGGCGGTCCAGAAGGCATTGTCAGCAGCCCAGGCTGCTGCGAATGCCACGTCTGCTTCATAAGTTGGGTGCATTTAAGCCTCTCTACTTATGGTAAGCTGTTTTCTCCGGACCCCGTATCTCTGTGCTGATGGGGAGACAAGCTAGACAGTCGTTTGTATATGGACATCTTTTATTGGGACTTTCGTAGTGACTAACCTTTGGTTCTGTATTCCTGAACTTGTTGTACCCTACCTGGATCGGACGGTTGACCGTTGCGTAGTGCCCATGGGCCGGCCATGCAGCTGTTTGCACTTAGTTTTTGAGTATCCTACTATACCCATTCGATATGTGCGGCGTATGTTTACAAGAATGCACGACAGATGTATGTTGGACTTTCATAGAGTAAGATTATCACAGTCGAGCTAAATGAGGCGTGGGAACAACGAATTTATAGAATCTTCAACTTCATTTTTCATTTTCTTGAACCATGGTGTTCTAAATCCCAGGCAAATCCAGCCCAGTCCTAGGAGGTCTTAGGTGTGGCGGGTGAGTCTCCTTCCTGGAATGACTGCCAAGTATTGGTTCTTATAAGGTTATTGTCAAGGTTCATGAGACATTGACTCATTTGGAGTCTCGCACAGTGTCCTCTCAGCGGAGAGAATTTCTCCCAGCTGAACGAGTAATTGATTCACTGACGACAATTCTGTCACAATCTAACGCAAATTCTCGTTTTTACGGTTATCGAACCGTAGTTCCAGGGACTGTATCACCAATCCATGTTCCATGGTATGATGTTTTATTCTTCTCCGATAGGATCTTAATACTGAGTTTTATGTTTTGTTTTGCAGGAAGAATGTCCATCACGAGCGACTTCATTTATGGCCATTGATTAATTCAAGAATCATAGAGGATGTGTTCATGACTCACGAACGACTTAATGTGCCGTAATGCAACGCAGATTTTGCATCGAACTTTGAGTTTGAGGGACTAGAATGGTACTGCCTCAACAGACCCAAGGTGCGTGTCTCACATCTATTGTGTCTTTTCCAAGCTTATCTATTTGCACAGACGACGCTCCATCGACGAGGGACTTCATTAACGCCACGTGAAGGAGTAGGAAGTTTTTCGAATCCTACTCCACAGTACACTCTGTCTGACATGGCTCTGAAGCCATAAGATTCAAATCAAATACCTCAGGTCCCACCTCTGCATCGCCATTTATCTGTATGTATATGGAGGGTATGGAGGGTATCTCCATACTGCGAATGCATTTTGTTTAAGCCGCTTCCAGCTGGGTAGACTCAAATATAGAATGTACTTAACTTTAGTCCGAGGACAAGGTGAGGTGTGAAAGTATGCGTGGGAATTACATGTGGCGTGGGAGTAAATGCCATGTATATCATGTTTAACTTCTGCTGTTTGTTATCTTCGGAACGAACCACGACGATCCCCCTTGCCAACCTGTAAGTTCACCTTGTTTCATCGCATAAAGTTTATCGACAAGCTGGTGTCTATATCTAGGTACCGAGGCATTGTATATCTGCGGGGTGCGCTGCACAGCCCAGATGTTTCTTCCCGAATTATTCAGGAAGATAGCTTTTCGACATTCACTCAAATGGTTTTTGTCGTTGCTGACCTCTGAATTCTCAAGAGAATTCAGAGATCCCTGGTTTCTTTTTAAGACTCCCGGGAGAATTTGGGGGTGGTCGGTATATCGACCCGGCCCAGGAGGTGTGTACATATCTATTTGTGGTTTGCTGTTCTGGATTGCTCACTTCAGATTTTAGCTCATCGCCTCGATGTAGCTTGAAATTCATTGCAGTGACATACAGTCACTGTACTCTAAGGAACTATAAACATATAGTTCTTTTACCTCAAATCAATTACCCCAGGTCATCCTTATGCACTTTTGAAAATGCCAGGTCAATGAGCTGTTTCTGGAGGGCATCTTGATTGTGTAAATGTAGTTTGTTTAAGGCTACCTTAGCTCCTCTGAATGAATTGTGTTTATGCTGTCATTCCCGTTGCGATTGAGTTACCTGGTAACGCTGTACTGCAAGTATATTCGGAGTACATGACCCTCTTGAAGGTTCACACGGTGGACGCACGATCAGGCATTTTGTTTTGTTCAAGTTATACGTACGTGTCGCAAACGAGTCATTTGAAAACCAGCTTCCCTTCTGCTTCGACAAGTGTTCCCTTCCTGAATTGAATTCTTCCACCATGGAGGAGGAAATCGACCGAGTCGTCCAAGCTATTACGATCGCCTCGGATCCCTCACAAATTTCCCTGCACCAGCAAGCCATGGTGTATCTTAATTCGATCGAGCAAAACGCTTCGGAAAGTTGGAGACTGGCTCTTCCCTTATTTTTAAACACAACATCAGGAGGGGCAAGGAAATACTCGGACCAGGTTCGCTTTTTTGCGTTGCGTGTGCTTAATGAGTACCTTGATAATCGGTGCGTGAATTGGCATCTGAGTAACTGTTCCAGAGACTAATAGTTTCTGGCGTCCAGATTTGACTCCTTGGACCTAGAATATTTTCAGATCATCCAGCAATCCATTCTTTCTTACGTCCAATCTGAATATATCTATGGATCCGCAGAAGCCAATGCCTCTTGTTTGTGATGAAACAGACAATGTCGCTATAGTTCACTAAATCAATCATTCTAGATATAAGAAACAAATTTTCACATACCCTCACTCTGTTCTTCCTTTGCACCTACGTCGATCAGTGGCAATCTTTTTTCGCCGACCTCTTTTCCCTCATACGACCAGCGTCTGCTTCCTCGGATGCTACCTTCAACCGACATGTCTCTCTCCTCTTTTTCCATCTAATCGTCGAGATTTCAGGTGAAGTCGCGGACCAGATGATCAAAGCCGCAAGATCACACAATCCAGCACGATTAGCTCGGGATGGTCGTGTGCGAGATGCTGTCAGGGAGCGCGACGCAGTGCGCATTAATGAAGCTGTACTGGCGATAGTTTCGGAAGCTGCTCAGAAGATGTCGATGTCGCGTAAACAAGGGGATTCACCTTCAGAACGACAATTGGCGGACGCCGAAGAAGTAGTGGATTGGGGAATACGGACATTCGCTTCATACGTCGGTGCGTTTGATGGGTCTCTGCTGGCCGTTGCTTTGTTTTCAGGATGAGAATTGTCCTCGAATGCGTGTGCCAGCAGAGATGTCAGTTTTTGGCTCTTATCTAACCTGGTCACTTAGGTTGGATTGATATTAGTCTGACTGTGACGCCAACGACAGTTCCCTTACTCTTCTCGCTTCTCGCGGATCCATCCTTACCTATTCGATTGGCTACTTCTGGTGCTTTACTCAAAATCGTCACCAAAGGGCTGAAAGAGCCGGGAGACAAACTTCAGCTGATCAAAGTTCTTTCTTTGAGTCGAGTCATCGACGCACTAGAGGCAAAAACGCGAATACAACAGCGAGAGCGAGGGGAAAATACAGACGAGGGAGAGGAATCATATCGGGAATCCTTGGGAAGGTTACTAAATGCGTTAGGGCTGGAGTTAACAAAATTGCAGGTGCATCGTTTCTTTATACTACCTTAGGACGAAGATTAACGAAATATCAGGAATGTCCGGCGGAAGATGTGCGAACTGAAGCGAACGATCTTTTGCAACAGTTATTACCAATTATCATACGATTTATGTCAGACGATTACGACGACACTTGCTCAACTGTTTTCCTGTTACTACACACTATATTGAGTGCAGTAAGTGTTGTCACTTTCTAGTGTGCTTCTCTTGATAAGACCGACTATCCTCAGTACAAACGCTCCAAGAAAGTATCCGCTGGGCCAATCGTGGCGGACAGGCGAAACTTTTTGACGTCACTCCTTCAAGTCATTTTGGTAAAAATGAAGTGGGATGTGGAGGCGGATCCGACAGACGTTGACGATGACGATAACGACGAGTTTGAGAGACTGCGCAAGGTTCTCTTTTCTTTATACTCTTCGGGACAATTCAACTGATCCTAATGGGAACTTGCAGGAACTTCGAATATTCATGGATTCGATCCTTGCCATAGATCAAGACCTCGTCACTGATTCCGTGCGACAGTATGCTCTCACTACCATCGAAGCATACAAAAATCGCGCTGAAGTAAAGTGGAATGAAGCAGAGTTAGGAATATATTTAGTGTATATTTTCGGCGAGATCAACAAGAGTACGTGGTGTCACGGATGATCGAGCAATAATTCGTGACGCGTTATTGTATAGCTGGTGGAAAGGGTCGTGCTGCATTTTGTCTCGCCCCCGCTATACCCAAGGACGTCCCTAAAGATGCAAGGAAATCCATAGACTACGGAGAATATCCTCTCACCACCCACGGAGAGCTATTGTTTGCACTAGTGGAGTCCGGCATGTCAGCGTATCCACATCAAACCGTCGCCTTGCAATTTTTCGAGACAGTCTCGCGTTACAATGACTTTTTCAAAGTACGAAAAGAGTGCATCGTCCCCACCCTAGAAGCTATGATAGATACTCGGTGCGTTGGCTTTTTCTCTCAATAGCTCAGGTTCCTGATCCTGGAAGAATAGAGGTATTCATCATGGAAATCCTACATTTAGACGGCGGGTATATTATCTCTTTCATCGTTTTATCAAAGAAAGCAGAACCGATATCCCGCTGGAATTTGTTCCGAACATCTCACAAAGCATTCGCGACCTGCTGGCTATCGAAGTTCAAATTCCAGAACCCGACGAAGTAGAAGTTGATTTACTAACGGACGCGGTCAAGAGTCCCACTTTCGATGCGCAACTGTACCTTTTCGAGACTCTGGGCATACTGATATCATTGTTGTTCAAAAATCCGACAGAACAGAAAGGGCTATTGCTTAGTTTTGTAAAGCCTCTGATGGATGATTTGTCGAGCGCTTTGCAGGGCTCCGCGAGCTCGAACATTAAAGAGTTGGCCAGCGGAGGGTCAGGGCTAGAAGGGTCAGAGATTGTACCGGTTGTTCAACTGCATCACTTAATGATGGCGCTGGGAAGTATCGCGAAAGGATTCCCAGACTACCCTTCGCCACTGCCGGATGATTACATTTTACCACCCGTGGACGTGTTCGCGGAGATCGCTCAGGCTATTCTGGTCTGTTTAGAAAACACCAATGCTCTTAAAGTCATCAGGGATGCGGTGAGTTAGTTAGCATCACTGTTCTCCTTCACGTGGACTGAAACGTTGACAGACGCGTTTCGCTTTTGCGAGGATCTTGGCCACAGCAGGTCCACATGTAACACATTTCATCCCGCCCCTCATGGGCAATCTGCTGATACACTTTGAGCCCTCGGAGCTGGTTGATTTTATGAACTTCATTGGATTGCTCATCTTTAGACTTCAGGTAGGCTTGCGTTATCAAGACTCTTGTGGATTTCTAATCCAGCCTTGATTGTAGGACGATATGTTTGATGTTCTGGATGAGCTCATTGGGCCACTGACGACACATATATCTACTACCTTGAGTCAGCCTATTTCCGGCTCAGATGAACAGAGAATGCACGTTGAAATAAAAAAGGCGTACATAGGGTTGCTGACCAGTGTAATGAGCACAAAATTGCAAGGAGTTTTTATTTCTCCACGTACGTGATCTTTCCATTAAGGCATATATCAGTTCTCATTTGGAAACCAGGAAATAACTCTTCGTTTGATTCCTTAATGGAGACAATGCGGATTCTAGCGGAGGACACATCGGACCCACCGAATCAGAGAGCAGCCTTCAACCTACTGTCGAGATGCGTTGCGGTGTGGGCACAACCGAATCCAACACCGCCTGCTGCTAACGGAAATAGTAATCATAATCCTTTGAACGACATGGGAATACCTGGCTTCGAGAGATTTATCTATGAACGACTGGTGCCTACAGCTTTTGGGGTACCGTCGCTTCCTAATCTGAATTTGAAAGACGGACAAGTCACTGTGGTAAGTCACCCACAGTATCTATTTGAATTAAACTTGAATGAGAGTCGATAGGTTCTCCATGAGATTGCTAATTTCTTACAAACCGTCTCTAAAACTCGAGGGTCGGAGGCGGACAATTACCTCGTTAACGTGTATCTGCCTGCACAGAATTGGCCACAGAATGCAGCAATCGATATGACGACAAAGATGCGCGAACTAGATCCGAAAGGATTTCGAAAATACTTCACCGATTTCGTGCGGTCAACGCGAACTGGTTCATAACATTCGATTTCCCTCTTCTAATGCATAGCACATTTTCTGATGACCTTGAAGAGTAAATTGATTTGGTTATTGTGTTCTTTCTTCTCAGCAGCTTTCCTGTTATTTCTTATATCTCCTCTGCACGCATCATCCTCACTGTTATACCGATCCTACCAAGCATCTTCGTCCCGTCCACTGACATCCATTGTTATATTTGTTGTTATACGTTGTGCTATTCTTTCAGTCGCTGCTCGATAAGTCTTTAGACGCTTTCTATGATGACTTCAATATCAGTGCCGAATCACACCGACTTTGCGTCCTGAGGCATGGCACCGTGCACGTGTCCATGTTCCTCCCCACCACTTGACATTGTTACTAGCTCTTTCTCTGTCAATTGGATGTCGAACTCTACTGCTGCTCTCGTTCCCATTGACTCAGAATGGCGGCCTATCTTTCATGACTCAAATCAGATTGTTCTGTACAACCCAACTTCGCATGCACTCGCAATTAAGCCTCGACCTCCATGTCCTTACTGCAAACAGCCAATTCCGCTTGGTTTCGAGCTGCCCTTTGGACGAGTTGAACATGACCACGAGGATAATGTTACTAGGGCCTCTAATTACTTTCATTTGCTGGCCATTTCAAATGAAACTATTTCAACTCCATCAACAAGAGCACCAAGTCCGAGGACTTCGTCACGATTGGTGGAACCCACGCTGGAGGAAGTGGAGGAGGAGACAGACAATAGTCGTGGACGGACTGTATTTCCTCCCGGCACTCTGGCCGAAGGCTATTTCAATGCTTTCTTCAAAGAAGAATGCAAGCTCGGGATGGGTGCAAACGGCTCGGTTTTTTTGTGTGCTGTGTGTATCAATGTAACTGTGTCAGTGTATTCGTCGTTGCTGAGTGTTTTATCCAGCACATGCTTGACGGGAATGCACTTGGTCACTTTGCCGTTAAGAAGATCGCTGTTGGCGAATCGCATTCGTATCTGTTAAACATACTTCGTGAAGTTCGTCTTCTTGAGAGACTGCACCATCCAAATATCATCACTTACCAGTGAGCAATGACTTATGTATTACAAGAATACGCTAGTCACATTGATGTACCACCAGTCATGCCTGGCTAGAGTCATCACAATTTTCCTCATTTGGTCCCAAAGTACCAACTCTGCAGTAAGCCTTGCTTTGTGATCCCAGAAAGTAAATTCTTGATGACATGTCCCATTTATTCAGCGTCTTAATGCAATGGGCTGATGGCGGAAGGTGAAAACTGATTTCACTGACATTTCTCAGCTCATTGTTTATTCTCTTTTACTTTCAGTCTAGATGACTATATTGATGTTCGGTTGGGAAGAGAACCAAGGCATGGACAGTTTTTCCCCAATCCCTATCAGTCGGAGAACATGGACCCCCTCAACTCAAGCTCTTCCGTCCATCTGAATTTGAGTGATGCATCTCTCTCGGGCTCATCTTCATCTTCTACGACACTACCATCCGCAGCTCCACTCACAGTCAATATAGACACACCTGTATCAAGTGGAGAGTTTGAGGAATCTGACCTGCACTCTCGCTCAGCGCGTATTCGGGCTTTCCGTGCTTTCCAGCGTGCCTCTCCGCAAGAGAGGGAACGCATTCGAAAGGAGACACAATTTCAACAATCGCAATCTACACCCGATGTTGGTCAGCAACAAACATGGACCCCGGTACATCTCCTGAGCGCCGAAGAAGTACACAGTATATTCAGAGATGTTGTTGAAGGGCTGGCTTTTCTGCACGATAGGTCAATACTGCACCTCGATTTGAAGCCAGGAAATGTGTTGCTTACCTGGGATGCTGGAAGAGGAAAAATGATGCAAGTAGAATTTCGCTTTTCAATCAGTGAATGAATATTGACTCCCTCATTATTTAGCCCTCGCGCAATGCTTTCTGACTTTGGCACCTCTCGTGACATGCTCGCGTCATCGCTCAGTAGCCGCTCGGGCAACACTGGTACGCTTGAGTACACCGCGCCGGAATCTCTACCCTCGCCCGATACAGGGCGTCTGCAAGGAATCGACTCAAAAGCGGATATGTGGTCGTTAGGAATGATACTGCACCGCATGCTATTTTTCAAGCTACCATGGAGGTATGCGTCAGATGGAGTAGGGAAAGACTCGGATACACCGAGAGGAACTGAAAATCCCGGTTCAAACCATCCTAAAGTGCGGCGACCCCCGGCTCGCGACGAAGCCGAAAAGATGGATCGACTTGAGGAAGAGGTACTGGCCTATCCTGGATTCCGTAGTACCCCAGCCTTGATCGAGGCTTTTGAGGGACGAAAACTCCCCCGGGCAATATTGATACTTCTAGAAAACCTACTCAATCCGATTGCAAGCAAGAGACCGGCATGTAGGAAGGTGAAGAGCGCTGTTTCCGAAGGCATGGTACGTTTCCTTCTTTTCATCACTTTCATCTTTTGCTCAATTTCCATCCATAGCTAGATCCACTACCGGACAATTATCGAAATTATGGTTCTAGCCTCACACGGAACGTCTATAACACACGCACGACAATTCCAACTGACGCCGACAGTGTTTCTCCAAATGTGGTACATGCATACGAAGAACCCATTTCTTCCATGAACTCTTCTCTGGTGCCTGTTTACAGACCTCGAGCTATGTCTCATCCCAGATCCTCCTCAGCCCTGTCTCTTTCCACCCCTCTAGTTTTCCATTCGAACAGATCTTCATCCGTATCAGGGACGAGTCGTCAGACTGAGCAGCGCGGAATCAGCGGATACGACGAGGATGCCAGGATTCCTACGGAAGGAGAGGACTCCCAAGAGGATTTAGTATACCACGATGCGCGTGACTATGATTCGAGTGAAGGAGAAGTAAGCCCAATTGCTGAGAAAAGGAGGGTGTCAGTAGAACCCCTGCGCTCAGGAAGAGCGTTGTTGGCTCTCCCTGCACCAGCGCTGCCTCAGACACTGTGGATCAATGCGCAGATGAAATTGGGTCCGTTTGGCGGCATGAATAAGGTTCAAGAATTGGGTATGCGCACGACAAAATCCTTCATTCTAGTGATCAAGGTAAGGTATTCCATCTGGGATGTAACAGTGTTTGAATCTTACTTGTGTCATAGGTATTTCATTTAACTATGGCATGCCAATGTTTGACTGCGTCTCTTCACGGAATTGGAGGTGGTTTTGATCTCGTAATCATGGTGATAGTGTTGGTACTTGCAGTTTCAGACACTTGGTTCGATGGACTATGGGTTTCAGTGCTGTTTGGCTTTGCTCATGTAGTTGTTATCAAGATTGGATGCTTTTACATGAGGGAATTATGTTGAAAGTATTATTAGGACTGTACGTTAGTTACCACAATGGACAGAAACCTTGCTTGTGGTCTGTTCGTGATTACAATCGCAATGTTACCCGCGTGTAGTACATACTTTTATGATTCAGTCTTTTCTTGTCCACTTTCGTAGTGGTTTTTGTGCACTACTGTTGTGGCACTAGTCATGTATTTAAGTTGTATCTACAGGTTGTGTAAATTTTGAGTGTTCAGAAAGAATTCACAGTCAAAGTGTAACTATACATATGCATCCTGCCATAAATTTAGGTCAAAAAAGGCAGAACGCACGCCTCATAGAACAATAGGACTGGCGATACTAGATTATAGCATAGACCAGGAGAGAGAGCAAGTATGTACTAGCTACTACATCAGTCTACATCTGAAATGTCATTTCTGAAGCTATCACATCAACCTTGCTTCTCTGCTTTTTCCGTACCTTGACCTTTTTGTTTGTAGCTTCCCTTATATATTTCGGTTCGGGGTTTTCTTCTCCGTTTGGTCTAGTACTTCTAGTCCTGGGTTTTATCGCAGGGGCTGGTGATGGCGATAGTCCTTGTCCAGGTCTCTTCTTGTGGTTAGCCTTCACCGGTCTTGTGTGATTCGTAATAAATCTCCCCAGCTCGTCTTCCTTCACAATTTGTTCGATTTGCGCACGGTGAGCGGTAGCCTGTATATTTTAACCGAATATGAGCGAAAGAAATTTAAAAAGTAGCATACAACTCACTTCGTTACTCAAATGTATGATTTTTCCTAAGATATCATCAGCGCTATCTTCATTTTGAAGTGATAGCAGAATTGTGGCAGCTTCCTTGAACGCCGCAACGACGTTCTTCATTCTTGATGTGGCTTTGCCGATGTCATTCACTGAAAGAATGTATGTCGGTAAGAACACATATATAATATTCCAAGAACAAAATAAGACGCGAAAGCAGATGGAAACTCACTGGGATCAACAACACATTGAATTGCGATCTTTCCGTAGGTTGTATTCTTTATCCAAGTGACACCTGCGCGAGGTTTCAGCCCGCCCACTTCTCGCTCCGACGCTGGTCCAGATCCAAATACTGTTTTGTTTTCCGTTGTCTGTTCTTCCTCGATTATCTCTCCCTCTTCCATCAAAGAGGGATTTGCCCAAAAACCTGAGCTTGAATCCATAGTGATCATATTTTGGTCGTGGTTCGCGTTGGTAGCTGCTGGTGCGATGCTGATATACTTTTCATCGTAGGGAAACAGTGACCCATAGTAAACGAAAAAATTGGTCAAGAGTCGGCCAAGGGAACGGACACCTCCATCTAATGTATTAGAAATAGATGTAGGCGGAAGATGCAAGGGGTTAAGCTATAAAAATTGAAAAGAGTCAATATTTTGGGTACAGACTGGCAAAGGTGAACCTTACTCACCTGTAAGAAACTGATAATCATCACTATCAAGGGATAACTGCCTAATCCACCGCTCACCGCACTTCCTAGGCCTCTCTGCTTCAGGAATGTTTTGAGAACGAGAGCCAGAGGTGCAAGGGCTGGCTGGGATTCCAGATGCGTTTGAATGATAGATGCTACAAGGGTGCCTGCAGACTTCGAAGATTGTTCTTGAGCGAATGATATGTCGATAGGAATATTGCCTGCAAATATGGATTCGGAAACCATAGAGTATGAAGAGATTCCCAGCACTCACCCCAGCTACTTAGGGACCGGCATTTAACGATTGGTACAGGGGCAAAATGATTTACTTGTATACCCTCTTCACCCGTGTCGTTGGAAAACCCCGCACGTACGACCCCCGAACGCCTGAGATGGTCTGCTACCCTAAATGCGAATTTTTTGTGGATCTTGGAAGTTGAGTGGTCTTGTTTGGTGATTACAACAATATCCATGTCACTGTCGTATGCATGCATAAAAACCGGCGAAGAGAATGATACTACTCACCCGCCAGGAAGCCCCAATCCAATCTTACTACTTCCGAAAAGCTCGATAGAGCACAACGCCTGAGGAGACACAGCGCGTCTTATTATTTGTTCCAAAGCGTTGTAAAGGGTGCTGCGGACGACAGTCTCAGCGGACGTTGGCCGGATGTAGGAAGTAAAGTCAACGATCTCTTGGTGGAGTCTACGGAATGATTTAAGACTTGTACTGCAGAAGTGGAAGGAGACTGGATGGAGACCTTCTGTCGGCAATAGTAGACATATCTGTGGCCGTAAAACGTTTGTGGATGCAAAGACGAGAATCAGATGTAAGAACCGCTCCAGGCATAGGGCGTAAAGAAAAACATCTGAATTTCAATCCAAGATGCGTCCCCCGGAAAGGACTCCGTCGTCTGAGTGGGCTCAACAGCGCAGCCTTTGCCAAGGTTTCAGCATTCCGAGCAAAAGCCAGGATTAGGGGATCGTACCAACTTGGTGGACGCTGATGAAATTCAAGTATCGTGTAAGCGCCCGTTTCGATTACTCAAGTCTTATAACTTGCTATATCGATTATGGTCTAAGGAAAATACACAGGATTTAAACGTCCGGGATATCCCTCAAACAGAATTCCCAAGTCCTATCCTCTCCTCCTTCGCCCGTCTTGCCAGTCCCATGGGCTCTCAACCCTTTAGTCATACGATGTTCGTATCCATCCCAGATTTCTCGATGGAAAACAAAAGACCTGAGGATAATGTAGCGGGGATTGGAAGATGTGCTTCCATGTGCCAAGGAGGGCGGATTCTTTGCTAGCTTGGGTACATCCCTTTGTGCGGTGTGAGCGCTGGGTCAAGGTCAAGAAAAATGAACAAACCATAAAGTGTATGGTGGAACGTTTCGAAGAGTGATTAGAATAGTGCCTCTACAGCTTCCGGATTCGAGAGAATCCCTCGTGTCGTCGCCTGTTTCTTCGTCTTCATCCTCATCCTCATCACTAGCTTTTTGTTTCTTCCGTCCCGCAACAGATGGTACTGGTCCCTGCTTCAGGAACTTTGCGGCAGAGTGTAGAAAGCCTAAAATTAACGTTTGGTTTGATAGGATATTACGATCCTGGTCATTGATGCCCCTTCCTAATCATGCAAGGAATCTGACTTGATTCTTATGCGCAATGGTAAGTATAACAAGGGAACGTACCCGCGTGAGGAAAATTCCAAACAATCTTGCTCCATCTCCGCCCCTTGAACGCTGTATTCCATTCGAGCTTTGTAGCGTCTACACTGAATAGCACCTCAACTCCCCACCCCCGAAGGTCCGCGACAATGTCTTTTGCATCGGGATATTTGGCATAACAATCTTCTTCGGTATCATACGCAGTTGCAGTAATATTCTGCGATGGTAGATGAGCTAGATGCGCCAATTCCGCTTTTGAAGGTGACGGTCGAGCCAGAGCATGGGCGAAGGAAAAATTACCTTCACCGATTAAAAGGATAGTATCGGTAGGTTGGAATGGTATAGTTGGCTTTTGCGTTGAAGGTAGGGTCCTCTTCCCTTTCCCTGGGGCGCGTATAATTTCATTCCTTTGCCCTGTGGTTTGATTTGCTTTAGATCTGCTAGACGCTGATGGTCCTCCAGCCAGCTTTCGAGCTTTTTGCTCTGCTATTTGGGCTGCATGAGACGCTTTTTCTTTGACTTTCAATCGCGATTGCTGAGAATTTAGAGCATTTTTGAGGGATTTGCTTGATCTGCCCATGTTTGAGCTAAGCTCTTTGAGTTGTCAGCGATCATGAACATAAAATATGCGCACTCTAAGTTATACCCGGTTACTGATCGTGACAGTGAAATCAAGTCCTGATTATTGGCGCTTACATATGCTTACATGATGAGCTGTACCCCTTTCCCTCATCCATCCCAGTTTTGTTCTGGCCAGGTTCTTGTATTCGCATACTGAGACATGCACAGTGCCAAATCAAAGTCAAAAGGCGTCAGCACCAATTCTCTTTTCGATCTAAAGGCGGAAATTTCCAAAAAGGAGGATGAATTTGCCCGGGATAAGGCTGCAGGCAAAACATACACGCTTGGCCGTGTCAATCGTCCTGACAAGGTAATAACACTTCAAATAACTGCGCTGCAGCTAGCTCAATTATCTCAACAGAAACCGACCAAGTGGAGTCTTCCGAACAAAGGTGTTCAATCCCGTGCTGCAAGAGATCTCGTAGAGCAGGAAAGTGTCAGCAAGCCTACCCTTGAAAACGCCAGAATCTCATTGGAACGAAAATCTGTCAAGTACCATCAGCTAGTCAAGGGAAAGACTGCCGGTCTCACCGAAAAACAATATGATGCCTTGTTGGTGGATGTAAGGTGGTCAGTTCTCTCATTGCGCTATCTTGGGTTGAAATGTACTCTAGTTCGATGCTAAAGGCATCGATTCGAAATGGGAATCAGATAGCGACGATGTCGACGAGTCGCTGACCGTTCCTGTACCGAATAACGAGGTGCGCATATCTGTTTTGCAAACAAATACCTGATACTAAATAAAGTAATCAGGACGATCCCATGATAGAATATGTGGATGAATATGGTCGAAATCGGACAGCTCGTCGCTCTGAAGTGCCTCGCCTGGCCAAACGTGATGATGAAACTCAAGAATTTGACGATGGGTAAGCCAAAGTTTATCTAAGACAAGAAGATCATGCACAATTCATATATTTCTCTCCTACAGAGGCGTCATCCGTCAGTCACCTTTTCTCTAAGCATACTCTCTCCTAACTTTCCTACAGGAAATGCTCAGATCCTCCAGAACCACTTCCCCACATACCAACATACTGAGGATCGTATCACTGAAATAATCAACGAACATTCCGAAGAGAACAATCCTTTGGAAAAACATTATGACCCAAATTCAGAGATTCGCGACAGGGGCGCTGCATCCTACACCTTCTCGACAGACGAAGAAACTCGTCAAGCCAGACTGAACGAGTTGAAATCCCGCCACCTCGAAACAGATGCTATCAGGAAAGAAATGGGTGCCGTGGATGTTCTGCCCGGAGAGATAGAGGGAATGCAGGTTCCTGAAGTGAGAAGCTCGGTTAAAGGATCCGAAAAGCGGAAACGAGAAATGGAGGAACGGAGGAAAATGCTAGATGCGAAACGCAAGAAAGTCGGAACCCGAACCGTCATTGAAGAACCTCAGCCTGACACAGTTTCTGCATCCACTTCCGGTACTACAACAAGCCTCATACGGAATTCACAGACGCCCGGTCTCCCTCAACAGGTAGACCCGTTCTCTGCGTTAGAGTCGGCTACTTTTTCAAAGCCTCCTCCGAACAAAGGCAAGGGCAAGTCAAGTTCTCAACACGATGCCGACGAATTCCTTGCACAACTCGGGAATGAGATGCTGAATAAGAAGCGAAAATGAATTAACCTCCGAGGTCTGTGTGGCCCATTCATGCTTGTACACGTCTCAGCTATGTGCCACTAGGATTCAACATGTTGCCCAATTCTTGCCTATGAAAGATACAATTCTCAACTTCCCGAATTGTCAAACTTGTCTCTCCCGGTTCTTGCAATTATGTTGCTCATCGCGGTGTACATCAGTGTGCATTTAGAAATCACTCAGTAATTTCACTATCTTTTCATTCCCTAATACGACCTGTTTGGACTATAAGGATCATACAACGTCGTCGATGTTGGGTGTGCCGTAGAGTAATCCAACGATGTTGTTGATCTCCAAGCAGGATTTGATAATGTCTCGGTATCGAATTTTTCTTCAAGTTCGGATGCGAACGTCGAAGTCCTTTTAATCGTTTTAACGTCTTCGTTTGGACCCGTGAGTGGGAGGGTGTCATATATCGACTCGGTTGTTCCATCTTCTGCTCTTCTCGCGAGCACCTTTTCCCAGGGATTTCGATGACCAGTAAAGATGAATATAATGCCATTCCAAAGCGAGGAAGGATATCTTTTGATCCAAGCCAGCATGTGCCCTCGGCTTTCCCAGATTAAGCACAAAACTTGCCACAGAGGCAAGAAAGCAACGCCAGCAGCGAGCAGCTTCAAGAATCGTGATCAACTCGCTAAAATCAAGATGATGTTAATCGAATACTTTACCTGTCCATATCCAAGAGGATCGTACCCGTCTGGAGGAGAATAAGGAGTCACAGGTTGACCATTATCTGCTTGAATGCCAGCAACGATTTCGTGATAGAATTCACCCAAATCGGACACATATAGGATTAACGAGGATCCCCAAATAACGTAGGTGGTGCTGATAGATAATGTCAATACCCAAGGATGACTCTTGGTGATTACATCCCTATGCACACAAGATATGAGCTGCGTTGCTTTCCATTCTTGGCTACAATGACTTACCATTGTGCAAGTACAAAGGATTTGAAGGACAACGGAAACCACTGGATCCAACTAAACCTCGCCCAACGCTGAGCTTTCATTTTGTGTCTCCGATATTCTCCACGAATATCGCGGAAATGCCGAAGGGAATAGAATATCCAAACAAGGACTATAATTCCAGCGAACACAGAGGCAAATATGAATGAAAAGAGCACTGCTTCTATTTCAAATAATAGCCAAGACGCCAAAGTGACGGGAGCGCAGGTGTTCGAAAAAACATTGGCGAAGTAAATCAGCAAATTCATAATGGTCCACATTGGAAGCAGTAGCAATGATAGTGTGAGATATGTTCTATGATCACCCAGTCGGCGGAAGAGATAAGAGCGCTTTTTTAGGACCTTCCGCACAGACGCATAGAGAAGGTAAACAGCAAGCGGAGAGACAGTCGAGGTGAGGGCGAAATGGGCATCCGCTACTGACAGCTGCTTTCGAATTAAGCTGATGAAGGCGCAGAGCATGAGGGTATAGACCTGCAGTAGGAGAGCAGAGACCGATTCTGAAACACTTTCCTCCGAGTATCGAATAAGTAGTGCTAATAGTAGGTTTTCAATTCTCCAAACATTTCCAATGAGATGCAACATTACACACCTAGACAAACATTGACGATGAAATTTGATAGTCGGACAGCATACCCTTGCATATCAGGGTTTTGACCCTCTGCAGAGAAAACGCAGAGCGCATAACTCTCAACGTCAAGGACAGCCGGATCAGTAGAGTTCGGGAACGATTGTGGGACCGACATTCCAGAGGATGTGATACTCTGTGCGAATAGACGATTGAGGGAAAATGACAAAGGAGTACAGCGCGCTCAAACGAAGGGTAATTTATACGCTCGCAAAGTGATATAAGATCAGCAATCACTGCAGTGTCATATCAACAGGCTCAATCGGTAATTGCCATTGTGCCAGTAGTAGTAGGTTCCAATTCGCAATATTATGTTTTGCTAATTAGCATGATACTGTACCAGCAGCGACCAGAGCTAGAGGATCCACGGCCAGTCCCAGTCAACACTTACCAGTTTCCAGAATACAGACTTTGTATGAGCGGTCCTCAGGCATGTTTTCCGAAACACTTCGGAAGGCAGCGCAGGGTGGCCTAGGCGGCGTCACCGTGTTCATCGGTCGACCTGGCGCTGACAAGGAATTGATTCAAAAGTACTTGCATCAAATTGAAAGACTATCACAAGCAAGATTTGCATGTAAGTTACCCGTAGAAGCCCGTGATACAACCTGGAGCCTCCTGGAGCTCGGAGAAGCAGGATTGCACGACCACGTGCGCATTTCAGCGGTGTTGAATCGAACTTCCACCATTCCTATTTTGTGACCCTCAATTCTTCCTCGAATCTTCAATATACTAACTCGAGTATTGGTTTTATTGCTGTAAAGAGCCTACCAAACATGGAACTCCCAGACGAAATACTAACTCAAATTTTTGACCTCGCCGCCGATGAGGATGTGATATTTCAATATGGACTACCAACGGTTATGGCGGAAACTGCATGGTTCCAAAACGCGTTGGATGAGTGGGCTTTGAGATCTCCTCAGGAGGCTATCAATATTATACAGAGGAGGAGTTATGCCACTAAGAAAGTGAGTATTTACGAAGATTTTCTCAGATCGCTCTTGATAACTTGTTCGGTGTTAGGCTATCATGTTGACATGTAGGACTTGGCGTCGTCTGGGATCTGAATTCCTCTACCGCTGTCTTTTTTTCGATAATCCCTCTCGGCTGCACCTTCTTTGCAGAATCCTGGAATCAGACGTAAACATCAAGAATGAATCAGAACAGTCATCTGTGGGATTAGGATGGTGGACCAAGCGTATCCATCTCACTCGATATTATGCCTCACCTAATAGAGGGGCGTCTCAAGATGACATGTGTAATGCACTAACAACTATTGTCAAACACTGTCCTAACCTATCCATATTCGTTGTCGAATGGCCCATGCCCAGCGCCACGTTCGGTTTGGTAGCTGATTCCCTTTTCAAATACACTCGGAAGGCCCTTCACACTGTTCACTGGCACGTTTCGGCAGAAGCCATCCCAAAGATCATCTGGGCACTAGACTCGCTTCCCCTCGTCCTTGCAGCGCATATCGAATTTGATCCACCTACCCATACAACCGAAATACATGAATCTCTACATCTTGGCTCTGCGCAGAACGTCGCCTTGAATCTGCCATACCTTCAGCAGCTCACCTTACGCGGAAGCTTTTCCGAATTCCTCGAGCAGGCTGTGGATTGGATTCTTCCTGGATTGCGAAATCTCTCTATTGATTGCGGAAATAGTCGATCCGAGACACCTGACATTGTTGGTTTCCTCGAGAGACATGGGGATAAATTAAAGGTTCTGGACATAAACTCGATCCCACCTTTGGAAGTCCCCGACATTTTGGAGTTGTGTCCCCAGCTTGAAGTATTTTCATTCAATGCGGATTGGCGATTTCAGGCGCCAACACTACCCGCCACTACCAGTGATGGAATCCCGATCACTGATGACTCTGAACCGGATGGCGCATCGAGGCAGCGACGACGGCAGAGCAACACCATGAGGTTGAGCCTGGGATCATATTTTAATGAGACGAGTATCCTTACGCACACGCCGCATCCCCGAATCCACACCATTGGACTACATGGTCTTCTCTATGCATTTGGTGTCGGTTACGCAAGGATTTTTTCTTCCGAAGAACCTTTCCGGTCTCGCGTCGTACGCCGTTCAAATGACTTAAACTTTGGTGCATTGAACCGGGCTCAATTCCCACAACTACGGTGTATAAGGATCCTAAGCCGGACACTTTTGAATGACTTGAACAAAGCCGACGGTCCAGTGCAGGACGATGAAGTAGACGGTATGGATCGATGGGAAAGATGGTGGGATAGATGTCACGAGTCGAATATCAGATTAGAAGACTGTACTGGTGGAGAGTTTGGCCAGCTACCACTGGATGCGGAAGAAGAAAATATCGAGGAGGAGGAAGAGGAAGAGGAGGGGGATGGTCAGGCTAATGACAGTGAGGAATATTCCTCGGGAGGATACTCGGACGAATGGGAAGTTGAGGTTCCTTCTATCGAAGAGAACGACGATGGGCTTCATACCCAGGAGCTTAGACAGCTCATCAAGGAATGTCAAGCCATGGCAGAAGAAAGGGATGAATCTCCCTTCAGTGGATTCATTGGTCCAGCCTTCAACTTGTCTTCATCAATGTCATCGGCCACAGGCCATTCCAGTGCGATCGCTGATGAATCGACCTTGCTTCCGAGACCTGTCCAACTTCAAGCTCCATAGAACGAAGTCACGTACTGGGTGGTTTAAGAGAGCTTGGTATTGATAGCTTTAGCACATGTTGAGATTGTGTCAGAGTTCTAGTTCAGACTGCGCTATGTTTATACCTATGCCGGGGGATATGTGCTCATGTTCGATATATAATTGAGTATAAACTCAAGAGATTAGGACCGCGCTAAGTACTGGAAGGCTTTCGAAGAAAATACGCTGACCCGCTGTCTACTTCCGATTGAAATTTAGTAGCATCAGAATAAGTACAGCTCATGAGCGCACAGAATTTGTATGCAACTGATCAGTGATTGGGACAAGATGAAAGTTTTCCAGTCGTAATGGCAAAAGAGGGACACTCGCGGTTCGCTCGCGGTCATCTTAGCTGGCGCCGGTCCGGGACTACCGAGGCCGTTCTTTGACTATGACCACGATTACTCGAAATCTGCCTTGGTTTATACGGGACACGGGAACTTCAATAATAGGAACAGTACGTTTCCATTCTGCGCTCGGTATTCTAATTCTGATGCGACGCAGGAATGCTACACGTCACTAGTAGAGAATCTAGACATCCAAGATGTTGAATGCCTCAAATATTCTCTTTCGAAAGCATTGGGAATTGGTATAGTCGTCGGTGGATCAGTTATGAAGCTTCCTCAGCTACTTCTCAGTGCGTGAAGTCTCGCGAAATGGTGCGAACAGCGCTGTAACGTCCTTCTATCCTTCTAGTTCTTCGGAGTCGTTCAGCAAGGGGACTTTCCCTTTCCGCATACATTCTTGAAACCCTTGCTTATGGAATAAACTTATCCTACTCCTTCCGAAATATGTTCCCATTTTCAACATACGGCGAGAACCTCTTCCTTACCATTCAAAATATTCTCATCACATTCCTCATCATATTTTACACACCCTCGCTTCGCCATGCTCGCAGGAGAAGAAACGCTCAGCTATCATATGCATTATTAGGTCTCCTTGTAGGCATATTAATCGTCTGTTATTCCTCCATGCCTATACTAGCATTTCTCCAATTATCCACCTTACCTCTCTCACTCACATCGAAGGTGCCTCAAATACGCCAGAACTATCGTTTCCAATCAACCGGCCAACTTAGCGCATTCGCTGTCGGCTCGCAGGTCGTCGGGTGCCTGGCGAGATTATTTACAACGGCGACGGAAGTCGGAGATTGGCTAGTCAGTGCAGGGTTTGCGCTTGCACTCGTGTTGAATGGTGTTCTTGGTGTCCAGTTGTGGATTTATTGGGGGAAGGATGTTGATGAGCGAAGCGATGACTACGAATTCGATGATACAGCAGAAAAGGGGAGAGCTAATGCAGCTACTTATGCGCCTTGGCAAACCCAATCGTTTTATAGAGTCGGAACACCCCCGCCTCCTGCTTCTGGAGGAAATATTAGAAGAGGGACACGAAAAAGTCCAGCTGATTTGGTGTAGAAATCAATCTCTACTCTCGTTTGTTTCGGGGAAAATCTTAATGGAGCTCCTAGCGGCCTGGCCTACCTGGTTGGGACTGAGACATAGACCAACACACTCCGTGGAGTCTTGTTCGGCAAATTTGAGTGGTGTTCTCAATTTAAGTACGCTGAAGTATCGATAGGTCTAAGTATCGATAGGTCTACAATCATCTGCAACAACAGTAATCTTTTTTGCAGTGTTCATCCCCTTTTGTACCTCCAGGATTGCCTCGCCGCCTTTTTCCAGACCTCGACTTATATCTTCCGTGTATTTCATCCTACTTTGCAAGTTGAACGACAATACTAAAGAAAGAGTAGAAGCGTCAGGTCTACACACACACATGCGCTTGCGGGTACTACAAGCTTTCATGATGTACATACATGAACTGTCCGCAAATTGAGGATTACATAATTAGAATCGTGGGTAGTATACGGAGGCCTATTGTCTATCCCAAGTGTCATCCCTTCTTTCCAGCTAGCGGTCAAATCCGCAATCACTTCCTGGATGTACGACAAGTTGTTCTCTTTCGCCTTGATAACCTTTGTGCCAAAGGATTTCAATATCTCATCCCTCTGGCTTCGGGACAAAAAGGAGACGACACCGATCGGAAGACCTGGGCCCAGGTCTTTCTCATTCATTATCCTCTCTTCTGGTTCCAATCCTGATGGCGATGCTTTAAGATGAAAACACTTGGAACCAATACAAAGCCACGATTTGTCATGATCTTCCCGAAGCAGATTAGGGTTTACGCTAACAACCTTTTCCGTGTTCTCGTCGAAAGCTATAACTCGGATTTGTAGCATTCGAAACTCATCTATGGCATTCACAGGTCGGGCTAAAAATGCCAAACGATTTGATGAAAGAATGCTTACCAAGTGTAGCCTTTGTGGGCTTGCGTCGTTCTAAAATCCCTGCAGAAGTGTGGACCACAGGAATGGCGACAGCGACATGTAGAATAACGCATAGGGCTAACAGACGCGCGAGCAGATAACGAGGGAAGAAAACCATCCGTAATGTGTAGGGTGTGTGAGAATGATATAGGGTAAGTTGGAGATATGCCGATGTAGAGCTGTATGTACAGGGGTCTGCATTAAAATTTAAAATGCGCTGGAGAAAAAGAATATATACCATACATACCGAATTCTGAGCGTGAATTTTTGAACACAATAAGCCTGACAATTTCCAAGTGTAACTTTTTGTAAGTGAACTGCAGCGAACTTGCATAACATCCAAGTCAGTGGGAGGAAAGTCCCAAACAAAAAAACGACATACCGAACCAGCGTCCACGGTTAGATAGAGAGCGAGTTGCGCAAGTCCACTATATGTATCTATAATATGGCAGAATGATACTCATCTGTTTCATCATCGGGTCTCGTATGATTTGACGCGGATCCGCCGGGCGAACGATGTAAAGAGTGAGGGGTTTTTTGAAAAGGCGTTTGACAAACATCAATCTTGTCAGGCTACACCTCAAGCGCCCGTGCAAAAATTCCTTTTAAAGTTATCTCTGTCCGTTCCGACGGGGAACAGGGTCACATGTTGTCTTATAGGGCAAAAGCGATCCGGATGCAGCCCTTTCATTTAACGGTGCGACTCCGACCCTGCACTCTACATACCTGCCCCACACCAAATTCCCTCACCTATCGGCGGACAGACGCAAGCAAGGTGTGTCCCCAACGGGGTATGTTAATTCAATATCCTGCACAAAACCCTTCACAAAACCCTTCACAAGTAGCAGATGGCTGATACGTATAGCAAGGTCATGAAGGGTCATGAGGTGGTCGGAAGGACCCAGAGAAAGATAGATGATGACTGGATAGATAAATAGATAGATACGCGGCTCCGCCTAAGGCGGACCCCTACAAGAGAACAGCCGGGCCCAACCACCTTATGGGCTCATTGCCAAATGGGCGGAAGTCACTATAATTGTGGCATGTGGATCGTCGAGAACAGGAGATAGACCTAGATAGACTGTGTACGTATCGCAGTCATCCCAGGGATCGTAGCCATGAAGCTCTAACCAAACCTGGGCGGCTGCTTCGTCTTCCAGCTGGATCCTCATCGTGTCGGAAATAAGCAGATGTATCGACGTGAGGAGCCTCACAATCCTTGTAGTCCTCAAGCAGCCGAACTTTCAAAAATCTTGAACGATTACATCCTCTCGATCCCGATGGACTAGTTGCTATCGGCGTGAGCTAAGGATGAATGAGTCGTTGCTTTTTTCTGTGTCTACCTCCTTGATACCTGTACGGACAAACATAGGACAACGTGAATCTAGATAAGATAGTGACCTCCGAGATGAACCAATGATCCTCCTCCCAGTGTATTTAATTGGATTTAAAAAGTAGTTTACAAAAGTCTAATCAACGAGGTAAGAGACTTAAGCATATAATATCTTCTCTCCTCTCACCGATGGTCAGTGTACGCTCCGCGCGCCTCAGAATCTTTTCTCCTTTCCATCGGTGAGGCCCTAGTCAGTCAGGTACGCTCCGCGCGCTCGCAGACTTTCTGCCCTTTTCTGACTCAGGTGCTCGGCATCTTAGCCATCGTCATTTGTCTCACTTATCTATTGTTTCTCACTTTGCCCTTATCAACAAGCCTGAGAGTTCGCAAGTCAGCATCTTTCTGATCTGTTGAACTCTCAGGTGTGTGTGTAGAGCATATGCAAAATCGTAGTATTTTTCTAATCTGTCGACTCTCAGCGTCGTTTTTTCGTACAAATTCTTTCCATTTCCCACCCTCCCTTGACCCTTCTCTGTGATATCTAGACTATCTGTACCCATACCGTCGCTCATGAAATCTAGTTCGTTCTACAGGGTACAGCCGCTGTCCCTCAGGGCTGTACCCGTGTCCACCTAAACCTTGCTAAATTGTTAAAGCGATGAAAACGACGCCTTCGTTGATTAGATATCTTTCTTGCAAATGGCTTATAAGATATTTCGCAATCGTTACGCGGTACCGTTGATATGAGATTCCATAAGGTTCCACAGCTTATCGGAGTAGAAGAATGGAAAAGTGGTGACCAATGGTGGGATCTGTAAGAGTCCGGAAGTGGACAAGATTCAGAATGATGATACAAAAGCACTATGTACATAGCGCAATCATTGTAGTAACCCATACAGAATTTGAGATCCTATTCGTTCATCAGTCATCTGCAACAACGATAATCTTCTTTGCGGTGTTCACTCCTTTCTGTACCTCTAAGATTGCCTCGCCGCCTTTTTCAAGACCACGAGTTATATCTTCCGTATACCTGAACTCCCCACTTGCGAGTTTCTTTGGGATGACTTCGTAGAATTCGTCCAAATAGCGTTCTTGATGATCGAACACAAGCAAACCATTGATGCTGAGTCGGTTGGCTAGAACGTTTCGCATGGTCTAAGATGTTGTCAAAGGTGTGAAAAGGAAAATGAAATGATATGACACGGAGCGCGCATATACCTTGATTCCATAGGGTTCTTCGTCATTGTACTGCGTGATAAAGCCACAGATAATAATTCTGCCATGAAGTGCACTGTTTCCAATCGCAGCTTCGAGAGTAGGGCCACCGACATTGTCCCAATAGCTACGAAGTGGCAGATGAGATTGACGTACATCTACGTTTGAGCTGTTGATACTCACATGTTGATTGGGCCTTCCTTAGCTAGAACGTCTGCAGTATTCGTTGTTTTATAATTGAAAGCCACATCTGCGCCTATCTCTTTGCAAAATTTGACCTTTTCGTCCGACCCGGCAGATGCTATGACCTTCAGACCATCCTGTTTGGCCAGTTGAACAACCAGACTGAAATTAAAAGGTTATCAGTCACTACATGGAAATATACAGATGGATCACTATTATTACCTTCCTACAGGTCCAGCTGCAGTGGAAACGAAGATAATTTCGCCCTATGATTAGATTCAAATCATGTTGTATCAGGGATCAAGACACAAGTTAAACGTACTGCCTTGGGTTTGGCATATTCTTTCCAGCCGTAGTATGACGTCTGGCCCGGCATACCTGCGGCTCCCACATAGACAGAGTAGGGCAGGGTTGGTTCAGGTCTGACGATGACTTTCAACTTGGTGATATCTTTTGGTATGAAATACTCTGCAAAATCCAGCATTCCATAGACGTGATCGCCCGCCTTGAAAGCTGGGTTTTCAGATCGAACAACTTTTCCTACTCCGTAGTTGTAAAGCCTAGATAAGATGACCGATAAACGATAACGTCTTAGAACCAAGCCAGACTTGAGATTTGTCGAAATTATTCTTACGGTTCATCGATGAAAAATGGTGGCTATGAGGATGGTGGGTTGTCAGCGGTGGGTGAGAGTGATTTTTCGTAGAGTTTACACACAGTATAGGATTCTCGTTCTAGAGCTCTCATCTTTCCTCGCAAGTAAGGATCGACAGACAGGACAAGGGTTTTCACGAGGATACTTCCTTTCAGTGACTCATTCTCCAAGTCAATGGTACTGGATGTATCATACACAGTTGTCTTTCCAGGGACAGGATATCCTAAAAAGGGAGGTAAGTAAGATCGAGCGAGTCGGTCGTCCGAGGACTTGGAATGCTGCTCACCGGAAGGTATTTCTTTGAAAATGAGTCGACCGTTTGTAATTGGGGCCATTATCGCAGTGTTATGGACAGGTTATGGGAATCGAGGACCGGTTATTAAGCCAGATTTCGTTTCCATTGGCTTATAAAGCGAAGTTCACATTAATGCGTTACTAAGACTCAGCCCGAGGGGAGGCCTTTCGAAATCGTGTTGATAAGCCGACGAGCTGGAGCCTGGTACTCATTGTAAAGCCTTCGTGGAGACAAGAAAGGCCATGGCAGTTTTATGTCGATGTTACAGTTAGACGAGCCTATGTATCATGGACATGCAGGAAAAGGAAAGCAAGCGTGCGAAGAAATACCGAACGAGAAGGATAAGATAAAATGTGGCAATAAGGGTGGACGCTTATTGCTTTTTGACCTATGTACGGTCGAAACTCATCTAAGCTCGTTTTGTGTCCCTGTGTTATTCTAGTGTCCAATCTTATGAAAAAAGACACTCCACGCTCAGCCAAACCATGTTTCGTGTGATCTCCCACCCAAGCGGGGCTGTGCCCAAGGCAAAACCTCATCTGTTAGCATAGAACACTCAACAGTGCTTCTCACATTTCACAATGAGCTCGGTTGATCGAATACTTATTTTATCGAGCTCGAATATAACTCCCGATATTCAAAACCTACATGTCATCCCTCTACTCTTCCTCTATTCCTCTCTTTCTTCATTCCTTTCACAGACCGAAGCCCCCTCGTCCACCACTTGCTCTCTTGCGAATGCGAGTCCATGCATATACTTTTCACCCTTGACCAGCTCACTGTTATTTGTCACACATACTATCCGAAGCTGATTACTTTCACGCTGGACATCTGGGGCAAGTCAGAAGAAGTTAGAACACTACTACTCTCCGTCTCATTCTGTGATTGCGCAATGACCTTTTCAAGATGGATCTTGAAAGAAGGTGTCCGAGGGGAACTCGATATATGAGAGGGTCGATGAAGAATTCACAGAAGTTTCGTGATCACAAGAAATATGTAGGTATATGCATGGGATATATGTATAGAGGTGGTACGTGGATATCCCACTCATGTAGTCTGATATGGCAGATTGTCGACCTGGCAAGGTGAATTGTCGATTCGTAGTGATCGCTAATTCATCATATAATTATAAGACCTCAGGACTCGGAGAAGATACAGTAGGATTCGCCGGGGCTGCTGCTGCTGGAAGTGCCTCACCTCCGCCCTAATCCACGTCCACTGTCCCTCGTGTACCTTTGCAGGTCTCACCTCAAGCTACAGCTGGTTTGCTGGCTCGTGCAGATGCTGAATCATCAGGCAGTGACGGCGGCGGCGACAACAGTAAACCCCCAAAGAAAAAGAAACCGTTAACACAAGCCTGTCACCTGTGGAGAGAGTGAGTCGATTCCTCTCACTGTCTGCTGTTCAAATTGTGAGATATTTAAACCATCTTTCAATTTTTTCTTTCATATCCTTTCTCAAGATTCTTATACAACTCAATCGCAAAGCCTGAGCCCGTTACGCACATGTGGCTCATTGAGGCCAAGGCACCAACGATACGGAAGCTGCTGAGAACAACATCAATGCCATTGGCGGTGGGTTCAGACAATCAATAATTGACCTACCACCTGCGGCATTGATTCGAGAGTCTGCATGAGAGATTATTGATGTATTTTTAAAGCATTTTCGGGAACTTGGAGAGGGTTTCAACAATAGGAGCACCGAGAGAAAAACGTACATCTGGGTAGGAAGATGAGCCAGATTCGAAGCCAGAATTATTTTCACAGACATTGTCGCGCCTCAGGACGACGGTAAAGGCTGTAAATATTCAATGTCTCGCTGTAATATTAAAAGTAACTACATGTGAGACAATTTCATCTCATTAGTGAATGTCACTCAAATGCAAACAAACTTCAACTGTTCACTACCTGGAACATCCTTATACCTAACAAGCGGTCTAGGAAACTGTATACTTCAGTTAAGTATCCGAATTCTGTCACAGAATTGCACTCGAGCTAATCATCTCCATATAATTAAGTGTGATCAACCTTTCGTATGCCAAGGACAAGAGTCACGAAGATTCGGTATTTGAGGAGTTATGAAAGGATGCAGGATGAAGATGGGAGGATAAGGAAATTGAGACTAGTCAGTGGGATGGAGTTTGGAAAAGAATTAACATACAAAGTGTACCGATGGTTGCCGCCAAAAACAGCCTGGGATAGGCTGGACCTCAGGGGGACTTAATTCGTCTGAGGGGTTTCCGGAACCTGACATACTTAGTAGAAAGAGCACTGTATTGCGTTAAAAGTCGATGTGTAGGCTGTTACAGAGCGTGCTACGTATGAATCTCTTTAACTTTGTGCATATTCCGTAGCTATTATTTTTAAGAATTTCGCAGGGCACAGAACAGGGAGCAGCCCTTCTGTCCTGCAGGGGTTGCTTGGTCTGTTTCGGATGCTTACAGTCTTTTCTCGGATGTGATCATGTCCGATAGACATTTTAGAGTTGGCGTGGGTTGCAGTTGTGTACACTGTATTCAACAGTGGTACATACTATTGTAAGTAGTTTCGGGGAGGGCAAATCATGTTATATTGGCCCCGGGCCATGCCGAGTCGTCAGATGAGATTACTCATCATCATCATGTCTTCTACTTCGACCTCTACAGCGCATATAACAGTTCTATATTTCGCTGCTGCATCTACCACCCTAGGGATAACTGAAGAAAAAATACCAATTCCAGAGAAGGGGTTCTACCTTTCTCAGTTGAAGGATTTGTTGGTTGAGAGACATTCACGAGATAATCCGAGTAAAGACGATGGGAGTGGAAAGAAAGGAAGAGGAGGGGGAGGAAAGGAAATCGGAGAAGCCCTTAGAAAAGTACTTGACTCGAGCCAATGGAGTGTTGATGCTGAGATGGTTGACGATTATGAAGATTTGACAAAAGTGGAATTGGGGGATGGGGTAGAGGTTGCGGTGATTTGTCCGGTTTCTGGAGGGTAGAGGAGGGTGATTGCAAGTTGAATCGATTACAGACAGATGAACAATAAATATAATATATTTCAAGTCCACCCCTTCGCAGCTCCTCTGCCCCCACCATGACCTCTCTCTTTTTCGATAACAAACATCGCATCTCGCATGGTGATAGCAGTCCTTGTATCCCCTTCTACAATTTCCTGCGTCGTATTCGTTTCTGTTGTCTTTTTCGCGGAGACATATGGTCTGGCCCATCCACTGCTATTACCTCCGGCACTAGGTGTACTGAGAGTAGCTGTTGTACTCGCTGCACTGGCTCCTGCTCCAGTCAACGATGATGACAAAGCGCCGGGTGTAGTAGTAGTGGTAGTAGCAGCAGCAGGAGCAGCAGCAACGACAGTTTTCTTAGGAGTAGACGAACCCGTCGACGATGCACCTGCCGTCATCCACGAATACCGCCCCGCCAATCCGGCAGCATGACTAGCCGCCGCATTCGACATCTTCTTCTGTACATCCACAGACATATTCTTCGCTGTAACCCCCGGTCCGTCTTTCTTTCTCTTCTTCTTTCCTCCTCCGCCACCGCCGAACCCATCTAGATCGTCATCTCCCCCACCAGACCCACCAGCGCCGCCGTTCATCGCACTCGCACTCTGAGCAGCGAGCGCCGCAGCTTGTGCCGCAGCCATATCCGCACGTTCCTTCCTTTCTCTTCTGATCTTTGTCTCTTCCTCTCTCTCCACCTTTTCCAACGCCGCAATCTGTTTGGCGACGTCTGATCTAACAAGGATACTCCACATCGGCGAACCGTCCTCATACAATGATGGTGCATTGTCGAATTGTGTGTCGGTCCTATGTCGAGCGGCAGTTATCATGGCAGTTATTAGATCTTGTAGTCTAGCGCGTAGAGCCAAGGCGAGATAATTCACGGTATCTGCGGATGGATTGGGATTAGACAATTTATGCGCAGAGGTTATTTGGTGGATAGTGCTTGAGAGATAGATCGTGTTGAAATTGGGTTTTGACGGTTGTTTTCGCGTACGGTCTTCGTAGGAGCGGTAGGTTAGGTGACTGTCTGAGGTTCGTTGCAGGGATTCTTCTTCTGCCTGGGAGAGAAGAAGAAAATTGAATAAAAATTGGATCTGATTTGATTGCAGTGGGACTCACTCGTAAATCAACACCTGTACTGCCCAAAGCATCCCTGAGCGTATTAATATCCGACGTATCTATCCCATTTGCAGGCGCAGGCGTATAAGTACTGTTATTATGAGCCACAACCGGCGTTGGAGTCGTCGCGCCTGTTGCAGATGTCCCCACCCCGGGAACGCTAGAAAACTGATTTTGGTAGCTTTGGTAATATCCGTATGGGGTATATTGGTACACTGGGGCTGGGGTTGTTTGCCCGGCTTGGGTTGCGGTTGGTGTTATTGGTGTTGCGCCTGGTGCGGGTTGGGCTTGCAGAGCTGGATCGATAGGGATGTCTGTTGTGGGCCCCACCGCGTTCAATATACACAATGCTTATTATAATGAATGAAAACTGACTAGCCCATGTACTGTATGTCGTCGGAGGGGGTTGGGGAGCTTGTTGTACTTGTGCTGTCGTAGCTGGCGTCGCAGGCCGCGTTTCGTCCGGTTTTACGGGTTGAGTCATTTGTACTGAGAGTTTACAATTCAGAGTCTAGTAGGATGGAAATATTGGGAGATAGTTCCTACTTTTATTCGTTTAGTACTTTCGTCGTACCTATGTATCCGGGCAGGAGGAGGAAGAGGAAGAGGACGGTTGATTCTGATGGAATCGTATGCCAACGCGAGAGAGCTGGTTATGGTAAGGTCAAAGCTAGGTTTACATAGCGCGTCGGCATATTGAAGATACCTCTTCTGGTTCTTTTCACACCTTAAAAATCACTAGTTGCAGCTCTTAGCAGTCGACCCGAATTAATTATAATGTCTCAAGACAAAGACAGCAGTGCGTTCACTGCGACCCGGCTTACATCCAACACGTTCCTCATAAAGGAATACAACGACATATATTCCGAGCATCCACATATCTACGCTATCATCTTTCCATCAACTTCAAACTTATCTAACATATCCAACACATCCGAGTCTTCCTCAAAAGTAGGGCACAACATGGCTGGTACGATTATCCTAATCGACACAGGCTGTGGAGGAGCATCCAATGATCCCGAGGTTCGAGTGACCAATGTTCGAGAGTTTATTGAAACTGTGGATGTACCAGAAAACGGCGGAAGGCCTCTGAATGGGCTTGATAACCAAAGTGGATTGGAAGGAGGAAAGAGGATGGGATATATCGTTGTTCTAACACATTGTCATTATGATCATATTCGTAAGTCACTATAGCACCTTCAGATAATATCTGAACAATTACAGTTGGTGTAAAGCATTTGTACGTTGGGGTCAGAATTCCATCATGCAGATTTATAATTCCTCACTGTAATCATTTCGTTTCCCTCTGCCCTGTGCTCCATTACAGCTCCTCCGACTCTCCTATCCTCGCCTCATCTCATTCCCCTGAATTCCTTTCTGACATTCCAGAACATAGTCTCTGCGCTTTTCTCAACATAAGTACTCCAGAATACACTCCCACCCTCGTTCCGCACGGACATACGATATCGAACTTGATACTATCGAACAAAATCTCAAGCCATGTAACGGTCCTCCACACTCCAGGCCACACACCGGATTCCTTGACGATCTATGACTCCACCTCTTGCCCGCCAATGCTCTACGTCGGTGATTCGTTGTACGAATACGAGCCAATTATATTTCCGAAGGAGGGTTCGATAGTGGATTGGTTTAGTAGCATCGAGGCGTTGATTGGGTTTGTGAGGATGAAAGAAAGGGAGTTGTTAGGAAGTGGAATCGATGAGAAGGAGGAGGGAAAGGATACAGCTGTGGCAGGGTATGAGAAATACGATGTTGCTAATACCTCGATACGGCCTCGACATCATCAACAGCGGCAGAGGAAGAGAGTCCTGCTCAATGCTGGCCATGTCACCTGCCTTAAGCCGGCTCTAGAAATTCTTCAAGCTGTGAAAAGGTTCATGGAAGATGTTGTTAGCGGGCGAGAGCCGGTGCGAAGGAGGTGGGTGAAGAGAGGGGAGGAGACAGTGGAGTATCGGCAGTCACGGCAAGAGGGAACTGAGGCTAACACTACACCCGTGGGAGCTTCGAGGTTTTCGTTAATTTGTCCGGAACGGTTGATTTTGGAGGTGTTGACTCGGAGTGGGTAGAAGTGTTAAACGTTACAGCTATTACCGTAATTATATGGAATTCGATTTTTTTGAAAAGTTGTAAGGTTGTATTTGGCGTCACCTTCTCTTAGACGTGCATCTACACTTTCATTGATATTTGCGCGTTGTCGACATCGTTTCTATTAGCTCCAATGCCATCAAGAGTTATTGCTGGCAGTATAGACACACATTCTCCGCGGACAAACTGCCTCCGTTGCACACAGTGATGACCTCGCTTTGCACGCCCATACTTCCGAAGAGATGTCTTGGCATTATGAGCAGCCTCATCAATGAACATGAGCATGTCTTGTCGTGGCACCAGCTTAGCTATCTGCAGCATGAAATGTGCCCACTCAAGGTCATTGCGCTCGAGTGCCCGTACAGAGACAGTCTTCCGAGATAGGTCTAATTTCCGAAGTGCGCGTACAAGTGCTTGCACTGAGACACGAACTCGGCAACATCTTTCTAGCTCTGCTTGTATTTCATCCAAGTAAATGCAAGGTCGGAGATCAATGAGAGCAGAGAGATAGTGAGTATCGGTGCCATTCAAAAGAGAGGGTCGGCCCTGTCGACGCAAGGCAGGTTGAAGTCGTCCATGGTCCCGATACTGCGCAAGGATATGATAAACAACAGATTTCTTCATCCCGAGGTGGTAGCAGATATTCTTCACTGAAACCTGCTGTTCCCAAAACATTAATGGTACCCGAACCCGCATATCTTCAGAGAATCGACGCATAGTACATGCAAGTAAACTGAGGGTGAAAACTTGACATGTGATCTTGCCAAACACAACCTCACAGGTTTTCAAAAAATCAAATTCCATATGGTTACGGAAAGGGCTGTAATGATGTATGTAGAATCAGTTTTTTTTTGATTATTTTATGGCAATGTCATGCATGGTATTTATATGCGAGGACGGGACATAATTTTATGCATTAATGGGGTAGTGGTAACCTGGGTCGTTGCCATATTGAGTTCCTTTGGTAAATTCGACCCGCCGGGGGTTCGATTCCCTCTTAATGCATGTTTGTTTTGCATAGTTCTCAAATAGCCTTTTTGCAGACTTATTTGTAAGTATTCTGTTTGTTTTCTTCATCTTTTTAGTATATCTCGAGTCTCATTACGTAATTTCACAAATATTTTGATTCGATCTAAACTTTGGGATGTTGGAACAACTCCGTATGTACAGGGAAATAGACCAGCTTTGACCTCTGACTACACGTATACGCCGTACTACTTACATTAAACTATACAGTACTTACTGTATCACGCACCACAGAAACACACGAGCTCCCTCAGTTGTTCCGATATCAACTGAGATAAACCTTACGCTAACATGGGAATCCAACGATAAAACATATTTTATCCTTCCTTGACTATGGATAGCTTTACCCTGGTGCACGCGTGCATATTTATTCATGACAATTCGACATACTGGCTCATACTGGCCGACGATTTAGGTACTAGTTGACACGGTAGAGATTTACAGAGATTTACCTGAGGATTGGAATTGATACGGGAACAGGGTATCACTAAAATTGTATATCAGTGTGGAACCGTCTGCAATGCATAGAAGAGTGAAGGAGAAAAAAATGTTGAAGTCAATTTATACACTTGAAGTATATGAACGGTGTAGAAGTAAAGTATGTACATGTATAGATTGTGGCGTAGGCAGTGTATAGGTATATTCACTTTAGACCATAGTCGTAAATGTGTATGCAGACGTTGATGTGCCATTATTCGTGAATCAAGACATGAATTGAATCCCAGGTTTGGTTAGAGGGGGGAATTAGGACTGAACAGGAACATAGGAAAGCATTGCGAAGGGAAACGTTAGAATCATGACGGAAAACAACAGGGAGGCAAGCAAAATTGAAGGGAGGTATGCAAAGGAAGGAAAGGTCGTGAGATGTAAGCAAGAATACAGGAACTATATACGACATAAGAAAAGGTCCGACATAAAATATTGTGTGCGGAAGAGTATAGCTTGAAGAGACATCAATAAATATAGGGAGGGACGTAGGAACCAAATCGCAAAGCGTACCTTCAACACCAGAGCCGCCAATAGTGTCATGCTTTCAAGTGTCAACGCTTTGACTTAATGGCACCTCTACCGCCACTCGCCTTATCCTGTATCTGTGTCTGTTTCATCCTCTCTGCCATCTTCTTCATTTGATCCTTTTCCGCCTCCATATGCATTTTCAACATCCCGTCCAACTTTTTTGACTCCATTTTCTGCTGAGCCTGAGTCTGGGCTTGTTGAGTTTGAGTCTGAGAACCGTACCCATACCCGTATCCTCGATCTGAAGACGACGATGTCGCTCTAATGCGACTTCCACCCACGGCAGTTCCTGAGCTGCCTGAGATTCCCGCGAAAGACGAAGGCGCGTCTCTTGAATAATTTCTCGAATGATGAGGACCGTACGCACGGGCGTATGGGTGACTAGAGTAAGAGTAGGAGTAAGACCGCGAACTCGGCCCTGCCGCTACTTCTACCTCTCCTGCTATCTCTGCCCCGGTACCAACAATATCCGTACCAGTACCAGTCCCTACTCCGGATCCTGTGACCACATCAGCACGCACACCCTCCCCCTGTCCCACCCTCGTATATTTCCACAGATCCCACTTCGACTCTAGCACCTGCTCGTCGTCCCTCATCTTCTTCGTGAAGAACTCTCTGGGTGATTTGCTTTCTGCAATATTCCCAATAGGTAGTCTACGGTCGATACCTGTATCGGATGCGTGAAGGGATGTATGCGAGACATAGGGTGTAGAATGATTTCCTAATCGCATCAAGGGGGTACGAATCGAAAAGTTTGAGCGATTGGAATGGTTTGATAAATTCGAGTGACTTGAGATATTCGATCGACTTGTCGACGGGCGTCGTGCTGTATGTTGTGCTGAAGGGGTGGAGTAGGCGGAAAGGGAAGATAACATCGAATTGGTAACAGATGCCCCCCTTTCTCTTCCACTACCAGCTGTAGTTCCTCCTTCTGCAGTCCGGAAGTCCTCCTCTCCCTCGTCATCATGATTGTCATCATCCTTCTCAATGTTTTCGTTTCCAGCCCTATTTTCATCACCCTCATTATCATACTCACACTCATCTTCATCTTCATCCTCATCATCATCGTCAGAAGACCCATCAGAGGACTCATCCAAATAATCCATCGCATTCGGTTGAGTTTGAATGGTATCAAAGAACGACATAGACGAGGACGGTGGGGTCATCATCATCATAGAAGACGGTCCAGCTGAAGGAGGTCCAGCGAATAAAGGTAAAGAAGAAGAGAAAGAAGGAGGAGTTGCAGGGGGAGGTGCGGAGTGGATCGCCGGAGGTATGATGGACGTGGGGATGTGTAAACTTCCACGTAGAGGATTCCCGACTCCGTGATGACGACGCTCGATTAGCGAAGGCTGGGATTGGGAGGGCAGAGAAGAAGGGGATTGTGAAGAAGGATAGGATGAGGAAAGCGGAGAAAGCGGGGAAGGAGGAGAGGGAGGAGCGGACCGAGCAGAGTGAACAGAGCGGGCCGAAGATGGGGAGGAAGGTGATCGTATCGTTGGCAAAGAAGGAAAGGAAGGTAATGACGCGAAAGAGGGAAACGGGGGTGTCGTTGGTTCTGGTGCGGAAATTTCTATGAGTTCTATCCTCGGTGTTAATATCGGAGCAGCAGGTGCAGTCGGTGGTCTTTTCCTTAATGCTGGCGGAGGCGGATTAAAAGTTCCATGCCCGTGGTCTGATGCCGAGCGATGCGCGAGGGTAGGCGGAGGAGGCATGTTGGTATTGTACGCAGATGGAGGATGCGATAGGTAAGAAGCATACGTTGGGAGTGTATTGTTTTGCATGAGTGCGGAGAAATGTCGGTTTCGGAGATCTCTGTAATGGAGAGAAGTGGTCCGGGAAGGTGCAGATACTGGTGTTGCGGGAGTGAGGGACGCTGAAGGTATGGGTAAGGAAGAAGCTGATGAAGGGCGAGGAGATGCTGGAGCTGCTGGATCTGAGCGCTCTATAGGCTCTGGAGGCTGGAATGGAGATGATACTGACGCAGAGGGTGCCGAGGTGCCATTTGTAGGACCTGCGAGTGAAGGCACGGGAGGTGGATCGGTTGTTTGTTGGTGAGCATGACCGTCGCCGTCAATCCGCAACTCCGAAGGATTCCGACTTAAAGCATCTTGGAACGCAGATGTCGTAGGTGATTGTGCTGTCGAAGTAATTGTCGACCTAGATGAACTAGCCCTGGGTAAGTTCTCGTTTTCTTCGTCAGGAAAGACTCCAGTCACGGTTGAATACATAGATATCGAATCTGGTGTTTCAGGATCTGCAACACCACTTCCAGCAGTACGCCTACTCCGACTTGTATTCGAGTTTGTTGTCTCCCGGTCAGAGGAGTCTCTAGGTCTAAAAGACGATTGGGACGACTCGGATGAGTCTCTTGGTGTCATACCCAGTCCTCTACTTCTCCAGTACCCAGGCGGCGGGGTCATTGTATATATATAGTTAGTATTCCCTCCGTTCCAGCCCTGAGAAACTGACGCAGCAGCAGGACCTGCTGTTTCAGTAAGATCCGTCTGCGAAATCGAATACACAGGGTTGATTATTTCCCTCTTCACTGACTTAGGTGATCTAGGGGACTTCGGAGACCTTGGGGGAGGCATCAGCGGCATCAGATCCAAGGGGGTTTCGGTACGGATGGGTATAGGCGAGGGCGCGGAAGAAGGAGAAGTTGGAGAGGCGGGAGAAGACCATCCGCGAGGCCGAGAATGATTTGTGAAAGCATGAGTTTGGATGTGGCTAGCACTATGAACGCTAGGGGACTTTGATAACGAGGTGTCAAGTTGAATAGGGCTGCTTATGATCTTTTTGTTGATCCTCGCCGCAGGCACCGGGGCAGAGGTGATCGGCACGGGAGATGGTGCAGGTGATCCTGGTGGCAGAGACGACATCATAGACGATGATGGAGACCTCGGTGACCTTGGAGATCGAGCAAGTGCACCTTCAGCGGCAACAGTAAGATTATCGAATGAATGACCAACGGCAGCTTTTAATAATGCCTTCTTCCAATCCTCTTCGTCATCATCTGGACCAAGAGACGACAGAGCTGAACTGCGATCTCGAGGAGGTGGAAGACGAGAAGCTAACGCGGCAGCACCTACTGATTCATGGACACCTAGACCATGCAAAGCGGATGTTTGAACGGCAAAAGGATATGCAGAGGATGGAAGTGGTAGATCTACTGCATCTGTAGGATCTATCACGTCGTCCATAGATGGTAGATTGACAGCCTGTTCGCGTCGAGTATCGCGCTGTAACGAGCGGATTTTCACCTCGAATTCGGCTTGCTTGGCTGCGCTAGCCAAATCAGCCATTTTCTCCCTTACCACTACAACACGACCTGAGCGGTCTGGTTGTCTACCTAAATTGGAAGTACGAGGAGGAGCGGAGGAAGAGGAGGAAGAGACTGCAGTCTGCATTTGCATCGGAAAACCTGATACGGCTGTGGCATCCGACGTTGTGCGTAAGGCAGGAGTAAGAGCTTGGCCGCCATTGCCACTTTCGGATGTCGGCGTCGGAGGTTTGGATTTTGATCTACCGATCCGAAAAAGGTCAAGAAACGTCGGTGCGGGAAGCTTTTTGACCGCATTGGGATTAGTGGCAGGAATCAATTGAGCGGGAAGTGGCTTTGAATGGGCTGGAGGAAGAAAGTAATTGTTATTGACTAAAAGTCGGAGACGGTATGAGACGTCGTCTTCTTCGAAAGACTTGAAGTCATCGACCTGGACAGACCGCTCTGAGAATGTGGGGGAACGAGGAGAGGCAGTTGCGGAAGACAATGTTGACAGTGGGTAGACTGTAGAAATATTTGTTTGCTCCGACTCTTGTGTGATCATCGAGTCTCTAACATTTACTCCAACTCCCTCTATGGCATCAATTTGAGAAAGTGGAACTCGGGAAAATGCAGATGGCGGTTGCTTGGTCTTGATAGCAGCTAACTGTGAACCCTGTTTCGCAGCTTTAGTCTTCAAATTAAGACTTTAGTTATACACTTTCATTTTATGAACGTTCAAGTTAACGTACCATTCTTATCGGCTCCTCCGCATTTGATTCTTCCGCCCGGCTTGTATCCGCCGCCACAGGACCTGTGCTAATAGACATTTGGTCGTGGTTGACAACATTGGTAGTGTTTGGCTTTATAGCGGAGTTCCCCGTCACTGTTCGTGAACGACCGCGAGTCCTAGGTTGGCGGTTGAGGCTAGCTCCGCTGGCTGCACTGGAGATGCTTGAATTACTGGACACCGTTCTAAGTGTATGACCGATAATTGGACTGTCGACAGGAAGCCGCCTACCATCAGCGTCAACGTTCATCGCAGCATGCGGCTTGTCCTTGAAAAAGCATCCGAACATTCGGTACAACTTTTTATTTGATTTGTAATCATATTTGTTCTCTCTTCACCATCTTCACCACCATGGACGTTTTCAAGTCGTGTAAGTATCTTTTTTCTGTTAAATCCTTCTCCTCTAATAAATGCAGTAGTTCTACCTACCTCTGAAGGCTGGCTACCCATATGGCAGCTTGTAGTCACCTCAGCTGCGGTATTCAACGCTATACAAAATTATACGACTTTGAAGCTCACCCAACGACTTTATGCGCGTATGCCTCATCTTGGTATGTGATATGTATATTTGATAAAACTGTTTACAACTTATACTTCGACGCGCCACAGTGAACCCACTTCAGGCTCGTGCATTTGGCACTTGGACCATAACTTCTGCTGTAATTCGAGGTTACGCCGCATATCACATTCACGAAAAAACGTACGCGTCCAATTCTCATTCATATTCCCCTTCTCATCCAGCCGCTTTTGATTTGCTTAGGATCTACGATATCTGCATCATATCCTACTTAATTGCATTCAGCCATTTCACTTCAGAACTTCTGATTTTCAAAACTGCAAAGCTCAATGGACCAGTTGTTAGTCCATTTATTGTAGCTAGTACGTCCTTTTGTTTCGTTTGGCGTCATTCTTTGTTAACTAATAAACGCACAGGTGTATCTTTGGCATGGATGATCTTACAGTACGATTTCTACGTCTCATAAATATAATCCTAGGGGGGATATGTGTGTATGTATCATCTACCCTGCAACTATCTTGATTGCTTTTGCATTACCCATCAGAATCCCAAAAAAGCTGCCTTTTACAATTTAGAATGTCTGGAAAATGGAGGGTCGACGCGTAAGTCGACTATATAGGTCATCGACGGGTCAAGCTCACCCTCATCCGTCCGAAAACCTCATCAACATACTGCGCCATTTCTCTCGTGCTGTTGCTTAGTATGGTAAACCTTGAGTTATCTTGCTTCTCATTCCTAGCTTTATCCAGACTCCTCGCAGATCCAATGGGGGACATGAATGACGTTAATAAAGGCAACCTCTCCCTCAGCTTACATCTCAGCCCAAAAGTAACATCCTCCTCGTTTTCGTTGCTATTATCATACTTATGACGCCCGTCCACGATCGCAGAGACTTTCAATTCTTTGCCAGAGGATTCCAACAAGCCCTTCAACAGGCCATCTAGGGTACCCCATGCATCGTCGTCTGATGCGAGTTGCCATTGGGGAATTTGCAGATAGATTTTGCGCATTTGGGATGTCGGCAGGGCTTGGAGCGTAGAGAGGATATCATGCAATACCCTCATTGGCTTGGACCCGTTCGACGCCAAGTAGACTGATCGCAGTGCAGTGTGCGAAGAAAGGTCAAAGTCATCTGCACAGGAATCCGAATTTCGAAATAATCAGCGAATAAGCGCGTCGAAAACTCACTGCGATGCAGAATCAACTCACCTCGCTTCGTATGTCCTTGATATAAGAACATCATCAAGTCTTCGAGTGTGTCTTTACATGCGCAGAGGTATGCTCTCAATGCTGGCATCTCGTCGTCCATCACGCGGAAGATGTGGAGTGTGGAAACACAGGGAACTCCTTCAATACTTCCTTGAGATCCGCCCTCCCTTTGTGCCTCAATTTCTTCTTTCGACCTGTCAGAATGAGATTTCGACTTGACTTCAGTGGACCCGGAAGACCCGTGGGCCAACAACCACCTCATGACAGCTTCCAAAGCTGGCCCTGGTAGATCTAATCGGAGCCTGCGTATGCTTAAAGGAAGTCTTATCTTTGCTCTCCCTCGTGCGTCCATCACTTCCGGAGCTTCGTTCAAGTCAAATATACGCCCTCCCTCCGAATGACCCCATCCCCACGGAGATTCTTCCTCTGTTGTAGCAGGCTCCTCTATGTCCCTGATTAACCCTTCTCCTTCACCTCTTTCCATAAATGCCGCTCTCCTTCCCCTTTTCTCCCCGCGATGATGTCCATAAAACAATAGGTCCTCTAACTTTCCAAAGCCACACACCCACTCCATATCCCTCTGTAGACTCCTCCCCTGCAATGTCGTTTCGAACAATGCCAGCGTCCTCACCGTATGTGCGAAGTTTTGATGTAAAGCCAGACGGGAGAAAGGAGAAAGGTCGACTCCGTGTCGAAAGATACGGAGAGTGCGTATGTGGAAGGGGTTTCGGCGATGTGCTTGACTTGTTCCTGCTGGGGGGAATGAATCAGCATGAGTAAGAGGATAAGGAGGTAGAAAAGGCGAACTTGAAGAAACTGTGGTTGCAGGAAGTAGGGCTAGTAATTCGTCCAGCCATGCGTTTGCGGGTACAGCCGATTTTGGTGGGACAGAGTATAGGGAGAAGGAAGGCCGCAAAACCAAGCAGAGCTCCTGCAAGAATGGCGCGACCGTCGATGACGGAGCAAGTACGATACGTACAAATGAAGCTGCGCTCGAAGCGGGATTAATGTAAGTATGTGTTGTTAATCCCACCTCGGTTCTTAGATCTTGATTTTCTTTTCCTTTCTTCCTAGCATGCTCAATATCGTCCTCGACACCCTCAATGCCCTCAACGACCTTTCTCTTCCGCACTTCTGGCGTGCTCGAGATCTCAATTCCTTTACTAAACACGTGATACCTACACGTCGCGTTGAAGGACCGCGAGACGAGACTGCAGGTAAACAGCGTGTGTTTGTCGTCGTGGAAGTAATCGAGGATGTAGTCGGTCAATTCAGGGGGGAGGCTTAATCGGTCCACTGAGGAATTTGAGGGCGATTGCGAAGAACGCGAAGCTACTGCTGGTGAGGACGTAGTAGAAGTAGCTTCGAATGGTGTACTGGTGTTAGGCTGCATGGATGTCAAGGAAGACCTGGGACGAAGGCTCAGGGTGCAGAAGTTCCGTTTGATCTCAGACTGACCGTCAAATCATTTGAACGACTCCCAACTTCCGAACACAGAGGAGGTTATAAGTAATAAAAAATCCTTGTCCGATCTCTCCCGGGAACTTTATAGAATTCCAGGCTCTTTGAAAGCCCTCTCCTTTCGTTCAGACTTCTAAACTTTTGCGGCATGTCACACAAGAGTAATAAAACCAGCTGTGGTGCTGCCATTAGATGATGTACATAGATGTACAGCAATTGTCAGTTCCTGAAACTCAATTGACGACTTAATATCCTTCGTAATACATGGTACTGAGTATCTTCGGCGACATTGTTGTCCCTTTGGTTGTTTTTACCCGTATCACCTCGAGGTGCTACAGATGATATGTGGCTCGCGTGAGATTGTATCATTCCATACAGTACGGAATGCTGGAAATATTCTGGTGTTTGAAATTAGTTGAAATTACAAGAACTTGCATGCAAACTTAGGCTGCAGTTTGAGGAAGTTCACGCGGGTGTGGCAACAGGGAACGAGGAAGACCCATCTGAAAGTAGCTATAGACTTCCATGCACTGTTGAGTCCAGTTTCTTGCGAACTTTTTACACACATTGTAACCTATGAGCATGGAGACCTCGCGCAACAACGCAAAAAACAAAAATATGAAAACATGTTGGCTAAGCCACGGTGCATTAAGAGGGAATGATTAATTGAACCCTCGGATAGTAGAATAGGATATAGATTATACTATGTAGACTCAGAGGGTTCCCGAACAACCAGTTCACCATATTCAGCAAGTCGACCGGACAGTAATGAACCTCACTACTCCATTTAATGCTGAGTTATTGCATGCTAAATGAACCGTATAGCAATAGCCTCTTCTTGAAGATCCGTTAATTTTGAGGCTAATAATGTCGTAGTTATGTAGAAATGAAATGGTATTCCTAGAAGAAACAGATAAAGTACTCACCCATCAGAGGATTGTTCGCTGAATGGCGAGCCATTATATGCGTAAGTTCATTCAAACAACTGGTATACTTCTGCACCTCTGCTGGATTATAGTTAGAGGGCGAACTATATAGTTTGATCGCTCCGATGAATACTGTTGCGGGACCCCGAAGGATAATCTGATGGAGTGAAGCAACTAGTTAGTAAAGGTACTCGACTACGGACTTGGTCGGAGTTAATGTCTCTCAGATGGTATAAAATCACTTACTGCCATCATAGGATCCAGAAACAATGTAGAATTCATACCAAATTCAGTCAAACGGTCCATGATACCATTCGCCATATCCAGAAAAATAGGGCGAGACAAAGGGTTGTCAGCTCCGAGCGTGCATTGTAGTCGTATTACAGTTACACGAACTAGAGTGTGGATGACCAGAAGACGGGCTTTCGCATGATCAGATTGTAGGCTACTAAGGGGAAAAATTTTGGTCAAGAGGCGAGTTGAGAGGGCGAAGAGGTTTTGATAGGAGGATTGAAATTCTTGAACTTCGACGGGAGAACTAAGGGTCCGAGCTGATAATGTTCGAGCTGGAGTAGTATGATTCAATACGGCTATGTCAATACAGGCATGTTTGGGAACGGATTTTGGAAACGAAGAATATACGAACAGGAACTTACAATTATCGGAGTAGCGTTTCCAAAACACGGTTGTCTGTTCAAATAGAACAGTCGCTTTCACGTATAAAGCTAATATTGAATTTCCATCGTCAGGAATACCGGAAAAGAACTTTTGGAGTGTATGACTGGACTTGAAATTTTGGGGAAATGTGGTCTATAGGGCAAGATTTCTCGGTAATCAGAATAACCACTCAGAGGGATGTTTCTGGACTTACATCAGAATATCTACCACTGTCCAGCGGCCATGGTGTATCCACTCTTCCCTGATCCGTAGTATATGCGATAGATGCAGGGACACCTTCTACAGCAGACCACAGACAATTTAAGGCGAAAACGGTCCACATGGCGTTGATGCACTCGCCCTCCTCCGAGGCGCTTTGAGCGGCTGACAGTGAAGCTGGAGTGGTGTGGGTAAAATCTGAGCTGCGGATTCGGTGCATCTGGGCACTGATAATAAGCGAAACAGCTTTGTCCAAATGCCATCGTCCTTCCAGGGAGCGCTTATGAAGTAGAAAGTAGTAGGCAACAAGAACATAGGATTGAAGAGTATGCAGAATTCGATGAGGGTGGTATTCGGATAGGCCAAGTGAGACAGCTTGAATTGCTTTTGATAAATATTTCTCCATGAGTTCTGAGCTTGAATTGACATTATGAGCGAGATGGGTACTGAAATGCGCTCCGAGGAGGATCATGGAAGCTGACAGAGCGGAAGTAGGTCGTTGATTGGGGTCGGAGATAGGATTTGAAAATGCCTTGACGAGGCTTCTGGCATCCAAGAAGAATCCAAAGTAAGAGGCATATGGAAGGAAAGTTTCCAAGCTAATCAAATGAAAGTTGATAAAAACATTAGTTCTGTAAATATTTTTGAGGTTGACCAATATTGATATCGAGATGCTTACAGATCTTTTTCCTGAGGTAATACCGCGATCGTATCGTACGCCTCACCCCTACTAGCGGCATACGAGCTTATAGGGGCACTTGACGAGTAAGGATCATGAAGAGCAATGGAGTCTTGTCTAGCATCGACGACAGTAGGAGTTTGTAGTTGCTCCAAACGCGCTTCGAGAACGCTAATTTGCTCTTGTAAGCGGTCTGCGTATGTGTGCCCCACGCCGGCGTACTCGCAGTCTCCCAGAGACGGTGATTTAGTGCATGGGCCGCAGACGGGCTTTCGTCCGTCACATCTCTGTGGACAAGGGGCTTCGAACAAATAAGAAAAAAGAACCCAGGAACTCTGGCGTACCATCTTTCGTCGTCTGAAACAGCGCACTAGCGTTAGAAACTGAACTGAATTGGGTTGATACAAGGGCGACTTGCTTGCAATTATTACAAGCTCCTGCCCGAGCGATTGGGGGAGCTTGAGGAGTTCTTTTAGAATACATAGTGATTGATGTTTGTGGTTTTGAGCGGATAACAGTCTTAGGAACGATGGAAAGGAAGAATTTGGGATACTAGTATTTATATGATATCCCATTTTCTCCGAGTTTTGGAGTAGTTAGTTCGATGTATCCCACTCACCACCACTCTTCCGACAGAGGTATCGGAGCTGACTCTGAGGCATTTAGAATGAGTGGCTTTGCTCCTCCTAATTATTCAGTTCAATGGAGCCCGAGGAAGGGAGGAGGGCGAGAGACGGGGGGCATTCGAATACGGTCGTCCGGGTTTATGGTAGCCGTTTAATGTGTAGTAGGTACGATGAGGCATGATATCTAACCTTCTGTCAAGTTTTGGTCATTTCCAATTTGCAGCAGATTTGCGAGCGTGTCCGAGATGTTGACGGTCAATGGACGAAGGTAACAAGGTGTAAGGTTGTGGGGAAACCCGTCGGGAGTCCCGGTGAATCAATCACGTGTAGAACGCAACGCGCCATTTGCTGATAGTGAACACCGGCAGAGACCCAATGAAAACAACGACACACCCATAAACAGTACTTACCCCTCAGAGGTTTATATATACAGATGTACCTAAAGCCAACATACTGAACAGACATTCCTGTCCGAACACTTGATCATTGTTTGGCCTTTTTGGTGAGATAGAGACGGATATGGTGAATATAGGCTGGGTATTCACTATTAGTAGGGAAGTATTCGAACCTAATTAATTGATAGCTGAGCTTTGAAAGAGAATTGTGGGTAATCATGAATCGGCCATGGCGAAGAAGAAAAAGTTGCGTGGACGAAGTGGATTTCGTCAAGATCTGGAAAAATCTGGAAAAATCGATCACATGTCCATTTCAATCCCTCAAGCCAGCCGCCATGGTTAATCTTGATGATGTTAACGAGGTGATATTTGATCTCTAGCCCAATCTACAGCTGAACGACTTAGACGATGTTAGACAGCATATTACATTCCTTATGAAGAGCAAAACGCAGAACCCTCAGAACCCTCACTCCCTCTACGTCTCGCATTTGACCTTCCGAATGGCCCTGAACTAAGGTGGAACGCGTATAAATCGGCTTGGGACAAGTGTTTAAATCGGATACAGGTGTGTCTTTACCTTGATCACTGCTCCCACTGTTCCGCTGAGTAGAAATCCATTGTAAGACACTTTTCCACGAACTATACGAACCGGTAGTAGCTGAGGTGGTGGAGAAGATAGAATCCGCGTATAACGACGACAAACAAAGCGACTTTACTTCGCTGGCTCTACCGCACTTTGAAATACCTACAATTGCTGTGGCCAACTCGTCTTCAGCAGACCCGTACTTTCTATCTTCTGTCATATCTCAGCTGCGTTCAATTGCACATTTATATCCCTCCGATTGCGTAAACTTAACAACTGCGATGAAATTCATCATTTCGGGATTCCTCTCTACTTCAGGCTCTGGCTCATCATACAAATCGTCTGCGAAAATACTCGCTGCGTATGATATCAACGTGCTCGTGGCTTGGTATTCAGCCCAAAAGGCAGACACAAGACCTCAGAAACTCATCCTGTTATTGCATGACTTTGAGCAGTTCGATCCTGGTGTCTTACAAGACGTGCTATATATTTGCAGGTTTTTTGTCATTATCTCAGTGAAATTAACCCTCGCACTCACCTCCCTGCAGCCAACACGTTCCCTCTCTTCCCCTGGTTGTTCTCATTTCCCTATCATCGCCCCTATCGCCTCTATCACCCCAATCGTACTTGCATGTTACGTATCCTCGTTCGACTCTCAAACTCATGCGCATCCAATCGGTCATCGTTCCTGGTGGACCGAGGGTATTGGAGGAGGTTATTATCAAGGTACGTATCACAGAGTCTTTGTCTGGTAGCTATTGTAGATGCTAAATAATACATAGACTTTCGTTAACCTTTCCTCTGTCAATGACGAGTTGGACATTGTCCCAGGCCCAGCTGTCCTCGAGTTCTTGGTAGAATATGCGACCCGATTTAATCCTTCCGTGCATGCGCTATTGAATATACTTCAGGTGAGTTATGTTACTGGATATATTCCCGATATTCATTGAATGGATCGAATTCTAGCTTGCCCATCTAAAACATTTCCTCACCAACCCTCTGACCGCACTCGTCTCTCTTGTACCTCACCTTCCATCCGGTATTAATGCATTATCTCTCGAATCGACCCTTCAAGAACCAGGTTCAACCGATTTCAAAGAGCTATTGGTCCAAAGGTTAACATTCGACCGTGATGACGCCGATAACTCTAATTTGACCTCCTCACTCCCCGCCTTGACCCGCGCGGTCCACATCGCCTGCTCTCAATTCCGCACCCGTACTCGTTCCATCCGGCTCGCTTACCTTCTCTTGCAGGGGCTCCATGGTTTTCTTTCGGAGAAGGGTTATAAAGGTCTAGGAAATCATTGGGGATCGACAACCGTTCCTGCATTCATGAGTACGGCGGCTCAAACGGCGGCCTCCACGTTGTCTTCTCGATACCCACAGTACCTCAGCTTGCAGAATTACATCAACCTGTTACAATTGCACGCTCAAACTCACTCAAAGCAATCAGTGAAAGACATCACATACGCTCGAACACTTCTTCGAAAACTCCGACCGGAGGAGCTGAGGGCATATTTGAATACATTAATCCCGAAATTCCAGGAGTTGCAAAATGACTTGGGTGTCGACATACCTACGGGCGATGATGACGGCGAGGAGAGCTCAAACTTGAATCTGGCGGAGGTCGTGCGCATGTTAGAAGAATGGAGGTCAGAAGCCGAAGAGGTTTATAGAGCTTACGAGACCGTCGAAACGGGTACCCGGGAGAGAAATATGAACGAGGCTGCAGTAGAAAAGTTCAAATTATTAAAGGAGAATCTGGCAGAGTGGATGTATGAATATCTGGGGTATGCTCTTTTCATCATCTTACCTTAATTCATAGGCTCATTGTTTTGATTGCACAGTGTTCTTACGACTCCGATTGAAAGTGGTCCCCTGTGGGATGTCTATTACACTGGTTCTGCAGTGTTTCCTTCTGAGGTGGTTTCCATATGTATTTCTTTGGTATCGCTATCGGTGTTTCTGACCTAGGCTGTGATATGTCATAGACTCTCAATCCCTCGATCCGCGCATCCATCATAGCTGGTCTCTTGAGACCTAAAGATTTCGTTGCTGAACCTTCACCTTCTATATTTTCGCATGTTCCTGCAGGGGACGACGGATGCGAGGTAGCTCAGTCAGAAAGGACTCGTACAGCTCATGCAGGTCAAAAAGATACCCCACAAGACAACTTTGTAGAGGACGAGAACGGTGATGAAATCACAGACGATTCAGACCCCCTCCACACCCTCCCCGACACATCCGTCCTCTTCCACCGATATCTCGAGAGCGGGAAGATGATCAACGTGTATGATTGGTTTGAGTCGTTTCATACTGTCATTGGGATACGGAGACGGGAGACGAACGCGAAAGAGGGGCAAAAGAAGAGGAAAGGGAAAGCGGCAAATGGAATTGTTTCCCCCGCAAAGAAAGGCAAGGAGAAGGCCAGAGATTCAGATCTAGATGGTGATGAGGAAATGAAGGATCACGGGGAAGAACCTCCTGACTCCAGCTCAGACTCAGAGGAACGCCATCAACTTCTTGTCCAGGCCCGCTTCATTCGAGCCTTGCACGAACTTGATTTTCTGGGGTTCATTAAGCATACGAGGAGGAAGCCAGACCATGTCTTGAGGACTGTGTTTGATGTTGGGGATTAGCCGTCTTTTGGCAACGGATTATCAGCAGAGCTCAATGTATCCTGGTATAAAGCTCACAATATGTACATTATATTCGTACAGCCGTGACATATGGAGGTGCAAAAGCACCGACAAGTCTCGTATAACACCTTCAAGCGAGCACCCCTTGTGAGCCACCTCAGCCGGAGGAAGGAAGCTCCCATGCAATTGCACAATTTTAAATAAGACAAACTTGACCAGGAGCAATGAGGAGCAATGATCTGTGAACGACTATAACTATGTACTATGTATAACCCAGTGTTTTTTACACAGTTCATACTGGATACGACCCGTCAACAAATATCAAGAGAGGTAATTCAAATTCAAACAATACTGCGAGACCATTAGCGTCGACGACAGAAAGTAACGATAGACCTGGACCCCGGCGGAGGAACAGCTCGTAAAATTGTTCAAGAACAATATTTACCTACCTAACGTCGTTCTTGAAATGACAGGCTGTCATTTCAAGAACGACGTTAAAGCTCTCCTCGCAATGACGCTCAGACCACTCATCCTGATCTTCATGCTATTAACGACAATGTGACAGTGACCACACCCATTGAGACGTGGAAGAGAGCTTTCGAGTACTTGGAGAAACGATTTCTCGCTGGGAACTGCAGTACCCATCTTACTGAGCACCTCGATATGGAATGGATACCAATCGGCGCAGCGCATTTGTCCTCCTTTGTGTTGTACTGGGATGGGATTCTTGAGAGTATCGAAGATCGCTTCGCGCATGAGTTCACGTTTGTAATACTAACAGTTCAAATACTAAGATCATCGAAGTCCCAACTAAAGACTCTCGCTACAGTACGCACCCATGCACCAAAGATTGGTGGCCAGTCCGGGTATTGTTTGAGAGCTTCAAAGACTTCTTTGGTAGGGATATTATGTGTTTCAAGTTCAGCCAGATCCCGCCAAGTGGTGTCTCCGATACTATGGGCATAAGCGAAAAATCTGGCGGGTTCTTGGGTTAAGGCTAGTCTGAAAATGTGATTTGAATATGTAGAAGTGGTGATGCGTGAATGAGAGAGCATTTACTAACTTTCCGGCCTTGTCCATTATGGATGAATAACCGTGTTTCTGCGCATACAGGAATGCATCGAATGGTTGATCATTGACCGAAATGCTACATATAACGAGGGTATGATTAGATGTAGGATTAGGCCTATTTGAATCAAACACTCACCCAATCATCACCTTACAAACCCCCGTTGCACAATAAACCCCATACTTCTCCGCCGCATTCGCAAACTTGATGAGCAACTTTGACGCAAGGAGTGAAAGATCCGGCTGAGGCTGGTGATGCATGAACTTGAGAAGGAGCATAACAACATCGGAATCCTCAGATAGCTCGACGTCTTCGTGCGAGTTGACGACAGAGTTTGCCATAGGGAAGCCGTCGCTGTAGATTTCGAGGTTTCTGATATGAGCACCGAACCGCGTGCCATCTGAGGAGCGTAGAACGATGTCTGTTGGAAGATTACAGCTATCTCCCGCTAAGTTAGGGTTGCCGTTGTCACGAAATTAGTATCTAATAACGATTTTGGTCGATTGCAGGTATTGTACCTTCGCATGGTGGTACTTCATAAGATGTCGATGACTCTTGATATTCAGCGGTGTAATCAGGCATGATAGGTTCAGCAGTAAGGCTTGACATTTTGCACCAAGAGTCGATTGAGAAGAGTAGTATTACATAGCAGAAAGAACGTAAACATGCACATCGCACGCGGACAAGGACGAGAAGACTATTATTATTCGGCCGGCAAAATCAATCAGATCAATACCTCCAACAAAGGCCACGTTTGCTCAACGAACACTCCTCCACGACATTACATAGTGGAACTGGCACAGCTGTAAATTGCCAGAATCTTCCCCTGAACGATTCTCATTTCAAGGTGGGTTTGCAGCGGACTTGGCATCCCATTTTCTCTTCGCATATGACTCCTACTTCGAGCAACAACTTCTGACTGAACAGACATCCATCCACACAACTCTCATCTCTATTCAGTTTCAATACAGGATGATCCGACTACTTTAGACCGTAACCAAGAAGTAGACTTCGAACAAATCTTGTAGGATCGCATTCATTGGAGGGCAAAGGAGCTTTTCTTCATCGAGCGCAGTCTGTTGGAATCGAGATGATCATGCGCAACACAGCCCAATGCACGTGACGTTTATGTACGTGAGCGCTTATACGGCGCTTATCACAGCCTTTTTTTCTCGTTTTTTTCTTTCCTCCTTCTTCTCCCTATCAAGTTCCTTTGGTATACGGAACTGCTGGCCAGTCACCCATACCCCACAATCACCCGAAAGTTTACATCGTCCGCTCTCTCCTCTCCGAATCTAGAGAGAACATCTTACGAATCATGAAGTTATCTGTACAACCCATCATCTACGTTTTCCTTGGTTCGGTCATTTCTGCGGTCCATGCCGTACCCGTCGTCGTTCATGTGAGTGGAACTAATATCCAGTAGACCCCCCCAAAAAATCATCCATTTTCCGCAGACGCCCGGTGCTACAACCCCCGGACCGCATTTGGAGACCCGAGCATCATCGAAGGACATAATCAACATTGCCTTCCACAATCCCTCTGCCCAACGCGGAACCGGCACCCCAGTCAGCAAAATCAAAACTGAGATAAAAACAATCCTCACAAAATGGCGAGAATCAGACCACGTGTCGAAAAAACCAAAAGACGCGAAAAATTTCGACTTGGAGTATGATAACCGATACGATGATAACATACATTTGAATCTGCATGAGTTTTCATTTTGGGGGAAGGGGGTGGGGGAGGGGTGTAAAGAGGAGGAGGATGGGTGTTATGTTCAGTATGAACAGGATGAGTATAGTGAGTTGGGGGCTGAGGTTCAGAGGCATCCGGATGCGGCGATGGGGTATGTGTATAGGGGTCAAACTGTGTTGCTTGAGCTGGGTTATAAGCTCCGTGGATGATTTGAAGGGTGTATATACAAGATGAATATAACAAGGAGAGATTTTGAGAGATTGTTCCCGCTACCTCTTTAGAGGCTACTGTGCAAATCTTTGGTAGCCGATGTGTATCCAAGCAGCTGCAAAGGAAAACAATCATGCTAACGCTATCCCTAACCAGCGTGTTCGGAAAATGATGACGGACGCGATTTTTTTTTCTGCTCAAAAAATAAAATAAAATAAAATAAAGGTACCCAGAGCTCACGCGTCGCATACCGTGTGTTTGAATAACATTTTCACCTGATCAGCCAGGGAAAGATGCTGAGCAGGGCATCTGCAATGAAAGCACAAGGGTCCAGGAGGGGTGTAGGAGGGTAGGAAAATGTATGGGTTGCATCTCTCGGAGATTCAGATGCTCGTCAGTCGACTTTCTCTTTGTTTTCGTATGTGAGCGCCCTCATGGGTAAATTAGTTCTAGGTCAGAAAAGAGATGATGGTGTGAATTGGGAAGTGTCATGCTTGAGTGATTCCCATAACGGCCAGAATGCAAAGGAGATGGAAAGAGTTCAGACAGAGCATCCAGGTGAGCCTCGGGTCATCCAAAATGAGCGTGTTTGAGCCTGTCTTGCTGTAACGCGAGGTGCATCCCAGGGCAATCATTTCACTCGACCGCGACAAGTTATTCAGGCATTTTACACTCCCAGTGTTGGGTAATCATCAGCTTAAAACACCCTATCACTTTAAGCATTCCTAACGTAACCACCGATGTTTAAGCAGTATTGAAACTGTGTTGAGATGCGGTTCAATAAGTTTCGTTCGAAATCTACTTGATGTAGTCAGATTATCCTGTATTGAAACTGATCAGAGATCTGTAGAGATGAGAGCATTGTGATGATGCCAGCGTGAAGGTTTTCGGTCAATGTACTCGAGTTCGGGTCGAGATTGGGTCGAGATACCCATACATATGAGTGCTTATCAAAGCCTTGATTTTCTTTTTTCTTTCCTCCTATCAAGTTTGTTCGGTACACGGAACTGCTGGCCAGTCACCCATACACCACAATCACCCAAGATTTTGATCGTCTGCTCTCTCCTCTCCAAATCTAGAGAGAACATCTTATGAATCATGAAGTTATCTGTACCACCCATCATCTATGTTTTCCTCTGTTCCGTTATCTCTGCGGTCCATGCCATACCCGTCGTCGTTCATGTGAGTGGAACTAATATCCAGTAAACCCCCTCCCCAAAAATCATCCATTTTCCGCAGACGTCTGCAACCCCCGGACCGCATTTGGAAACCCGAGCATCATCGAAGGACATAATCCACATTTCCTTCCGCGCTCCCTCCGAAACACGCGGAACTGGCACCCCAATCCCCAAAATCCGCAAAGAGATAAAAAAAATCCTCACGACATGGCGAGAATTCAACAACGTCTTGAGGAAATTCGATGTAGTGTATTCCAACCAATTTGATGGGAACATACATTACAATCAGCATGATTTTCAGTTTTGGGGGAGTGGGGTGGGGGAGGGGTGTGAGGTGCAGGTGGACAAGTGTTGGTTTTGGTATGAAGAGGATATGTACAATTTGATGGGGGTGAGAGGGTAAGGCCTACGGGTGAAGTGATGGGGTATGTGTATAAAGGTCAAACTGCATTGCTTGAGCTGCCTTATGAGCTGCGTGGATGATTTGAAGGGTGTATATACGAGATGAATATAACGGGGAGAGATTTTGACAGATTGTTTGTTCCCAGCTTAAAGCTTGAAGAGTTTTGTAGTGCAATTTTAAATTTCCGTTGGGGGTAGTAAACTGGCCTGGGTCCAGGATTATTTGCGGGGTGATATTGCTTGAAATTAATTCTTCGTGGTTCCGTAGCTGGCACGGTGGATATACATGCCACTTGTACTTGAATTAACAACATTCCAATGCTCTCAACTTAACTCCAAGCAGCCTAGGCTCATGGTGCTCTTCATTCGAAGGATGGTATAACATGTATCTACTAGGAACTTACCAGCAAGGAGAATTATATGCTGGAGCAAGAAAACAGACAGACAGATGTAGAAAAAAGGAAAGGGGGTAACAACGGTAACGAGCTTGCCTCGTTTTTGTGTGAAAGAGAAAGGAAGGAATCTAATGGGCACTCCAACCAACCAATCTAATACACAATATGCGAGTTCACTGCTATCAAATTTATTTAATAGCAAGGGGTAGCGTTGGCAAAGGTTCCGCAAAGCTTTGAGAGCTAAGTAAGAAGCTTTGATCAATCAATTTGAATCGTTCTAAGGATTCGATATATTCCTTTGATCAAGGTAGATTCAGCACGATTTGTGCTTTGGTTTGTATTGATTTGGGTATATCAAGAATTGGGGGTTTGAATCAAAGTAAATTAAAACCGAAACACACAGACCCCTACGGAGGGCTAGAACTATGTGCTGGCACAACCACACAGCGTGATTTGCCCTTAAGACCAACGACTGATCCTAAGTTCGAAGAATACCCAACAACTGAATATACTTCTTGCAGTCACAAGGAGCAGAACACAACGTTCCTATACTCACAAGTGCTGGGCCCGAATGGCTGCTAGCGAAGAGGTTTCAGTCTGGCGGGAGTGTGTCTTTCCTTTTTACGGATTAGCACTGCAACGTCGTCCCAAAATCACTTGTATTCCAGATACATCGGATCGCTATTTATACATACAGAATATAGAGTCACATAGTACAATTAATTTAATACAATAAACGTTCGGAACTGCAAGGAAACTTCTACACTCAGTCAGATACCATTTAATTTGAATCTACATGTCCTTATTTGGTCCATATTGGTTCCAAGATTCTAGTATACCTCCAAACATAGGTAGGTACTTCAATATTCATTTAATTTAATTGTTTTTGGAGGATGACTCGAATGGTGTTCAACACTTACTTCGATCGTTTGTCACCTCGTCCGGAGGCAAATCAGCTCTCCTCGATTCTAATCCTATCAATCTGATTCATCTGGATTAAACTAATTGCTTCTCTCTTTCAACAGACACCTATTGTGCCTATACTCTATCAAGGGAGTTACGCATAGTATTCATTTAATTGCATTCTTCAATGTTTTCTACGTCAGGACTCTTTGACATTCATTTGATATGTCTTCGGAGCCTTGCAGTCTTTCGATCGTTCTTCTAGTCATTTTACTCAACCATGCAACTTGATTGGTCTATTAGACTAAATCGCAGTCTTTTAGATTAATGCATGATCTCGTTCTAGAAGGAGTATTTGATAATTCCTGAGTTCTAGAAAGTCATTTCGAGTCAATCCTCAGTTCATGGTCACTTGAGTAAGTTCTTCCAAACTCCTGCCAGTGTAAGGTCCAATAAGAATACCCTTGGTATGTCATACGTGAATGGTCATCCTTCGGATGTAGTCCGAGTCTGGTATAATCCTGCTTGACAAACAGGTAGACTGCTATCTGTAGGTAGTATCGGGGATGGGTAAACTAACCAACTTGTGGTAGTATGGGTATATGGTCCCTTCAACTTATTAGACTGATTCAGTATCGACTTTGACTGTCAATCTGGGTCTCAATTACAGTCCTCTTGATACAAATCTATACGTGAAAATGTCACAATTCACAGCATAGACGTCTAGCCAAAATTTAGGCGTGTCAATGGAGGCAGTATTATTATTTGGGAGTATATACTGAAGCAAGAAGCAAAAGAGAATAAGAACAGACAAGTAACAACAGTAACAGTGGACAGGAAACAAGAAACAAGAAACAAGACTCATCCAGAAAACAACAAACTCACAACGCCAAGAATTATTGTGCATCAACTCCCCTCCCCCACCCAACCATCTAATTAACTCTCAGCAACACAAAAATCCAACACTGCCTTTGCCCCTCATCCACCCAACCCATTTTGGGAGTAGTGTCAAGCCCATGCCTCGGGCCTCCATTCCGCCGCTCGGTACTCCGAAGATCTACCTCTTATTGTAATCTTACTCTTATTGTTCTTTCTCGCTACACATACCCTTTCGTTCTAGTCCCTCCTTATTGTCTTTTACTTTACCCTGCAGGTACTACTCGTATAGCTCCTAGTAGTTAGTCTGGCGCTCCGCACCGATGCACCAATCCGTAGATATAAATACTGCCTGTACGCTACTGTAGTTCCTCAGTTTAATTATCGACTTAGATTCCCTCCTTAACTCTGTGCCCTTCTAAGTCTTCAGGCTCATCGCCTTGAAGCACGTTCTACTCGACCTTAGGACTTGAACGTCCTCTGGTTTGCTCCTCGTCATTGGCGATACCGCCGCTCCGACTTGGCTGCTACTTAGCTCCTCTCTCTATACTCTCGATCTCCGGGGACTAACGGCGTAATGGCGGTGTTGTTAATAACTTCACTACTGTCCCACTCGTCTTCCGCACTTAGACACCTTGTGGCTTTGGCACGGTTACACGGTGTACATGATCTTAACAAGTAGCAGATATACACATCCTCCTCCTCCATGCCCATTTTCTTGCGGAACTTGCCCTTGCCGCAGAGGGACATGTGTTTGGAGATGGCTTTGTAGGCATGGGGGAGGACCTGTGAGAGAGATAGAGGGAGAGAGAGAAAGAGAGTGTGTGTGTGTATGTGCAGAGACAATCGATTTTGATTAGCATCCCATAAAACCTCCCCAAGTCAATGCTCATGTGTTCATGTTCTTCAACCGATGTTGCCATACCCCCTGGGGATGTCTTTTTGTTCTGTATTCCACTTCACAATGCATATACTTATATACTGCAGTAGTAGAAAGAATGGCAGCCCGGGAATTTTCATTATTTGCATGTGATCAGTGGCTGTGCAATGGGCGCTAAACCTCAGAATTCTGAGGTTTAGCGCCGGATTTAAGCACTTGACCAGTGGCTGTGCCATTAGGGTGGAAAATCCATGGATGGTTACATAAACAACAACAGCTTTCTTTCTTTTTGCCGTCATGTCACTAACAGTTTCTTCATGGCTTAAGGCTAAAGACCAGGCACTCTCTCTGTTTTTCTCAAAGGTAGTTACAGAGGCAAAGGAGGCTGACCTAACCTTACAAGTGTGCTAAGACCTACTTGTTTCCTATTTGAATTCATTCTCACCCAGATATTCAGCCTTTTGCAACTGCTTTGTATACTGGACTCCAAGAAAGAGCTGTTAGCAAGACCTGGACTAGATTTTTGAAGGAATCATGGAGCACTACCCTACCACCTTCACTGAGCAACAATGGCTTTTTATATGTCAGCCACTTTTTTATATCAATAACCCTTTTGCACCTACTAAGAAATATGGAATATAGGCTCCTCGATTTGGGAACAGAAAAGCACCAAGTGGCTCAAGTCCCTCCTGGCCTTGTTGATAAGCCTGTAAGTGGCACAGAATACTTTATGAATAATTCCATAATGCCTCTCTATATCATAAGTTATGCCCTCTTACTCAAGGAGGTAGATGGCAAAGAAGTCAATGATAACCAGGAAGGTATAGATATCCTTAAGTATTATAAAACTGTGTTTGGTTGATTTAATATACTAGACACAGCAAAGGAAGTTGACAAGGAAGCAGAAGAGTCACAGGCTGGAGACTCCCCTAATGATATACCCCAAGGTTATTATCACTTTGTTAAATAAAGTTAGGCATCTAATTTATTCATTTCAGAAATAGATGATATGTCTATAGATGATGGGGACACAGTCAAGGTAATAGTGATCTTCTGTTTCATGGAACCCTACTGATAGACATGATTGATTCAGAAATTGAACCAACATCTGCCAAAGGCATGTAATTGCATCTAATCCTTGACAACATAAACCTAATTATAGGAAACAATCCCCCTAGGAATGGAACTTCTTCACACTTGTATCCAGAATCAAGGAAGCAACACCTGCTCCAAGGGAACCACATCCTCATTAGGAATTGTGAGCCTGCAGATCAAAGTGAATTAGCATTCAATGCCCTTTCTTTCTAGTCTACTCTTATTGTTTTATCCTCTACCCTGAAGGCATTAAATGTACAGTCTCTAGTAACTAGTTTAGGAAACCCCCCTAAGAATGGAACTTCTTCACACTTGTATCCAGAATCAAGGAAACAACTATCCTTTACCCTGAAGGCACTAAATGTACAGGATCTAGTAACTAGTTTAGTGATCTGCTCTGATATGGTGATTAGTTGGTATAAATATATAAATACTCCTGTATTGTACTTTAGTTCTTTAGTTTAATTATTGACTTAGATTCCCTACTCTTTTTGTCTTCTGAGTTCTGAGGCTAGTCACCTTAGACTCTCCTAGTCTCACATCTGTAAAACCTGTATTTTTGGCTAAGAGCTCGAAAGCAGCTGACAGCGCTCTCCAGCTAGTACCCTTGCTCTCACGAACATCCAGGTTTTGCAGATGCAACCTTAAGACTTTACAAGTCCTTCAGTCCACTCCTTGTTATCAGCATTATCACTATTCCTCAGCTTGGCTGCCCCTCATCACACTCTCCTCTTTCTCCTCTGTTCTCTATCCTCTGGGGACTCATGGCATGGTGGTGGTCTTGTTAATAACTTCACCACTGTCCCATTTGATTCCTCCAACTTAGACACCGAACAGCCCTTGGCATGGCTTTCAATTATCCCAACTTAGATACCAACCAGTCCTTTATTGTGGAAGACATGGGCTTGGCGGTATATATGTATATGATTTTAACAGGTGCTTACTCTGACACAGGGGTGGGGTGGAGCTGTGGTATGAGGAGTTTACTATCAAGAGTGTACTATGAAGAGTGTATTATGGTCTATTTATGTATCTATATATCTATATATCTATGTGTATATGTGTATGTGTATATGTGTATACATATCTGTCTGCCTGTCTTTGCATAGATTGGAGAGAATCGGATCTGGAAGCTTTATGTGTGCATGTATATGGGTCAATGTACAAAGTAGAAAGTACAAAATAGAAAATAGGTCAGCATAAGTAAATCAAAGTAAGTGCGTCAGAGTAAATGCGTCAAAGTAAGTAAATTAAATCAAAACACATTTACTATGTAGAAAATGCTTGCCCAAGGTCGTTCACGGGAATCATCAAAAATCAAAGAATCAAGGAATCAAATATTCATAGATATTCGTGAATTATTCGTGGATGATTCGTTTATTGTATTCGAAGAATGGTATACTAAGTAACATGTATCTGCTACGTACTAAGCACAAGGTACTAAATACGAGGTGCGAGGTGAGAGGTGAGAGGTGCGAGGTGCGAGGTGCGAGGTGAGATGTATGAAATACGAGGTATGAAATATGAGAAAGGTCCATGAAACGACTAAAGAAATTTAGAGAGGATTATGTATATATCATATGTAAGAAGGGGGGGATTATATATTTGGGATTTGTATATCGAATTCGAAGCAAGCAAGCACAAGGAGAAACAAGCACAAGGAGAAATAGACGTAACACAACAGTGGGGATAGTGGTCGCCGTGACAAGAAACAAGAAACAAAACAAAACTCGGTATCAGCAACAACCTCCCTCCCAACCCCCACCCACCTATCCAACCTAACTCCAACCTTCCCCAAACCACTCTAACTCTCCGCAACACAAAAATCCAACACCGCCTTCGCCCCTCTCCCCCCCAACCCACCACGGGGATAACAGATATACACATCCTCCTCCTCGGCGCCCATTTTCTTGCGGAAGTCGCCCTTGGAGCGGAGGGACATGCGTTCGGAGATGGCTTCGTAGGCGTGGGAGAGGATCTATTGAGAGTAGGAGAGGGAGGAGGGGGAAGGGGAGGGGAGGGAGGGAGGGAGGGAGGGAAAGGGAGGGAGGGAGGGAAAGGGAGGGAGGGAGGGAAAGGGAGGGAGGGGGAGGAGGAGGGGAGGGGGGAGGGGAGGGAGGGAGGGAAGTGAGTAAAAGGAAACCGAAGGAAGGAGGGAATAACACGAACCTTGACTCTCACGCCCTTCACCCCACGCACGGGCGTCAACCGACTCGTGGCGCTCGTTCCGAATGTGAGGCGGCCGCTCCCGGTGGATGCGACTGCGCGCATTGCTGCGCTGAGTGCTGATTCGATTGCACCTGGAGAGAAGGAGGGGGAGAGTTAGAGGAAGAGAGGAGGTGAGACGAGACGAGACGAAGAAAATAAACCAAGAAGATAAACCAAGAAAATAAACCAACAATAAAGGAATAAAACAATAAAGTATAAGTAAACACTCACCACTCGTACTCCCAGTCCTCCACCTCTCCGTCGACGGGAAATCCAGGGCGTATTTCACTTGGAACCCGTACATGGGAGAGAGTTGGTGTAAGACGACGAGAGCTACTGGGATTAGTTCTGGTTCCTTTCCTTCTTTCCCTTCCTTATTCTCCTTGTCCTTCGTCCCTTCCACATCCTCTTTCCCCTCTTTCTCTCCCTCCTCGTCGTTGTCCTTCCCCTCGTCCTCATCCTTCGTCTCCCCCCTCTTCCTCGGCGCCAAAGCAACAAAATACTCCCTATGCACATAATCCCTCCACACCTCCACCTCCGTCAACCTCACCTGCCCCCCCTTCGCCGCGCGCGAGTCGCGCCACTCCCGGATCCGCGCGTCGATGGTGTGTTTTAGTGAGAGGGGCATGCTTTTGGAGTTTGAATTCGTGGTGTTATCGGGGTTAGGATCAACATCGTTTTCCTCGACAGAGATCCCATCGAATACATCATACCCATTAACCTCCCCCCCTTCTCCTTTCCCAACTCCAAACCCATCCCTCCCCATCCACCTCCCAACCCGTGGGCCACCCCCTCTCCCTCCGCCTTCCGCACCTTCCGCGCCACCTCCTTCTCCTGGAGCGCGGCAGGGACCTCCCCGGAGAGCTCGACGCGGCTCTCGGCGACACAGGTGAAGGAGGACCAGGAGAGGCGCGTGCCGAGGGTGTGTTCGAGGTGAGAGGAGGCGAGGAGCCAGATTGGTTTGAGGGGAGGGAGGGGGGAGGGGTGGACGTGGGTGGGGGAGGGGTGGGAGGAGGGGGAGTGGGAGTGGGGGGAGGAGGGGGAAGGGGTGGTGTTTTGGGAGGAGTGGGGGGATTTGGGGGAAGGGGATGAGGTGGGTTGTAAAAACGCTTTAATCCCTTCACTTAGAGATGTAGATGTGGATGTTTTTGACACCGCGTGACCTTCTTTTTCTTTCTCTTTCGTATTGGTATTGGTATTGGTATTCGAATTCTTCTCATCCCATCCCCCAATCCTCTTTCTCTCCACGTACCCATAGTGGGCGTGACCCCCATGACCATCGTCGTCGTTGTTGTGGTTGTCGTTGTTGTGGTTATTGTCGTTGTAGTCCTGTTCCCCACGTTTCAACCACCCCAAGAACCTCCCCACGACAGCAGAGTACTGGGATCTATCACACAGCGGGTCACCAACGATGATCGCGAATCCAGATGAGGATGGGACGAATCTACAATCGTACGATGATTAGATAATAATAATCTAAATAATAACACAGAATACTCACCCAATAGCAGCCCCTGTACTGACATCCCTCCACACCAAATACCTATCGTCTAGCCAGGAGGTGTTGGCTGCGTCCCCGTAGTTGGCTATCAGCGCGGGTATCGTGGGCAGGGACCGTCGTTTGGACACGGTTGGTTGTTGAGAACCTGGGAGGAGAGACTGGTGTAATGGTGATGGACCGATACGATGTGGTGGATGTCGAGGGTGGTTCGAGGTCATTGAACTGGTACTCTCCAACGACAAATCCGACAACCCCACCACCGGGGTTGGTGTTGGTGTCGTCGACGTACCCCTCGGACGACAAATACACTGGATAGCTGTGGGTTGTGCCACCCCCAATGTATCCGCCTCCAAATGCCTTACCCCCTCCAGCCCTTTCGGTGGCTCCATCAAACTCCTCGGATCCCTCGGGAACATACTCGCGTACCGAATATCCTTTACCCCCAAAATCAACATCACCAGCCTCTCCAGCCCGATCCCTGCGCCGCCGTGCGGGGGTGCGCCCCACCGGAAAGCGTCGAGGTACTCTTCGAGTCCGCGGGGGCTGATGTCGAGGAGGGACATGGAGTGTAGGAGGTGCGGGTACGAGTGGATCCGCTGTCCACCGGTGGTGATTTCCTGTCCGCGGAGAAATATGTCAAAGGAGTGGGTGAGGGGTCCACATGTGGGGTGGAGGGTGTTTAGGTGGGATTGGGTGGTTGGGTCGGCAGGCATGGTGTAGAACGGACGAGCACTCTGCGGGAAGAGATCAAGGATGTAATAATCGGTGTGGAATTTCGATTTAACGAGTTGTCCGAGTCTGATTTCCGCACGGGTGGTTAAATCCTGGTCTTTGCGTGGTGGACACCCCGTGTCCTCTTCCACGTACCCGTCCTCAATCAACATCTGCACCCCATCCGCAAACGCCATAACCAGTGTCCTATCCAACCACACCAAATCCTCCCCTCCCCCTCCTTGCTCCTTCACCACCTTCACCTCCCTCTTCCTCTCCCCGTACACACTCCCAAAAATCGCCTTCAACACCGCATCCACCACCGCCATAACCTCATGATACTCCCTCCCCACCCTCATCTCCACATCCAGCCCCGTGTACTCCGTCAAATGGCGTTTGGTGTTACTGTTCTCGGCGCGGAAGACAGGCCCGACTTCGAATACCCCGGGAAAGTCGGCGGAGACGGACATTTGTTTGGGGAGCTGCGGGGACTGGGCGAGGAAGGCGAGGCGGGAGAAGTATTTGAGTTTGAAAACGGAGGCGCCGGATTCGGAGGCCCCGCCTTGCAGTTTGGGGGTGTGGATTTCGAGGAAGCCGCCGGGGATGGAGACAGAGGAGGGGGGGAAGAGGTTGTGTAAGGAGAGGACAAAGTCGAGACCGGTGCCGTCGAGGTGCTCTAATTGAGACAAGTGGGAACGAAAGGTCATGGAGACAGTGGATTGGATACGGAAAATAGACTGTGCAGATGCAGAGCGGAGGTGGATGATTCGAGACGCCAGCCGCGATCGGTCAGGGATGAATGGCATTAACCTCTCCTCGTCGTCGTCCTCCTCCTCCTCCTCCTTCCCGGAAGACGCAGCAGCAGCACTCAAATCCGCCTCATACACACTAAACGGCACAGGCTCCGCTACCCCACTCACCACATGCAATTCCACAATCCTCAATTCCAGCGTATGTATCGACGTGGAATGTACTTGCCCGTCTTTGGGACGCTGTACTACCCCTTTCACGTGCACGATACTCTCTTCCTCGAGTCTCGACCCCCACCGCACCATGTGTTCTGTCGGGCCTTCCTCTGAGACGCTTAAAACACCTTGGATGGTGTCTAGTTGCTGACGAAGGAGGATAAACACCAACGACGCGGAGACGGCGCGGATGGTGTGGATTCGCGCGCGGAGATCTACGGTTTTGCCGAGCAGAGAAGGGGAGGCGAGGGAGGGGATGGACGATAGTGGGTTTGTTGGGGATTCGGAGTAGGAGAGGACTCCGTATGCGTTGCGTTGGGTGGGAGATTCGGTTTGGGAGGCGAGGTGCGAGGATTGGGCACGTCGGAGTTGGGTGCGGAGGGTGGTTTCTGGGGATGCGTTGGCGGTGTTCGATGCGTTGGCGGTGTTCGATGTACTTTTTTCGGCGTTCTTTTGTTCGTTCTTCTCGACACTCTTCTCTGCATTCTCCTCGACACTCTCCCTATCTCCCCTCTTCACCTTCTCCCCATCTCCACTCTTCACCTTCATCGAATCCCTCTTCCTCGACGGCAAAAGTCTCCCTAGCGTTGTTCCTAACGACGGCGCCATATAGAGTTATTCCAATAATAGTGTTATTCGGTGAAGTTATCCAATAATGTCTGGTGAACCTTTGTAGTCTGGTAATGTCTTCACTTGTAGAGTCTTCACCTGTTCACCTGTTCACCTGTACAGTGTAAAAATCAAAGTCGCAAGTAACCTCCTCCACCCAGTCCATCGTCATTTTTGTATCCCCACCAACGAATGATGACGTCCGTCCACTAAGCACGACGTCATACCCATACCATACCATAACCCATACCTTCTGTTCGGATGATAACGATTTTGATGGGGGTGATGGGGTGATAGAGAGTACGTGCGGTGGGGTGGGTATTTCTCACGGGTTTCTTAACCACTCACGCAATATCTCCTACAATCAACGTGAATCCACAACGCAGCAACGCATTAACGCCTATTAGCGCATTGACGTATTAACGCAGTAACCCATTAACGCATTAAGTCAGTAACGCAGTAACACAACAACGCATTAATGGGGTAGTGGTAACCTGGGTCGTTGCCATGAGATGAAACCATTGCTGAAAGATGATCTCGACCCGCCGGGGGTTCGATTCCCTCTTAATGCATTTGTCAGCTCTGGAATTTTTTTGTGTGGGTTTTATGTGATACGCAGATGCATATAAATGTATGTAGGTGGGTGGGTAAGTAGATAGGTAGGTGGTTGTAGTACTGTGTACTGTGTACTGCCTGTACATGTATGAACATACAGTGTGTATTTCTGGATTTCTGTGTTTCTAGAGAAAATTGTTTGTTCATGGGTAGTGGGTACATACATATCAGGTGTTTAATCACTACATCCTGGAAATCCTCACTTTTTCCTCACTTTTTCTTTGGGTATTATTGGTATTGGTGTTTTTTATCAAGTACACATATACACACTACATATACATATTCAACCCTGCATCTCATATCTCGCAATCAGTACTACTACTATGGTAATTTAAGATATGCAAAATAAGACGGGATCTCTTGCCCACCTTGAACCACTGCAGTTGTTGTAGAAAAAATTAGATAGATGGATTCCTCATAATTAAACACAACTTTTGTGAATTTCTGGGATTTTCTGTGAATTTCTCGCTGGTGTCGGGCAATGTCTGAGCAAAATTATGGATATGCAACCGGTCGGCCTTGGCCCGGGTATGATTGCACTTTTTTCTTCTTATTTTCCTTGTCGTGCTTCATCCACTAGGTCTATGCCCTTCAAAATTCATATTTAGGGCCTGTCAAGTCCATGCCTCGGGCCTCCATTCCGCCGCTCGGTATTCCGAAGATCCACCTTTTATTGTAATCTCTCCTTATTGTTCTTTCTCGCTACACATACCCTTTCGTTCTAGTTCCTCCTTATTGTCTTTTACTCTACCCTGCAGGTACTACTCGTATAGCTCCTAGTAGTTAGTCTGGTGCTCTGCTCTGATGTGCCAATCCATAGGTAACATGCATTCGCATGTGAGCCTCCTTCGTCCAGCTCGGAGGGGGCCTTCGGCCCCCTCCGTTCCAAGTACGTCTCACATGTGGTGCTTGCTTCAAAATTCTAGTTTCGAGGGGTGTCGGTGCCGGCGCACCTCCGTAAAACAATTATCAAGACACTATAATGATTACACAAGGATGATATACTGAGCAAGTAAGAATGTACAAGGTAATGGACGATAGACAGTCACGACTGAATTCGATGACGAGGGATTTACAGGGGATTACCAAAAACGGCGGTGGCTGTGACCTCATGGGATTTGCGAATATAGAATTGACGAAATTTTTCACCCTATGGCCAGTATTGCTTCGCTTCGCTCGCAATAAATACTTCTGTACGCTACTGTAGTTCCTCAGTTTAATTATCAACTTAGATTCCCTCCTTAACTCTGTGCTCTTCTAAGTCTTCAGGCTCATCGCCTTGAAGTACTCTCTACTACAACCTTAGGACTTAGTTCCTTGGTTCGCTCCTCGTCGTCGGCGATACCGCTGCTCCGACTTGGCTGCTTCTGGCTCTCTCCCTTTCTATTCTCGATCTCCGGGGACTAGCGGCGTAACGGTGGTGTTGTTAATAACTTCACTACTGTCCCATTCGACCTTCCACTCTTAGACACCTTGTGGCCCTGGCACGGTTATATGGTGTACATGATCTTAACAGATGAGTTGTATGGAAGCATATGGAAACAAATGGAACTAATGGGATGATCGTGTGATAAAGTACAATAAACATGTGAAAAGAGATTGATGGGAACACACTGCTGATGGCACATCAAAGGGTGCATCATGAGACTTCATGACAAATATTATATGATTATTTTAAATAAGCTTGGAATATGTTCTGGTAGGTTATGTTACATTAACTCCAAATTTTGAGCAGCCAGAAATATTGATGAATTGTGAGGCACAAAGTCATTATCATATCCTCAATATTATTGGTAGATAATTTGGAATAACTGCATAATATGAACTTCATATACAGATAATGTATGCATTTTGGAGGTGCGAAAACATGTTCTTCCCCACAGTGAGTAGTCAAAGGGTGGTGGAACAGAGCTATGAACTATATATCTTGACATATTCATGAAATCACCTCATCATGCACTTGGGAGTCCACACCTGCTATGTTGCCAGTACTCACAACCCAACCAATTGATTCTCTTGGTTCAAGCACATTCTGTTGATGGATATACTCCATATGTACTATTACATGTAAGCCCAAACAACCCAATAGATGGGGGTATTACATTATACTGTACAGTAGGTAGTGTACACAAGTCCCCCAGTTACTTTACAGGTAACTGAGATATACTTTAACACATTATGCTCAAGCTGGAACTAGTAGGTATGTATACTTTACATAGAGGGTTTGGTACAAAGACACTTTGATATCTGTTTATACTGTATACTCCAAGTTGCTATCTTTCAAAAAATGGACCCCCCATACACCGTACACCCCCATACATAATACACCACATATCTGCTGATGAATTACCCAACACCTTCTCTCTGTGAACCAAGCATTAATGGGGTAGTGGTAACCTGGGTCGTTGCCATAGGAACAATGTCAATTTCAGTGCATCTCGACCCGCCGGGGGTTCGATTCCCTCTTAATGCATGGATCAAAATCATTGAAGTTTTTTCTGTTGTTTTTATCTGATAGCTAGATTGTGTTTGTATTCAAAACTTCGAGTACATAATATGTGTATGTATGTATGTACATATCGTTGTTTGCAAAAATAACAATAAAGCTAGTGATTAAGCATTATCGAGTATACTACCGTTATCTATCCTCTTCCCTCGTATTCATATTCACACTCATCGGCGGCGTTCGGGATCGAGACCGCGACCGCGATTGACGACGTCTTCGTTCTGCGGTGAGATGGGGGCGGCTGCTGGGGGGGTGGCCAGGGGTATGGGATCGACGGGGACTGCGACTGCGACGACGGGGACTAGGAGAACGGGTGCGACTCCGACTGCGACTGCGGCTGGGAGGGGTGCGAGAATGTGAACGTGAACGAGGAGGAAGGTTCCTCAAAGGAGGAGGATATCTCGAACCCGTTTTAGGAGATGTATTCCTAGGAGGTAACCTCGAACTAAATCTAGGAGACGGTGACCGACTACGGCTATCACTGTCTCTTGCTCTTGCTCTATTCCGTTGTATTCTCCTCTTGGTTTCAAGTCGAGTTGGACTTGGACTTGGACGACGGTCTGAGGGTAGGATATGTCGTCGGCGGCTGTATTCGTCGTAGTGCTGGTGGTTGTGGTCCTCGTAACGACGATTTCTGTCACCTCTTTCTCTTCTTTCACCTCTCTCTCCTCTCTCTCCCCTATCACCTCTACCTCCCCTATCCCATCGCCGACCTTCCTCCTTGCTCTCACTCCTACTCTCCTTCCTACTCTCCTTCCGAACCCGCCTCTCCTCCTTCCTAGCGCGTTTTTCTTCCTTTCTTCGTCGTTTTTCTTCTTTTTCTTTCGCTCTTGCTTCTTCTTTTTCGATGACGCGTTGGGGGTCCTTGGGGTCTTCGGGGTGTGGGGTGGGTTTGTCTCCATCTCCTGGGGAAACAGATGGGGGAAGGGAGGAGGGAAGGGAGGACATGGGTCCGGTTCCGGTGTCGGGTTTAGAAGAGGAGCGGGGGTCTGGTGTGAATCCTCTGTGGGGTAGGAGGAGATGAGGGGAAAGAGTTAGTGAGTGTGTAGGGGTGAGAGATGAGAATAGAATAATGATAAGAAGCGAGTCGTGTGATATGTAAATACCAGAAGTATCCAAAAACAAAAACCCAAACTCGACAAAGACAAAAACGAAACAGAAAACCAACATACAAAGCAACAGCCAACGCATCCGCTTCCGCTTCCTTGATTTTGCGGATTTCTTCGAGGCGTTCGGCTTCGGAGTCTTTGAGGTCCCTGGAGTACCAGTGCACGTCTTTGTTCTTCTGCCATCGCCCGGTGGGAGCGTTGATGCTGTGGCCGAGGTAGTTCTGTGGGTGTGTGTTGTGGAGGGGGAGAGAGAGGGAGGTAGAGGGGGAGAGAGAGGGAGGTAGAGGGAAAGAGAGGTCAGAACGAGCACCAGGAAATTTCAAGGAACAAGCAGAGGAGGGAATGGGGTAGAAATAAGGAGAGGGTTGTATATAAGAAAGAATTCGTATCCATTAATCACCTCTCTATCTTTATCCGCAGATACATCTGTCCATTTAAAATCTCCTTGTCCGCCTCTGGTGCCTCCACGGATTGGTTCGAACATCGTCCCGAGCTGTATGTAGGCCGAACTTCAAAGCTTCAAGCTGCAACAGGCTGCAACCTGGGAGGTTTGCTGTAAAGATATGATTTTAGGGTTGGGGTTTACAAAGCTTCGGTGCACGTGCTTATAATTTTTTTCGCTTCTCCTACCTCCCCGTCGACCCGGCGCCAGGTCGCTATCTTTCCGAATCCTATCTAAATCTATTATCCTACGACGACTCAATATCTCGATACCAGTATCACAACGAGGGATCAAAACACACTCCCAAACTCCCATACATACATACATACACCCAGAAGGCAACCCCAAGAACTACTCGAAGAACTAAGCCTCATAAGCCCAGGAGACTAAACAAACACCGTGAACCACAACACAAAAGAAAAAAAAATGAACGTGAACCCGCGTCGTTTAGTCGGTATCGGCGCTGAACGCGTCTCACACGTCTCCAACACCGAGTTCCCTGGACATTATCCCGACGAGGACCATAGTTGGAATTTGGATTCATTCAAAAAGGTGCGTTTTTTCTCCCTTCGAACACAGCCCGGTCCTACTAAATAAATCTCCCTTTGGTGCCAGCTCAGAACCTCACAGTACGCACCCACCGACTCTCCCAACGGTCTATCGAATTCGACATTATCGGCATCGACGCCAGCATCGCGAATGCCTTTCGCCGTATAATGATAGCGGAAGTACCGACGATCGCGATCGACCAGGTGTATATATTCGATAACACATCGGTGATACACGATGAGGTGCTTGCGCATAGAATTGGGCTGGTGCCGTTGAACGTCGATCCGAGGACGATGGATGGGTGGGAAGGCGAGGGGGATACACCAACCGATAGAAATACATTGGAGTTCAGGGTGAACGTGCAATGTTCATTCAACCCCGAATATAACACCACGGACAAAAGGGGGAAGGCGTCTACTGCTGGTTCAGCGAATCAGAATCTGTCGGACGAGAAGTTATACTCCAACTACCTTTTTTCGTCGAAGCATTTCGAATGGAACCCGGCTGGTGAACAGCTTGATAAAATCAAACCCGTGGTGCTTACGCCTCCGGATCCTCTTTATCCTACGTATAATGATCTCAAGCTTCCTCCGCTCGGTGCACTCAACCCCGATATCGTGTTAGCCAAGCTCCGTCCGGGGCAAGCCGTGGAAATGGTGCTGCACGCGCGGAAGGGGGTAGGCAAAGACCACGCTAAATGGAGCCCGGTGGCTACCGCTTCGTATCGTCTCCATCCGAATATCGTGATCACGAAACCGATAAGGATGGAGAGAGCGGAGGATTTCAAAGCGTGTTTCGCGGATGGGGTTGTGGTGGTTAATAAGAAAAAAGGTTCGTTCATTAAATTCATTATCATTATCATCGTTTCTTTGTGGTCGTGTACTGATACTTCCCTCCCCCCCTTTCACCCCTCTAGGCACCGTCTCCATCTCCCCCACCCACATGCGCAACGACACTGTCTCCCGCGAGGTCCTCCGGGATCCTGAATTCCGAGACTCCGTCGAGCTCAGCAGGATCCGGGATCATTTCATCTTCGAGGTCGAGTCGGAGTCGGCGTATAGACCGGAGGAGTTGTTGGTTGAAGCCATCGCGGTGATGAGGGATAAGATCGCTAGAATGAGGGAGGCGGCGGTGGCGTTGCTTGGGAGTGAACAAACCGAGGAAAGGGAAGATGGGGATGTGCTTATGCAGGACGCGGTGTAGAGTTTCGATGTGTGTAGTGGTGTAGAAGATTTAAATTTCAAAGGCTATGGAAATAAGTGCCAGGGCTTGTACCAATACAATGCCTTCTTCATTCATTTATTACGCACAACGTTCACAGCTTGTGCATTGAAAAAAATTGTTGGTGGATATGCATTAAGGGGGAATCGAACCCCCGGCGGGTCGAGATGCAATGTGATATTGAAAGTATGGCAACGACCCAGGTTACCACTACCCCATTAATGCTTATTCTAATCAGCTCAGTTGCGAATTGTTACCCCGTATCATTTCAGAAAAAAAAGTACTCCTCAAAATATCATCTAACGAGGACAAACGGCCTTCGTTCGTCGTTCGTAGTACAGATGTCCACTTAAATTGTTTTACACCGTGACCAACCTCTTTCTATACTTATTTGCAAATGTACATTATGTAAAACCATCACATGGGCAAAGCCAAGTTGTCCCAGTCAATCAAACCTTCCGACCAGGGAACCCTCCGAAATTCGGTGTTTCCCAATCACTCGAATTGAGGTCGGTAATGAATTTTTTGGTATTCCGATTCGGTGTCATTTGGACCTGCGGCTGCGCTCCTTGAACAGTAGGGGTCGGTCGACCTAGTGGTCTAGCTCTCGAAGGTTCAGTACCGTCATTGCTCTGCTCGTTCTCTTCACCCATAGATAAAGATTGCATCGAACGAGACAAGATGCTTATGGGAGTATCAGTAACGATGCACCCAATGCAAAAAGGATCAGTAGCATAGTACTCACTGTATCTCATGTTTCCTCTCATTACACCACTGCTTACAAGCGTCCTTGAATTGTAACAAGATCGCACTGAGGTCGTTGTAGAACTGTAGTATGTGATGTGAAGAGCGGTCAAAAAAAAACATGACAATAAAAGGTCAGTGACCAGGATTCCTTTTCACAAAAACCCAGGCTGAAAAGAAACAGAGCTTGACAAGGCTCATGATAAATGCCGTCGACACTATTCACCAGATGCAGACCCAGCCGTACACACAGATACACACACAAAAGAGAAAAACGAGCACGTAAACGCACATTAACGCCCTCTTCGAGATTCTGCATGATTTCCTTGTATTTATAATACGAAAGATCCAAAGATTGAAGAGCCTGTTCTCGTGCTTTGACGGATTCGGAACTTTTTCGTGATTGGAGAAACAGCTCGTTCTCGGTCTGTGGGGGGGATATATAAGTAAGTGGCCAACGAGTAACTCTGGAAGCCTCGACATTCGACACAAAACTTAACAGCGACGAAAACTTGCCTTGATAGATCCAAGTATCTCCTCCTGCTTCCCCTCCAAATCCCTCATCCACTGCATAAATTTATCGTATTTCGCCAACTCGCTATTAGATATATCTTCGAACATCGCTGGGTGTGTGGTGTGTTTCTGTGCCAGCTCGGAGTAAGGTGTCCCAGTGCTTTCAGCGGTCTCCAGGCCCAAGCGCTCGAACCCCGCTGCGGCTTTAACAATTCGAGGTTGGATATCATCTGCCTCAGCGAGGGCTGAGGCGCGTCTGATAAGATTATCTCGGTCTGTGTAAAGTTCAGAGAGGGACTCCAGGAGGGAACGAAGGGTTCGAGCGTGTTTGTCTGTGGAGAAGGAGGAAGAGGAGGAAGGATACGATGAGGTGGATAATGTCGAAGAGGGAATAGATGCCTCCAAATCAGCCTACGCACATAGTTTTATTTCGTTTTGTTTAGTTTTCACGTACTGTAAGGGACAAAAGAGAACAAACATACCTCATCCCAAGTCAACTCTGTTATATTCCTCTCCCATTGATCCCATTTCGTGCGAATAGTCTCATCACCAGTCGCTGCCTGGTCCAGAATCGTCCTGTACCTTCGTTCCTTGTCAACCAAATGCACGTTAGCTTCGTGCGAAGGGGGTCGGGTTAAAGGTATCGGTAGGTTTTCCCTAGTAGATTCGTCCTCGGAAGCTTCTTGGTCAAGGATATCCATGGCCTGCATTGGGGGTGAAATTGGGAGCGATAATTCATTGAGTGGCCGTTGAATGAGTTTAAATGCGTAAGTAAAGCGACATGCATACCTCATTCAAGAGCTTATAATTCTGTCGAGAAAGCTTGTACAGGTCCTCGATAGCTGCTTCGATCTTGGCTGGACCATTTTCTAAACGCACTTCTTCAGCCTTTTTGAGGAAGCTCGGGGGGAGTCCGACAGGTCGTTCGAGCGCTTCGAGAGATGCGGGTAGGTTGAGGGATTGTAGAAGTCTGCGATAGGTTAAGATGCAACAAGAATGGGATAAAAGGGTCGTTGAGATTTGGATAAAACGTACCGTTCAGCTGCGATCTTCGACTCTTGCGCTGGACCGACGAGTTCTTCTTGGATGAGATTCTTCTTTCGATCGTTGTATATATCTAAAAACCAAATCAGAAAAGAACAAAGAAATTTGTCTAAGAGCGATACTTGAAGAAAATCACTACTTACTGATTGCTTCCCTAGTACCCCATCCCATTAAGCTCGAAAACACCATTTGATTAAGAGGAACGAGGACGGTCGGGTCGCTTAGTTCTTTGGGTGTTACGGCTTGAGCGACAGTCGCTTGTTGGATCGCGGGTAGAGTGGATCCGGTGGGGACATCTTGGTGGTATATGAGGTCGTTGTCACGTTCTGCGCGGAATAACTCTTTTTTGATGATTTCTAGGAAGGACTACGCAATTGAGGAACAAATAATGTGTGAGTACAATTGGAATGGAATGAATGAGAATGCGGGAAAGCATGAAGAGACATGAACAAGGCGAACCTGGATATCATTGAGTATGGCAGGTAAGACTCCTCCTTTTCTGGCAACGTCGTATCCTTTCTTCGCTGCTAATTGGGCTTGAGTCAAATAAGCGATTTCAAAACCGTATCTAGATAGATAAACATGGGAAAGGATATGTGAATGACAAATTTTCGACCGCGAGAAAGACGACATGAAACGAATAATTTGCTCGTTTTTCTTTTCTTACCTGCTTTTTTCCAACTCCTCCCGACTCCTACGAAATTGCGCGACGGCTTCAAAATGGTGTTGCTTCACTTCGATGTGAGATAGCCAATCCTGTTTATAAGGTTTCAAATTCAGCATTCTCGTTCCTTGTTCAACTCGACTAACTGAAGGATATATATGCTTGATAGGCAGTTCAGCTTCAAGGATGATGGTGAGGGATTTTTTGTACAGGTACATAGTCTGTTGGATGAGTAAGAGTCAGGTCATTTTGATCGATATCAAGAAAGATTGGTAGACTCACAGCTCCCGCAAGCTTTGAAACCAATCCGTTTTTAAGATTATCTATACCCTTGGTGGGGACGTTTCAGAAGACACAAATAATTATATTCGGGCGACCAGGGAAGAAAGGGGTCTCTGCTTTCACTGACCAAGTTTAGCTTTTTGCCAGAAACATTCCTGTGCTTGTGCTAGATTGAGGAATTCCAGCGCGTGGACGAATGACTGAGAGAGATCCAGAGGTGGGTGTTCTTGGTCTGGTGGGATTGAGAAGTGGGGAAGAATGGATGTTTGGAGATATGAGAAAACTCCGGAGGCATTCTGTGGTGAGGTATAAAAGACAGAAAGCAGATAAGTTGCGTAGCGATCGTGAGAGTACTAAATACTGACTTGAAAGAAGGCAGCGGCGCGTTTGATTCCGTCTACATTTGACCGGTCCACAGAAGCTGCGAGTTGGGAGTATAAGGAACCTAGGTTGAATACTACTGCTGCTCGCTCGAACATAAGACTCCGCATGGTTACTGGAACCACAGAGGGAGAGAATACGGGTGCATATGATATTTCTAGTTGCATCTAAATCAGATACAGTGTAATTAGCAGCCAACATCCCATTCTTGAGAGCTACAAGAGCCCAAACTTCAAACTCACATCGACAGGAAACTTTGTCAAAATAGAAGTGAGTTGTGCATGATAACTATTCGTGACATTCACAAAAGACGAGGTCAGCGGGATCAGCGGACATTAACAAGCATAAACGCGCCTCATAAGATCCGCAAGTCGATTCGCATGCACTTCCAAGTTCACGATCTTCTGTCTCATTTCCTGCCATTGTTTAATGTCGGCTTTGACAGCATCCGGGTGTGTGTCTCCATTGTCTGAAAGGTATGTACGCGCGGCACCTGCGACGTCGACTTGATAGGTTTTCTTAAATGGGACAGCAAGTAGATTTGACATGCGATAGAGGAGCTTTGAGAAATGAAGGTGGAAGTAACAAAGAAACGGAGGGCCGGAACAACGACGCCATGATGAACTGGTCACGTTTTAGTACTGCGACGCGAGTCAGGGCCGACAGAACGCACGCTTTTCGACCCAGACTGGTCAGCATGGCATATACTTATCACTCCCGTTTCTACAACAGTTCTCAGAGTCGGAAAGCAGACAATACTGGGTAGAAGTCTCGCTGCCATGAGCGCCGCTAATAATTTCACCTCCCCACCTGCGCGTGCCTGTCAGGATTAAGCTCATGGACTTGAACAAGAAGTTGTCCAGCCCAGTGACTCGACAGCAATCCGAATCTTCCAAAGAAAAAAACAAAAACTAAGAATGCCTCTGGATCTACGAAGTCGAAGTCAGCAACTCCAGTACATTTCCTAAGCAAACATCCTTCGTAAGATTTCGACCAATCTACTCATCACGGAAAAGATCCTATGAGAAGAATCACTGCGACTAACTTCTGTATCGTTGGGAATCACTTCCGTGTTCGCTGTGGTCGCGCTCCGATGGAGTTGAATAGGGAGGAACGAGTGCTCAATCCATCTCTTTACCATATAGTTCCCCTAGCATCCTGGCAGACCCTCTAACACAGTTGACGTTGGAGTCATGAATCAGTTCGTATTGATTGCTCTGGTGTAAACACAGAAGGGGATCCAGTCATTTCAACCCATCTCGGATTTGAGACACAAGTAATGTATACTAACTAGTGGCCTCAATCCTATGACTCGATCAAAGGAGGAGGAGGAAGAACCGATTCATCATATGTGGATCATGTTTTGCCTAACAAGCAGGAGATTGATCTGACCTTTCAAATGCAGGCCCACTGCCACTTGTTGAGTTGTAGGTTGAGAAGAACATAGGGATCTTGATATTCGATTTGTTCTAAACCAACGAGAATATTTTTTTGTGTCAATACGTGTTGCTCACACATGTACATTAATATTGTTATTAGACGTTGTCGACCCCGGCCGTTATGAATTTTGTTCTCACAGCGATACCCGTGACATACTAAGGAGATATGATTGTACCACATCGAGGCCATACAGCAGTGTCCTCGATATGATATGCCTATTCTGAGTACTAATGGGAACGATGGCAGTGGCACTGCTAAGCGCTAAGAAGAGCTGTTGAGGGAGACGGTACTAGTGGCTGTGCTGGTCAGATGCCGAGCGGAACAATTTCAATGGTTTTGGTCTCAACTTTCTCACTTGTTCTTTCTATCGACGACGACGACTACTCGCTCTTTATACCCTTTACTCCCAACGTCAACCGTATATCCTCAAAGTTTTATCGCTCCTGCCAGGCTGCAAGCGCGGGAACCCCCTCAGCTCTTGTCCAATCCAACTGTGAATCGCTTAATTGTTGCTACCCTTCACGTCCTTTTCTATCTCGCCATTTTCTATCGTTAAACGACCATTATGTCCTACCCCGACCAACCAAACTCTCCTGGCAGTATGTCGGGACGCCGTCTCACCAATAGAAATACCAATCGCTATAGTGTGACGGCATTGTTTAGTATGGCAGCGGAGAACGATGTGGAAGTTGAAGATGACCTTGCAAGAGGCACGTCTTTTACTCGAATTCTCTAGCAAACTTCTATCATAACCCTGTCTTCTTAGCTCAAAAGCGTCTTCGTGATTTAAAGGGAAAGATTTCCGCCCAATCTAAAAAGAATTTCGTTTTAGAGCGAGACGTCCGTTATCTAGACTCCCGTATTGCGCTGCTCATTCAGAACCGGATGGCGTTGGATGAGGTGAATATCTGTCTTCCGTCGTATCTCTTATCTCATTTCTTGGTATAAATTTAGCAACGTGAAGTCGAACGAACATTGGAAGAAGTCGATCCAACCGAAGGTCACTATCCTGACGACCGCAAAATACAACAGTACTCCAATCTCTTCTTCCTGCTCCAATCCGAACCTCGCCATATTGCCGCCCTTTGTCGACTGGTCAGTCTATCTGAAATAGACACACTTTTACAAACAGTCATGTTCACGCTCTATGGGAACCAATACGAGAGTCGGGAGGAACATCTCCTTCTCACTATGTTCCAATCCGTACTTTCGGCCCAATTCGAGACTGCCACTGAATTTGGTTCTCTACTTCGTGCCAACACCCCCGTTTCCCGAATGATGACCACTTATACTCGTCGCGGTCCAGGTCAAAGCTATTTGAAAAGCGTTCTTGCTGAGCGTATAAATAGCTTGATCGAACATAAAGATCTTAATTTGGAAATCAATCCAGTTAAGGTGAGTCATAGGCAAAAGTTTCATATCGGTGTTGTTACCCAGTCGTCTTCCTATCCTAGGTGTATGAACAAATGATCAATCAAATTGAAGAGGAAACCGGCTCACTTCCTCCGAACCTTCCCCGAGGTGTCGCACCAGAAGTTGCTGCTGAGAATCTTGACGTCCAGGCCATTATTGCTCCACGACTCACAATGTTGATGGAGATTGCCAACAGCTTTTTGGTGACCATTATCGAGAGTATGGAGAGCGTTCCCTATGGTATTCGATGGATCTGCAAGCAAATCCGAAGTCTGACACGAGTGCGTTGCCCGCTCTTTTCAACGTCTTGTGTTGTCTTACGTCTTCGATAGCGTAAATACCCCGAAGCGAGTGATTATGCCATTTGCTCCCTCATCGGCGGGTTCTTCTTCCTTCGATTCATCAATCCAGCTATCGTCACACCTCAAGCCTACATGCTGGTGGAAGGTGTTCCTGCGAAACATCCTCGCAGAACGCTAACTCTCGTAAGTTTGTTGATAAAATTCCGTCCATGCTCTTGCGTGACGCCCAACTAGATCGCCAAAATGTTGCAGAACTTAGCCAACAAACCATTATACGCGAAGGAAGCTTATATGATGACACTGAATCCCTTCGTGGAGAACAACAAGGCTCGTATCAACCAATTCCTCAATAATTTATGTGAAGTCGGCGACTTTTACGACACTCTTGAGGTATGACGGGCTTTATAATAATTCTTTTGCTAAATGCTCATCTTGCCACAGATGGATCAATATATGGCTCTTTCGAAAAAGGACTTGATGATACATATTACCATGAATGAGTTGTATAACACGCACTCGCTGATTCTACAACATATAGAAACGCTGGTAGGTTACACTGGAATGCCTTTATACGACAGAATCTCTCATCCTTTTCTTATCTTATACAGTCGCCGAACGATAAACAACATTTGCGTATCTTAACAGACGAACTCGGCCCTGCTCCCGCTCAAGTTCCGCGCAAGGAAAACCGGACAATTGAACTGTCTATCTATAGCCGTTGGGAGACTCCTGTGCATGATCTTCAGAGCGCTCTCATGGACTCTGTGTCCTCCAGCGACATGTTGTACATGGAGACTAAATCGATATTCGTGCAGTTGATCCGTTCTATACCTAACGCACCCGAGAAACGACCGTATAATCTAGCCGCTATCGCTGAGCGAGCGGCCACGACCAAGGACGCCACTCTCGTTCGGAAGGGTATCAAGGTCAAGGAAATGCTTCGAGAACTGGAAGAACAGAAAATCATCGATCAGGGTGATGGGTACAAACTCATGCAGGAGGAAGTCGCTGCTGAGCTCGTTCACCTCGGTAATCTCCGGGAAAAGGTTCTTCTAGAGACAAAATCTCTCGAAGCAGTGTACAAGACCATTGGCGACCACAACAATTATCTCAGGTCTCAGTTGGAACAATACAAGGCCTATCTTCAGAATGTGCGGTTGACTGCGACTAAGGACAAGGGAAGCACTACTGGTGTGGGTGTCGTGACGGTTGGCGGCAAAGAGAAGAAGCCTGCCAAATCTGTGGTACTAGGCCCATATAGATTTACCCATGCGCAATTAGAGAAGGAGGGAATTATTGTCGAGAGCAATGTTCCCGATAACCGGTATGTCGTGACCATGAGTTGGTTGGTCCAGAAGAAGTGGACTGATAATTTGCTGCAGTCGTCCAAACATCTACTTCAATATCACATCGCCTACGCCTGGTACTTTCATCATCGCATTGCATTACAAAGGCCGAGAAAGGGCAATTCTTGAGATGGACCTTAAGATAGACGATTTATTGGAAAAGGTTTGTTGGATTCGCAATGTCGCAAGTATCTTCGCGCTGACATCATTCTTACAGCAAAAAGACAACAAACATCTCTTGGATTTGGAATACGTTCAGCTAAATGTTCCGAAAGTGCTGGGTCTACTGAAGAAGGTTTTTGCCAAACGATAAACAGAGCATGAATGGTTGGTTTATATTCTGCGTCGCCCCCTTTTTCTCTGCTCTTATTTCGTATTTCCCTATCATCTTTTATATGATATGTATTATCTTGAACTATCCTTAACTTTGTCTTCTTGTCTTCTTTCATCTTTCTTTATCTGTCTCTGCTATCCTCTCTACCTCTCTTCGATTCGGTCTTTACCCATTTCTCGGATGTATTATTCACTCTTGTAGTAGTACACTTACTAAGGCATGTTGTTTCCCTATACCAATTGTCAGTGTTTATCGATATCCCAATTTCTGTCATTGATACGCACTTTGTCAATACCCAAAATCAGCTGTTCGGTGAATTGTGTCCCTTCTCAGTCCCGCATGCCGCGCACGCCAGATGTAGAGGTTGATTTTCACTGGAAATAGCTGTAAGAACTGACATGGTTTCATGTGATACGTTGTGAAAGACTCGCAGAGTACAGACAAGGCAAGGCCAAGAGGAGTTTGCGCTGTTTTGTTTCTGATTCCCGGACTCACTACCACCTATAGTACGTCCCTCTCCCTGTACTGGAGTCATTCCTAATGCTTCTTTCTTTCGGAAAGCAACCTCTGTTTTTACTAAATTGCCCAGACGTAAACCCGATTTTGAATTGTTATTTTTGGGAATCTTGGAAGATGGTTCTGAAATAGTTCAACTTGAGAAATCGAATCGGTTCAGATAAATAAGGATTCACCCAGGATTCACCTTTGAGTGGTTCAAATGCATCGGCTTTCCGTTTCCCTTTCATTGTGGCATTGAAGGGATCACTTTCCTCGTCTGATGAGATAACCACCGCGTTCGTTTGACCTCGCCCAGTAAATATAAAATCGTTCTCGAAATCTTTCCACGACGTTCCGCTCTGAAGATTTTTGAGATCTTCGTCCTTTTCAGTGGCGAGTAGAGTTTGCTTTCTGTCGGCATCTGTTTCAGTAATTATTTCGACATCTTCAAAGAATTCTTCATCGCTAGCATAAGGTGTAGATGCGGTTGGGGATGTGAGATGTGTGGCAGCTAGAACCGATGTGTTTGAGGCAAGGCAACTGTCATAGATTTGAAAGGCGTACAAGAGCTTAAAGCTGACGCCGACTGCAACCTTTTTTGAGCAGCAAAAGCTCGTTCCTCCCGTGCTCGTTTACTAAACTAAAATTAGCATGAGTTTCAAGTCGAAAGATCAGACGGACCTGCTAGCTTGTTTGCCGAATCCCTTGCCTGCTTCGCCGGCGCTTAGAGAGGTACCTTCACCTTGAAAGGCATATTTTGACGTCACTCGGGATCCGGCTTTACGTTTTTTAGCTGTTCGTCTACCGGTCTTGCTCGATGCCATTATTTCTCGGGGACGAGATCCTCTTCGTTGACGCAGATTAGATGGCCGACTCCTGCTTTGTGCTCCGCCGCACTGTATTCTCAGCCTTAAGATGAAGTCAATAGAAAGAAGTGTGAAAAGCATACAATGTACTGCGGAAGATCACCGACATCCAATCCTTGTCCGGACACAACAGCAGAGTCTGCTAGTCGCGTTCCGGCTGACCAGTAGCCTAAAGCGTAGTTGAGTACAAGTTTAGTAATCATGATTCGCAAGCTGCACTACACGGACCATCGCCATAGTAACCTTTATTCTGCAGCTGTCGGACTTCATTCCTCAGTTCTTGCCATAATGCCTGAAATGCAGGCCCGTGATTCATGTGCTTTTAGAGATGAGCTTTACGCGAAGGATTTCAAACATGTTGAATCAAGGGTACCTTATTATGTGCCAGCTGACGAGTAGTTGTTGTTAGGCATGATCAAATATCCATGCAGTAGAATTGTACTTCATGACAGAGAGTGCTCATAAGCCAAGAAGATGGAAGAAATGAGCCTCCAGGTCTTCTTAATACTAACTCTAAGACAGGTTGTGAGCATCAATGAAGCTTGAGAGTTCCAGTAGATAGGCACCAATAGTCTCCCCGCTTTCCCAATTCCTCCCAGCAAATACCGCGTTATACTCGTATTCCTCCAAGCTATTGACAGTCAATCCATGTGCTTTCATAATGGGGCGAACCTGAGCCGCGAGAGCGCGTAGAAATTGTCTTGCATCTTCGTTATCTTCAGCAGGAAGAGAAGTGATGAAGTTGATGTAAGGGTTGGGACTCGTTTCCTTTTCGTTGAAGCGTGAATAGACCATGATGGAGTTCGACAAAAAAGGCCAGGCGTGAACGTGATGACCCCTATCTACTCTATCCCACGTGTTTCGCCTAGATTTCATCCAGTGTTGTCCCGACCTCCGTAATTCCCGATTGCCCCGCCGCTCCCATCATCATAAATACGAGTTACAAGTTTCGCTGGTTCAACTCCCACTCTTTTTTATCGAGGCTGTGTCAAGCTATGAAAATTGCCATACTAACCTCGGGTGGCGATAGCGCTGGAATGAACGCTGTCGTTCGAGCCGTCGTCAAAGTTGGTATCTTAAAGCAAGTCTACAACTTGACCTCATATTTATTATCTCTGACTAATTTTACTAGAGGTTGTGAAACCTGGGTCGTTCGTGAAGGATATGAAGGCCTCGTTCGAGGCAACACTGAGGCCTTATCTGAGCAATCCCTGGACGAGGAACCTGTCGATCTACCAGATAATACTTCTCCAGATGGCACCAGCTTTAATCTCATACATAATTTACGATTCGGAGATGGAGATCTATTGAAGGACGGTACCGGCGATCATCCTGGAACCAGATCATTGAAGGGCAGATATATCGTTCGTGTAGGATTTGACGATGTCAGAGCATGGTTCGCAGAGGTACGTCGATTTCCAGGAATATTGGAACATTGTGCTGTAATGGTCAAGGATAGGGAGGAACATTAATTGGTACTGCCCGGTCTAAAACCTTCCGTACGCCTGAAGGACGCCTTCAGGCGGCTTATAACATGATTAAGGAAGGTCTCGACGCTCTGGTCGTTTGTGGAGGTGACGGCTCTCTCACTGGTGCTGATGTCTTCCGCGCTGAGTGGCCGAAACTGGTCGAAGCTCTACAATCGGAAGGTACATTCTACACGATCATGCATATCAATCTGACTCATGATCATTATCCTTAGGCCGTATAACAGCAGAAAAAGCAAAGCTTCACGCCCACCTCAGAATCGTAGGGCTTGTTGGCTCTATTGACAACGATATGTCGATGACCGACCTTACTATTGGGGCACCTACAGCTCTTCATCGTATCTGTGAAGCTATTGATAATATCAACTCCACTGCCACTAGTCACTCGCGGGCGTTTGTTCTGGAAGTGATGGGCAGGCATTGCGGTTGGTTGGCTCTACTTGCTGGCGTCAGGTCGGTGGCTTTTCTGTTCAACGCCAATCGACATACTTACAGTATTATGTCCTAGTGGCGGGGCTGATTTCATTTTCATTCCTGAGCGTCCACCCACCTCCGAGTCATGGGAAGACGAAATGTGTGAATGCATTCATCGCGTATGTCGTAAAGCTCGACTTGTAGATGCATTCCCGCTAACTGTTACACAGCATCGTGAGGTTGGTAAACGGAAAACCATTGTCATCGTAGCGGAAGGAGCTACCGATCGCGATTTGAACCCCATCAAAGCGGACCACGTCAAGGATGTGCTTACTGAACGTCTTGGTTTGGATACCCGTGTTACTACACTGGGACACACTCAACGAGGAGGAAGACCTTGCGCTTATGATCGGGTTCTGGTCAGTCGCCGTTACAGAAAGCAGTGTGGTATGGTGTAGTGACTTCTCACTTTCAGCCTACGCTTCAAGGTATGGAGGCTGTTGAGACACTACTCGAAGCCACTCCCACCTCGCCATCGTATATGATTGGCATTCAGGAGAATAAGATCACAAGAGTGCCTCTCATGGAAGCTGTCGCGATGGTTCGTAGTATTATACAGAGTTTCTAGATTTGTTGTTTCATGATTTCACGCAACAGACTAGAGCGGTCAGTGCAGCAATCGAGGCAAAGGACTTTGAAAAAGCCATGTCATACAGAGACCCGGAATTCAAAGAGAGTTTTGAAGGGTTCCTCAAAATATCCACATTGGATCAAGAAAAAGTGCCTGAGGAACAAGTACGTTTTTTTGAAGGCTGGTATATGCAAAATCAGTAACTGATCAAGATCAATTTTTAAGAGGATGCGAGTTGCCCTTATGCAGTAAGTGTTCTACCGAATTACAAGTTGTCCAAATTTTATGGTTGGATAGTATGGGTGCTCCTGCAGGTGGTATGAACGCAGCGACTCGTGCAGCTGTTAGGTACTGTATACGACACGGACACACGCCTATCGCAGTGCACAACGGTTTCCGTGGCCTACTTGACGACGAGGTGCACGAACTATCATGGCTTGGCGTTGATTCCTGGACCGCTCGTGGTGGCTCAGAACTTGGAACAAATCGTACCCTGCCTTCCGTTGACCTAGGTGCGGTCGCGGCAAAATTCCAAGAGCATCAGTTCCATGCGCTCCTGATGATTGGGGGATTCGAGACATTCAATTCGTTGCTCATCATGGAGGAGGGCAGGAGACATTATCCTGCTTTCCACATTCCAATGGTACACCTCCCAGCGACGATCAGTAACAATGTACCAATGACGGAATGGAGTTTAGGCAGTGATACTAGCTTGAATGCATTGGTTGATGCTTGCGATGCGATCAAGCAGAGTGCCAGTGCCAGTCGTAATAGGGTATTTGTTGTCGAGACACAAGGTGGAAAGTGTGGATATCTCGCGACAGTGGGAGCATTAGCGGTTGGCCAAAGGTTCATATATGAAGTAATCTGCAGATACTGATTTCCTTTAGACTGGTGCCAGCTTAGTGTACACCCCGGAGCAGGGTATGGACCTCGATACGCTTCGGAGAGACGTGCGTTTCCTTAAGACAAGATATAAGTTAGACGCAAAGGGCCGAAGTGAAGGGCGGCTGGTGATCAAGTGCGTATAATTTGATATCAGAGATTCTCTCTAACCGGACCTATCGTAGAAACGAAGTTGCATCCCAAGTTTACACAACTGATGTGATGCAAAAAATGTTAAAGGAAGAAGGTGGAACGTTATTCGATGCCCGCTCTGCCTCTCTCGGCCACACTCTTCAGGGCGGAGTACCATCGCCAATGGATCGAGCTCGTGCAGTGCGACTCTCGCTCAAATGCATGGCCTTCCTTGAGCGAGAGCATGTCAAACTTTTACAGCAACCCGTGAAAGCAAGACATGCAACCCCAGATTCCGCGGCTATCATCACCATCCAATCTAGCTCGCTGAAGTGGGTTCCCGTTCAGGAAATGGTTGCGCATGCAGACATGCAAAATCGAAGAGGCAAGAATCCGTGGTGGGCTAATATCAAAGAGTTGGCGGAACTGTTAGCTGGCAGACCGCAGTTAATTGGGATACATTCAAAGGATCTGGCTCAATATGAATAATTGAAGTAGCTGAAGTGACCTAGTTAATCATGCTCATACATAGTACATGGAGATGCCTGCACATTTAGATCGAAATAATACTACTTATGTTGGTGTAATTATTGGACGTAGAAAATTTTCCCAAGTCTCTGGTTGACCCCACTCAAAGTGACCACTGAGTTTGCAGCTCTTCATCTAGACTCGAACCACTCCGGCTGCTGAGAAGTGAGATGCGGAACCACTTTCTCGGCTTCGCTGACACCCTCCCATTAGCGCAGGAGTAACCGTCCCTCTGTACTGCTCCTGCTACTGCTATGCAGCCTAAGTATGGGAGGAAAGGGGAGGAATAGGAAGGGTTATTTCATTCAATATATAATGAAGAAGATTTTGATTTATACTGTAAAATCTTTTGGACCTTTGAGCGCCAGTTTCCAAAGTGTCAACATCCGAAGCTACTGGCTCAAGTCTACTTTCCATCGAGGCAGATTGCGACTTGCCATAAAAACCGTTTCTCATAAGTCATCAATATCAGCGACCTGAGCACTTTACATAGCGGCTCATAGCGGCTTCTACATGGGTAAGAATATAGGACTTGAAGATAGGACATGAAATCCCAAATGCAGAGTGAAAGATCGGCCTATTATCCATGGCACTCCTCTGTGGCGACCTCACCCCCCAAATATTCCGAGCCTCTGCCTCACCCCTTCGTCTGCTCACCCCAACTGAGGTTCTTAACCGAACCTGTCGTGCATGTAATCTACAGGGAGAGACTCCACAACACCTTTTGTTTCAATGCCCGTCTCTTACCTCTATCACTTCTCTCCGATCTGAGTTCTTCCTGTCCATTCGACAGTCTCGGCCGCTACTACGCAGCCCAAATCTTTCGGATTCCACTGCGCTACACTATCTCAGGTTATTAATTTTCGACTGGAACCTAATCATCCCCACTGCTAAGTTCATCCACGAGGTCGTGACTCTCTGGCAACTCTTTTTAGATACTGGTTTAGATGGCTCCTTGGAACATGTTGAAAGCGATTATGAGTCAGAAGAGGAGTGATTTGCGTCTGTTCTGTTCTATTCTTTATGTATACAACAACTACCCTGTACTATATCCCCTTCACTCTAGCTGCAGTCTACCATCCCAGGTTGGATGAGCATTCGCTGCAGCGAAGATTGCTGGGCCCGGCTGTTCCCTTGTGGGACCCCGTCGACTCGACGGAGCCGCATATATATCTATCTATCTATCAGTCGATCAAACAACATCTTTGTATAAGGCAAAGTGATCGAGCTCCGAGACCAAGTTATTCTTCAGCTAGAGCACTTGGATCGAATGACTCAGCGGAAATACTACATCGAATGATATCTATGTAGATAAATATCCACGTTAGTAATGCAACTAACGAGACGATTAAGCCTCATGTCCCAGTGAAGACCCCAGTATCCCAGCAAATCAGAGTATAGCCTGATCGTACTTTGAAGGTAGATTGTCCAAGATCTGAGCAGCTTGAGCCAGTCTTTGTATAGCTTTGTATGCAATCTTGGATAATAATACCATCATAGAAAAGAACCCGAACTGACTGAAGACCGTTTGCGGAATTGCATGACCAGAAGTTAGCGGATGACGAGGGAAAATGCCAGATTCAATGAACCGGAATCTTGGCAATGACAGCGAGATAGATTCTTTCAGGTTCTACGGGATCCCTATTTGGCTCGGTTGGACGCACTTTATCCAATGTAGCAGATCTATCTCTCTCTCTCTCACAGACAGTGGAATCTACGGCATACTCTGATTCGCTGGCGCTCAGAACTTTTTCAAAACCACTTGGGATACAAGCTATGATGATGTGAGTCCGAGGTAGCTTAAGGTTCGTCTTCCCGTATGCCCTGTCGATACCCTGAGCCAAAAGTGGGTACCAGAACGTTGTGTTAAATGCCTAGGACTCAGGGGAAATCCAATGGCAGTCGAATGACCGACCTTCACCTGACTAATGAATAATGCAGAAACAAAAACTGTAGAGAACGTCAGCATAACGCAGGCATAACGTTAACAGCTTGCCAACCCTAAGCGCCGGGAGCTAGCGCCGAACCCGAAAACGCGATCAGATGCTCGTGATTAAATCGTGATTATCAATCTCACGCCATCTCATTTCCCGTGGGGCCGGGGCTCCCCGGTGGTGGTTCTTTTCGCCGTTACCTGTCACTGCTCTTCGCTTTACGTTTTAGGAGCCACACAAACTCTCAAATTCTTGGACCTGTTTTGATTTAAAATAAGTGTATCATCTCTGTGTATCAATATTATTGGCCTCTTACTATCCCTTGAGGACCACGAAATTACTACAACTTTACAGCAGATTTTGCATCTGGCTGTCAGAGCTCCTGCTTGCTTTAAAAATAAGGAAAGCATGTTACATGGTGACTAGAATTCTGAGGCGTGTTCCTAGCTTCGATTCTACTTCAAAGCGGATCCAGTAATCTGACGGCCAAAGGTAGTAAGTTTGCAGCCTCTTAACGTCTTATTTCCGTCCTAGACTCTGTGAGTGGGTCCATGCGAGCTGCTTCTTTTTTAATTTCTTACTTGTACTCCCAGCTGATACACCGTCGTTTCTTGCCCGCAAAGATTATCGTGAAAGGGTGAATCGTTTCCTCCATCGCCCTCTTTTTTTCGCCATGTCAAGCCCCATAGACGAGACGTAGGTCTGCTCTCCACCACTCACTATTGCGATCTCAAATTTTCTGCTTTTCACGCAGCTTCGGTGCTGCATACATTGGAATAGTAGTTGCAGCTCTGCTGCTGGGAAGTAAGTCTTTGTGAATCATTTTCGACCTTTCCTTACTGTCTTCCATAGTATCAGTCATTCAAGGCTTTTACTACTTCACTCACCAAAAGGATGGCTGGATCCTGCGAGGTCTAGTGAGTCCAATATCTTTCCCATAATTCCTGGCTGAGATATATTTTAGGTAGCAGGGGTTCTCGTTTTTGACTTCGTGCATCAAGTGCTTATCACTCATACTGGTATCATCCTCAACATTTAGCGATGCATATGTATCTGATATCTTTTGCGTAGGCTACACATATCTAATTACATTTTGGCAACAACCAGCAAAACTCAGAATCGTGATCTGGAGTCTCCTGGTACTCGCATATTTTCTTCTTCGGTACCTCACTAACATTACTTACTTTCATAGGCCGAAGTGCTCTTCAACGTGTGTATTTCTGTGTCAGTTTTCACCTCGATATTGGCCAACGACGAATTGTGTCTCTAGGGTTTAACCGGATTTTGTGTTCAGTGGTACGTGATTATCTTCTGGCCCATAACCTACATCACCCATCGTAAATTCAGTTTCTTGACGTACAGGATCTGGAAGTGTAAGGACCCTGCCTTTATCGATGCGTTCGATGATCTCATGGTAAATTACTTGTAGTGAGTGGCACCAAGGTGTGGCTCACAGTCGTTGTTGTACGTTTTTGATGTTGTTCAATCTCTTCTTTGACATTCTGATTTACAATTTTAGATTTCGCTTGTGTTCGCAGAATTCGGTGAGAAACTAATTGCTGGTCTCTCCCGCATATCTTATTTACTCTCTCTAGCTTGTGTCATCGGTACGGCAATCATTTAGGACACATTACCTTCATTATTGCGAGCTAATAAACATATTCCCGTTAAAGCCTTTGCCGTTATTGCGTACGTGTCACTCCCCCGACATCCCTCCTATACTGATTCCATATCCTTACAGTTTCCTCCGCGTGAAAACATTCGAACAGCTTTCTGCTGAGCTCAAGGCAAGACTAAGTTGCCTATCCTATCTTCGTCCAAATCGCTCATTTGGTCCCATGATCCGCTGCTTTCGATAGGGACTTTCTGTTACTGTCAATGCTCTCGCTGTTGTCGGCGACCTTTTCATTGCCGGCATATTGACACTACTTCTACAACGATCTAAAACTGGGTTCCGAAAGTATAGACTGCTCCCCTTTGCATCGTATGCCGTACCGTGTTAACCCCCCACCACAGATCCGATACGATGATCAACAAGTTGGTAAGTATAAGTTTTCGATCGTCCCGAATGTGTGTTGATAATCTTCGGCGTGTAGACTATCTTCGCTGTCAATACCGGTGCTTTGACAAGGTGGGGTCATAACTTAATCAGATGAAGTATGAAAGCTTATGTTTCCATCCGGGACCATGCAGTCTTTGCGCCGTCGCATCGCTCATCTCAGTACGTTGTGCAAAGTGTCGAATTATTATGACTGAACCAGCCCACATACGATCAAAGATTATCGCCGCCCCTAATACGTTCATCTACATTTCTTTTTTCTTTTCCATGGGACGACGTAAGTTATAGCCCCTCCTTCTCTTTCTACTTCCCATATTGCTCACAAAGAAGTCGTATCGCAGTCTACACCAACTCTCTTCTCGCGACTCTGAATGCCCGCAAAATGATCAGGGATGCTGCAGAGGGTATCAATACCACTACTGGTGACAACATATCTCTTCCATGCAAAGGACGTGCTTCCTCCTCCAAGGTATGCTTCAAACTCTCATCGGCTGTATCATCCCTCATGTTATCATTAGTTAGTATTCCAACGATCGAGGAACCTCAACACCAATATTTCCATTCAAGTAGACACCACGCGGGAGTTCCTCTCTGACCTCGAGCACGGTGTCGTCCGAGATAGACACCTGTCCGACTTCAAACATGATGAGGTGGAGATCGAGGAAGATCTGTCGGAAGTCAATTTGTCGAATGGAGTATGTCTGTGTTGACCCATCCTCGAATGCTCAAAATATAGCTGTTGTATAGGACATCGAGTCGAATATTTCCAGCGGGATCGAATGCACTGCTGTCTAAATTCAAAGTCCTATGCCATTACAAAAATTCACACAGAAATTTAGTAGCTTCCAGCATTCACTCCCTTTCTTTTTTCCGATATATGCTTGCCTGATCTACTATTGTATCGTTTTCTCTCCCGGTTGCTGAAGTACAACTTCAAACTTTCACTTTTTTTTGCTGTACTTCTTATTTCTCCTCAGTTGATGGCACTATTGGCTATCTTGGTGTAATTTCCAACATTGATTGAACGTTTCCCTGTTGTACCAGGTAGAACATAGAGACATAAAAGAATTCTACCTCCATGCATTCGAGAATCAATTGAACGTTGAACAATGAAGTCGGTCCCGGATCCGGAGTAGACTCTAAATTTGGAAATCTCTTCACGTGATAAGGTTGACTGCCGCTGTTCACCGACACAACGTGGATCAATCCTTCTCAATTTACTTTCAACCATCATGTCCCGTCCTCCGCTTCCTCTCCATTGTACAAACGCTAACATCCAGAGCATCCGTACGCTTCTCGACTTAATGTATCGATGGAATCGCTGATATGATATGGGTAAATGCAGTCTCTTCTGGAAATTTACCGCCGGTCAAATATCAGATTCTCAACTGCCAAGGACAAGATATCCTTGTAAGCCCTTTTTGTCTACACATATTCTTTGAGTCAGTTTTTCTCCAAACCAGGTCGGAAGACTGAAGATCGAAACATCTACGGTACGCGTCTTTTACCGAGATCATTACATCTTTTTGCTGACGCCTAGCGCAGGGTTCTGGTCACGCCTTTATTCTCAGAAGATATGACACTGGAGCAGTCAGTCTCACGACTATGTTTCGTGCTGCCTTTCCCAAAGCAGATGAGCAGAGCGAGAAAGACGAGGTCCAATGGGTTAAGGACAACTACGACCTTTCCGGCAACAACGGCTCATCCAAGGATACCAGTATCACTCGATTAGCAGGAACTTGGGTCGGTCCCGAACTCGCCCGGGAACTTGGAAAATCCTACCTTCTGGACGACCTCATTTCTCTCGTCGTCGATGCTCGTCCAGATCCTAATGGCAATTATCGTCGGTCGGGCAAAGGAGCAGCTGCTACACCCAGGCCTCCTTCATCCACCGACAGTGCAGTAAATAATCAAGCGAGTGCGACTTCGCCAAGCATAGCTCCGAATCCCTCGAAACGCAGGAAGGAGTCGTCTCCTGTCCCTGCTCCTCCTCCCTCACCGCCTCCAGAAAGGCGAAACCCACTCAGACGAAGCAACCGCACGAAGAGTCCAGCTCCCAAGGTATCAGTATTACCTTTGGTCAAAACGCCTTCCCGGAAAGCAGTGAGACGTGAGGTAAAGGAGGAAGAGGTTGTGACCCCGGGTGGATCGGATGAAACGGCAGTAGACGAGGACGCACAAGCTGTTGAGGACGTTGCAGGGGAGCAATTGCATCAGCAAGATATAGAGGAACAAAAAGTGTTGATTGAGGGTTTGAAGGCAAAAAGAAACGCTGCGATGAAGGCATCTGATGGGGACATTAACGGATCTGAAAAATCCGTCGTGAAGAGGGTCCGGGAAGAGGAGGAAGAGGCCTTACGGTTTAACTTCAAGGAACCTGAGGTCGGGGAGCGAGCCATTTCTACGAATCGCAGGGTTGATGGCTACTTTGAAGAACCGAGACACAAGTCATTGGCTTGGGGCGTCGTCGCCTTTGCCTTCGGTATGGGTGCTGTGTGAGTCTTGAATTCAATGAAATGCTATCTCTTATTGACTCTTGTGCCATACAGGACTTTCTTGCCAAATTTCCTATAGTCATTGTATCTCTCCGATTCATTTTTATCTTATTCTGTGCTATCGCCATGTCTCCGTAGCCTGTTCTACTTATCCTTATGTTGATTTTCCTTTAGTTCAAGTTGTACAATTACCCTTGCTATGTTTAGGCGATATACCGCGTTCCCTTCCTCTATATCCTTCTTCTTCGGTGTGCAATAATATTGGATATACGTTTATCTTTCAATATATATATCCTTCATTCCCCCCAGGTTGTTTTAGAGGTGTTGAATTTTTGAAATTCTTATAGTCACATTACGATGTTTATGAACGGTACTGTACAACGACCCATTCTCTATGGATGACAGATAATTGCTCCATCCTCCGCGTACAGACCGGTGACATACAAGTTTCCCGAAAGGGTGTCTATCAAGCCAGAGGTACTGCTAGTAAAAATTTTTCCATTACTCTGGAAGAGCGTCTGCACTGTATGGTTTGCGGGTGAAGGTACGATTGTGCTCGTGGATAACGGTGCATTGAGGTCGTATTCAGCAGTTACGGCTCCTTCAATTCTAGAAATGGAGACCACCCAGCTTGGAGCTATGTCAACCTTCCCTGCCACTAGCTGGAGTAGAGTCGGGAAATGTGGATGCCCACTGACAACAAGGTTACCATCGTGGTCGTATTTGACATTGTCTGGTGGAAATGGAAGCTGCACTGAGGTGGAAAAGGTCAAGGCATTGGTGGAGGTATTACGGGAGTAAAAATAGACTGTCCCAATCGAAGTCGAAGCAATGGCTAGTTCAAGACCAGACGGAGAGATCGAAAGGCCATTGCTGAATGCCACAAAGGGTGCAACAACGTTGTGTGAGAGCACAGCAGTTTCATCCGTCTCATCGGGATTGATGATAACGTGTCCGGCAAAGCTGAGAGGAATACCAAGAACTGTCTCGACCATCGGAAGAACTGCACCGACATAGGGAAGACGCTTGGTGAACACATGGTCGTTGGTCACGTAGAATGAAGTGGGAGATGTCAATGCGAGAGCATTGGAAGCAATAAAGAACGGATGCGAGAGGGTGCGAATGTGTTTGGCGACGGATGAAGATGGCGAAACCTGGAATTGTTCAATGACAGTCTTGTTTGCTGCGTGGTTGACTACATACATATAGGAGGCGTTTCCGGAATATGAGGGGTAAATTTCGACGCCAAGCGGGTGGAAGGTGTGTTCAGCGGGAAAGTTTTCCAGAGTTAGATGTGTCGTTTCGCCTGAAATTGGAGAATAAATCCACAAGCTTCCTCGCGGAATCGGGTCCAGCAAAGGACCCATTACAGTATTCCATTTCCTGCGTCCAGAGTCGCAAGACACAACTACGCGGCGTTCTTCCAGTTTTCCGTCCGCATCATCTAGTAAGGGCTTTAGCTTACGACATTACTCCATGGGTCCGAGTGAAAATTCGTGGACACGACGACAGGATTCACGGGCAAGAACTACCAACTGCAATGATTACTGCAATGGATGCGGTACGTTGCGAACTACGCTGGCGAACCCAAGCAAACCCCCAAGCACTGTACAGGTTATTACTCACAATGGTCCCAAAACGACGCATCCTCACAGTATTTGAATGACAAATTCGGTGCAGAGTTCATCGGGTGACAATGCGAGCTGACTTCACCCTCGTAGTAATATCCGTCTGGCAATTCCATCTTTGTTAAAATATTATAGTAGAAGGTGTATTTGCTCCTCCAGATGAATAGTCCCTGTAAGTGAGATTACTTCAATCAGCACGAGCTTCAATTCGGGTGGAAGTAACTTTAACACACACCAACAATGGGGTTAATGTGACCAAGAAAAGACGCATTTGAAATTGGAGCTTGAGAACTTTCTTGAGAACTTTACTTGCGTGAGGGTAACAGTCAGACCCAAATTCCTAAATCTCTGTTTATAACCGTCATTAGCTCTCACTAGCTGCAGCCAATCAATTTGAAACGTTGGGGTTGATGCAAACGCAATTCTACGCGACACCAGGTAGATCGAGTAAATCTGTAGATATGTAGATGGCAAGGGATAATTCCATGCCAGTGGGCAGACCACATTATTCTTTCGGAAGAAACTTGGGAAGTTGAAAACCTTGAGCTGACAGTTCGGCCGGCGGCCGCGTTTCTTAGCCGCTCAGGAAAAACGAGCCTGCCCAAAGTTTAGATAAGCATTACTAATATTAGTAATCGCTAACCTCTTATCCGCGCGCGCTAGCGCGCGTTGCCCCCGGCAGTTAGCGGCAGTTCCATAAATCCATTGTTATCATATCCGGCGGTTGAGATCAATACTGCTGTTGAAAGCATGCCTAAAAAGTTAGAATAACATATGGTGTACATAATGACCAACGGATACAAAAATCATGTATAGTGGATGTTGATACAAGACAGATAGCCCCATAGAGCTTATTAGCAGCACGTCGAAAAGTTGCTCCACGTCGAAAAGATCCTGCGATAAAGTCGAAAAGTGTGACGAGAACGTGATCAGCATTAGCGTTGGTTTGTCTATATATGTACTGTACAACTTCTAGTAATTGCTCGTACGACATAATTTTTTGAGGAGAGGGTACACGAATATGACAGGCTTTGATGGCCTACACGGATGGATCGTTATAGCGCAACCGGAGGCTGGGCAACTTTGTTACAAAGGGTAGAGGGCCTTATCGGAGGGCGGAACATTCTTGAGTTGTGGTCACAATGTCAGTAGCGTGATCAAACCGTGCTTTTTCAAAGCATGACTGTTCATTTTTCGTTTTCAAAAAGTTTTCGACGTGTTGCTAATAAGCTCTCATGAGCATGCCCACTATAACCTGTGTTGTGTAGTGGTTTAATGAGCTTGGAGTCATGTGAACTAATTGCATTTGTATGAAAGCTAAGTTCAAATCTCAAATGGGTCATTTTACCTGCTCTAGCTTGCACTGTATTTTTTTTACTCGGTTTTGGCCCTCGAAAAATGGGCTTGTTCACCTGTAATTCATGATGAGTGTATGATCAAAAGGAAATGTATCTAGGACTTCAATTTTTTTTTGGCTGAGTGAAATGCTAAGTATAGTGAACTTTGCCCGATCGAAGCATGGCTCATTTATTTATCAACAATAAATAATTACTCGGATGAATTTTACAGTCGAAGCTTACAAATACTTACAAATGCTTATCTAAACTTTGGGCATGCTCGGTTCGCGCCGCTCAGAACCACAAATAGCTAAACACGATCTCATCCCAGTATGTACTTACATATGTAAAAGAGAAATGCTCTCTTCCCGGGGATGATTTAGGGCTGAGCGCTGAGCTCGCTATTGTTGTCTTACCATAACCGGCTGTTTCGAGACGGAGCCGTGTATCAATCAATCTACCTATCTCCCTGTATAAGTCGAAATCAATGGAGTGGCATCACTAGTTCTGCTTGCTAAACAATTGAAGTGGACGTACTTACTTCTTTTCGTTGGATTTTTATTAGCGTACGCGGAAAGTCTTCCCCGGTCTCTGACCTTAATTCGTCTCATTGTACTGTTGTATCTCCACCTAAGTACATAGCACCATCCAGGTCTCTTTACGTTCTTACTCTACTTTGTCGGTTAAGATTTGTTAGGATTACGCGGAGCAGTCAGCCGTAGCCGTAAGTGGTTCTCTCTGGTTACATACTTACAGGAAATTACATCATGAGAGATCATGAGCAAGCTGAGCTACATCGATCTATCTATCTATCGATATTTCTGGAGCTTTCAACGCGATTGGGTGTTTGGTATACCCAGCTTTGACCTTTGGACATAGCCTCGTACGACTTTTAATTTTGAAGGCCCGACTGATGATCTTTTTCTTTGGTTTATCCTTTGCCTCATGCTGTAGTCGATGACACTTCCTGATCATCCCCACTCCCGTTTACGCTTCATATTTGGCTGCTAGGTCATAAGAACTATCTACTGATGGCGGCTTCTCCGAATGCTACCGTCAGTGAAACATTTGGTGATCCACTTGATTCGAATGAATGAATTATGCCTTCTTATCCTAGCTTGTTCTGCAGGTGCAATGTATATCGGGGCAATGATATCAATGTCGTTATATGGTATAACAACGCTTCAGGTGTGCCAGAAGTTGTGATCTGAGTCCTTGTTTGCCAATATCCCCTAGACGTACTTTTTCTTCTTAAACTATGTCCAGGATCATATCAGTATCAAAGCCTTGGTACGCTTCACGGAACCTTCTTAAGCAAATGCGTCACTGACATTGGATGTTGTGTACATATAGGTTGCTGTAGTTTGGTTCGTGAATCAGAGTGGATATTGGGTTCTTCCGTACATGCCTTTCCAACAAGATATGCACAGGGTTTTGGATACAGTTCATTCAGGGCTCAGTATGTGATACTAGCTTGTCAATTGATGTTTGATTTTCAAACCGTCCACACAGTGTGCCATGCAATGTATCAATATCTCGTACGTCGCTCTTCACTCGAGCAAGTGATATCGGTTGCATATCGTCTCAACTTCAGATTATGGGCTACATTTATCCGGAAATCTTCGATTCGGGAACCTGGTGAGCTGATTGCGCTGATCAACATCTATCCAATCGTCTTGATATTGATTCCGCTAGGTCGTTGTTCGTGAGTCGTTTCACTCATTGTGGCAATTACACATAAGGTTTAGGATGTTCTGTGGTTAGGCTTCAGTCGCTTTGAACGTACGTCGCCTGACACTCGTATGATGACATCCTCCCTTATTCCTACACCACGTATCCATTCTTTAGGTTATTGGGGCATTCATCTCTCAATGGTGTGCTTCATCGATTTTCACAGTTGCTTCGTTTCCTAATATCTGACTATCTCAGCTTCTTCACAAAACGTATACATGATTGTACGTCAGCCTGGAATAAAACCTCTCGTGCTCTCACTCGAATTCGTTTGGACTATTTCATAGTGAGCCAACATCAGTTCAAATCTAGCCTTTCCATCTCGACAGCTTGCATTGTACTGGGGCACTTCAGTTCGTCTTTTCCTAGATTTTGCCGTTATTGATCTAATTATTGATGTTTTAGTTTTCGGAATATGTAGGTGAAAATGTTCGTTGTTTTTTAGTGAAGGTGCTGATTCGTGCTTGGATCCATTGCGCACACACATAGACACTGTCATTCAATTGTAAGTGAGCAAGTCGGTTCTCTGGTGATTCCTCAGGCTATAGAATACTCAATTGCATTCCCTTAATCACCTTCAGTTCAATCAGAAAATCATTTTCTCGGCTAGAAGAAGTTACTGTGGGTCGATGTCGTTGCACTTGCTCAGGTCTTATCACTCTGTTGGTGTTCATGGACTTTTTATTTCCAGTACAACTGTGTCATTCCTTTCGGCGTTTTCGCAATATTGTCTGATATTGTCATAGCCTCTGCACTTATTCTTCTTCTTCGACGAAGTCGAACGGAGTTTGGTGATACTAACTCTTTGATAAAGAAACTAATAGTTTACGCTATCAACCGTTGTGTGTTAACGTCGTGAGTCCTTTTCGTGACGTGTCCTATTTTGTTTGACTCAAACAATCATTTCTAGGGTTGTCGCTATCCTCGAAGTCATCCTTGTGAGTAGATGGTTTCTGGACAAAAGCGTTCTGTTGATAGTGATTTCAACTAGTTTTTGTCTTTCCCGAACTCGATGTATTCGTTTGCGTTCGATTTTGTTATTGGAAAGCGTACGTCTTCTTCGTTCAGTTATCGCTTATCTTTTCTAAAAATATCGATATATCACTGCTACTCCCCGTTCCAGTATATGCTAATTCACTTCTGGCGTCTCTCAATTCTCGAAGATCTCTACAACGCCATAATTATGCAGATCGCAGAACATCGACGCAGTTCTCCACTGTGCTGCATGTCATGTCCTCAGCTATGGAAACTGATCATAGGGTTGCGCAGGAAGAGTCGTTGAGAAGTGTAAGTTAAGAAGCTTTAGAATATCTCCTTTGATGCGAGTAACACTTATAATCTTTTGGGCTTGCAGATGGGAAGTAAAGATTTCACACCTCCATCGTCATTTGACAAGGACATGGGAATAGCAGTGTCTAGCTCGGTGGGTGATCACCTTAGGGCCTTCAGATTTTATCTGTTGATTGACAAGTTGAAATAGAAGTCAGGGAATGGGTACAAAAGTCTTCATGAACGACGACGTTCAATGCCTATGATGAGTGTATGATGCTGGCATTCGACACGGAAAAATGTTTGTTTCCACCATGTCTCCATCTGACACAAAGCTACTCAAGCGCTTCGGCGCCTGCGGAAAACATTGTCACATCGCCTGCTCAACGAGCTGTAAAAGGACACGCCACGAAGAACGTCTTCGCAAAACTCTAACGGCTTTGTCAATTAAGCTCCTTTAACAGGGCCTAGGTGGTGCGATAAAGAGCCGAGTTGGAGTGAAAGGGCTCGAGTTTGAATTACATCGCGAAACTAGATACACATCTTTATCACATATTTACATACTTCACACAAGTCCTGTACTGCCATTATTTCACTTTGAATCCTGATGAAAGCTTATTTGGCTGCGGTCATCCGCCGTTTTACCGCGGCTATCCTGCACATGTCTCTTTTCCATCTACTTTCATGGCCGGTCATTCGTTCAAATTAGTATTCGCCGTTTTGTTTCTGGTCCAGTGTTTTCTATGGTCTCGTGGACGATACGGGCAATTTCAAGCTGATTTTCAGAATTCTGGGAGTGGAAGTAGTCTTGTCAAACGATATCTGGAGGAATTTTCAGGATTATCGGAGGAAAGGCAGGTGCGCAGGTCTTGAAATCAGTAAATTTCTACTTGAATAAATCACACACATCATATAGTGTCGTCCTCTTGCGTTTTCCACAGATCAGCAATGTGCCCATGTATCCGAATTTTGTGCAGGATCTCGTACCTTTCTTTCCTTTCAATATCTCCGATACTACTTCTGCACTGAAGTTGCTCTACGTCCTTCCGTCTTTGTGGGCCTCATTATCTGGCTCATATTCCTGTTTTCTACTCTGGGAATCAGTGCTTCAGATTTCTTCACTCCCAATCTCGCAACTATTGCACAACTTCTGGGCCTTGATGAGAACGTTGCTGGGGTGACATTCTTGGCGTTTGGAAACGGAAGTCCTGATGTGTTTTCGACATTCTCAGCAATGCGAGCCGACTCTGGTAGTCTTGCAATCGGAGAACTCATAGGCGCCGCTTCTTTCATCGTATCTTGCGTCGTTGGCTCGATTTGTATCATCAAGCCTTTCCACGTCAATCCCAGACCTTTCTTGCGCGACGTCGGATTCTTTGCGGTAGCTGTTGGTCTTCTTCTCGTTATTTTGAGGGATGGTCTGATCCACCCATGGGAAGCGGCTATGATGATTGTGTTGTATGTGACCTACGTTGCTACAGTGATCATTGGTACATGGTGGGACAAAAGATTACAACAACGCAGGGAACATGAGGCCATAGTACGTGCAGAGTACCGGGATGACGAACTTTCAGTCCCTACTATCTTTGACGTTCCATATAGAGATGATTGTGAATATTTCTGTTTGCTGTACAATACATTCGCTAAAATATTTTCCAGCTTCTCCTGAACATGATACCCTCCCTGTTCCTGCTAACCCAAACCGAATGCGCGCTCAATCATCTCCTGGTCCGCCTCGCATTCAAACTGATGTTCCAAGGCGCTCACATTCCCGAACACCTTCTCCTACTCCTGGGTCCAATTCCCCCATGCCTCACTTTTCCCAAATGCCCTCCTTCTCTTTGGTTGGCGCACTCGAATTCCGCCAAGTTGTCGCGTCATTGAGAAACGAGGCTTCGAGTTCTTCCCTGAATATTTTCGATAGCCCGGTCACTCCTTATGCAGGTGGTCATTATCACTCTCGACCTAGATCTCGCCCAAGAACACCAGTAACACACGACCATGATCGAGATCCTTGGGATGCGGCACTGGCTCTGGACGAGCGCTCTCCTCATGTTCGTGTAATCCCAGCTCCGAATGATTCCCATCCAGGGAGTCCTGACCTCAATGGTAGTTCTTACTTTGACGACCCTCCAACAAGCATGTCCTCTTCTATCCCTACGATATCTCACACACCTGCTTCTCCTACGGGAACAGAAAGCGACGCTGAATATCCTCATCTTCCTCTTTCTAAGTGGCAGCGATCGAAATACACGTTCGGCGCTTGCTATCATACTCTTTTCCCGACCCTGCATCGTTTCCGAAGCCAGAGCGTTCTGGGACAAATTGCTTCAATATTCGCAGCACCAGCAGTCATGCTTTTGACATTGACACTCCCTGTTGTTGTGACACCCTACATATTAACTCACCATGCACGCGAAAAACTGGACAGCAGTCATAACTTGATCGATTTCGAGGAGGAAGGAATTGAGAGAGTGTTGATAGCCGAAGAAGAGGTCGAAGACGAAATGCATGGCGTGGGCTTTAACAAGTGGTTAACCTCCGTGCAAGTATTTCTCGGACCGTTGTTCTGTATTGCAGTTCTCTTTAGTGTGTTGTTTTCCATTCCTCCTTATTAATGATATGCTCATGAGTCTCAGGTGGACATGCTGAACAGGGTTGGTTATTCCTTGCCATTGCTATAGCAGGTGTAGGTTTGGCTACTTCTGTTATTGTTTTCGTTGACCGAGGCGACAATATGGCTTTCACAATGGCCCGCTGCTTTATGGGATTCTTTGTTGCCATTGTGTGGATTATGGCTATAGCAGACGAAGTTGTCCAAGTACTTCAGGTCAGATAATTCTCTCTCGTATCGATTTAATTTGCGAAGCTGATTGCTTGTTCAGACGTTTGGTTTTATCTTCGGACTATCCGATGCTATCATTGGATTGACAATTTTTGCAGTCGGAAATTCACTTGCGGATCTAGTGGCTAATATGAGCATTGCTGTAAGTTTTAACGTCCAATTCTGCATTAGTGCGTAGTCGAACTGGTATTTCTAGGTGTTCGCCCCAATAATGGGATTCTCCGCCTGCTTCGGTGGCCCAATGCTTAACATCCTGCTCGGCGTCGGGATTTCGGGATCCTACATCATCTCTCAAACATCTGAGCCATATAAATTACACTTCGGTTCTACTTTGCTCGTGAGCACCGTAGGATTGCTAATTCTATTAGCGATAACCATCATCGTTGTGCCCTTCAACGGGTACTTCCTAACGCGGACTTGGGGCATCTTTCTTATCGCTTGCTATGTTACTCTCATGACCATCAATGTCGTGGTTGAACTGAGGCATTGATGTCTCTACTGTTTACTTGTGCAACGTCTATTGGGACACTTCTATCTTCTATTGTATGTATGTACTCGAGGTCGTCAACATGTTAAACTAGGCTCCATTGGTGTGAACCACACCTTGCTAGTAGTGATTAATGTATACTACACGCCGTGAGTAGGTACAGCGCATTGAACATTTACAGGTGCAAATTGTCGCCCGCAAGTACATCAAAACTAAGTGCGAGGTGGTATAGACAAGCAAGAAAACTAAATATCTCCGACCAGCCTGGCTCGAACAGGCGACCCCAAGATTCAGTTACCCTGTTACAGTCTTGTGCTCTTCCAGCTGAGCTATGGTCGGACTGGGATGAGAAAATGTTATATATTGTGATTCATTAAGCAGTGACCAAATGGTTGTTTATTTTCAAGTTATCTCTAACTACATTCATACCTTCCATCACGATGCCTGCTAAGAAAAATCGCGATAAGGGCGACAAATCTGCCGCTATCGCGGATCCCACACCAGCAGCTTCAGAGCCAGAGGGACCACCACCACCTGAACCAAGACCCCCAGTTCGAGTTCTGTATTGCGGAGGTCTGAGTACTTCACTCACATCTCAAAATGATCGAGACTTAGGGCTACGCCCTTCCTTATAGTCTGCACTTTCCCCGTGGAGTACTGCGAATTTGGATCGAGTATAACGCGGTGCAAAGAGTGGTTACATGAACATGATTTAGAGGCATATAGCAAGTACTATTCGGATGGTATGTTTCCTGTACATCTATTTTCCACAACGATCCACTGATCAATATGATCGCAGAGGCTCTACAAGCAAAGATAGGAACATTGAGCTTGGAGGCACAGTCAAAATTAGAGCAGGAAACAGCAAAGAAGGAGGCTAAAGCCGAAGCGAAGGCTGATGCTGCTTTGAAGAAAAAGCTGGCGTCTCAGGTTCGTTGTCCAAATTATCAATTGTGTACCACGTCATTTATCTATGTAATTATTTAGGTTACTATCAAACGAATTGAACGCAATAAGAGAAAACACGTAACTTCGATACATGGCCTGGAAGCATTCAACATTGATCTGAAAAAAGCTGCAAAACAATTTGCGTCCAAATTCGCGACAGGAGCGTCAGTCACAAAGAATCCCCAAGGTCTAGAGGAAATCGTTGTTCAGGGTGATGTAAGCGATGAAGTGCTCGAAATGATTGAAGGGGAGGTAGGAATTTTGAAAGGCATTCCCGCTGACAATGTGGAGATCATCGAAGAAAAGAAGAAGAAAGGAGGAGACTAACAAGGGGCAGACCTGGGGCAGACTAACAATAACTCTCGCCGCTTGTACTATTCACGAAACACATGTATTACGACAGGAATACTGATGGACATACGGTGCGACAGCCAACTAGATGTAGAAGAAAATTATGCAAAAATAGTCAAAAAATGTAAATCCGATTATTGAAAGCATGAGCAGATCAAAAAAAGAAAAAGATGAGCAAGACACGTTACAGTCATAAATTTAGAGTATTGTAAATGAAACATTAGCTTGTGTCTTCACATTATGACACACCACTTCCCCTTCTTCTCCTTATCTTCATCGGGTCCCTCGTTAGTGATGTCGGCAGTCGCTGAGACTGGAGCGGAAGAACCACCAAGCAACTCGACAGAGGAACGTCCTTCAACTGGGGATACAGCTTTGGGAGAAGTGATCACCCCTTGGGCATTATCAAGAGAGGTTCGACCTGTAGGAGGTTTGGAGAACCACCCGCCTGGGAAGAACAAGGACGATGTGGTGGATTCGAGTCGCTTACGATCTTTGGGAGCTGCAAGAGTATCTCCGACAGTGTCACGACTTGTGAATGACATGGTTAGGACGATGATTTCATTCAGCTATGGGCGAACACTTACTCTATATCCCCAGATACTGATAAGACTGGGAATGTCTCCCCAGAGGGGGCAGAAACAGATTCTTCAATTACACCAGAGACACTTGGCTCCCCCAAGGTAACGGGGGCATCCTGAAATATATCCTCAGTACATTTCAATCAATACATAGATCGAATGTGGACTCACTGTTGAGCTTTCAGCGTGAGGAGGTGGTTGTTCCAATGTGTCGAGTTCAGCATCATTCCTAGCCTCATTGAATACCTGGGATCCTTGCCTAGACACCGAGTAAGACGGGGTCCACGGGGATTTAGGTCTTTCCGGGAGATCGTTCTCGGTAGTGTCAACAGTTAACTGAAGAAAGTGTCAAGAGTTGAAGGAGTTATAGAACATTTGTAGGCATACCTTGGAGACTTCAGCTGCAGGAGCATCTTCGGTAGATACGTCCTTGAGAGTAGGCTCGTCTGCGGGTTCAACTACCGGCTCATCCCTGATAAAGGAAGTCGGAGCGGGGATATCTTCAACAGCTTCGACAGCCTCGGGATCTGCCATCTCTGCCACGGAAGTTTCGTGACCCGACTGGTTCGTGACCTCATATGAACCCCACGGTGATTTGGGCCTCTCTATTTGAGCCGCAACAACTGACTGAGATGGAGAAAGAGAAAGAGCTCCAGGAATCTGCACGTCCTTGTAGGGTTTGGCTGAAAGGTCGACAATCGCTTCTTCATCAGGTACCTTGAAAACCGGCGTGTCCTAAAAACATGCACAAAACACGTTGTGAATTGTCACTTCATCAAATGTCGTAAAGAATAGACAACATACTATCTCCTGCTTGCTATCACGCTATATTTCATTAGATCTTGTACTAAAGCTCGAGTACACCGGAAACACACCTCGTCCCCAGATTGATCCAGCATTTCATTAACAACCAATGGCTGTTCGACCGACGACACCGTGTTGACCGTCTGATCTTGCATGGGCTTTTCGGCAATGTCAGCCTCAGTTGATTCCAGAGGTATATCTAAAGAACTTTCCGATGATGTTTCAGTAATATTCACAGATGGGATTACAGAGTTTTCATCATGGATCACAGAGTCGACAGGCGGTTTGCTAGGAAGAGAGTCAACTTCAAGGCCAGGTTCCTCTATCGACTCAGCGGCATTATTGAGTGCAGAAACTTCGGCAGATACTGGAGATGCAGGCTCGGCGGATTCTTCTGATAGCTCAATCACAGGTATCACATTCTCGGAGAGTTCAGTGGCGGCCAGTACAGGGCTGGAGTGGGCAGAAACAGAAGGACTTCCTTGTACAGACACGGAATACGATGGAACCCAAGGTGACGACGGTCTAGATGATTCCTTTGGTTCTTCAAGCTGCAGATTGTACGTGTCAGCCAACACTGCAGCACCATAAACCATTGAACTTACGTTTGCAACTGTAGCTTCAGAAACTTCCGGTATAATGTTGACTTCTGGCACGGGGAGTTCCTGACCAGCGGGCACATTAGATGAAGGAAGTTGCTGGATTTCTGGTATGTCTTCTTCTCTGGCCATATCAGGACCCTGGCTGATGACACTGTACGATGGAGTCCATGGCGATTTTGGCCTGTCGATTTCAGTGGTATTGGCGCTTGGATACAATGAATCCTCAGCACCAACTTCGCTATGGATTTCTTCAGCCCCAACGGCGTTCACGACCTCTGCAGGTTCTGTAGTGTCTTCGTTTTTGTATGTCCCCTCCCCATCTTCAATAACGACACTCGCTGGAACATCCTCAGTGTCAAGCTTCCCCTGGAGAGAGAAGTCTGCAACGGGCACTTCTTCGTCGGATATGATCATGCTAACAGGTTCTTGGAGGTTCTCGGTTGTTTCTAAATGCAACTCGGAAGGAACTTCAGGTGGCTGATCAAAACCGGCGGACGGTATCGCTATGTTAATTTCGGGTACATCTTGGTACAAAGAAGGCGCAATCTCAATGTCCAACTTTGGAGGGAGTTCCTCCGTTCCTGGTACCAGCTCGTCGATGGACGATTCTGCCGGGTGAGCAGGAGACTCTTTGTTGGGAAAATCTAGGCCTGAAGTTATTGGGCTATTATGAGCAGAGAGAGAAGGGCTTCCTTGTACAGACACAGCGTATGAGGGGACCCAAGGCGAAGAAGGTCTGGACGGTTCCTTCCTTTCTTCAGGCTGTAAATCAACATCTTAGAAAAAAAAACAGTATCATGAGGCTTCAATCTTACGTTTGCAGCTGTGGGCTCAGATTCTTCTGGTAAAATTTTTGCTGTGGACTCAGATTCCTCCGGTACAATATTTACCATTGGCACGGATGATTCTGCGCTGGTGGCCACATCAGATATGGGAAGCTGCTCGATTTCGGATATGTCTTCTTCCCTAGTCACGTCAGGACCTTGGTTGCTGACACTATAGGATGGAGTCCATGGTGATTCTGGTCTTCCGACTTCAGCAACGTCAACGCGGAGGTCGGAGCTATCTTCAGTGGCAGTCCCAACATTAGGAGAATCGGGCATGACTTCCACCAATTTTTCGACGTCGATCTGCGCCGATTCATAAGGTGTCGTCAGCTCTGTCAATTGGATTTCCTGATCCAGTGATGGCTTTTCCAAACCAAGGGTATCAGAAGAAAATTCATCCTGTGAGTCAGCAGTGTCCGTGACTGCAGGAACAATGTCCTCTGCGAATGGCGCTTCAGGTGCAGCTGCTGGAACCGCTTCGTTAGTGGGATCATCACTATCGTCAGCGGCCTCGTCTTGAGGAACTTCTGAGCATTGATTGGCTTGATTTTGCGGCTCCAAAACGGGTTGTTCTTCCATCTCAGTAGACTGATTAATAGAAGCGTCTGAAACGGCCTCTCCCGACGACAAAAACTGAACAACAGTGTCTGTTGAATGATCCTTGACAACTGATCCGGTAAGGGATGTTGCTGGATCAGCGTTTGAAGATTCCTCCACTAAGGCGCTTGAATTTTCCCTAAACAGATCGACTGGTTCGTCCTGAGGTAAATTTGCAATGCTTTCCCCTTTTAGTAAAGCTTTATCATCAGCTATAGTTCCTTCGACGGTAGTGTCGCTAGGGCTCGATTCCTCCACCAGTCCTGAAAACACTTGAGCTCCTTCGCCCCCGGCCCCCCCTGAAGCGGGCGCGACCACAACATCAGCGACCGCCGCAGAGTCAGCGTCCTCGTTCGTAAGCATTATCCCACCTGTTTCCGTCATGAGGTGTTGTTCAGTCCCGGTTTCGAGAATTTGCGTCGCGGAAGCTGCGGAGTCTACGACAGTTTCAGCGACGTCTAGGTTATGGTCAAATCCGATATCAGGCTCCTTTTCGTCCGGCTTGACATCCAATTGCTGAGTGTCTAGGACCGACTCTGGTTTATTCGATTCGTCCTTGGTAGCGAGGTTTTCGTTTATCCAGGAAGGGTGTCCTTCTAATAAGGGTCCAACGTCTTCATCCCTTGCGAAAGGTACTTCCTCCACTGAAGACGTATTCGTGTTTTCATTATTCGCTGCCAATTTCTCCCCGTCACTCAGGATAACTTCGTTTGGAGTTCCTACATTCTCTGCCAGTTGCTTTTCCAATTCAACTGATGAAGCTTCTTCACCGGATATGGGGGGTGTTGTTTCAGCATTTGGATCAGCAGAAACTGTGTCGACATTCCCGGTAGCCAGGATCACTCCCAGCACGTCCGACTCTGTTATGAGCTTTGCTTCGGATTCGCCAGCAACCTCATAGGCTGTTTCGGAAAATTTGTCGGGAATGACAGAAGACTCCTCCAATGCAGGAACAATCTCTGACTTGGATTGGCCATTCATGTCTGCAACTTCATCCGTTACAATAAGCTCCGATTCATGTTCTAATTCCGAAGGATTTTCAGTCTCGATAGCAGCATCCCCAATCGATCGTTCCACCAAAGGCTCCAAAGCTTCACTGACATTCATCGGCATTTCCTCCAGAGAAGATTCGTCGTGGAGATTCCCGGACGCTGCTTGCCCCGTAGGGATGTCCTCTGAGTTTCCCAAAGTTAAAGAGAGCTGTCCAGTCTCAATCTGAGTGGGCTCAACCAGCGGAGAGGACACTGAGTGTTGCAAAGCTGCTGCAGAAACGATCGTCAAGGCTTCCACTGGAATCGCATGAGATCCTTCCGCATTATCTTCTGGGTATCCGAGGACAATGTCCGCTCCAGGTTTTTCGTCCACCAGAATGGCCGCAGAAGAGCCCAGCTCATTTGAATGTGATTCTGCTGGTTCAGCAGGAGAAGTAAGGTCATGCTCTCGTACATTTGAATCGAGATGCATATGTTTTTCGGATTCAATCCGCTCAGTCGAATGCACTTGAACCTCGCCGCTCGAACCATCCGTAACGATGTTTCCGACAGTAGACTCTTCCCCTCTAATAATAGGATCAGTGAGAACTGGAGTAACTGAATTAGGTGTTTCCTCCGAAGAAGTGGATACTGCAAGGACATTGACATGAGATACACCGGTAGCTTCACCGGACACTGTATCGGGAATCACGGAAATCGATCCGTGCACGTTTGAGATTGGGTCTTCCGCTCCTTCAGCGAAAGATGACTTGGTGGCTCGTTCCTCGGCGACTCCTGTGCCGAGAACAGTCTCTTCAGCAGCGTCTACCAAAGCAGCACTGTCCACGGACGAAGACGTTTGGAGCGCCGCTACTCCGGGAAGCGGACTATCAGGTTCTAAGTTTACTGGGTTTCCGTTTATGGGTTTCGTGGTGTCTTCCGGCAGATTCTGAGCGAGCATTTCTGCCTCAAGCGCGGAGTCTGCATCGCGGAAAACGGGTTCCCGAATAAGAGGAACCTGTTCGACTTCCAATTGTGGTTCTTCACCTTCATGGACTCGACCTATTCCAGAAGCGATAGTTCTTGTGCCAGTAGAGTCAACCCCTCGATCACCGCTTTTTTCTGTCTGAGATTTAGGCTCAGTAGCTTCGAATTCGTTATGTGATGCTGTATTCGGAGACTCAAATAGTTGCAATGGTGAGTCGGAGGCTTCTAGGGTGGCCAGCGGGTCTGTAGGATCTTTCAACGGTATTTCATCGTCCTGAGCAAGAAATAAGGATTATAAAAACGCAGTAGGCAAAGAAATAGGCTTGCCTTAGCCACTGCTCCTTCATTTTCTTCCTCGTCGCGTTGGGAATAGCCGTGCTTTCGCTAGATGTCAGGTATTTCTCCTACGTTTGCGACATTCTCACTCACTGTTGGCGCTTCGACCGCAGCAGAGTCCTCAGACATGGCAGAGACCTTCTCTTCATCACCTTGAAGTTTCTGGAACACGATGAAAGAATATCATGAGAGGCAGACAATCAAACAATGCTGAATTTCACGCACCTCCAGTGGGATTTCCGACGTGTCAAATTCGATTATTGGATCCCTTTCGACCTCTACATCATTCAGGGAGTGATTATCCTCGTCCCCTGTACGTTCCGATAAGACTTTTGGCTTCGAAGTTGGTGGGTGGTTAGCTTCGTCGAAGACGGCCGCACCATTATCCACGACCTCTGTAGCAGACATTTCGGAGTGTGGTAAAGAGTTTCAACTTAGCAGTATTTTCAGTGGGCTCAAACAGGGTACCGAGGACAAAGAACGGGACGTAGCGTCTCAACAGCGCTTGCCACGAACAATCAAAAAGATGCGTTCCCACGTGCTATGTAAGCTATTTTCGTCCGGTGACCAATATTTAGAAGTCATGTGCTCGCGTTTAAAGCTGTTCTCTCGACTAACCACCGCCAGGCCTCTTACAGCTTCATCTTCCGTCATGACCCACCCTCCAACCCTTTGTATTCTTTTGATGTTTAGCTGGCAAGTATGTTACAGCTCAAACGCTCTGGGTGGTGTGTCACCCACCTGCAAGGGGCTTTACTCCCAGGCAAAACCTCCCTATATTGATTGACCTATGTGTGAAGGTGGACCATTGGGCTGCTCATGTATATATAGTTATTTTTTGAATGATACTGAAATATCTATAGCATACCCAAGTTTATAAGCAGGAAAGAGTGGCAAGAAGTCCAGCACTCAAGGGCACTGATGGTAGACTCAGAAGATGTTGGGGAATACTCCATATGGATATAAGTATGTATAGCTTGGTGACCAAGCCCTCTAAGAGAATAATCAAAAAATTTGATTAAAGTTTACCTGTGGGGCAGAACAGGACCCCGGATAATCAGAGTAAAGGTTGTTTCCAAAATTGCTGAATTTCAGCTGAAATGTCCAAACCAAAATCAAGAATTTCTGTCAAAAATGTCTGAAAGTTGACCAGCCACTGGCACTTAAGCAAATTAGCACTTGCCTAAATGATCTTTGAGGTGGCTTCAAAAAATTTCCAAAAGTCCCATGGACTCCTGTTAAGATCATGTACACCATGAAGCCGTGCCAGAGGCCACAAGGTATCTAAGGGCAGAGGGTTGAATGGGACAGTAGTGAAGTTATCAACAACACCACCATTACACTGCTAGTCCCCAGAGATTGAGAGTAGAAAAGAAGGTAGCTAGGAGCAGCCAAGTCGGAGTGGTGGTAACACTGACAACAAAGAGCGAACCAAAGAACATATAAGTCCTGAGGTCAGAGTAGAGAGTACTCAAGGGAGAATCCTTAAGACTTCAGAGGGAGAATGAGTGACGGTTTAAGTTGATCTAAGATGATCTAAGTCAATAATTAAACTGAGGAACTATAGTATAGTAGTGAATATCTGTGTTAAGATCATGTAAACTGGAAAGCCGTGCCAAGGGCCATCCAGCATCTAAGGGCGGAGGATTGGATGGGACAGTAGTGAAGTTATTAACAGCACTGCCATTATGCCGCTAGTCCCCGGAGATTGAGAGTAGAGTGTCATAAAGTATGCAGCCCCTGTCATTTTCCTTTTCTCACTGTCTCGATGCCTTTACTTGTACGATACATCATCCTGACAAGACCGTGCCTACAGGTCAATAGCTATAGAGGTTCTGAGGCCGGATATGGCCCGGGAATGGCCCGGGATAATTCCGAGGTCCAGAACTGAGTATTGGCCTGTAGTACACACTGGGAGTGGGACGTCGGTGAAGCTATTAGCAACACCCTTCACACACTGTTGTGTCCCCGGGAATATAATGGCAAGGATATAATGTCAAGATGAGCAGCCTAGATGGGTTCCTATGATCCGGGAGTCCGGAATAGCTCGGAAGCAAAGGTAAAGGAGATATTAAAGAGTGGGATAAGATGGTACACTTGATTTCAAGCTTGACTACAACGTACAAAGTATTCTAGCTTATATACATCCCAAATACAGTCAGAAGACCTCGATGAAAGCTCGGAACAATAAATAAATACAATGATGGTCACAAGGTTATTATTCCGAAGTCCGGCCGCTCCGGACTGGGCCGGGAAGCATACTGGGTGAATTGCATGCATATGACACATCCCATCACTATTACACTCCATCACTGTCAATTCCCCATTGATTACTGATTCACCTGACCTACCTTCTCCTTCTACTGGCTTCCGCCACCTTCCTTGCCCCTGAACTGTACAGTATTACATTGTTGTTTTTTGCAGACTGGAATATGTATATATAGCCAACCCCCCACAGCCTGGTCCCTTATCTTGACCTCTCTGTCATTATCTGGGACCAGTCTGCCTACACTCTGCTCAGTTGCTCTACTCCACCATCCCGCTTAGTCACTCTGCCTCTGCCACTTTGTGACATAGAGGAGAGGTAACTAGGAGTAGCCAAGTTGGAGTGGTGGTAATGCCGATAACAAGGAGTGAACCAAAGAACTTGTAAGTTCTGAGGTTAGAGTAGAGAGTACTTCAAGGTGATGAGCCTGAAGACTTAAAGGACAGAGAGAGGCAGATAAGGGAGATCTGAGGAGATCTAAGATGATAATTAAACTGAGGAACCACAGTATAGTACAGGAGTATTTATACCTACTAATTAGCGTATCAGGGTGGAGCGCCAGACTAGCTACTAGGGGCTATACATATAGTACCTGCAGGGTAGAGAATAAGACAATAAAAAGAGACTAAGTAGAAAGGGAATGTGTAGCAAGAAAAAACAATAAAGAAGAGATTACAATAAACGGTAGATCTCAGAGTACTGAGCAGTGGAGCGGGGCACCGGGGCATGGTCCTGACAATCTGTAAGAACAATAAAATGATCAGTAAGGGTATACTTGAACATAATCAATACTCACCAATAACTATGAACAAAAAAAGCACTTTTATATACCTGCCTCCCACTGACAGCTCAACTGCATTGACAATATGGTGTTTGTAAATCAAATGAGCTTTCATTGACAAAGAGGAGTTGGCATGGTCTATGAAGATGGGCATGGTTTAGTCAGAATTGGGCTTGCTTGAGTGCATCATGTTCAATGGTAGCTTTTGTTATCTGCAGCAAGTAGCTGAATTCAAGTTGAAGGTAGATATTATATGGCCCAGTAGTGCACCTTCTTGAGGGTATATCTACTGAGTTTCAAGACATGCCAAAGGGCTGGAGTACTCACCAGTACACCATGTGTTAGAGAAGAATCCGTACGCTCCGTCCTTATCCAGCCCGTCTGACTTACTTCATCTATGCGCACCTTTTTGTCTACTCGTTGTTGCTTACATACTCTGCGATCGAGTACTTATACAAACGCCCCTATTTCACAGCTTTCCCTCAGTTGTTCTCTACTACAACTGAGGGTAAGTCATACTCATATTTAAGTTAATTCTCCATACTGATCCTGTAGTAGTGTTCGTTATCCTACAGGTAGATTTATCCAATATCAGTTGTTCTCTACTACAACTGAGGTGTTCTCTACTACAACTGAGGTGTTCGTTATCCTACAGATTATGAGACTGGGCTCCCAACGAGCTATATAGATAAAACCAAAATTCTACTATGTCTTCATCAACCGGAAACCAAACAGCAACCCTTCCTACATTCCCGGAATCGTCTCAGCTGTCCGGACAGGATACTTGGAAGGCGTTCAAAGATAGGGTCGAGCTGAACGTTGAGTTTAGGGGCCTCAAGGGTTATCTCCATGGCACCATCCCTAAACCAAGTCCAGCAACCTATGTCTATACGTCCATCACTCCCTCATTCCCTAGCAGTCTGCATCCATCCCCTGAAGAATGGAACCAACGCGAGCGCTTGGTAGCCGCAATGATTTATCTCAATTGCACTGATCCCATCGGGGTCGGTATCGACCGATAACGAGCTTGCCTCGTTTTTGTGTGAAAGAGAAAGGAAGGAATCTAATGGGCACTCCAACCAACCAATCTAATACACAATATGCGAGTTCACTGCTATCAAATTTATTTAATAGCAAGGGGTAGCGTTGGCAAAGGTTCCGCAAAGCTTTGAGAGCTAAGTAAGAAGCTTTGATCAATCAATTTGAATCGTTCTAAGGATTCGATATATTCCTTTGATCAAGGTAGATTCAGCGCGATTTGTGCTTTGGTTTGTATTGATTTGGGTATATCAAGAATTGGGGGTTTGAATCAAAGTAAATTAAAACCGAAACACACAGACCCCTACGGAGGGCTAGAACTATGTGCTGGCACAACCACACAGTGTGATTTGCCCTTAAGACCAACGACTGATCCTAAGTTCGAAGAATACCCAACAACTGGATATACTTCTCGCAGTCACAAGGAGCAGAACACGACGTTCCTATACTCACAAGTGCCGGGCCCGAATGGCTGCTAGCGAAGAGGTTTCAGTCTGGCGGGAGTGTGTCTTTCCTTTTTACGGATTAGCACTGCAACGTCGTCCCAAAATCACTTGTATTCCAGATACATCGGATCGCTATTTATACATACAGAATATAGAGTCGCATAGTACAATTAATTTAATACAATAAATGTTCGGAACCGCAAGGAAACTTCTACACTCAGTCAGATACCATTTAATTCGAATCTACATGTCCTTATTTGGTCCATATTGGTTCCAAGATTCTAGTATACCTCCAAACATAGGTAGGTACTTCAATATTCATTTAATTTAATTGTTTTTAGAGAATGACTCGAATGGTGTTCAACTGTCATTGCTGTTCAACACTTACTTCGATCGTTTGTCACCTCGTCCGGAGGCAAATCAGCTCTCCTCGATTCTAATCCTATCAATCTGATTCATCTGGATTAAACTAATTGCTTCTCTCTTTCAATAGACACCCATTGTGCCTATACTCTATCAAGGGAGTTACGCATAGTATTCATTTAATTGTATTCTTCAATATTTTCTACGTCAGGACTCTTTGACATTCATTTGATATGCCTTCGGAGCCTCGCCGTACTTTGATTGTTCTTCTAGTCATTTTCCTCAACCATGCAACTTGATTGGTCTATTAGACTAAATCGCAGTCTTTTAGGTTAATGCATGATCTCGTTCTAGAAGGAGTATTTGATAATTCCTGAGTTCTAGAAAGTCATTTCAAGTCAATCCTCGGTTCATGGTCACTTGAGTAAGTTCTTCCAAACTCCTGCCAGTGTAAGGTCCAATAAGAATACCCTTGGTATGTCATACGTGAATGGTCATCCTTCGGATGTAGTCCGAGTCTGGTATAATCCTGCTATCCATAGGTAGTATCGGGGATGGGTAAACTAACCAACTTGTGGTAGTATGGGTATATGGTCCCTTCAACTTATTACACTGATTCAGTATTGACTTTGACTGTCAATCTGGGTCTCAATTACAGTCCTCTTGATACAAATCTATACGTGAAAATGTCACAATTCACAGCATAGACGTCTAGCCAAAATTTAGGCGTGTCACCGA